AGGGTTTTTATAGGCTAGAAACATGACCAATTTTTTCTAATTAAAAAATATTTCACGTTTTTAGCCGTTAAAACCTCTTTGGAAGACTCAAAACATTTTTCTGTGCGTGTAAAAAGGAAGCGTTTTTTAAAACACCGGTTTCTGCTCAGACACAGAATTTTTATCGTTCTCTAGCATCCAGAATTTTTTCACAAGCAAAAGTAAGTATACGGGCCTTAGGAACACATTGACCAAATTTTTTCACAAAACAAATATTTTCCACTCTGTTTTTAGCCTTAACTTCTTTGTAAGCACTCAAAAAACATTTCTGGTGTATGACTGGCGCTGATAAGACAAGCGCAACGTTTTATCTTAAAACAGGTTTTGTAGACAAAAGAATTATCGTCTTTCGATTAGATCCAGCAAATCTTTCTCAAGCAAAAGCAGTTAAGGTTATATAGGCTTAGAGAAAATGACCAATCTTTTTCCACAAAAAATATTTTCACTGTTCTTTTAGCCACCTAAACTTCTTTGGGTCTAAGACTCAAAAACATTTTCCTGTGGGCTAAGAAGGGAAGCGTATTAAAACAGCGTTTGTAATTTAGACAAAGAATTTATCGTCTTTCCTTAGATCCAGACTTATTCAAGCAAAACAGTAAGCCGTTCTATCACGGCTTAGAAAATGACCAATTTTTTCGCAAAAATATTTTCACTGTTTTTAGCCTAAACTTCTTTGGTATGACTCAAAACATTATCTGGGTGTAAAAAGGAAGCGTTTAAACAGGTTCTATAGACACATAATTATTTTTTTCTAGATCCAGATTTTCAAGCAAAAAGTAAGGTTATTGGCTTAGAAAATGACCAATTTTTTCACAAAAATATTTTCACTGTTTTTAGCCTAAACTTCTTTGGTATGACTCAAAACATTATATGGGTGTAAAAAAGAAGCGTTAAAACAGGTTCTATAGACACATAATTATCGTTTTCTAGATCCAGATTTTCAAGCAAAAAGTAAGGTTATTGGCTTAGAAAATGACCAATTTTTTCCCAAAAATATTTTCGCTGTTTTTAGCCTAAACTTCTTTGGTATGACTCAAAACATTATCTGGGTGTAAAAAGGAAGCGTTTAAACAGGTTCTATAGACACATAATTATTTTTTTCTAGATCCAGATTTTCAAGCAAAAAGTAAGGTTATTGGCTTAGAAAATGACCAATTTTTTCACAAAAATATTTTCACTGTTTTTAGCCTAAACTTCTTTGGTATGACTCAAAACATTATATGGGTGTAAAAAAGAAGCGTTAAAACAGGTTCTATAGACACATAATTATCGTTTTCTAGATCCAGATTTTCAAGCAAAAAGTAAGGTTATTGGCTTAGAAAATGACCAATTTTTTCGCAAAAATATTTTCACTGTTTTTAGCCTAAACTTCTTTGGTATGACTCAAAACATTATATGGGTGTAAAAAGGAAGCGTTTAAACAGGTTCTATAGACACATAATTATCGTTTTCTAGATCCAGATTTTCAAGCAAAAAGTAAGGTTATAGGCTTAGAAAATGACCAATTTTTTCACAAAAATATTTTCGCTGTTTTTAGCCTAAACTTCTTTGGTATGACTCAAAACATTATCTGGGTGTAAAAAGGAAGCGTTTAAACAGGTTCTATAGACACATAATTATTGTTTTCTAGATCCAGATTTTCAAGCAAAGAGTAAGGTTATAAGCTTAGAAAATGACCAATTTTTTCCCAAAAATATTTTCACTGTTTTTAGCCTAAACTTCTTTGATAAGACTCAAAAAATTATCTGGGTGTAAAAAGGAGGCGTTCAAACAGGTTTTGTAGACACAGAATTATCGTTTTCTAGATCCAGATTTTCAAGCAAAAAGTAAGGTTATAGGCTTAAGATAATGATCAATTTTTCACCAAACTATTTTCACTGTATTTGAATAGAACTTCTTTGGTATGCTTCAAAGCGTTATTTGAGTGAAAAAGTTCATTCATTAGACAGTATTTTAAACATGGAATTTAATTTTCCTGGCTGTAGATATTTCACAATAAAGGCTACAGGCTCACCAAATAGATCCTTAAGTTGATAAAAATGTTCTTGGAAAGAATTATGTGATGCCACAGAATTTAGAAATGGAAAGCAAATGTTTTGAATCCTACAAAAGTTTTTTTTCTGACACTTAAAAAAGTAAAAACCCTTAGAATATTGATCAAAAACTCGAAGTTAGGAAAAATATAGATGACTGTATATAAACTTCCAAGCTAAGAGTTTTTTATCTATGTTGACGTTTTATACTTTGGAGACTGTGAGAGGAAATATATTTGCATATTTCAAAATTTTTTAAAGGACCACTTTTAATTTTTTTTAGTTTCAAGCATGAGCTTGAATATTTACCTTATTTTCTAATATTTAGCTTATTAGCTCATGAGCTTGAATCATTTTCAAGTTCTATAACGTACTACTTACTATACAGTCACCTAATAAGCATGTTTGATAAAAGCAATACGTAATATGCATCGAAAGTAACAGAAGGAAAGGAGAGCAGGTATACAACTATTGGGAAATTGATAAAATTTTGGCAAACGATCTTACTATTTAAATGTTTGCTAGCAACAGTCTCAATTTAGAAAATATCAAAAGTACAAACATGTAAACAACAGATTTTCAAATTACCTGTTCTTACAGTAAGTCCTCGAATAAGCACCCGGGGGCATATTTTGCAAACAAATTTTTTGGGTTGGGGGCTTATTCGGGGGGGGGGGGGCTTTTTCGAAGATGGGGGCTTATCTAACAGCAACGAACAATATTACCAGATATATCGGGATAAACCTGTTGCTGACGAAATCAAACCTTAGCCAATGGGGGCTTAATTGAGGGAGGGGGCTTATTTCACAAAAAAATTCTTTAAAATGGGGGCTTATTCGGGGGGGGGCTTATTCGAGGTGTGGAGGGGGCTTATTCAAAGGTGGGGCTTATTCGAAGACTTTCGGTAACATATACAATTTTACGAGAAGTTTAGCAGAGTCCCTTGGATTCTAAAAAGCCTCTTAGGAAAACTGTTATTGATAAAAACACGACAAACCGTCCAAGTCATCAATCTTTTCGTATACTTGCAGTAACCATGGATACAGGCTCCGATAGAACAATATTGCATGCATACAGCATTAACAGTTTTACGATTAATATCAAAGTATTCGAAAATTCTAAAAATATAGACAGTACACCTTCGCAAGAGGGCAGGTACGTCTCTGATTTATTACATTTACCTGATTTACTGCCTAACCAACAAAAGGTTTTTACAAAAGCGACATTGTCCTTTTAACCATATATTATCACGAGATATCCTCAATGCCTGGCACTGCCAAACAAAGAAAGGAAAGTATGAACCATTCATCCTAAAAAACCTATAATGTGTCTTTAAAAAAAGTAACTGTAACGAACGCGCAAAATTCGATAAAAGGATGAGAGTCTTATGTTTAAAGAGAAAGGCAAAACAATTTCTCTTTACTCACTTTCTTCTGCCTTGAAGGTGTTACTATCTCAATTCTTACAGTTTTCTGTTTCAATACGATGGTGTACTACACTCCTTTTAGACTCTAGGAATTTGCAAATTCGCACAAAATAACGAGCCACCTCGACATGAATTCACCTTCAAACAAGATGATTGTTGAAGTCTTCTGCTCGACTCAATGTTAATTTGGGTTGCCTTTCTTCTGCATTATTACCATCAAAGGGTAATGAATGTCCGGGTCAAAAGATGAACGTCCTTCTTTGAATTTCTGCAAACAATGATTTAAATTGCTAAAAAATATTGGATGAAATCTAAATAGCGATAGTAATTTATCTTTTTGAAGGGCAACTTAAAGATCCTCTAGTTGGACAAATTGAAATATTAGTTCTTTAATAATTCCTGGAAGTGGCAAAAATGTAAGCATAACGATGATTTACTTCTACGTGCAAGGCACACTACATCATTTGGTAGTACCTTTGGTCTTTAGAGGATAAAGACAAATTACTCATCTACGGATAACAAAAATATATACCTGATATTTCTGCCAAATTTCTTTGTCATAATTTTCAACAACTTGTGTTGTGAATGAAACGTTCGCCAAATTTACGAAAGTGTCCAAGGTATTGCCTCTTTTGGGAGCAAACAAAATCGCTTCTCCCTATAAAAAGGACAACACAAACATCGATTTCAATAATTTTTTTTAAGTAACATTGTCAGGAGTGCAGGAGTATACCAATCCAATGTCTTTATCAATCACATTCAAACTGCATTTTAAAACAAACGAAGAATATGATACTTATTCTTAACCCTATAAATTGCTCATAAAAACCCTAGATATGTTCATAAAAATTCACAATACACTACTACAAAACTACAGTAAAATATGTGGCCCATTCACAACTATTTATCGACTTTTCCCAAAAAGATGCTAGGCGAGACACCCAGAAATTTGTTTATGTACACTTTGCTACCTTTTTGGAAAAGGCTTTTATTATAAATGTAAAAAGAACATGATGAACGACATATAAAAGGAAAAAATCGAAAAGAAAGGTAGACACTCTCTGCAAGAAAGGAGGGTAGCGGCGATTCACCGAGAAAACGCTTCAATGCATGAATGCATCTCAGAGTTGCCTTGCCCATCTCTCTATTAAAGCAACTGAAAGCCTGTCATCTTTATACAGCTAAAAATTAAATAGCATTATGTTTGAAAAGATTGATAGGCCATGTTCTCAAGCATGTACTTTGTTTCAGAAGGTCAATTCTATGAGAATCATATAAGTGACAGAACAGCAAGTAATGCTCCGTATCCTCAATGCCATCATTCAAAGGGCATTTTAGATCAACTGTTTCTCTAAATTTATAACTAAACTAATGGAGATTTAGTTTGATTGGACCCACACATAACTGGGTTAGAATTGCTAGGCCTTTTGGATTATGAATACTGAAACCTGGTTTAGGAGGGGGACGAATTTGTGACACGAGCTTATTTTGCTTTAAACAGATAGACAGTAGATCAGATAGGCAAGTTTGTTTTAATCAGATAGACAGTAGAGCTAAAAAGTTGCCTTGTAGCTTGCTGTTCTTGCATAGATTTTTCCAACTACTTTGTTTTTGCGAAGAGAGTAAAATAGTGCTGATACTTTTAGGCTGAGAATTAGTTTTGAAAATGGCTTTGAAAAAAGCAAACATTTTACAACATACTTAAAGCTTTTTCGTCTGACACTCCTCAGAGCATAAAACGTCAGAATAGGTTCCGAAAAAACACGTTTGAAAAATATATACCCAGTTGTGGATCGAAATAGGCCAATCAGAAAAACGCAAGCGCAAGACCGGTATAGTTGACCAATCAGTGCCGCGAGCCTAAAGAAAAATTACCAATGGAGTCCAAGAGAGAAAACGAACTCCTTTTGTCTACACAATGGCGGCTTTTTCGTTTTTATGTAGATTGAATCCAAAACTGCTAGATGGAAGGACGACCGGGCTCTGCCAATTATCCGAAACATGTCGTCATTATAGAGTTTTGCACAATCTGGGTTGTCTAAAAGATGTTGACCAATGGCAGAATCACTTGTTTTAACAGTGTTTCTAGACCTACTAGATCGAGGAGGCTGTTCTCTTTGAGGGGCAGTTTTGTTTCGTATGTTGGAAGGAACATGCTGTTTTATCCTATCCCCCAATCTTTGGGTTGTGCGCCCTACGTAGCCAGAATCACACTGGCACGTAAATTAGTTTTGAGATTTAGTTTTGTAAAATTTGGTGTCAGGTTATTATCAAATTTTAAAGAGCAAGAAGTCTGCTCCAGCAACGGATGACCACTGTTTCCCACCCCAGTCTACTGAGAGTTTTTCGCGTGACAGTGCCCCTGTTACTGCCAATGCAGCCGTAAAGTGGTATTGAAATTTTTATGAAATACGAAATGAAAGATATTTGAAACATATAAAAATTCATTAAAACAAACAATGTACCTTTTCACTTAAAAGTTCAGAAATCGTCTCAATTAATCCTTGCTGATATTCCAAAAAATAGCAACTAGAAAAAAAGTTATTAAAAAGTGAGTTATTTTTTTTATTGAATGAAACAATGTAGATTTTACAACTACAGCAAATGTCCCAGAAATTTTCTTACGAAAGGACTTTGGAACAAAATCTCAAAATAAACGAACTAATCTTTCTCGCCTTGTTCGATTTGAAATAACTAGGAATTGAGTATCATATTTCTAAAATCTAGTCTGTTTTTCAAGCTCATCAACTCACCAGTCTGCACATAGAATAAAATCAAAAACATTTTTTTGAGCTGAAAGTTGGTCCTTTGCCCATAGAAGCTGCCTAAAAAGAAAACGAGATAATTTTAATGTGATAAGGATCATGCAGCGAAAATTGTAAACATAAAGCATGATTTATTTTGTGCCTGAATAATTTTGTAAAGTGAATGTAAACAAAATTTCTTAAAAGTGATATCATTGAAAACGGCTTACCTTGATCTTACCCTTGTATTACCAAACAAGCGATCATTTTCTTGAACAATATCTGCAATATCTTCCCGCAATTAAGGGCAATTATCGCATGACATAAATATTGCATAGGAAAACAGCAAGTGATAATACAGCTTTCTTGGATATAAGACAATGGATACAAATACCGAAATAATTGGAATAAACCCAGGGGCAAAACTCAATGCTAAAGAGGGGCCGGTACTTACTAGAAAAGTTGTAACTTATTGGCTGCTTTTCAAAACCAGACAACGAAATAGCGAGGTCTACTCGAGAGGGGCTTGTCCTTATTAGACGGGGGCTTATTAAAACTCGATGCTGAATAGGGGGGCTTGTTCAAGATTGGCTTGATAGGATTTTCAAGGTAACAGGCTGAGAATGCAGAACCAGTAAAAGTATTTTCTTCCTTAAACGCACTATGCCCTGGCGCATTTGGATGGCCATTGAAATTTCCCTTTGATTAGACTTTGCAACAGACCAATTGTTACGTACATACAATTGGCAAAGTAAGGTTAATTCTCAAAGTTTTCTCAAACAAAAATGCACCGCAGAGGTTGTGAACTCTGAACGGTTGACTCACGGGACATACTGTATTTAAAAAAAACCCAACCCAGTTTAAGGCCTGACTTTCAAAACGCTCCCTCCAAACCGTTCTGCTGCCACCTTTTCTAGATTTTTATTCTATGATCGTGGCAGTGTACATTAAAATTTTGAATTCGTTTATGCAGATGCTTACATCTCGAAAAAAATGAGTAACCAATTATATTGGGGGTATCCTTGTCAGGTTACCACTTCGTATATTATGCAACACTTGAGTAATTTAATAAGAAGCTTCTTATATCAATGTAATAATCATGTTAATTCAAGTTTTTCATCATTATAATAAGAAAGTTTGAAATTATGTCTTGGAATGATGAAACTTTATCCACATTTACTTTTAAACCAAGAAATGATAGACATGCAACACAAAAGCTGGTAATCTTTGCTGGAAACAGGTCCTAGATACTACAACATTTCAAAGTAATCAAACCAACATGATCTATCAAATCTTCCATGACGTAAACTGCAAAAGCAAATTTGTCATTTATCTTATGGAATGTACAAAATGTAAACTACAATTTGTTGGCTAATCAGAGACACAACTGAATCTACGCATTAAAAACCAAAGCAACGATGCTACTAAATCCATTTCCATCCTAGCCAATCAGCACTTAAATAAATCCGCACACAACTCCAAGGACCATTATTGAGCAACTTAATAAAATCGATAGTGAGAAGGAGCAGCTTAGGTTACGTTTAGAGCACAGAGAGGACTTTTGGATAAAAAAACTGAAAACAATTAATCCTCAAGGCCTTAACCAAGAGCTTAATCACCCTATTTAAAATAAATCCTAAACAAAACTGCATCACCCTTATCCCCCATACTCAGGCGTCTTTTTGACTTTCCTTAATTGGGCAAGGGACTTGCATGATTAAATCATCTGACGCAAAACCAATAATTCAAATAGAAAAGAGCATTGTAAATTCCAGCTATCTGTTTATTGTAAATATACTGCCATGAGTACGACTGTACAGAAATATACTGCCTAAATATACTAATCTCTGGAGACTAGTCGGCAAACTCAGTGTTTTTTACTAGTGTACACGTCTTCAAACACAAGTTCACTCTATATCTAATCTATGTCCATACCTTTATATCTATATCTTCAAATCAGCTGTTATTTGCTAAATTCTCAAAATGACTTGAGGGTAAAAATATATACATCATTAACCAATCAGCCTGACCAATCAGCCAGAGATGTGATGCTTCAACAAATTTTAAACAGCGAAAAGATACTTTTTGCCGATTCTTTGTTACCATCTGTCAAATGGACTTCTTCAGCATTACTTTCAGTAGCTAGCTAAAACAAGAGTGCTTATCAATTTTACTCACTGATTTATCTGACAGATAAATTTATCACATAAATTGATTTACAGAGTCTAAATTTTGTCCATTAATACAGGGTCAGATTATTGTATGATGTGAATTTTTAGTAAGACAGACAAAAGGTTCAGGGTTTTCAAAACCACGTGTGTGCAAATTGGAATAAAATGGTTCTATAAAAGTTTCAGACACCCCACTACTAACTATTCTGTCAACATGTGGGTATCAAGCTAAGAAAATGCATACAACATACCAGCATACAGCTGATACATCATCGTAATAGAGCAATAAGAAATGTATGGTTTCTGAAAGGTGGGGTATCAACAAGGGTTAGCTTTGTACCCAGAATTGTTTACCAGTGGTGTATGTTGATCTCTAGAAACAAAGTCCATATAAATTCTTTGTAGCTGAGTCACAAATAAAAATGAATGGTAAATACTAATTTTTCTTATTTCCTATTCCTTCATAGGATACAATAACCTACTCTGCTAAACCACATCACATAGCAAGGTCATCATGGATAACCCTCTTTGCACAGTTCTAAGTATCCAACTGGTAACAGTAACAAAATGAAAGGCAGTCAAAAAACAACAGACTCACTAACAGTCCTGCCAGAGCAGTCATTCCACCACCTAGTTCACAAATTTTCTTGTCTCTGCAAAATATGATAAAAGGATAAAGTTGATCAAAATTATTTCAAGAAATGGAATGTAAATTTCAAGATTGTTATACAAGAGAGGATTGGCAAAAACAATGACAGCTCCCCTTCAATTATTATGCCTAGTGGTTTTGATTTTTTACTTCATACTTTTAATAAATAAAGACTACCTTATAGCCAAGAATATGCATATCTCAATGGTTTAGAACTAAAAAATTCTTTATCCCTGCTAAATACATACTCATTGTCACAACTGGGTTAGAAATTTATGAAAAATTCATTATTGCCATTATGATTTGTTATATTTCTGGTGGATTTTTATCAATTTTATGACCACAAACACAAACATAAAGAACAACCAGTGAGCTATAGTAATATAAGCCTCTAATAAGAAGGAAACTACTGGTGTTCTCATTTAGAGGAACAACTAATCAATATGATGAACTACAAAAGGAAGATGTTTTGAATCACAATTCCTGGCTATTATCATACCATTTTTACTGTAGAAGCATGCTTACCTGAACTTTTCTTTATTATTTAAGCAAAAATATGCAAGGACTTCCTCTGAAGGCCAAATGCCTAAATAAAATTGAAAATATTAAACAACAAATAAAAAAATCAATGAAAAAAATTTACTTCAATGCAACAGAATTGTAATAGAATATTTACTAGGACCTCAATAAAGCATCCAATAATGCTTTCAATTCCAACTTAAGTTCAAAACAGCTAAATACTTTGAAACCCCATTAAGTCAGACCTTCAAGGGAGTAAAAAAAATTATCATAGCAAATGTCTGTCTAATCTGAGGTACAGCGATTGACTTAAATTATGTAGGAAAATCCAGAGGAAATTGAAAATCAGTCTGAATTAGCCAATGTCCAATCTGGGGTATGATTCAAACTAGATTAAACTGCACCTTTCAATTTTAAAGCTGGTTTACCTTTCTCAACAAGCCATGGTGTTAAAAAATTAAAATTACTGTGGTGTATTGATTTTAGGGTTTGCAAAGAAAGTAATGACGATTTACATACTCACATATATTTCCTGTATTGTTGAATCCAATTAAAATCTCTGGATCAATTCTGTTGCTTAAAAGTCTGCAAAAGATGAAAGTTCTTTTTTACAACAAGAATCTATTAACTTACACATTCTTCTTTATTATATGATCTGTAGCTCATTGTCATCATCTTGCAAGATGCTTTGACAGAAATAGAAGATATTTGATTACCAAATACCAAATATGCCATAAAGAATGCTGTCTTAGTAGATTAAACTAGCTACCTGGTTATTGCATTAAGGGTGAAACTTCATGATTATCAAGTTCTATGCAATAAAACATACATAGCTCTGTCAATTGAGCATCAGGAACTCTGCAACAGACAAGAATACTTGCTATTTTTGAGCTCAATGTACAGTGTGACTAGTTCTGGGCTTCAATTCTTCCTTTGTTGTGTCACTAATTTACTCAAATCCTGTCTTGCACTTACTAATTATCTTTTTTGGTTTTACTGAGCACTCTTTATCTAAAGTTAACCCATCGTTTCTAATGACTGAACACTACAAGAACAGGCTGAGCACCCCAAGAACAGCTTAAGAATAAGCCATAAAATCCCTCATTAAGCAGCTGAACACCCTTTAAAACATATCAAAATCAACATAAGGTTCAAAAAATAATTTGGTCAATCACTCTGGATTAATTTTGGGGTGGGAAAGTGCCTGAAAAGTCTAATGTTGTTGGTGTTGTTACACCAACTAATGTTTTGCATGCCAAAAGTGTGAATGGGGGGGGGGGTTAATACTGTCAATTTAAACCACAGAATAGGGGGATTCTGTGCTGGAGCAATCTTCATTTTATTGAGTGAGCAATGGATGAGGTTGAAAAAGAGAAACTTTCCATTATCATAAGGGAAATAGCAGAAACAGCATCTGCGTGTCTCATTCTGCTTGCAGAATGATAGTGCAAAGGATTTCAAAACAACAGGAAATTTTTTTGAATGCACAAAGGAAGCGTTAAGGAAGTCCAACTCAAATTTGCTCCACATGTATAAAAGCCCCTTCACACTTTTGGGGTGCTAAACAACAGTTGGTTGTAATAACACCAATAGCACTAGACTTATCAGGCATTTTCCTGCCCCAAATTATTTTTTAAACAATATGTCAATTTAGATATGTTTTAAAGGGTGTTAAGCCGCTTAATGGGGGTTTTATGGCTTGTTCTTAGGGTGTTCTTGGAGTGTTCAGCCTGATCTTGAATGTTCAGTTTTTTAGAAACGACAAAATTTAATCCTGGTTTGATTAGGTAGCACTGGGTATAATTTGTATTTGTTTAGTAATTGTTACTTACTAGCAATCAAAGGGTAGTTTTTAGGACACTGACAAGCTATGTTTACCAAACAGTGTTCTGGTCCTTCCTCTCAATGTGACCACACCTTGTGACTTCTGCATCTGGGATTAAGACCAGTTTACACGATCATATTCAGGTAAAATTTCTGTCACATTTTTTATGTGATCACAGACTGTGGTCGTGTAAATGACTTTAAAAGTTGCTTGAAGTTGCACTTAGCAGGAATTAATCCCTTTTAATTACCTGATCATTTGCCATCACAGATTTTTCATTTGACTAGCGATCAAATGGAAAAGTCTCTGATGCAATTTTTTCATGCTTGTGTTCAAGACGCATGATTTCACTTAACTTAAAAATCAAAGGGTTTCCAAACCTTGGGTTGGAGAAAGTCTCTTGAGTCTAGACCTTCAATTTGGGAGCTTTTGCTTTTTTTGAGCTTCGGACAAATCTGGGTTATTAAAGCTTAAGACCCAAGTTTCGTGTGAATTTCTACGATCACACTAACCTTATACTTGGAGTTTTTAACTTCAGATGTTTTTCGCTTTCCACCTTGTACCAAACACCATGTTCATCTTCCCGCTCTTTTTTATATTGAAAAATGTCAAAGCCTTTAAACCTCCTCACAGAGATGCTGCTTTCTTCTGTATAGTCGTCCTTGTTTTCACTGCGTGTCTTTGACTTGATCAAGTTTTGAGCTAAAAGCTTCCATCTTTTTTTAGCATCAGATTTTCTTACTTTATCAATCTTGCTATTCATTTTCCTAGATTTTCAACAAATCTTTTCACGCACTCCGCAAGCTAGGCCATCTTCGAATGGAGACAGGGAGCAACAACTGAAATTTCGCATGTTGTGTTACTTCACTTTGACCCCCTTTATGAATGGTTGCACACAATCACGACAAAATGTATCTTGCAGTTTTATAAAACATGTAAAACTCTCCTTGTTTCTCTGAGTCAGTAACTTAATTACATAGTTGTTCAGCAGACTCAGGAATAGGGTTTTGATAAAGATTGCCTCTCTAATAAACGCACTCCTATTAATCATAGAGTAAATAGTAGATAGGAATTGGAGAGATAATTACTTATCCGGTGTTAACTCTAAAAACTGCTGGAAATTAAATTCACGATATAAGTTCTAAATCTGAGGAATTTTAGCCTGAAAACTCTTCACTATCTGAATATCTGAATGTATAAATACTAAATAGTTTCACAAAGGTTTAACAAGTAGCACGATGTTAAGGATTTTTAGTGTGACATGCAACTGTTCGAAGACTAAAGAACTGAGAAAAAAAGACAGTGATTTTTTAATGATTGTTGAAAGATATTTAACTATCTTGCAGTATTCCGGAAAATAAATATTTTTTTTTCAATTTGATTTTAGACGAAATTGGTAAAGGAAAAAGACACTTACTAGTACATCTTTGGCCCCTGACATGTACTAGTGAAAGTGGTTCGTTTTCGTACTCAGGTAACTTTCTAGTGCTTGACCATCTTTTACAATCTTTGCAATGTTTCTTAACTTGTAATAGCCTGAATCATTCCTATAAAGAACCGGGGGGCTACTTTCTTGTGGGTGCTCATGGGAACACTCAGGTAACTTTCTAGTGCTTGCCCATCTTTTACAATCTTTGCAATGTAGTTTAGGTTGGGATTTCTAGCTTGTAATAGCCTGAATCTTTCCTATAAAGGAGCAGGGGGCTACTTTCTTGTTGATGCTCATGCGAACACCCCCTTCACCCCAATAGCCTTGATATACCTGTTTGTTCTCATGAAAGCCAGCCTTTAGATGACCATACTAGCGACAAACATACTTCTTGCCTATTAATGCAGTCTTGTTCCAGAGGGCCTGTTCCTATTACCTTAAGCACAAGTATTTGTATTCCAGGACGTACTGAAGTCATAGTAGACGCACAGTTACCAGTCTCAGATAATGAACTGGCTTTTGTAATGGATGAAAGTCAAGGTTTTGCTGTCCCCTCTGCAAACAGTGCCTTTAGTCGACAAGAAACCTCCCTCTAGTGCTTACATTTACCCAGAGTACTGATATTCAGTTGACGATCAGAATCAGAGTTACAAAGAAGTCTTGATCATTCTACGTCTCTCTCTGCTTGGATCCACAAACGTAACACTAGACACAACCAGAAAGCCAATTACTAAAATGTTAGCTCCTTTCGTTACTGTTGTAATTTCGTCTGAGTAATAGTAACATTTTCAAGTCTGTCCAGAGATAAAACGTGAGGAAAAAAGAAATCTTTTAAAAAGTTTCATAAAGTATAAATATTTCTACATTGAAGCCGAATTTACACCATGGCACTAACAATATTTTCGTTATGTATACTATAATTCATCAAGGCTGAATATGATAATTGCAAAAAGTCCTACTCATTGTATTGAAAAATAAATCTAATTAATTTGATGATTACATAATTGATTTAATTGCACTGCCCTGCACATTTAATTAAAAAATTCTAATATTTATAGCTCCAGTTGCTGCGAAAGAACATGGAATTTCCTGGAGATGTGGGTTCTTTCAGAGAAGATGCTCTGTCCGCCACGTCTTGCTTCTTTGCTTCATGTTGACCATTGTCCTCTTTCATCTTTTCTTCTTGAGAATCATCTTCAGAGTCTTTTTCAACAGTAGATTCACGATGATTGTCTTCTTTTTCATCTGTATCTTCGTTGTTATCAAAGAATTCCTTGCCAAAGAACAGTCCTTGTTGCAGATCATCCTGGACATATATTTCTTGTAGATCATCCTCAGCGACCTCACTTATATGGCTCTCATTGTCGAAAGTAACTTCAACGGCTATGTCCAGATCACTGACTGTTTCGTTATCTATTACATTCTCCTCATCTTCACTATCCATTCGACATGCAACGACTATATCTTCTTCTTCATTGTCAGGCCCAACTGTGCTTCTAATCGGGATGTTCTTCTCCTCAGATTCAACAGCCAAAGTACTAGCAGCCTTTGCTGGGGATGCACTAGGCTTTTCAAGACTCATGTGATAAAAAACAGTCGAGTCAACCTCATCTCCCTGTGAATCTGTAATTTCACGTGGCTTGTCTTCTTTAGGACTTTTAATGGAATCGTCAACATGTAAGTCATCAGTTGATGGCGTACTCTGAAAAACATTACTGAAAATTACATCTTTGCCTTTGCTCAACTCCGTTACTTGCGTCGACCCTTTAACCGTGTCGTCAGCATTATCAGAATCTTTAATTTTCTCCTTTCGAGCCCTTTTTTCTGACTTTTTCCTTACGTGTCCCCCTGATGAAACCACTCCACTTGAGGTGATGTAAGTCCGCTCTGCACACCCGAAAACACGCTTCCACTCGTTTTGGGCGTCTTTGTTCAATAGACAGTAGAATACGAAAATGAAAGTTCCTTGGAGTGAATTGAAAATCGTAAAAAGGAGCTGGAAAGTAAATGTTAACTCTCCAAATGCAAAAACTCCCAGTACCCATGTTGTTCCCATTAGGACACTACAGGTTAAGACGATTCGCAATTTTTTTCCTGCAGCCAACTGTTGCTTCGATGATACCTCTGACTTTCTGAAGATTTTTTTGAAACTTAAACACATCACAACGAGGTTGCAAATGATGACAAGTAAGATTGGTGCAAGATACGCAACATAGAACGGCGTGTTTCTAACCATGCATCTGAAAAGAAAAGCAAACCTAACGGTCAAATTTTCATAAGAAGCGTAGTGGCATTCAAAGAACGGGAGCAGACGTTTGCTGAAACTTTCCTGTCATTTTTAGCCTTTAATGGAGAGTTTAATGAACAATAAACTCCTAATTTCATTTTGAAGGTATTTCCTACAGGAAAAATTTATTTGGCTTCTGTTACAAGAACAAAATCAAAGTAAACCCTCTTCTCATTGAAACTGAAAATGAAATAGGAATAAAAAAAGTTTCAACAAAATTTCCTAAAACTATTAATAGAGTCTGCCTTGATTTGATCGACCCAATCTGAAAAGCAGCCATTTCTCGCACCATGTTATTTCTTTTTTCTGACCACTTCAAGCACATTATGACGTAATTTCCAATCCATGTTTTCAATTTGATTTTAGATAATGCTATGTAATTGGTTGCTGGAAATAAAAATTGAAGAGAAAAAAAGCGAAAGAAAGAATTTTCTCTTGTACCCAGGTATCAACCTGACAAAAGTCTCGGTTGATAGCCTGGCTCACTTGAGTCAGATTGCAAGACGGTTGGCAGAAACTGATATCATATACATACGTACATGGACAATCACTGAGTCAATACTTTAATCTTCTATTTGAACAAAATATCTAACTCATGGTTTGAAGCCGGATTCTCAAATATCATTCATAGCTTTGCTCAATGGCAGTACAAATTCTACTTACAATCAACTGGTTTGCGACAGTCGTGTGTTTGCAAAAATATGTTTGCAGGGAGGACATTAACTGTTTCCCATACCAATCAAAGAGAAAAGGAACACATCCAAGCAGATTCAATTAGATACGTCAGGATTTGAAAAGCAAGACATGGAGAAAAATTGAGAACTATACCTTCTACCCTGGGTACCAGACTCACTATATTTTATATATAGTGAGTCTGATACCCAGGGTATATACCTTCCTGACTGTAAGATAAAAATGAGGTATTTGAACAAATACGTACATCCATTCAGATCCATTTTTGAAAGTATAATCTTCTAGTTTGGTAGCACCTGCAGTGATTCCTACCACGACCAATGGAACACCTAAATCATAAAACGAAGCTTTTAGTGCATACAAAGCTCTTCAGCGATGACGTCACAAAAATCTATTTTTAGGTTATTGATTTTAGACCACGTTGCCTGAGAAAATGGCATCAAAGATTACCGTAATGTAAAATAAGTGAATCGTGTTAGAAATTTTCTGGGATATGACTACATAAACAAAACAATGGTTCTTTTCCCAATAACTTATGAATCAAGATAAAAATTTGATTTTTTAAAACAAATTTCAAATCTTTCATTGGTCATGTTATAAATTAGTGGTAAAGCTATTTTGCATCCAGTGAGGTATTTCACTGTGTTCTTTTAAGTTACGTAGTCAAAAGGCAAGCATCCCAACACATATTTTTTTACGAGCTCACTTCTAAGAAAACTTTTTAAAAGAACCGCAATAAATAGCTCCATGTAATAGGAGTAGAGGAAAACAGTTTAAAAAAATCCTAATTAGAAAATACTTTATGGCTTTATGCATTCCATATCACCCATTTGCAGTTCTTTGTTGGAAAAAGTTTTGAAAATCAAAACCTTTCTCGGAAATGGATGGAAAAATTGGTCAAATATCGGCGTTCTTGGGGAAGGTTTGTCACTGTGGCAAACTGTGGTATGAACGTTGTAGCTTCAAGATACAGAGGTAGCTGCCTTTTTGTGTAGGCATTTACAAATAATTTGTATTTTTTTGTAATTGTTGTGTCACATACGCTACAAGCAGATATTTATTTACTGAAACGCTTATTGCTTCAAATGTAATCTTTCATTTGGTCCAGTTAAAGTCAAAGACAGCGAAAGCTAGGCCTAAACACAACAGTGCTTCTCGATCTACTGTTTGATTTCTTTTAGAGCCTAAAACAACCAATCAAATTGTCTAAAACTCACCCCAACTAATCAGGCACATTCTTCTTACCATGTGATGACGATATATATTGAATACTTTAATAAAGTGTTGATAAAGGTTGTACGCTTCAGATGCCATCCATAGAAAGGAGGACAGCACAAAGTAATGAACGAGGACGGCGCTTGCTTGACACTGTTCTTTATTTGAAGCTTGCATTCCCAACAGCAGAAATATCAAAGAGCCAATGATAGAAATTGCGAGACAAAGGTGGATTCGAGCAGGAGAGGTTTTGAGCAATTGTTTCCTAGAAAAACGATAAAGGATGAAGAATAAAAACAAACTATTTTGTTACCTGAAAAAGTCACTGAAATGGAGCAAGAAAAGCTTTATTAAAAGTTTTTAGCGGTATAAAATTTGAAAAGGGATTTGACAAAAGAAATTATTTTACAGAATACTAAAGTTTTTGTCTGACACATTTGAGTATAGAACGTCAAAGTTAGGGTCGAGAAGATCAAGTAAGGAAATATAAACCATTTTCAAAACAGGGCTTAGTACGGATCTTGCCAACATGTTATTGCTTCATCGAGATAGAGCTGTCCGAATGGACCCTGAAATGTGATCAATTTTGAATGACGCCCATGATTTTTTAGACAGAAGGAGTTTGTGTTCATCTTCGACTCCAGTGGTAATTTTTCTATAGGCATGCAGTACTGATTGGATACCGGCCATGTGCTCGCGTTTTTCTGATTGGCCTATTTCGATTTACTGGTGGGTATGAATTTCCTTTCTTGATTTTTTCGACAGACAGTTCTGACGTTCTTTACGATGAAGAGTTTCAGACGAAAAGCTTAAGTATGCTGTAAAATGTTTGCCTCCTTCAAATCCATTTTCAAGGGCTTTGTTACTCAATAGAAATAATGTGGAAGAAAAAAATATCACTTGATCTTACTTGCTGCATGATTAATTGATGTATCTTTTCTTGATTTGTTAAAATTGGCATATTTGTGATCAAATTCGTGCAATTTCAGTGGCTAAAAATTAAACCTTAAGTGGTAGAAGTTTTATATTGGGAAGGGATAATGCTAGTAATATCAGAAATATATTATCGAAAAACCAAGCAAACCTGAACACAAGAAACGTGACCACCATAACGAAGAGCAGAAACAGGGAAATCCCACAGCCAATGTACGTGATATAACTTAGGGCTAGTTTCTCTTGTTCTGTGATTCTCCCACCAACAACGTTCATCAGAATTGCAAAGTTTGTGAGATGGTTACATCGACATCTTCGAAAACCGTCTACCTCCCCGACAAATCTGCATCCATTACTTGCCCATTCTGTAAATGAAGAAATTGTGATTCTAAGAACATATGTTGCGATTCCAAGAATACATGCGGAAGAGAAAGTATTGTATGAACTGCTAAAATTGGCTTAATACAAATAGAATAAGCAATGGCATTCATTTTTGAACAAGATAATTTGGTACAATTGACAGAGTTGAATGTAAATCTAACGAAATCTTCATTAGCCTTTTTTCACCTATATTTTATCTTGTTCGATAATATCGATCTGTTCTTGGTAGAAACATCCATCAAATACGCTACACCATTGAATCTGCAGCATAACACCCCAAGAATACAATTCACCCAACAATAAGACCTATATAATTTAACGGGTACACTGTAAATCATACGATGGCGAATCCAAATACACTTCATCCTATAAATGCACGATAAACAAGTATACGTTCGGCACTGGTAACGCAAAACAACTCTTTGTTTAGACTGAAACGACAGGGTACCTGAGCGTGTAAAATTCCAATAAACACAACTAACAGATCCCGTTAAGCTTTGGTTGAGGGGCTGAAAGTAGCTTTGCACTTCTTCGCTCTCGTTCAGATTTTGCACACTTTTCCCTTTGATTGACGTAGACATCACTTTACTGTCAATCACTTTCGTTGCTGACTGGTTGAGAGATGTAACAAATAGCTTGAAATTGTCGTAGAGAAACGAGGATACTCGAGTTTGGCTGCCACTGTTAGCACGTAGAAGAGAGGCTGGGAGGAAAATGTTAGCGACTGAGTTTGATTGATAGGTTGGCTGCGAAGACTGCCGCAAAGTAACATTGTTGTATCCAGATGTAGATATGTATCCTTGAATTGAAAAGCCATCTGCTAGTGTTGTATCTACAACAACTATGCCGAGTGCAATGTTTTTCTTTGATGCTGTGAACGACTTTGTTTTATTTGCTAGGGGGATCTCGTCAGCAAGTTTCTGAACAGCATTCAGGAGCCTGGTAAAGAAAAGGTGAGATGACGTCATTTCATTTCATCACTTTACACGAATATGTATTTAAATATATAAATGGTATTTTACGTCTATTGCACTAAGTTCAACCGGGCATAGTACCGGATATCAGTTTCTAGTGCACTTATATAGACAGTTACAGAGGCAATGATGTGACTATGACTTTATTCTATAATGAAATTTCATTACTTTACAGCAAGTAAATATTTCATTACAAAAAACTGTTAATTGAATTGATACTGCTTGTTAATAAGTATAAGTACATTTAATAAAAGCAATTTCGTGTAGACTTAAGCGTGAAATCAAGTTTGATATAAAGTGCAGTATGAAATTTACTTTTGCGTTTATACGAAAATTTGACAATATAGCTATGATAATAAAACGTGTTCGCGGGCTTACTGTTCAGAAGTTCCGTGTTTCTGTTGCGAATCAACAATTATGCTTTCTTGTGCATCCATCAGATTATTGGTAACGTTGATCACATCTTCTATAATCTGCGAAATTATTGTAAACATCTTATAAAGAAGACCTAATTATAATCATGATTGTCCTTTCACTTTAAAAGTCGTAGTGAAAATACTAGATACTAGATGCTAACAAGAAGATGCTAGTGGATAAAGACCAGGTAAATAGCAGTCTTAAGACATTTATAGTCATGATTAAAGAAAATAGCATAGTAAGTTAACAAAGGCCATTGTCCATTCAACATTTTCTAGCCCTTTCAACACCCACAATATATAAATAAATACAATTTACAACAATACAATGATCATTGATATTACTCCGTGATCCTATTAAGCGTAAGGTCTACGGTAGAAATTTGTAACCGCATTATACACTAGGCCAAGAAATAGCGAACAGTTTGCAACTGTGTGCACTAACATGTAACAATAGTTGGTGTTATTGAAGAACGAAATGGTATACGTACTTGATCTAAACTTTGTTGTGAATCAACTATTTTGTTGACTGTTTCAACAGAAAATTTGACATCCAAATTGTTGGTAAGAAGCTCAGGACTTTTAGTAAGATTGTTTAACTTTGCTGCAGTTTCCACCACATTTGTAACATTGATGGCACCCTGTGAGAAAATTCGGTAAAAATTGTGCCTAGTTCTAACATGGAAGGTAGTATTGATTGTATATTGTTACTTGGATTATTTATGAACGAAATTGGCAATTTTTTAAATTCGTTTTACACAAATGCATCTAAATCTTTCCAAATTGCTCAAAAATGTGCACATGTCGTTGAAAATTAAAAATTGCCTTTAAATGTCTTGAAAATTTTATTATTTTTTTTTGTAAAATTTTAATGGTATAAATCTATTTAAATTCAATAGATAGAAAACGTTTGTCAATTCAAATTTCTTTTGACCCTAATTTTCTAAATCTTGCAGTGAAAACATCCTCTTTATAAGCTTCATTTCATTTCAATATATAGAATGCGCATAAATCTATTGTTATTTCTGTCTCACGCAAAAATGTAAGATATTTGCAGAGTCATTTATGACAAATCAGTCTTTAATCAGAAAAGTGTGATGACATGCAAAGCTAGAAAAATTGCAGCGTTTTCAGTTCATAGTTTGCATATAAAAATCCTATGGTGTAACAGATTGCATAAACAAATGTTTACATTCTTCAGTTTGTTTACAAAAAAACTTTTATTTTAAAGTTTCGTAGGCAACAATATCTCAAGCTATGGTGATTTTTACCTGGGCCAGTTCAGATAACTGTTGAGTGGTTTTCGTTTTATACGGGCACTGATCATTGTTTGGTGTTTGCCATTGAGGAGGCTTAGAAAGTCCAAACCCCTTGCAGATTCGAGTCGCCGTATAGAGAATGTTTCTGTTATAAGGACAGGTTAAATTAGCAGTGTGTCCATAAGCAGTGTCAGGCCAGCTAATGACACCTTTGATTTCAGCATCACCCGTAGATTCCGCAAAACAGCAATCTACAATTTCAAATATGTTCGTTGAATGGATGCACGTATGATATAAAACCAAATACCCAAACTGCGATAAATTCTAAATGAAAAAATTACACACCAGGGCCGTAGCGGCTTTAGGGTGTGTGAGTGCCGAAACACTCTATCGATCTACATCTATAAAACATAATTTATATTTTGAATTATAAATTTTGTGACAAAATTCAGGATAGCATAGCGATATCAATGTAAAAAAAGCACTATAAGTGCATTCAAAGGTGATGGTCTGCCGTTTGTTTGGAGAATTCGCCCCTATTCCCCCATTCCCAACCCCCCTCACTCCCGATAACTTTCCTCCCACCATGGTTTTGCCTATGTAGGTTGTCCTATAAATTCTGTTTCTCATAAGATTTAAACCCCCGAAAGTTCGTTTGAACTGTGAGATATGAAGTTTGCGTTTCACACAGGGTAGAGTTTATTATTTTTCTGATCCCAAATAAACCAAATTAAAAGCTTTCTTAAAAGCCACCGCCAAATATTAATACACTGAATTGCGGCTAGACAATGAACAGCTTACACCTCCCTCTGTTATAATCACGAAGCTAGGGTAATCAAAAGATGTAGATTTAAAATTCTTGAATTGAAATGCCATCCGTTAGCGTTGCATCTACAACAGCTATGCCAAACGCAAAGTTTTCCTTGACGCTGTAAATAATTTTGTCTTATTTGCTAGAGAGAGTGGTAAAAAGAAAAGGTCTTAATATATCTTATACGACAAAGAATCGCAGGAAAATCTTACTTTATGATATTTTATGAAAGCTTTAAATTAAACAAATATTCTATAGACTATTATAAATTTGTATGAATGTCTTACCATAGCTAGTGACAGAGGAAGTTGAAACAACAAAGGTTGACGTCGAAAAATCAGCTGGAACCAATTGAATTGATTTGCCACAAACATTTGTCCTTTTTACTGTGTCGATGTTAGAGTAATAGACGAATACATCTACCAAAACACTGCCTTGTCTAAAAGCAACCAGCATTTTGTGAATAATGTACAAAAGTGAGGTAAACATGATAGCACAGCAAAAGTGAACGATTAAAGGAAGGCCTAGCTTTTCTCAAAATCCTAATCGATTGTGCGGTACGCCCAGTATGAGCAATAATGTTCATATATTGTAATGGTTCCACATTCCTATAACAACATCTCTTGCCCCCTTACGTATATCAGCTACACTGCCGCAATGAATAGATATAACGAGAAAGAACAGAAAGTAAGTGCAAAGATTATGCTAGAGATGTAATTGCCTTTCCAACGTGTTATTTTATTGCTAACACAGATGAACACAGTTTTTTGGATGGGATTACACATGTAATGATAGCTACCCCTAGTGTTATAAATGCAAAAATCTTCTGATAGCACAAAACAATGTAGAAAAAGATCCATATATTACCTTATGTTTTGAAGCACAATTTTGCTCTGATCCGTAAGGCCTTTTTTAGAGAAAGCAGTTTTTACCTACAGCAAAATAAAAAACTTGGCATCAATTGGGCATTATTCTTCACTGACGAATACTTTAGACCAGATAAGCTTGGTTTAAAATGTTATACATCATCACCGATACGGAAAGGATAAAACAAATGATATCAGTAAAAATTTAAAGAAGAGAGCAAGTTTTCAATCCTTTATTGGCACGCATCAACATCAGCAATGTTACTATAACAGCAGCGAAGCACAGCTGACAAATTCAACAAAGCTAAAATGAGGTACAAAACAACAAAGTAAAAGGATAATCTTCTTTTCCTAAATTAAAAATGTGCCATTCTCTGGAAGGTTGATACTCAATTGTGCCGGATACCAGAGCTTGTATCCTATTCATCCATCACGAATCTCGCCATACCTCTCTGCTTTCTTCTCCAAAAGTGCCTGTGCAAGGTAGGGACAAAGGAGCGCAAAATCTACTTCTCAAAGCATTTTCGCCTAACAAATATCCATTCTCCGACATCAACAAATGTTTAAAGTTGCAATTTTAAATATTGCATTTCACATTCAGAACAGACAAGCAATGATGTAACGAAATCAAAAGAAAATTTGTATTTTCTTTACACGCTTTACTGAATCCACTAACAATATGGATCAAAGTGGACACTTACAAACGAAAATAAGGTACTTGAGTTAAATTTCAAAAAACACAATTAATTGTTATCATAAGATGCCAACGTTCTGAAGAAATCTAGGTAAGTCACAGAGCCCTTAAGGGTGGAAATTCCAGCAAAGAAAATTGATAAAGACGTACTGCAGTGGTAACATTTCCTTCAAACCAAACATATTCGTCAGTTGTGCGATCAAGTAACAAAGATGAGAATGGCTGCTCAACTTTCAAGGAAAGCATTGTTGAAGAAACATCTGCAATGATAGAAGATTTAGAGACATGTCAAGACAGTCTTGGATGTTCATAGTCGATGTCCCACTCATTATGCGAGGCCTTACCTTACAAGACTTCAATTGAATGATTTCAGTCAGGATCTAAATTGCCTAAAATCACTCCTGTCAAAAAGTCAAAGTGTGTCGTACATATCAACACATTAATTTAATAAACAGATATCAGACCTCACTCTAAAATTTCTCAATTTCTTTTTCAAAGATTAAAACGTGAATTTCAAAAAAACAGCCATACGTTTTTGGTTAATACCTCTCTGTTTACATTTGAAGGAGCCTGAAAAGAATTACTGCATAGCACTTGATATGCTTTGGTCTTGTCTCTCGTTATGGAGGACAACGATGGCAACGATATCAACATACTATAGTGTTGCAATACAACTTGAGCTATGAAATCATTGTCAATGTAAACACGCTTTTGATAGTTTTCCTCACATGATCAATATATTAAACTATTGTATTTAATAAGGAGCTTTGCAAGAAACGTCGCTAATATAATACATTTATTTTTTTCTACGTACAATTTTAACTCAAACTGAAAGTTCTAGCTGATATTGTAAGCCACGCAGTTAAGTATGTTCAAAAATAATTTGCAAAGAAAATTTTAGATACCTGTAAGCCTAATATTCGCTTTAATAGAATCCACAATGCGATTAAATGAATCCAAAACACTGCACCAATAAAAACCTTGCTCTTCTGCGCGAAGGATTCGAAAACTAAGTCTGTGTGTCATATTTGTGCTGCCACTGAAGATCCCAGTACCACTGGAGCTCTCTGTTGTAGCCGTACTATTTGTAATTATCGAGATATCAAGAACACTGTCATCTTTCTTCCAATGAAAGCTCACTGCAGTGTAGTTGTTATAAGAGCATGACAAATGCACTTGGGAATAATTTGAAACTTCAGCCGAGATCGGGTGGGTTTCAAAACGTGCTGGGCCTTGAAAAAAGATAGGCTTCGTTAGCAACGACACTTCAAAAGAATTAAGAAGGTTTGAATTTAGCAAACTCAACGCCTATTTTCCATTTTGGGCAACACAGCTAGTAACCACAAGTCTTACTTCGTGGACTTCGTGGACTTTGTGGATATCTCTCTATCTAACTACGTCTAAACGTGTAAATTCCAATCAAAATGCACATATAGAATAACCTACCAATTCTTCTAATTTAGCTAGCTTAAAGATCTGTATAGATAGATTAAACCAATACCGATGCAAAGGCTCCTATGCAAACTAGAAAGTTGGGGAGGGGCAAGGAAAAATTAAGACTGATATCAAAATGTCTAAATATCAAAATGATTCAATCTATCTAAGACCTTCTTGGCGCAGACACGAGAGAGTCTGTTACAATTAAATTTCAGTGCATGTTTCTCCTGCACCTTATTGTCTTGATATGAACGCTTTAAGGAATTCACGTTTGAATAGATTTCTCGATTAAAATTTAAAACAGGCTAATCTGAATGCAGGAGTGCTACCCTAAAAACGTAGGAGGGGGCTATGATGTTAGCAGTGTTTATTATTCACACCCTTGCCCCCATCCGAAACCGCTCTCATTTTCAACAAGAGGGCTGAGTCCACCATACCACGACACCGCCCTCTGAATGACGATTGATTGCCTTTCACTACTGCACCAGCTTTATTTGGCATAAGAGTATGCTATTTAATGTATATAACGAATATGACAAATGAATATATACATACTTGAGCATACAACGCCATTGCCATTAAAGCCAGGATTACAAGTACATGTATAGGCCCCAATATTGTTGCTGCATGCTGCATTTTGATCACATTGATGTGTACCCAGCGTGCATTCGTCGATGTCTGAAAGATGTATCCAATTTTAGTCCTTCCAAGCGGCATGGGTACTTCACTACGAGACTGTTTACAACAAAACAAAATATGAAAAAAACTCATATAATCATATAATCATATAATAATAAAGGCAAGGTTTCCAGACTCTTGCTTTTTGAAAATTGATACAAAATGGTCTTGCTCTTAGAATGTGCTTTTTAAAAACATGTTTGATTTGATTTTTTGAAACCTCCCATCCCACCAGGTATGTCCGGAAACTTTACCAGATACACGATTGATGATACCTTCGATTACACGTAGACCTACCACAAACTCTTACATTCTACACACTATACTTACCTGGCATGGATTCACACCTTTCAACAGCTCTTATTCTTCTTTAGAATTTCTTATTTCCCTGTGTTCCTACCTATCTTCAGAGGGTATATTTCCGACATCCATCGAGCAACGCCCTCTTGTTGCGACCATAGCTCGTGATTCCTAAACCTGGAAATAAGGAGATCTGGCCACTTCTCTCACTCTAAGTGAATGTTTGGTCATATCAGCGACTCGAACCATAGACACTTGGATGTGTAGTCTGCGACCCTAATAACGTAGCCATATTCGCCACCTATCGTCCTACTTTTAACAAATACTCACCCTAATCTCTTAGTCACCTCTGACAAAAAACTGAAAGGCAATGATGTTAAGCTATGAAGCTAAATGTGTTTACTTACCTTTCCGTATAACGAGAAAACGAAGTCTACTCTGGCCTACAATATTGCAAGAGTGTTAATGGCATTAAAAGGAATTCAAGTAACTCATAAATTTGTACCATAGTCTCACTCTAATCGGAAGTTTGGTCATGTCAGCGACTCGAACCATAGACACTTGGATGTGTAGTCTGTGACCTTAACAACGTAGCCATATTCGCCACCTAGCGTCCTACTTTTAACAAATACTCACCCTAATCTCTCAGTCACCTCTGACAAAAAACTGAAAGGCAATGATGTTAAGCTATGAAGCTAAATGTGTTACCCATCTGTTTACTTACCTTTCCGTATAACGAGAAAACGAAGTCTACTCTGGCCTACAATATTGCAAGAGTGTTAATGGCATGAAAAGGACTTCAAGTAACTCATAAATTTGTACCATAGTCTCACTCTAATCGGAAGTTTGGTCATGTCAGCGACTCGAACCATAGAGACTTGGATGTGTAGTCTACGACCCTAATAACGTAGCCATATTCGCCACCTATCGTCCTACTTTTAACAAATACTCACCCTAATCTCTTAGTCACCTCTGACAAAAAACTGAAAGGCAATGATGTTAAGCTATGAAGCTAAATGTGTTACCCATTTGTTTACTTACCTTTCCGTATAACGAGAAAACGAAGTCTACTCTGCCCTACAATATTGCAAGAGTGTTAATGGCATGAAAAGGAATTCAAGTAACTCATAAATTTGTACCATAGTCTCACTCTAATCGGAAGTTTGGTCATGTCAGCGACTCGAACCATAGACACTTGGATGTGTAGTCTGCGACCCTAATAACGTAGCCATATTCGCCACCTATCGTCCTACTTTTAACAAATACTCACCCTAATCTCTTAGTCACCTCTGACAAAAAACTGAAAGGCAATGATGTTAAGCTATGAAGCTAAATGTGTTACCCATTTGTTTACTTACCTTTCCGTATAACGAGAAAACGAAGTCTACTCTGCCCTACAATATTGCAAGAGTGTTAATGGCATGAAAAGGAATTCAAGTAACTCATAAATTTGTACCATAGTCTCACTCTAATCGGAAGTTTGGTCATGTCAGCGACTCGAACCATAGACACTTGGATGTGTAGTCTGCGACCCTAATAACGTAGCCATATTCGCCACCTATCGTCCTACTTTTAACAAATACTCACCCTAATCTCTTAATCACCTCTGACAAAAAACCGAAAGGCAATGATGTTAAGCTATGAAGCTAAATGTGTTACCCATCTGTTTACTTACCTTTCCGTATAACGAGAAAACGAAGTCTACTCTGCCCTACAATATTGCAAGAGTGTTAATGGCATGAAAAGGAATTCAAGTAACTCATAAATTTGTACCATAGTCTCACTCTAATCGGAAGTTTGGTCATGTCAGCGACTCGAACCATAGACACTTGGATGTGTAGTCTGCGACCCTAATAACGTAGCCATATTCGCCACCTATCGTCCTATTTTTAACAAATACTCACCCTAATCTCTTAGTCACCTCTGACAAAAAACTGAAAGGCAACGATGTTACGCTATGAAGCCAGTCACCTCCGACAAAAGACCGAAATACTTGCCAAACTGAAATACTTATATAAGTAACTCACCAGCTAGACCATGGTCGGACTCTTAACCTTCTGACGTCATCATGTCTGTAATAGGCATAATGATAAGATGCAAACAGAAATGATTGTTCTACCCACCTCATAACACACGTTGGGCTTTTGAGGAACAGCTTACCTAATTTGTTGGCATTAACCGCGAGCTATTTTGATCTGCGAAAATTAAAATCAACTATTTCGGGGAAATATCATTTTGTATCAGTTTGCAAAAATATTAAATGGAATAAAATTATTAAATACATAATAGTAAGTATTTTGTATTTTGGTTAGATTTTCAGAAGCCGAATTCAAACAAGGAAAGCTAATTTTGCAACAGCACTCCTTGTTCTGATTTAAAGGCTCTTGCGCAACCGGCATGCTTAGCGGCAGTTGTCTTGAGAAATTGACTGTGTTTTGTATTTTCATGCAGTACGATATCAAGCCGGTTTTCTGAATTTCAGTCGCAAAGCGTGCCGGTATTGCGCAAGAGCCTACGTACAACAAAATACTTACCTTGATCTCTAATTCACACCTAAGAGAGAAGATACTGATTTTATGAAGCCAAGTGTGTAATCTGTTTGTGTACTTACCTTTCAGTTTAACGAGCACATGAATCCTAATTGATCTACAAAATAACAAGAACGAAAAGGGCACGAAAAGAAATAATAAATAGCACACCCATTAATTAGCACCACTGTCCGGGTTTTGACCTTCTGACGTCATCTAGCACCATAGCTAATTATAACCGGTAATTTAATTGAAAGCGAAAATTTTTTACATACCTTGAAATTAACCTAAGGATCTCGTGCAACAACTTACCTAGTCCATTCTTTCAAGTATAATCTTTCCTTCCACCACTGCGAGTTATAATATCCTGAAAAAACAAACTGTTTAACTATAACTATTTTACAAAATTATTAAGTGAAAATATTTGAAGAAAATTTCGTAAAAATATTTGTCCGAAATTTTGTCTCGACGCAATTTTTGTGGTTAAGGCTCTTTGAATGTTAAGTATGGATTCGCCTGTGCAAAGGAAATCTATTCCCCGTCTTGCTAGACGGCGTGCAGACGCTGTTGACCAAATGAAAAGAGGAGAAAAACTCCCCCCCCCCCTTTCAATTTCAGAGTCTGCATGCAGGCTAAGCTTTGCCCGAAAGATCTTTTCATATGTGAAAATATTTAATCGTCTTTTCAGGCGTTCGGTAGTGCTCAGGCGAGAACTCAACGCGAAATTGATATATAATTTTTATGATATAATTTCATATTATGATATGTTATAATGCAATCTAAAATGATAAACAACAATAAAATAAAAATTTTGAAGTATGAAGCAATACAACATAAAATAGCACAATACAATCATAATTATCAGAAAATTACTGATATTTTATTACTTTGAAGAAATCTTATGGGGTGTCATCGAGAACTTTTGGGGGCAGCTGCCCTTCCCCATGACACCCCATAGCACCATCCCTGCTTTTTATGGTATTCATGAAAAAGCTTTTTAAAAAATGGGTTATTGCCGATGGTCAACTACGTAGTTATTTACGGTTATTTAATTCATATGAAATGTTTTAGTTACCACATCATAAGCTCAAATATGAAAAAAATTGTTGAATACCGCATTCGAAATTGCTTTAATTGCTCCATGCATGGACTTTCTCTGTACACTTTACCTGTAATGTTTTCATGTTGCGTGAGCCAAGATCCACTTTTATTCCTTCACAGTTCATTTCGGAAAATAATGTCGCCTTGTGCAGTGCTTTTCAGTTCTTCCCTAACACGAAATAAACTTAATTGAACTTCGTAAGCCTTCGTTTAGTTGCTCTCGTTGGCTGTGCTGTACGACACCAACTAGTTTTACTTCTTCGCAATCTGTCGATATTTTTGCATCAATGATTTTCATTGTGTCTAGAAAGAATGTAATCTTGTTGTGTTTCTCGCTTTATACCTATACAAACCATAAAAAAGCACTTGTTGTGAATATGAGTAATTGAATGGGCCTTTGTTTTGCATCCTTTTGGGAAAGTGGTCAGAGCATAGAGTCAGAGATGTAAACACAACGGAGTTATCATGAGCTGCTTTACTTTGAATGATTTCAAAATATTGTAGGAATGGATTGTTACCCTGGGGAATTGGCACTTACATCCTTGTGGAATGGATCTGGAAGTTGTCTCCATTTTCACCGAGATCAAAGACCCGTGAGGGTGATTTAAGGGGGGTGATTACGACTCTCTCTTAAATCTCATGCGTGCAGATGCAAATCAGGGCTAGGCCAAAAATTTGCTGTCACGCACATTTTTTCCATTCTTTTGATAAGTAGCTTGACAAGGTTAACCGCTAAACAAATTGAAAAGTAAATACAGTAGAATCCCATTTTAACATACTCGGTAATTATGTACTTTCTGATATTACGTACTGGTGTGCGTGGTCCCGGCAAAGGTGTGCTTGGTTTTAATCAATTTTTACTTACCCTGGTTACAACGTACTTCGGATATAACGTATTTAATACGCTGGTCTCTTAAAGTACGTTATAACCGGATTATACTTTAAATTTAAGTCAAGAAAAGCACTAAAGGTTGTTGTATTGAGACCTCAAGCTGTTCAATTTTTCACAAAAATCCAGTACACGCACACCTGATCACAGATAAAAGAAGTGAGAAAAATGAGGAGACATCCGCTCCAATTCAGCTACAACGCACAGTTTCACCTTTGCTGTCTTGTCATATTAAACTGAGAAATACACTTTACAGATGAGTGAATCAGCTTTCTGTACGATCTCAGTAAAAAAAATATTTTTGTCACGTTTAGATTAATGATTGGAACAAAATTTTCTTTTGTAAACTAGACTTTCATAAGTTACTAAAATTAAATAAAACAAAAATACGTCAAGCCTCTACCTGGCACCAGAGGTGGCTCCAGCCTGGGGCAAATGGAGGGACAAAAGGTGTGTCAGGGACCACGCCCTTTTGGACCAAGCCCTTTCCCTTGATTGAAACATTTTCTACCGGAGGTTACAACTCTTACTACCGGAGGTCTCCCAAGAAATGTCATTTAAATGTGACGGTCTAGATAACGTACATACCCCCCCTGAAGTTTTCTCGTCAGGTTTGCAAGAATCTCAAGGACCGAAAAAGTGGGGGGGAACTAGTCCCACCCATCCCCCCCCCCGTGGCTCCGCCATTACCTGGCACCCAGAAAATTACCTTTTCCAAAGCCAGGTGCACACTAAAGCATGTCAATAATGCTCCAACTAGCGCTAAGTTTTTGGGGGAGGGGCTTATTTCAGGTTGTTTCTGCTCAGAGAGGAGGCGCTCATTGATGGAATATGAGTCATGGTACGGAAGGAGGGACATCTGAAGGTACTACAAATGTGGAAATGTTTTCTCGGTCACTAATCACCAATCAAATGATGAAATGATGTTGGTTGATTCACCACACTTGATGCCAGCCAGTTATTACCATTGTTCCTGTGTACCTTCTGGGGAAAATGAATTGCCCAACAATGCTATATGCTTCAACTTACAATAACCTCAGCATCAGATCCTTTCACTATTTTCAGTAACAAGGAAAAATAGAAACCTAATCCCATTTCCTGCTCACTATAAAACTAAAATTGGTTGAATTTTTTCGGTTGATATACTGACTCTAGCAAACTTGTGACATTCCCTGTTGTTGTTAAACCCTGATTCCAAATTGTTCTGAAAGGCAAGCCCAGTGTCCACCAATAAATCAAAACAATTATAAAAAGTTTTAATCAACTGATTTTCCGTATACAAAGTATATTTACAATATACTGCGGGCCAACCATTTGCCACTGCTTGTCATAGATTTTTAAAAGAGACCAACCACAAAGGCGAAAAAAAACATGATTATTGTTATGCTTTCACAAATTAGCATGCATGCTTTAGTTTTTGTGATTTACGCTGCTTTTTCTTTACAGTCACCCTTTAACCTGCTAAAAATTTCAGACAAGAAACGTTGTGATCTTGACTTTTAACTTTCGACTCATGTTCTTTGTTGACCACAGAGATTCTTCTTCAAGACAAGTATCGATTCGAAGAGACAATTGCTAAAACACCTACAGACCCATCAGTGTTTTTGCTTCTTCACTTTGCGACATTAAAATATTACTCGCATAGCGTTCCAGTAACTCGCGCTTTTTCCTTCGAACAAGCATGTCTTCGACATCCTGTTGTGATGGAACGGGAACGTGGGCTACGAATGATTCAGGAGCTTCACCTACGTTTTCCATTGTGACGTCATCGCTTTCTTCAGTCTCTTGTACTGCGTATATATCAGTTTCGTCAGTTTCGCTACTTTCAACTTCCCCGAGGTCCTTCTTTTGCTGCCACTCAGCTACAGCCTCGGCAATAGCCCGTTTTTCAATCTCCGCTTCCAATGTTAAGAGCACGCCGTCGTCTTCATCGCGATAACCATAATAATCAGCATCGATAGCTTTATACAACTCAGCTCTCGTCTTTCGCACTGGTTTAGGCGGCTCTTGTTCAAAAAGCTCACGTACACCAGGAAGCTCCTTCGCAGCACCAAAGTACTTATAACCTCTGTTGCCTGGAAGTTCTTTCCCTTCATTGTCAAGCATCTTTGGTCCCACTTTTGCATAATCAGGTCCTCCAAGCTCCAATACGCGATCCTCCCAATGTCGCTTTTCTCGAATCAATTTATTAATTTCATCGTTGAGATCCCTTATTCGAAATTCTCCAAGACCTGCATTCTGTACTTGAGCAACCCGCTTTGAAATATCCCGAATGACTTGTCGTCGCCATTTTTCAGCCTCTGGTAAGTTATCGCATTCAGTAGCTAGGTACGGCCTCTTGGTTGCCTTTTCTTCCTTCCCTTCGTTGGCCATCATTGTTGTCCATCTGGACAGGATGGCCATGGCCTTCTCAGCACTTCTTGCCATTTTTCAAGATTATGATCTAGAAAATATAGAACATAAATTAATATGCAATGCTCAATCACCCTTGCACTCTTTTTTCCTGAGAAAATTTTTAGAATCATCTACAATTCTGAGTGGCTCAGTAACACTTTTTAGTTTGAACAAACCTCTTGAAATAGAATAATGGTGAAAAAGTCACTTTCATAAAAATATTGCTCTAAACCTTATTGCAAAACTGGAAAATATCACTTGAGAATGTGAATAATAATTTCAGTTGCGACAAAATGGTTCTTTTTGACTAGGGAAGACCTACCAAGTCACGCGCATTTGCGTGAGACACGCGCATTTCGGTCCTTTCTCACGCTCACATGTATCAAAGCGGAATTCTCACGCATTCTGCAAAAAACTTCTTGGTTTGTTTAAATTTTTCAATTTTATTCCAAATCTTAGCAAAATCGACCTTTCCTAACAAGGAATGCTAGCACGATAACAGCGATAAGATAATTAGATGTCTAGATAACAGCGAATCCGCACAGGTTAAGTGATTTTACATTTAATAGCAAGCCTACACATCATTTCATTTCATTTTAAAATCTTTATACACGAATTCCCTATCAGCTATAATACAAATAAAATAAACTACTTCTATTACAATTACTTCTTTAATGTATATAAAATAAAGATGTTGCTGTTCTACCTAGGGATCGTGTTTTGTTTTGGGAATTTATTAGCTTTGTAGGAATCCCTTCAAGTTTCTTTTGAACATGGAAATTGTGGGGCTCATTCTGATGTTTCTTGGAATCTCGTTCCATGTTTTGGCCCCAGAGTGAAAGAAACTTCCCTTTGAGAATTCCAAATTTTGCCTTGGGATGTCAATATCAAGCTGATTCCTTGTCAAATACCTGGATATCTCTGATCTAGTGATAAATTTACCTTTAAGGCTGTCAGGGCAAAGGCCATTCATCATTTTGTACGTCATTATGGCCCTGTCATATTTAATTAGATTCGAAACTGAAAGCCATTTACAAATCCACCCGTCCTCAAATTTAGCACTTTCAATTAATGTTTGGGCCCTGTCTTGAAGACGCTGAAGATGTTCAAGCTTTGAAGCGGACAGACTCCCTCATAATTCATCACCGCATCTTAGATGGCTCACGAAAAGTGCCCTGTAAACCTGGTCCAATTTCGACTGTGGGAGTATGTTTTTAAGTTTCCTCAACGAAGAAAGACCACTTTTGTACTGGTTGTTCCAAGATAGGTTTTCATCGATAGTGACTCCGAGATATTTTACTTCATGGATTTTTTCTCCACGTTTATCTCCCCCTGGATATGGTTAATTCGTCTTTTATGACCAATGACCATATATTCAGTTTTATTGGTGTTCAGACTAAGCTTATTTTGCCGCATCCACTCTGCAATTATCCTACCCTCAGTGATTAAGTCATTGCACAGTTCTTCAATGTTTTTTTACAGAGCATGTTATGCTAGTGTCGTCTGCATACATATTTGTTGAGCTTTTCTCTAAACATCGCTCAAAATCATTTACGTATAGGATGAAAAGGCACGAACCCTGGGGAATACCGCACTGAACCTTCTTTTGTTGTGAACTGGAACCATTGATTTGGCAGTATTGTATCCTATCAGTTAGGTATGATGTAAACCCCTGATGATGGGTTCCTCCTAACCCATACTTTGATAACTTAGAGAGCAGAATTTTGTGATCCACAGTGTCAAATGCCTTCTTTAGATCAAGGAAGATGCTAATATTTATTTTTCGTTTATCGGCATGTGAGAACCACGAGTCAGTAAAATTGAGTAATGAGGTCAACGTGTTGTGCAGCTTCAATCCCCTACCTGCTTCCCTGCTCAAAAAGGCATTTCCAAAGAACAAAAGGGCATGGCAAAACAAAAGTTTCTAGGCCTACGCCACTGGACCCTACTTTTGGTTGTATGGCAGTCAGGATTCATTCTGGGTTGGTTAAGGTCCGCTTATGATGACCAAACATTTTCCCTTTCTTTTAAAAAACTCACTCATTTTCAAAATGGACGAAAATTATCTTCCTTGAGAAAGGTCAGACTGGCAAATCCCCCAAAGTGCTACAAAATGGCACTTTGCTGCTGTCAAATTAATCTTCACATACATTTATTTCTTGTATTCAGGGCTGTCAAGTGAGGCATTCTAAAATTCTAAAATCACAAACTTTGTAACAATTCACAATATTCAAAGAAGTCTCTGTTCTTCAAGATTTATTCAACACCATTAAAATTGTACTGGCTGATTAAATGATTGAGTGGGGTTTTAAAAAGGCTTCAAACAAATTGAGAAAAACAGGAGCAATATGAAGGATAACAACCACAAAAACGGACACTTTTCAATCTGTTTCTGTGAGCAGTGCAAACGCACATGTTTTAAATCTAATAGTTTAAATCATCTGAACAGTTGTCAAAAAACAAAATTAACCAGTTGTTATTTACTGCATAGATATCACTGAAAAATAATTACCCTTGAGATCTAGTTTACATCTGCTGAAATTGTTGAGATAGGGACTGCATGTTTAACCTAGATATCAAAATTTGTAGCCCAGTCTATTCCGCTTCCATGTCACTGCTGTCAATATGTAGCCCAATATTATCCTTTGGTAAATATGTTGATGTGCTGGTGTAATTTCTGTACCTTTAAGTCCTTGGTACTGCAAAATTTAGTAATAGCACAGAAAAGCAGAAATACTGAAGTACATTTCATTTTACACTTGTCAGAGGTTAAACTTTGGAGTCCTTTGTGAAAAGACGACCTTGCTTTCTGTAACTTTCCTATACAAATAAGACCATATTTACATTATATTGTTTGATATCATACTATACAAGTACTATTGAACAGAAACTGTCTATTAGTAATCGTGCACTATGATGCTAGAAAAATTAAGAAATAATGGTACCGATCACTGTCAACTTTAAGAAACTGCTTGAAAACCAATCTTTGGAAGATGGAGTGGAAGTGATTCTTTTCAAGGGTTGGACACCTGTGACATAGCTTTCTTGTGTGTTTAACCCATTCCTCACAAAGAGCTGTTTTAGCGGCCTGACCTTTTCTCCCTATGAACATGAAGGGCCCTTGTAGCAGCTTTGGCATCAAATTCAAATGACCTAATTTGAAACGTTTATTTTTATCTAACTGATTGCCTAGGCTACTTTTGTTTTATATTGCCAGGTAGATGAAGGCATGAACAAATAGCAGTTGAGTATTTTGTCAGGTTTTTCTATATGACATACCATGGCAGCCTAGGAATTTCATGAGTCCCTGACAAATTCAAGCAAATCTTTTGAAAACAATTTGAACATATCAGCATATGGTATCTCCAGGATTTATTAAATGCTTAACAGCAATTCAGATTTAAAAGATGAAAAATTTGAAGGATTGCATTTCAAAATGCCAACTGAAAATATGTATAAAATGGGTCCTTATCCTATGAGCATTCTTTTTCTACATACATGCCAATGCATTTATTGACTTGCTAAAACTGGGAGAACAATCATATTGAAGCAAATGGTCATTAATCAAGATATTCTGATAAAAAGAGCCAGGTGGACAGAGGAAATTGCTACAAAAAACTAGATTCTGTCAGAGGTGAAGGACAGGTTACACACGAAGAGGTGTAGGCCTACCAGTTCTTCTTCTTTTTGGCATTCACAATTGATTATTTTAACTGTCTTCATATTTGGTTCATTTAAAACAGCTAGTTGCCTATTGTAAATAATTTTAGTCGTCAGAGAGAACGCAATAATTGTTGTCCTTTATTCTGCCCACACACTATTAAGAATCTGTTATGGATTCTGCACATAATATTTGTTCAACTTGATCATGTTCCTTAGCAATTTTCCACCTTCTTAACTTCTAACTTCAGATTGCAAAAGAACAAAGAATACAATATCTCTTTGAAAGCCTTTGCTTCTTTGACGCATAATTTCTTGCAAAACATATCTTTCTGGGGCATGCATGCATTTGCCCATGCAAAAAATACTTCAAAGTTGGGCTGTTTATTTTTTTTTAAAAAAAAAATAATAGGGCTTTGTGTTCTCTTATGAATCTTCTATGATTGTGAAACACAGCCAGAAAATAATACTTTTCGCTTTGATAGAGTCTTTGTGAGATTTTCCAGTTGATCCGAGGGAGGCATTAGATTTGTGTTAATGTAAGGCCAGTGTTGTATGATAAGGTGCCGTGTACATTTACAAATTTCAACTTTCATTACATAAAGGTAATTAGTTGCATCCTACAACCTTTTTGCTTTGCTTCTCTCAGTGTCCTAGGCAACTCACTACAAATTTGATTGAAACAGCATCTTATTTTTATCAATCGATAACTTTGTAACTTTTTATCAACAGTGTATTTTTGTATCTCTAGTTAAAATGTATTCGATTCATTGTAAATATATATTGCTGAATTACATGAATTTGAAATTGACAATCTTTTGCATGCTATGTTAACATGTATGTGTAAACAGCACCAGGTTATAATTTACACGGCTATTTAACCTGAAGTATGAAAAAACAGTGCTCACTTTTAAAAATCCAAGGTTTAGTTGGTTCAATTATTCTGAAAACTTACCGAGAAAAAGATTATGTGAGATGTTCCCGCTTCTCTGTGGATTTAGGCCTGAACGTTCCGAGATGATGAGAAGACAAGCCTCGTATTGGATTAACAGCCAACCTCATGTTCCCCTTGATACAATATCTTCAAAATTTCTTTACAATCATAACACATTTTCTAGATGAATTTTAATAAATTTCCATCATTACTACAGGTAATGATGGAAATTCCATCATTAGGTACTCCTCTTTGCACAGGATAACTTCGGGTAGAGGTGTGGGGTGTGAAATCCACCGTTAATCTTTCTAAGCCAAACAATATTATGTTGGGCAAAATGGCAAACTGGTCCAGTAGATCTTCGGATAAGATAGAACGTTGAAAATTTTTAACGAGCGATGGTGTTGTTTCGATAGTTGTGAAACACAGCAACACGAGCAGCAGTAGCGTAGTGAGCGGGGAGGGGAGTCTAGTTAAAGTGGGGATTTCCGAAGACAATGTGCTTTTAGGTGACCTAAAGGTGGTAGTCAAGCAAACTTCTCCTTCTTATCCACGTTATATTTCTCAACCTTGCTTTAATCAATTCCAGTAAGTCAAACGGATTCATAGTAGGTCTACCGTAGCATCATCTGCCTACCAATGTTTTACATCAAATTTAATGCAAGTTATCTTTTGTACTCCTTCCCAATTCTTTTTTGCAAGCTTTATTACACTCATTGGGATACTCGAGTTTATTCTTGACTTTGGTCCTCTTTTCAGGACACTTCTTCGTGCCAGAAGTATATAATTAACTGCAAATTTCAAGCCAAAAAAAACTTGCTTGAAATCTTAGACCCCAAAAATAGCATAGTACAGGATTTCAAAACCCACAAATGAGGTAGACCTCTCTGTCTTAAATAACCCGGGTACCCCCTGGACTATTAATTTCATGTCTTTATCTATAGATGTTCCTCGGGTATAAAAATTGAACACCCTATCCCCTAATAACAGTGGCAAAAGAGTTCTCAAGAGCGACCTCGCAACAAAAGCTATTTTTAGAATTCGCTTCCAGATGAAGTCAAAACAGCTCAAAATTCAAAAGATTTCACAAATCTAATTAACCAAAATAAAAAAGGATGTAATTCTCGCTTTGTCCATGGTTTATTTTTGCAACAAAATTTGTAGTATGTAGTTGGAATGGCAATGTTGGAAAGCTTAGAGGTGAGATGCCATTTTTGTTGTTGATCGATAGAGGGAGAGTCACATTTTGATGAATGTGTTGCAGGAATAACCGAAGAAGCCAAGAGGGCTAATATAAATACACATTTCAAACTTTCAGGGGCCTTCAGGTGGAACATACCTCAGCCATCGTTAATCAGCAATCTTCCATGACAACAAAATATGAAACGCTTTGTTTTCGGCTCCTCTGATCAGTGGGCGGCTTACAAAGCTTGGTATATCGTAAATAACTCAATGCTTTGTGATGTAGGCTGGCGAAACATTGCAACAGGATCTGTTCCTGTTCTACACAGTTCTATTTCAAAACAGTTTAGCAGTTATTCTACGGAACATCTAAAAATCAACGAGACGAAGTCAAGGACAAAAATAATAATCCAGGTAAAAAACAAACAGCTTAACTTCTGCATGGCTCTAACACAGCTATGTCAGCTATTGCTTAAATTTCAGAGAAATTTAGGCCACTTGCATTAAAAATGTTCCGCCTAATTGTTATGCATTTGACGGTTTGTTGTGCAGTGAGGAGAGGCGTGGAGCATCATCCCGGAGAGGAGGGGGGGGGGGTAACTTCCACATACACTGGTATGGGATATTTTGGGGGTAACCTTTTTCGAGTAGAAAATAAATTTTGGGATATCAATTTTGAAAAAATCAAACAATGTCATAGATTTGGGATTGATTTTTAGCATGACCTTAAATTTTGGGGTATCATTTTTAAAGAAAGGTAAAATGTCATTTACTTGATTGAGTTGTCTGATTTTTGCAAATTTGATATAGAATTTAAGGTTATGCACTATATATTGTATCTAAATTTAGGGATAGGGCTTTTGGAAAGTTTTTAAGGTTTAGGGTAAAATTTTCATATCTCGAAATGGCATACCCATGTCCTCGGCCTGTTGACGTCTCAGAATGGCACACTCCCGTCCTCGGCCCAATGGCACATCCCCGGGGCATGGTTCCGACAGTTGCTTAAAAAATAATTAGTATCGACATTTGTTTGCCATTTTCTGTATTTCGTCCTACATGATCACCTTTTGTCCGCACACGAGGTTAATTGATACTTTTTAGTGATTGAATTGTATCGACCAATCACAGGCACAGCGGAGCAAGGGGGGGGGGGCTTGAGGGCTTTAGCCTTCCATCCACTTTTTGCATAAAATGAAAAATATTAACAAATAAACCACCAGTAAAGCCTCTTTTTGTGCGGTTTTAGCTTTCTTTTACTTTTCTCGCCCCCCCCATCTTTCTCAACGCCTGAATCAGTGTAAAGCCCTGTTTACACTACAGAAACTTATCTGGGTGTCTAGTTTCAGTGGCAGGGACAAACCGATATCAATATGTGCTGAATGAGCACGCTGCTCCTGAATATTCAGCTCCTGCAAGACCTGCTACAAAAATACCTCATCTCATTTTTTCTCGAAGCAGCTCCATAACGCTCCTCCGTTCTTACTTCCTTTGACTCTCTGAGGCCCTGGTACCTAAGGTACTCGTAGCCAATTTGCCACAAGGTAGACCGTTCCACAGCATTTGCATCAATATAGCTAAATTTCATAACCACAGATCTTTTACATATTCTTCGAATTTTCTATATATATTCTCTTTAGTGAAGACATAATATAGATGTTTACGTGGAAGAAATATATGGAAGAAAAACGATGACAGAACACAACAAGAATCCACAGGTCAATCAAAGGAGATTTTTGCTGCCAGATAAGGATACATTCGAGTATGTCTTTAAAAGATCAAAATTTGGAGTTTTACGAGCAGCACAGTTTGTAAGTATACAATCAATCAACTTTTAGGACTATTTCCTATTAATTTCGTATTGGAATACAACGTGTCATTTTCTATGGTTTTAATTGAACGAACTTCCCTAACTTGTGAAACATTCTCTGTTCTGGGCAATTTTTTATCTTCACATTTTCTCACAGTTTTACGTGGCTAAGTGATAATTTGATAAAAAAGATGTTTACGAGTTTCAGATTCAGACCCACTTATCTGAAAACGCCATTGAATACCTGTATGTAAAATGTTTTAGTAGAACTTATGCTGTAAACCAAAGCAAAGTTGTGTGGAGAGGTTGTTAGCCTTTTAGGTATTTCGTCAGGAAGCGAACATATAATCCATATTTCAAATGTGCCTGTAGATTGTGTTTTCTCACCAGAAAATGGCCACTTGTGGTGTGTATCTCGAGCATATCTCTCTCACTGATTTTACAGCAACGGCCTATTATTCCTCAATTTATATGTTATCTACGTATTCCTCATTTAGATATTCACTTTGGTTTCCTGGATATTGGTTGCGCATTTTACAAACAACGCAAGTGATGTAGATTCAAACATGATTGCATTCGTCCTTTTTGCAGAGGTTTTTTCATGGTTATATTCTATAGTTGCCCTCGTAATCTCCTTGTTAGTCATGACGAGGAGGCTAGACGACTTGAGTCGAAGAACAACGGTGAGTTCTATTCTCTACGATCATCAAGGCTGGCAAATTAATTGCATTTATGACAGTATTTGCTGTTGCAATGCAGATGAAATTCAATTCAATTCAAATCAAACTTTTCATATGCCGCCTAAACAACAGACGAATTGCATTATTATACGCTACCTTGGCAAAGCAAAGCTTGTCGTGCCTAGGCCGCTTAAATTAAGTTCATGACACTGAAAAAAGGAAGCTAACAAAAAATACATGCAAGCTAAAGGCAGCGCAAAAGGAAAGTCATAACCGAATTTTCGAGCAGAATCGACCTAGGCAGAATTATGTCTCCAAAATTTAGCAATAGGTCTCAAAACCAAAGCACATACCTCATTTTCCTTCTCCTTCCATTTCACTTTGCATTTGGGATCCCTTAAAAGGTGTACATATCATCATTCTACGAGGAAGTACTGGAGCCATTAAACATGTAAGACTTACAAAAAAGTTGTTACCATCCTTAACAGTTTATACTACCTTAGAATTTTCAATCACTTCGTAGATCATATGCTGCTCTTTGATGTGTTCAGTTTTTTGTGTCGTTACGTCATCGTTGCTGGCCGACTATGTCGACAGGCTAGGGAATGATGCTTCATTTTGTAGTAAAGTGAGCAGTGCATCGTGCGAACAACTCAAGGCCGCTGTGGTAAGTGCCATATGATAAAAACTCTTTCATTGCTTCCTCTGTTTGTGTTCACTTGGTTAACAAATGTGAACATGTTTGATGGACAATTATAGCCAAAAAGAAGCATGTAGCAAAAACATAATCCTAATTCGTAAATGACTCAGATGTAATATACAATATAAGCAAACACAAAAAAATATGCACTTGTCCTCTGTATTGCAGACGATATTTCAGCTGGACATCATTTATCGTGTTAAATCGCAGAATATAATGAATACACCCATAAATACAGGAAAGGTGGAATATTGTTTGATAAGCGTATCAACAATTTTTTTCATAAGTTTTGCAATTGCCTTGTCATATTAGACATTTCGTCTAGTCGCTTTCTGTCAAGGAATTTTCAACAAAACCAAGTAAGCTATCTTAAATGAAAAAAGAAGTCTTCGTCAAAATATGTTTGAAGAATTTTCAAATTTGGGTCATATAATCTGCAAGAGCTTCAAGTGGGCGAGAAAACAGCTATATTTAGACAACAGTATTCTGCCTATAGTGAATTCTATGTCTTCCATTTGCCATATCTCTTTGACGTGCCTAGATCATATGGTCATGTCTCTGAAAATAGATTTTTTGTGTGGCGTCATCATATTTTTCACTTTCTCCAATGGTTTTGTGTATATACTGTCATTTGTTACTTATTATGAAACCACTTAACACGTAGCTGGCTTTCGCTAGCGGTTCTCAATTCCTTGTCAACACTAAACAATCCAGGAAGAGAAAAGTATCAAGCGGGTGAAAACTAAGTTACAAGGAAGGCTTTTGGCACTTAAAATTAAGACGGGATAATAAAATGCGGAAGTAGTGCAACGAAACTGGGAAGAGACTGTTTTCTCGATTGAATATGAATAACAACTGTATTGTACGGATATTGCAAAATGTTGAGAATTTCTACCGTGAAACGAGAATTATTCTGTGATCTATCAAATATTTTCTATTCTATCATAGTGTCGCAATCATGATAAAGCAATCATGTTATTCTTAATAAGTGTCATAATGTTTTGTTCTTCTTTCATCATACTTTGAACTACAATAATAACTTAAATTTTATTGAGAAAAAAGAAAGCTCCACACTGTTTTTTCTGCTAGGTGCTTGGGTATCTTTCAGCTGCTTGCTTCATCTTGGACGGGGGCTATGAACTATACATACTCAACGAAATCGAGCAAAGTACGGTTCCAACAGTAGAAATCTTTAAAGACCAAGATACCACACATTCTCGGGAAAGTGAGAGAAGAGGAACCGTCTTATAATTGGAAGATTTTTACAAGTTGATGTCATTGCATCGAAATCAAGGCCAGGGTACGTGGTTTGGAAGCAAAATGAAGAATCGTTGTCGCCGAAGCTCCGAATTGAACTTAAGAATGTATAAGTTCTCCCCTATTCAGGATTGCTTGAAAATATGATTTGTCAGTGTAAATATTGCCTAATCATATTTTCATACAAGTTTATTTATGTTTCAAGTAAACAAACCTAATATTTCTTATCATCAATGCTGTTTGATAGACCGTTTACAAGAAACAATCGATACAATGACGGCGAAGTCAACAAAAAAGAAAAAAGAACAATTCTGCGTCAAAACAACGTTCGGATTGCATGATTTCCTTGCAGTGCATTTTATACAATGTAATTTTATATCTTCCTATTTTATAACAAAACCAAATCTAATAAACAAAACACACTCAATACAAAGCAATTTTTTATAAGTTACTATTTAGTTCAAATGAAAGCCTTTCTCTTTGGTAGCTGCCAGGAGCTTTTCTCTTAGAATCTCTTCCGATGAGTACTCGGGTAGCTTTAAATAATGAACACAAGTGTTGACAGAGGGGTAACTGCCGTCTCCCTCGCTTTCTTTCTTCACAACTGTCAAATGGGGATGCAGATTTGCGATTCCACCAGGAGGCAAAGAGGAGCAACCAGTGGCGAACTGGAGGAATGCCTGTTCGTTTAAAAGAAAAAAAACATGAAACGTATTGTTTAACGCGCGATTTTGCAAAATTTAAACATTCAGAAATTTAATGCTGAGAAACTGTGATTAATGGATTGAACGCAGAGTAACTGTATATTGTCAAAATATGATCACATGTAATGCAACATCCTGCCATAACCTGCAGGCGAAGCTTCTTTTTAACATTCTTAACAAGACATTTAACATGCACATCTGTTTTAATATGCACATCTGTACAAACGAGGAATTAAGTGACAGTACTTTTGTCGTGCGTTCGTCGTTTGAGAAAATTAAACATCTTGTGTCTTGGCAGCTTGTTCCAAATAAACACAGTTCGCACTTACACTGGCCAGCATAGAAACTTTCGACTCCAAAACATTTGCCTTATCAGCAAGTAGCATTTGCAAAATTTCAATCGAGTAACAAAAACTATTGAAATACCACCATACCTTCCTTTCATCTCCGCTCATGCTCACGAGCACATTAACAAGTCTCAGAAAACCAGGGCTTTCCTTTGTGTAGCCAAACTTTGGTTCGGTGTAGTTCATGAGATCATCACGTGACCACTGGGGTGCTTGTTCTCCGCTCAACATTAGTTGTATTTCTCTTGGGGTAAATGCATGTAGCTTTTCCATTGGGAAGACACGATTGAAGCCAGCTGGATGAAGGAAAGACACCAATCACACCGGTAATCGGGCAGAAAGAAAATGGATACAATTTCTATTTCTTCTGCCTTACAGGCGTGCTAATTTATGAGGTTCACCTCTCACAGTGTTCGATAACCAGCAGCTTAAATCAAGTCTCTTTCTTTTTATCAAAGTATCTCTTGTTTATATCAAATATAGGGAGGATAAATAGTTGTACCATCTAAGCTACATTGCCGGCAGTTTTTCGTGTTTGATTAAGGCAGGCAATATTATGGAAACTCCAGACAAAATGTTGCCCTCTCAGTTTCAAAGTTTCAAATACTTTTAGCGAGTCAAATTTAGAAGCAAACAGCAACTATCTTTTCAGGAATCACCAAAATTTAGATGGCAATGGAATGGATGACATGGAAAAATTAAAAATGTAGGTTTTCGTTCAAGGACATAAAATAGTGATATCATACCTCTGAAGCTGTCAAGCTGTTTCTCGATTCCCCTGTACATGGAAAAGTACATGAGATGATCGATGTAATCTTCAGCGTTCCAGTCCGTCAACACCTTAAATAGATATCAAAAGAAAAAGACTTTAATAACCCTTCAAACAACACATTTAAGACTATCTGCTGATGCACTTAAAGGTAATGTGTCCATATAAAAGGACTGCGTATACCCAACTTGTCAAGCCACCCATCAAAATAACGGTTTGCGATTGGTTAGTATTCTTGCGATGCAAAACTGCTCACATGAAAAGCTAACCTCGCAGCAGTATAGGTAAACAAAACGACCGTAGTGGCTGGGGCGATGACATGAAAAATCACATGTTTCTAAAAACCCCCACAGAGTCGCTTGCTTTAGCTGGACACATTACCTTTAAAGGACTTTTTATCATGCAACTTTGGTTGCGTTCCCTAATTCGGGATCTACTGATGTGAAAAGAATTTCGTCCTTTTTTAAGCCTCTGCATTTTGCTCTTGGCTTTGTGCAGAAAAGGACCCATAAACCAGTAGTTATCTTCAAGTTGCTTTGAAACATTTGATAACAAGATTGCATACCTCGTGTTGGCCACCAGGCTTTAGACTGACTGCATCAAATCCATAAACTTTTGATGGGGGAACGTATTGGAAGGTCAGTCTGCAGGTAACAAGAAATGAAGAAAATTATGATTTTAAATTCAAATGAATAGACTTAAGTGCACTTGCTTTTTACTAAATTCCTTCAAAATAATAAATAAAATAAACGATAATAGGTTTTATTGATGAAAAGACGAATAATTAATTACCCGAGGTCTTCTAATTTGCATTCATGTCCATGATCCGTCTCAAACATCAAGTTCGCCAAGCCCTCCTTCTGCTGCTCTGACGTCATATTTGGATCACTCAAGATAGACCTTCGTCTTTTGATAAGTTTTCGCAGCTGCTTAATGAACGTAAATATCTCCGGGAAAATCATTTCAAAATCACAGTCTGTGAAGAAATCACCATAACAATAACAACATTCTGAGACAGCATCTAAAGACTCGCTCGATCTTGGGGACATGTTTTCACTGTCGGCACTCTCTGATCTTACGCTAGCACTTCTGGAGAACGACCTGCTGTCAGCGAGTGACTTTCCAAGGCAGAGCAATTTGTGGAATGGCTCTGATAGTGGAATATCCACCAGTCGATTATCTTGCAGGCATTTGGCAAGAAAGACACCAAGAAAATGGAACAGATTGCAAATGCGTTTGATGTCTCTATGGTCTTGTGGATACGGAGCCGGAAATAGGCCATTAGGATGGTGGACATACAAATCGGCATTCTTTGCAGTAAGCGATGCCTGTAAACGAATAGGAATTATATCAAAGCAAAAACACAAATGTGAATATGAAGTAGTAAACACTTTCACCAAGACTTCTCTTATTTGCAGATTTACTCATGCAAGGTGCTTAAAAGAGTTTTAAACAAATTTCCACATGTACTTTTAAATGAGGATGATGGGAGACTTTATCGAAACGTTCGAACAATAGCATGGCCGTTTACGTTTTCAACAAAGGAGAAGTCGCAACACAAAATTGTAGATTTATAGAACGTCTATTTCTTTCTAACATGGTCCTTACTTAGATCTTTATCATTTAAGACTCAAGTACATAGTTCAATACTGGTATAAATATAAGTCATAAAGCTGGAAAAATCGATACATACATCACTGCCAAAATTGTTGAGTGTATCGCTGGTAACCCACATGCCTAATTCTTTCTTCTGCAGCTCTTTAGCAACAAGGGCATAAAACTCAAGACTTGGTCCAAGACCCGTGCCCTCCTCTTCACGAAACTCAATCTACAAATAAAAAATCAAGCGTATGAAACAGAAAGAGTAATGTTGTTTCAGTATAAACAATCATCAAATCAAAAAATGATAGGAACCAGGAACAAACAGCTACAAATGTTGATATCGAAGGTAGTGTGTGGCAATGAAGAACAAATGCAGTGGGTGGCCTCAGTCTGCTTGAAACGACAGATAACAATATACAGGAATATCTGAAAGAGATTTGTTATTTAAGACCAAAGTGGGAACAATCCAAAATGGCAAAATGAAAGAAACCTGTTAGCATTTTTAGAAAAGCAATAGTGCTTGTCCCTGGCATACAGAGCTTACCCGGCACAAAATGGACAGTTGTTCACTACATGCAAGTAAAACAATACATGATATTTTGATTTACCTCGAGTATTGCTTTTCTGCTAGCATGGAAATCAAGAAGCCTGATGGCATATTGAAGAAGCTTGAAAAATAAGATTGCAAAAAATTATAGAAAGAAAATTGAACAGAATGATATTTCAATATTAATCTGGCCGTAGCATGTTGAGGCGAAAATTCTGAGGCGACAGAAATAAACCTGTCAATCAACGAAGCAGCCAATCGTTTGTGAACAGAACATGGAATTTTTTTGGGTTTCGGGGAAACGGTGAGCTGCGAATCTCATCGTCTGTTTCCTTGGCTGGTTTACTGTTATTTTAGAAATGTTTCACAAGTTTTAATGTAAGCAGTTTCATCACAAAAACAATTTCTGCTTTTCCTACTGTCAATTAATCTTTTATTTAGCAGTATGGCAAGCATATTTCACAAGAACTGCTAATAGCTATTTTCAAGAGTAAGCCAGCAAAAAAAGCGGGTGCAATTAATTTTCTTCTTAAGTCGATCTCATTTCGCAACTTATCAATCAAACCATAATATTGCAAGCTACCAAAATGTTTCTATAAGAAGGTTAAAAAAATGACTACCTCTTTTTCATCTCTAGGCACCTTGACTCTTTCATGCTTTAGTCTTCCAATCCTGATTTCTTGAGGCTCTAACCTCCTTGCAGGGTGACCTCTATTCCGTTCTAGGTTAGCGTCATGCATATTTTGTAACCATACAATGGACCTACGAGCAGACAAAAGTTGAAACGGATAAACGATTGACGACCAATAACAATATAATGCTGTTGTTTTCGCGTGGGGCAATATTATATAATCGAAACTTTTTTTACGGGTCAACATTAAACAACGCGGAAGGAATTTTCAACAAGGAAAAGCAGTTCAATTCGATTACTATCAAACAATCAGTAGATATTGTTCATGAATTTAAAACGGAACAACCAATCTGAAAGCTAAAACGCTGAAAATATTTCTATAGGAAAAGGGAGAAGGAAACCTAGCAAACTTTTTTATTATGATTTCTTACAACTATTTAGGGTATTCATAAAGGAGCAATACCTCGAACATCCAAATGCGGTTGCTTGGAAGTACATCTTCCTCGTTTCGAATGGGAACAGCATTGGATAATTGATAACGAGGAACTCGCACCAGGCAGGTAGCGATCCCGAGGCTAGCACTAGGGGCTCCTTGAAGGAAAACAGCAAATTTGATGAGCATTGAGCACAAACAGAAATAAAAATAACAAAATAAAAATACACGTATAATACTTAATATAACATGCACCAAATATGCACACCAAATCTAAAAGCATGATTGAATTCAGAGTCATTTGGGATATCGTATGCAATAGCAGTTGACTGTAAATCCTAAATAGAGATGACTAGGCGGACTCCCATTCGAGTTCTACGAGCCTCCTCATAGCATCGAGGTTGCTGTGCGAGTTTGAATAACTATTAGGAATACATCTCTAGTCAGAACGTAGTGAGCTGTGCTATGCACACAGAGCCTTAATCCAGAGAGGAGGCGATAAAGAATGGCTTTTCCAAAAATTATAAAATCTGATTTGTAGCCTCACTCATTGAGGTCTATTTTCACCTTGAAATCAATGTTGTAGAACAAAATTTTGAACATTAAATGGTCATCTGCTCTAGAATTCAGTGAATCAAACGACGACAGTTAATCGATCTGTTTTACTGTGGAAGAAAACAAATACAATCGCACAAATACATCTGCATATTCCTACCATGTGCTATGATCCAGGTTAGATACAATAACTTACCTGAATTTGCTGAACTAATTTGTTCGTTAGTTTCATTGAGACAAACTCTTCTTCAGGAACATCAAAAAGGTAGTTATCTACAAAAAGATTGGCACTGATTGCAGCTTGACATAAAACACATTTACTTACCAAAAGATGCTTGATTCTGAGGGCAATACCTTGAATATATCTCTTAGCAAATTTTAAGTGCTAGTACCCTTGTGCTCCTTATAAAGCCCACCGCCATACTTTGATTTAAAATTTTTCACGACATGGTATTGACATACACCGGATATTTTCACGTGTAAAAGATAGGTACGAAGCAAAAAAATTTCTCAAAAAAACTTTTGTTAACCGAAGAAAGCTATCCCGAATTCAATTCTTTTAAGATAAACTCAACATATCTGAATAATTTTTCTCCTCAACTACACTTTCCCTCTTATGTGGCCTCTAAAAGTAAATTATTTCCATAAACATTGCATTCAGTGTTTCAATAAACTATTTGTCTACCTGTCAGACTTGTTAACTGCATATTCTCTTCGCAAAGTTTGTGAAGCGACTTAACAAGGTCCAAAACCTCTTTAGCTTGGGTGATTTCTTGCGGAACAGGGGCAAATACATCTTCCTCTTCTTCTCTCTCATCTTCGTCGATCTTGGCCTCTTGAGCACAAGCTGCTTCTCCTTCCTTCATTCGACAAAAATCCTTAAGCAAAAAAAACAAATTATATTAGTTGCAAATATCTAAAGATGTTATTGATACATATCTTAGAAACATATAAACGAACCTAATCGAATACATTTACCTTTTATACATTTACCTGCAGCATATTTTATGCAATTTTTCATCACGAAAATGAATAAGAATCTAGGAACCTGTCTCTAACCACGGCTGAAATTTCACATAAAAGGAATCCAGACAAAAAGTAACAGAACTTGTGCCCACCTTGTAGGCATTCCGAAGGTAGTTGCAATTGCGTTGCCTCTTGCAGCTTTTCGTCGTTCCGTTCAATTTCCATTTTTTAATGAATTCTGGGCCTGCGTTTTGCTGAAGATATTTTACAACATCGTGTTTAGGAAGTTGTGATGTTCCAAGGTATTTTTCCACGAAGGACACATTCCATTTACACTGAGAATGCAAGGACGTAGTACATGAGAATCTGGTCGGTGGTTAATTTGTTTGAAATACAAGATCTTCAAATCACAGCTAAGAAACATAAGACATTTGGAAACCCGAGTTTCTCCAAAGACTTAACAGCAGTCAACATTGCACCAGATATGCTTCGGGGGGTTGGGGGTAAGGAAAGAAGTAGTAGGATATCTTTTTATGGTGTAGCAAAGAAAGCAAGGGAAATGATAGCTTAGTCACCAATGGGACGTTACTGTAACGTGCCAACGGTGATTGGTGTCAAAGCTGGTATTCTTAGCTACGTGCCTCAGTAAATAGATGAAACACATGAGGAAATTGCCAAACCAAATACATGGGTAAAAGGTATAGGCTCTTTTGGTATGCATCCACCAGATACTAATACCACGATCACGTTGTTAAAAACGCAGAGATTATGTAGTGATTCCATTCATTCTAATTTTTCCTCACCTATCGCCATCCATTTCTACTTTGTTTATTTTACCTACAGTAATTTCTTCACATCACTACCTCATCACTACACGCTACGAGCATATCACTATGTCAACATTTCCTCTCTTTTGTTTAGGCCATCATCAACCCTACACATCTACCTAAATCTCAATTCATAAACTATTCACACTTAGCCTAGCCCTTCCTATCCTTTGTTTTCCTTACATCATTAGTGTTAATTCTAGATATTCATTTCTGTAAATAAGCATGTTAATTTTTATGTAAGTCAGTTCAGTTCAGTTCACATCAGAGTTACACAGGCAACACACTGTCTCTCTCACTGGCTCCGTGTTCTCTGCACGTAAAATAAGACACGCTGGTTTGGAAATGACACGTTAGTCAAGGATGGATTTATTTAGTGTTTACATTGATCGTAGTTCCGATGTACACTAAAAATGGTGACCACGACGTGACCGACATGATCAAAAACAACATCCTTCGACGTTATTTTCAACCCAACTCAACTCAACCGAATTTGTCAGCTACATTCACTCACTCAACTGGATTGCCACACACTCGAGCTCAGCTAGACAACACAGCACTCGGACACAAGTGTCTCTATTCGCCTCACATCCTCGGCAGCTCCACGGCACTCTCCGGTGCTCGGCAGTGTCTCACGCTCTTCGCAGGTTCTTGGTTACCCTACTCATAAAACCTTGGCATCCACGCACTCGACTCACTGCAGTGCCCTCGCATCCCGGTTCCTGGTCATCCGACTCACGAAACCTTGGCAAAACAACTCTACCGGTTCTTGGTCACCCGACTCACAAAACCTTGGCAATTCACTCATCGCAGGTTTCTGGTAAACCTATTCACAAAACCTTGCTCAACATCGGACTACGTCGCAAATTCAAGTCAATTTTCATCGCTGCTTGCAGACCCTCGCAAGGTACACGAAAGCAAGTCAACGAACAAATAGACATTCGAACATTTAAGTAATTTTTATACGTATATTTCTATCGTCTTAATTATTCGCAGCTAACCACATACTAACATTTATCGAATCCTTCGCTATCGCTTGCATTCTAGGGGGGGAGCTATGTAGTGATTCCATTCATTCTAATTTTTCCTCACCTATCGCCATCCATTTCTACTTTGTTTATTTTACCTACAGTAATTTCTTCACATCACTACCTCATCACTACACGCTACGAGCATATCACTATGTCAACATTTCCTCTCTTTTGTTTAGGCCATCATCAACCCTACACATCTACCTAAATCTCAATTCATAAACTATTCACACTTAGCCTAGCCCTTCCTATCCTTTGTTTTCCTTACATCATTAGTGTTAATTCTAGATATTCATTTCTGTATATAAGCATGTTAATTTTTATGTACGTCAGTTCAGTTCAGTTCACATCAGAGTTACACAGGCAACACACTGTCTCTCTCACTGGCTCCGTGTTCTCTGCACGTAAAATAAGACACGCTGGGTTGGAAATGACACGTTAGTCAAGGATGGATTTATTTAGTGTTTACATTGATCGTAGTTCCGATGTACACTAAAATTACGTAGGTTCTTCCAAAACTGTGCCTTTAGATTTGTCTTTCATCATGGCTGCGAGAGACAGAAACTGGCCCTTCTACTTGCAAATCTACCTTACGTTCCCTCTTACTCAATGTCAGGTATTATCTTTATTTATCCAAATTTGAAACAATCTACAAAACCCAAGAATACCATTTAAAGTGATGATAATTTGAAAATTGTCAACGTACCAATGGCTGTTCTTGGATTTCTTGTTTTCCATCACGAGACTTGTAAACGATACTGGAAAACAAATAATAACAGTCAGATATGTTGATTTCATATGATCTACAATTAGAAATAGTGTATGCAGTGTCGACACATGGAAGGGGGATTGGCTGGTGAATGTCATTCTTTCACTATCCATTTTATATTTTATGTTATCATCATCGCACACGAACTTCCCTAATTGTGGCGAAAAGAAAAAAAAAGAGCTATTTGCATCGTCAATTATTTTTTGCTACCCGCCACCCGACCGTTTTTGTTATGGGCCCTCTTTCTTGTCGATTTGTAGAGAACGTGTTGTTCCAGCCTCTTTCCAAAACTATTCATCCCTATAACTGCGATACAGAGACTGCGCAGCATTGATGCAAACTCACGTGTATGTTGGCTCCCAAAGTCTCACTTGCTTGTCTAGTTTACCACTGCTACTGGATATGGTGGTCGCCAGTTTTTGTATGTAGGAAAATATCGATGCGTTATGATCAACCAAAGGAATTTCAACTTCTTTTCCCTGTGAAGGAAATAAATAATAATCAGATTTAAAAACTCTATTCGTGAGGTGAAAAAAGAAGGCGTTGCCAAACATAAAACCGAAAAACCAAAGGTAACTGACAAGACAAACTACTTAAAAACCAAAAGAAAAACCCTAATCCCCAGTTCAAAATCAACTTTGATATTTTCGATATTTGGAAAGAACAAGGTAGCAAGGAAAACATCGATTTAGTAGGACTAGCTTCCAACAACCCCCTCTAAAGCTTTTTATCCCCCCTCTTGCAACGAGGGCTTCGGCAAAGAGGAGCAGAATCAAGCTATTAGAATTGGTCCAGTTCACATCAGATCCCTTTAAGAAATCTACCGAAGCCGTAATTCTCAACTGCCCCTGAATTACCAAAAACTTTGGACTGATTAGAAGCTTTTCAAAAAAACTACTAAAACAGCCTCAAAAGTGAAAAATTATTGCAAAAAAAAGATCTTTTACCCCTGGTACTGTTCCTCTGATGACAAGCTTCAGATCATCACCAACAGGCTCTTCTGATCGGATTACTTCGCCTATAAAAACCAAGAAACGGTTTTATTTAGACAGAATGGATTTTCTTTGGGGTGATATTTAATAAAACTTCCAACATACACACTATCGTCAAGTATAAAACTAATCGTCCACCAAAAAGACTTTAAGGGAATGTGACACGCGCACTAATGGTGACAATAATAAAGTACTTATTGTATCGACAGATAAATAGAAAAAGCTTAAATAGAGCTTTGAGAAAAAACAAAGTTTAGCTCAGTTTATGTCGTTACCATTTTGCCAGCATGAGAGAATAAATTGTTCTATGGTGACATGTTCTATGGTAATATGTGCTATCGTAATGTGTTCTATAAAGGTCGGATACCAATCGAGTGCAGTTCAACGTGTCACTTACCTTCCTCAGGAATTTCCACGTCTTGATGTTGCGAAACATTTGGTCTTCCTGGTCTCGGGTCAAACGCAGGAATGAGAGCAGAGAACTGACGCTTCAAAACGAAGTCGTCATCCCACTGGCGCCTTCGCAGCTCTGAAGATCTGTCTGTTGACGAGCCTGGTTGATTTACCTGAAAACAATGCAATTGAAGTCATCCTGAAGTCTGATGAAAACTTAAGAATCAAGAGCTTCATAAGCGTGGAAGGTGAAGATTGGCAAAAACGAATGCAACAGTACGTGCACAAAAGAATGCAATCACAAGTATTTCTAAACAAATCCGAGTCTCGAATTAATTTTATGAGAAACGTCTCACACCATCTAGTGTTTACTGCAAAATTCTTCTTTGAGGCCATTAAGGCTTTTTTAAGGCCCCTTCTAGCAACAAATGTTCTATAGTATCTGTCTTACCTCCAGCGTTCTTTCATACAGATCGTCTGGATCGTTTTCGTCTTCGTTTTCAATATCCTCGAATTCATCTGTGTCCTCTCCTTCGTCCATTGGGAAGTCCCTTTCATCGGCAGGAAAGTCTTCCATATATTCCTCCTCCATATCAACCATTAATGGACACGATTGCAATGGATGGCTCGGCGCTTTGCCAATGGTTTTCGTTTCGGTTCCATCACCTTTATCTCCGTTGTTGGAAATAGATAGCGTTGTTGAGCTAAAATGAAAAGACATATTGCTCAACGTTCAGTTCCTGTTCAATAAAAAGAAGAGAGAATAGCTTGCTTTTTATGTACTATTACGCATCCAGGAAACATGAAGCAGTAACCTTAGTAAACATGGGAAGGATTTATGGAAACACGTTTTCTATTGTAGGGATGAACTGACTGGAGACAGCGGAATTTCGCTGTCTGGTGTACCAAGGAAAACAATATGTATATTAGCTTAAACAGCAAATATAACAATTTCTTTGAATAAAACAGAATTTTCATGCGTATGGGGTGTAAACGCAGCTTCAAAGAAAGACAGTGAATTTTTACCCCTCGTTTTCCAGGCTTTGCTTTTCTCCAGGGATAAAAAGAAGTTCCCGGACGATATTACTTTCTCCTTTGTCTTGGGTATCTGTTTTGTTCCGTTTCTTTGATCCAGTTTTTACGTGACCAGCATCCTCTGGTTCGTCATCGTTATCATCTTCATCGTCGTCATCATCTTCATCACTTGAATCGTACACCAGCTTTGCCTCGATCGCCTCCAGCAAGGTCATTCCTTCTGGTGTCTTCTCCAATGAATCGATTCTTTTCGGTGGCTCCGGCTAAAATTCAACGACTATCCATTAGACGGGTTCGCTTTCATAAGCCGTTCAAAAACGCAGGAATATAATCTAGAAGTAGCAATATTTTAGTAAATAACCCCGGGAGTAATTAGTGAACTAGTATGCTAAACTTCGCAAGATAATAAACGAATGTCAAGTAAACAAGCAACCAACAACTTGAAAGAAAACACCTTATGTTCGGCTGCTTGTTTGCGCAACTATACTCAATCTTCCACCATACTCATTACCCCTTAGGCCGACAGATTTTCTGCTTTAATAAAATTAGCATTGCAGAAGATACGAAACGGAAGATTGTTTGAAAACATTTGCTAGATATAAATTATAAATTGAACAGCGTCGATTACAATTCACTGCAAACATAGAGAATATTTACCCCAGAACTTTTGCTGAAGAGAAAATCTCCTTCACCAGATGACAGCTCACGTCCTCTTTCGTTTTGACGATTCTTGTCAGATTCCGAGAATTCGTCACTTCTCGTATCAAAAACGTCTGTGACATGGCCATCCTTGTCTTCAGTAGAACTTTGTGTGTCAACCAACACTTTAACATCACCACCCGATCTACGCCCAACTTCACTATCCTCTTTCATGCTGCGTATTTCTACAAATCGAGTGGCATTTGTCACAAGCTCGGCCGCCGCGATATCAGTCGTGACATCTTCCTTTGCTTGTGAAACAACCTCTTCAGTTGTTCTCTCCTTGGCTTCATCCTTCACCTCTACTTCAGTTCCTGTTATAATTTCAACACTTGCTTTATCGGCTTCACCGTCTGCTTCGGTGGTGTTATCAATAAAAATATTAAACTCACTTCGTTCCTTTTTAGCCTCAGTGCCTTCCTTACTATCAGATAACTGCCACCTTCCAGCACTGCTTTCACTCTTGTTAGAGCTCTTGCTGCCATCTTTTTTAGGCTCAGAAGATGGTCTGAAAGTTGTATCTCCACTCTGTCCTAATGTCACCACATTTTGTTTATCGACATAATCGACCATGCTTGGTGGAGAACTGCTTTCACGCGATCCTTGAGACGAACCACTTTTCCTTGTGTTCTGTAGAAAAGAGCTCTGCAAAGTCCTTGAGGCAGCTCTCAAATGATCTAAACTTGCAGCTTCAGCCAAAGCACTTGCAACAAGGTCAGAAGAAGCGTTATCCAGCAAATCTTCGACTGCCATTAGCAGACGCAGGTTTGCTAAATCAGCTATCTCTCTCGTAGAGGTTTTTGAGTCTCTCAGCAAATTACTCTGATTCTCTAGTTCTCCAACATCAGCAGCGTTCTGTTTGTTTATGCGTCGTCCTCCAGGTCCCATGCCATCTCTGTTCACTCTGCACGACCGTACCCGGAACGTAGCCGGTCTTGAATCTTTATTTTCTTTTAGCTCTTTGCGTTCAACCTGGGAGATTGTTGACTGTACATCTGGATGTGAAATGTCTACAACTTTGACGGCTGAATTGTCTTGATTGCTGTTGTCCTGTGAGGGGGCGGATGTGCTTTGTACCCACGAGACATCAACCCAGCCTACAACGAAGTATTTTGATGAGTAATTGACTCATGTGGAAAAATAAGGCTCCACCAGTTTCAATCGAGAAAACATTATTTGGGGGGGGGCAAAACATTAACTGCACCCACTCAAATGGCAACCTGCCTCAAAGTACAAGTGATGGTGTATAGACAGCAAGTTTACCTTCTTTCTTTGTGTCTGACGTCACAGCCTCAACAGCTTCTCCAAGCTGCCTTGCTCGTTCCTTTAACAGCTTGAGATCAGCACCATCTTTGCCACCTAGTTTCATTTGCTGCAGTGCGTGAGATTTGAAGACGCGGCGTTTGCGACTACTAACATCAGTTTCAGTTAGAAGTGAGCCTGTTGAGTAATCAAAGCAAATGAAAAATCTCTGCAGGCACCATTTTGGTTCATAAATTCAAACTTCACTCATCATAACAAAAATTTTGTATTCAAATGATATGATATTGATATGATAAGGCTTTTCTGATACTTCAGTAAGTGGAAAAATTTCTGATCAATAATTTGTTTATCTTTGTAGCTTCTTGATCACCTCAAAATGCAAAATTGAAATTTTACCTGGGGAGTCTTCAGTGATGCCTGTTACAGATCCATAAATCTCAAATCCTGAAAGGGACAAGTAATGCGTTTGGCCACTGGCATTTGGGCCAGTTTGCTGAATTCGAAACATTCGCCAGGACTGCACTGAGTCTGCAGCAGCAGGCACATTCAGCATCCAAGTGGCAGTTGACCTGAAATAAAGCAATTGTCGGCAATTAAAGCTCTGAAAATATGTAGAGACAATTTCTGCTTCGAGATAGGTACTATTAAACACGGCGCAAATTTTCACAACAATAAATTAATGAAGTTATATAACGTCGAAGCTTTAAGAGAAGAGCAGCAACGTGGTCTTGATAAACGGAATTCGTGTTGATTATTGTAAAGTGTCAATTTCGTGCAACAAAGTATATGGAGGCACGAAAATTCACGCGCAATTTTTGGAGATATCATTTTGGTTTTTTACGGGATCATTATGTGAGTACTAATATCATATTACTATTCGTTGATAACATGATGTGTTATGAGTGAAATATAAACTGTCCAAGTTAAATCTACGTCTGTTGATTTATGCCTTTAATGCGGTAACATTTTTAGTCACCGTGTCGCTGTTGATACTCACCCTGGTTCATTCAAGGAAGAATCATCTTCATGTGTGTTTAACGTAGTCCAGGTTTGGCCATTTGTGGAGCCTTGCAAGGTCCAGTTTCTTAATGCAGATCTTGAAAAACAATCAAGAATTGAAAATAAATTTGGGAATGAGTAGGAGAAACTTGTAACAGCATTTGTTGCTATCTATTTTACTAAATGCAAGTGCGAATCAAAAAGCAGACAACAAAGATTGGGAAATACATACTGGTCAGGTTATAAATTTCCACTTCTTCATAAAACAGACTTTCTACTTTATCTATAAAAACTTTTTAGGTAAAAAACGTCCTCATGGAGTTACAAAGAAAACTGACATTTTGGAAAGGAACAACAAATTTGAAATCCTAAAAAAATATTGCAGTCGATTGTCAATATCTTTGTACCTTCCATATCCCCGCGCGTGTCTAAGGGAGTAGGCGGTCGGCGTAATCCACATTCCGAAGTCGATCGTGAACCAAGAATTCCTGTAAAAACAAAACAGTCACTAAATAAAGCAATATTTATGTTACTAATGAAAAAGAAACTCAGCTTCTTGAATCTGAGAGCTTTTCCAATGCTTGTTTCAGTAACCTAAACTGGTATAACCTTTTATATCAACAGTTGGTTTACAGGAACGTGATGCTTATGCAATACAATTTCCACTGATTGTAGCTCATAACTTCTCATATCCTATAAATAGTCATTTAATCGGACAATTATGCCCATGTTCTGCAAAGTAACAGTAGCTTGAAGTTCCCTGTATTGTAACAACGCTGTGTATTTTTCCGCTCGTAAAAAAGTTCTACAGATTATTGAGAAAACCTTCTGGCTACAATTCCTTCTTATGGTGTCAGTAAAGTCTGTAATGTTTGTTTACATTCAACGTGGTACTTGCGTTACCCGACTGTTCATGCTTAATAACTCTCTCGTGCCAAGTGTACGCTACCAACGGGTGCATGGATATTTCATAATATCCTGCGTGGCGACTTGCATGGATATCTTCTTCAATATCCACGATATTACCGCCATGGCAAACGCCATCAAACTGGCACCACCATTTAAGGAAATGAATCCCGTTGCTTATAAGCAAATTCTGTGTCCAACGTAGTTCAATAACTGCTATTCTACTTTTTGCTCAAGTTACACGATTAAAGTGTAAATGGGATCATCTCTGGCCAGGTTCAGGACACAATGACAAAGCAGGTTCAGTTTACTGTCCTTAGCTGAAAGTCACAAAAACAGAAAAAATCTCGAGACTAAAATTGTTCTGCTCCAGCACGTTCTTGCAAGACTAGGCTATTACAACACTCGTGTCTAACTCTATGAGAAAAGAGCTTACTTGTCATCGTTCGTATGGCAGTTCAGAGCAGCTGCATCTCTGCTGAGAATATCTTCTGGTTTACCATAAGGCAGACTTCGCCCTTCTGACGAGATGACTACAACCAGGCCATACTGGGCTGGGTTTACCCAGTCATTCACGACTCTGTAGATGAATACCAGAATTAAGACGTACAAGTCCACGAAAGAACAACAATAAAACATGGAAGACTTGGTTTTTTAAGATTTCACTTAGACTTGCGAGGCCAAGTGTTAACTAGCTTGATCTTCCAGTGGCTTAGCTTGACCTTCCAGTGGCTTAGCTTGACCTTCCAGGCTGGAGGGGGGAGGGGGGTGGAAGGTCATGAGAAGTTAAATTTACAGACGATGAGTAGTAAAAGACACAGATGAAGAGAAACTTAGTTGCTACATAATTTTGATTACTATATCGCTGTCTCTGAAATCCAATTCTCAATTTGCTTTGCTTCTTTGAGCATTTAATTGTGATTATCAGCTTGATATACTTTATAAACCACTTACCTGGCATTCGTTCCAATCCAATAAACTATTCCATTAGTGTCGAAATCATGATCATATGTGAAAGTCAAGGGATCTTTGTTTTCCTTGAAATGCTGTACGAACTTAAATGTGTTTCGATCGTAGTCATACCATTGTTTAGCCACCTGGAAGTAATTGTGATTCTTAGAATAGATTTCGTAAAAAAGATTTCTTAGAAAAGACTAGCAGATAACTGAAATAATGTTCAGTAAATAATGACGATACAGAGAAACTTTTCTCCAAGAAGGATGGTTTAAAATTATTTCTGACTTTTACTGCTAAATCTGAAATCTTGCATAAGTGGACGGGAAAGAAATACGGAAGTAAATTCGCCGATCGCTTGTCGTCTGGCTCTTATTAAGTCGTCTTGCTCTGTGGAATGATCGTTACTTTTGATGCCGCAAACTCGAGTTCGATTCCAAACGGGTACATACAAATATGGAAAATGAACTTAAACTATTAGGATTTCTTGTTTGTAGCCATTTGCACAGAGCTTTTGAGAATCAAATGTTTGCAGTCATTGGGGGAAAGGATGAAATAGAACAGAAACCAAATTACGTGTACAAGATGCAATACATACAACTTTTAGCAGGTGTTTCTTCAGGTCTTTCACTGTCGTCAATGGCTCCATTTTCAGGTAGCGTCCGGACTGGTCGATCAAATCACCCGATTTAGCATCTCTTTCAAGTCGGAGACGCAGTCGTCTTAGCAAAACCTACAAAAGAAAGACAATTTCTTCAGATGACAAAGTTTCTTTTCAACTGAGCACAGTGGTTGATGATTAAAGAGTTATAGAGCATCACTTTACATGATCAGGAATCTTGAAATATCTTAATTGGCTTCTATAATGAAAAATACTATATAATTCATAACCAAAAAACGAATTCCCAACTTTGACATGAAGTTACTAACAATAAAATATAAACTGATATCAAGTCGTCAGCTAAATGCTATTGCAAAATTCAAGATTTCTGCAGGAAGTCGTGTCAGATCAAGAAATGAGCCTGTGTATTGTCTTTAAGTAGGATATCACTATAAAACTTTGCCATTGCTTTTCGCCCTAGTGGAAAATGAATGCAAGGGTAGCATTTATATTTCAGTTGCAATGACTAACGGGACTTCATAGTTTTAATCGTCCAATATCCTGGCAACAAAAAAATCTGACTTATCTCGCAGTGAGCATGTAAACATTCCATAATTGAATTCACTGCGAAGAACAGACTGACCTGCAAGCCCGATCCTCCTCCGCCATGGTCATAGGCTATGACGGGAAGTCGTTCTGTAGATTCAAGCACAGCAACCAGCTTGCGAACGAGTGCAACGGCAAGGCTACTTTGATGCATGCTGAAATATGGATTCAAGGAAGGCTTATTGAGAATTCAATACATTCACGTTTTTGATGCAGGGTAGGTTTAGTAGTTACAGTGGAGTTTTATTTTACAATTGTGTCTCGAGACTGAGAGCATCCGAGAGGGAGATGGAGAAAGATTTGAGAACTGATCATCACTAAAGGCCCAATAACTGCGCGAAATTCATCATCATAACATAATAATAAAGCAGGTTATATAATAACAATGTTTTAATACTTGCATTAGCACAACGAAATTCGCCGACTACAGATCATAAGTAATATATTCTCTGTTTATCGCACGTTATCATACTAATGCGATAACATTCTCTGGAGGATAGAAATGGAGATAAACCCAAAGGCAAAACATGAGTTAAGAAAACATAATCCCGTCTTATTACTAAACATAAACGACACAGTAGTAATTCAATACAACACAAACCTTTCATCTCCATTAACGTTCTGTGGGATTTCTCCAAAGACTGCTTTGAAAATCTCAGAAGTGTCAGAAGACTTTTTCTCGGGGAGAGATGTCAAGCTGGCTCGAGGTGACTGTAAGAGGAAAAGAGTATTTTGTGAACTTTATCCTTCTCTAGATTGAGTGTCAGAGGCTTTGAAGATAAATCTTTAGACAACCAGGGACAAAAGAATACGAATAAGTACAGGTCATGATTGCAGTATCTGATCCACTAGATCTTAATTATAGTCCAGCCAATATTTTGACAAAAGACAATTGCAGTTATGTTCTACAGGAAGCCTATAAATAACAGAGCACTATATATTGCATTTCTTACATTTAAAAAATCTCAAAAATGAGCCAGCATACGTTCAGATTTTCCAAGTTTCCCATTGATGACCAGATAAATTGATGAACTGTTCATTGGAACAGCATAATAATCACCTAGTAAAACAGCAACAACAACAGCAATAAAAATAACAACAACAGCAAAGTTTTACCTTATTCAAGCAATTGAAAAGTGAGGTGACCAACCCACTGCTTTGTATTTCGTAAGAAGATAGCATGCTTTCCTCTCTCAGAAGTTCACATAGCTCCTTCAAAGCGTCATAGACTTGCTTCTCGCCTTCCAGAGTGATGCGCTATCAAATCAAATGAAGAAACACGTGTTAAAAAGGAAGGGTTAAAATTCTACATCCCTCACCTGAGCTGAAAAGGTATTTCAAATTCTTCGTTAGAAAGGATGGGTTTGCAAACTTTGGTTTTGGTTACTTATTCATTACCAAGAAAATTGTTTAATTCATTGTCTCGGTTACACCTGCGTGTGACTTTGGTTGAAAAGATGTCGTTGCCGTTGTTTAGTTTCTCTTCTCACATCCAGTAAAGCACCAAAGATATCATATAAAGGAAATTCTCAAAATTGTTTAGATTAGACGCCACATCTAACCCAACTTGCAATGACTAACAATCGAAATACAGCAGACGAATTGACACAAGGGAAGTTGATTATAAAATCATTTCTTGAAGTATCAGCAGAAGAAAATTAGAGAAACATACCCTGACGTCTTTGCAAGCGCCATCCAGTAACGCACTGATCTCTCTTAACTTCCCCATAGCTCCATAGCTCCCAGTTGCAGCTTCCTTAAAGTATTTTGAGTGAATTTCATGAGCGAAAACACCAACTTTCTGCCTAAGTTGCTCTTTCTTTGACTGATATTTGCGACCTGGTTTTCCACTCCAGGTTGCGGCAAAATCTGAACCTGTTAAGGTATGAATTCTTGATAAATGATTCGACAAACAATTCGGAAATTATTATACAGAAGCCAGCAGTATTTACTGGCCTTTTCTGCTATTGGCATACGAAAGTGGCTGAGATCCAGAAGCATCTTCTCCCCCAGAAAGGAACCTGGATAAGCGAGTACAAGAAACAATTTATTAGGTCAGGGGTCGGCAACCCGCGGCCCACGGGCCTCATGTGGCCCGCAAGGTACTTTTGTGTGGCCCGGAAAGCCCTTGTTAACCTGTAAATAATTTGGCCCAATGCACGAATGTCGGCTCGGATTCAGTGATCCTAGATTCTTGTCTAGATTAGCATTCCTCGTTGTCACCACTAGTCACTCGAACAAGCTGAACAAGAAGCTTCAAGGCCATGGTCAATCTGTGAATGTCATGTATGAACATGTTGTCACTTTCCTGCTTATGCAACATCTTTGTAAAACTCAGCTGAATCAATAGAACTTGGTTCACTTTCCATCTTCAAATGGAGTTGATCGAGCTGCAGGGTACCAGTGAATTGAAACAGAAATATAAGAAAACTCATATAATCCAGTTTTATATGGAGTATCTCCATGGTGGATGATGGTTCATATCCAGGTCTGGTGCAGCATGCCAAGAAGATGCGTTGCATGTTTGAAAGTACTAATCTTTGCGAAAGTCTCTTCTCAAAGATGAAGTAAGCGAAGAGTTGACTGCGATCTCGAATGACTATCAACATAATCATTCGGCTGTCAACATAAACAATTCTGCCAAATATTGAGAAGTTGGCCAAGGACATGCAGCACCAAGTTGCGCATTAGCTTTTTGTAACATAACATACTGAACAGTGAACATGTACTTTACATCTATCTTTGTATTTACGAACTGCTTCCACGTTACAGTACATTTACCGATAAATAAAATTTTATTGATAAGATTAGCAGTTAGGTAGAATTGGTATATATTAGAATTTAGAACTATACTGTATTTTGAGCTGCGGCCCTGGTATGCATGTCAGAAATCAACTTTGGCCCCCTTTTTTATAAAGGTTGCCGACCCCTGTATTAGGTAGACTAAAACTCAGTCCATGGGCTGTCTTTCTTTCCATTTTCAACCCTTTTGGCCGAAAACCTGAATGTGACTTCTAGTGATACAGGAACTTCGAAGTTAAAAAGAAAAATTTACATACCTAGCGAGGTTTCTGCGGTAAAGGTGTGTTTAGTGCCACGATTGGACTCAAATATAAAACCGGAGAGCTCTTCTTTTAAAATCGTAGCTTGTTGGCCATCAGCATTGTGAATGGTCATCTGTCCGGCCTGACTACAAGCAAGTGACCAGTTACCGACAATAATCCGGTCAGATGACTGCGATGACAGCAACGGCTGGCTCGCTGTTCCACTCGGCACTTGGCCTCGTGCTCGTTGTAGCTTTTCAAGAAATTCACTACGAGACTCAGCAGATCCTCCACCACCTTCCGGGCTTCCGCTCGAGTACATTGTCGCTAATTTGCCATCGAGGACAAACCTGAACCAACCGTTGCTACCATTTGACAACTCAACAGCACAGACGTCGCTCCAGAGGTACAGGCAATCTCTACTCCGTACGATGCACCAATCATGCCAATGGTACGGTTTTCCTTGCACTATCGACTGTGCGTCTTCAAGAGGCATTATTTCCGCCTAACAAGAAAATGATAAAAATAATATCGTTCAATATTTACTTACAAGATCTTTTCAAAAAACCAACAACAAGTAACTATAAACTTCCCTACCCTCATTCTACAAAAGTAACATCATTTAAAAACAAATAAAGATCCCGTTATCTTTAAATTTCCTTAAAATGACGAGAATGCACCAGTTTGGCATGATATTGTGGGTGCGCAGTTGCTTATGGCCTTCAAGTCAGATTGAAGCCTCCGAAACAGGGAGCTTAGATACATATTTGCGAAAACTTTGGCACATGACGTTTGGCAAAGAAAGCTAGCAATTCTCTACCCGAGAGCAGACACGCTAGGCATTTTCAGACCGAAATAAAGTCTTAAAAAACAGCTCATTTACTTCTTTCGATAGGATATTTTTAACAAGAATCTTATTCCAACCGATTAGGCTTTAGAAAACTCAAAAAGACTTGTCCTAATATTTGGTAAACCTACAACATTTGGTTCTATTCACACTAAAAAACTATCAAAACTTAAGTGACACACAAAACCCATACGGTGTTTGGCTCTGCACGGATTAAACCTGATATATATTATTAAGTTGTATATTTTTTTTAAAAAGAAATCAAATAAAAAAACAGAAAAATGAATGCAAAGGAAAAGGACACTTAAACTCAAAAGCTTAAACTGAAGGCAACAAAGAAAAACTTACCCAACTAAAGGGCACTGAATTACTTTACTAATGACAACTTTTAGTGACACCCCAGCTACCTCAACATATAAGATATAACTGCATATTTTGGAACAATCGCACATATACGTACAGTTGTGGCGCTGGAATCCGGCCTATCCAAGTCTTTCTTTTCATGGCTCTCACTTATTTCTTGAATCCTGTTCAAGACACCCAGTCTGACAAAATGAACCAAAAATATATCCTTTCCTTTGCTCATTAGATCTTCAACGCAGTGAAAAGCTGTAAGATGGCCCTCATCATCATCCTTGAAGAAAAACAAGCATGTGTTTGACATGGAATCTACTAATTATAAAAGAATCACATTTAGTCAAATAAACTAATGTTCCAAAAAAGACTTTCTTTCCCCTTCCCTTGGCTCTCTCATTTGGTCGACCAAAAACAAAAATGGGAATTTATTCTCAAAGGAACTAGTACAACACTCATACCTCTACATTGAGGACAGAGGAAAGAACTTCCACAACGCTCGATGCGACGTTTCCAGAAGCAATCACGTCTGGTAACATTTTTTGTGGTATATAGTGGATAACTTTCTTCATGATAGCCAATGTTGCCTTTCTGATAGACGGGACAAGACTAGATCGGAAGGTCTGTGCAAAAACAGGAAGCAACCGGGTCACGTAAAGTGGTGCCATTTCCCAATCTCCCTTGATGACGTCATCAGATGGTTGCTCTTCTTTGGGTTCTTCTGGTTTATCTTCTTCTGACTTCTGCTCACTGGTCCCTAGTTCTCTGGTCGATGAGCTGTTAGCTGGAACCATCCATTCACCTAAGAATACAGAAATCAAATTTGCAAAAGGAATCGAGCGAGCCTGACCCAAGGAGTACATTGACCTAGTCGTTTTGACTTACAACTGGCTTCCTATGCATATATGTGGCGATCATAACTTTATCCAGTATTAAAATCCATTTTGTGAACAACCTTCGAGGCAACGTCTCTGTATTAGAGTATCACCAAGGAAACAAGGACGGCCGATTACCTGGGGTTTGAAGGATCCGTGCGATTTCCTTGTGTCCTTCATCATTTCTTTCCCTTGCTTTGTCTAATGGGGTCTTTCCATCTTCGTCTCTTAAATCTGGGTTTGCACCGTAGCGTAACAAAACCTTTGGAATGAAAAGCAAATAAAATTTCAGAGCATTCACGGAAAATGTTCAATGGAAAAACTGCTATATGTCTTACCAACTGAGTCTAAATAAACACATAGATGCATTAAGATAGAAGGAAATGTATAGGCAGCTTAAGGTAGAGCATCATCGTAGGAGAGGTAACACAATGCCAGACATGATACTCGCTGCAAAGTATGACATAAGTAGCTTCCATACGCAATGGCAAGAGCTATATATAAAATGCAAGAAACGCCAAGATTGGCATTGAACCAAAGCATTCAACCATACACTGATGCAAGTCTTGTCGTATTTACAAGCAAACGAAATGATGTGAGAACATTGCAAATCTTTTGAAAGCTAACGCAGAGAGACATGAAAAACAAGAGAGAATCACAATGAATTCGGTACCTTTGCAACAGCGGGTCTACCAAAGCAGGCAGCGTAGTGCAAAGATGATGATCGTTGGCCTCTGTTTACATCAGCACCACGTTCGCAAAGAAACTCGACCTGCATAGAACGTAATTGATTAAAAACGGCATAAACTATGGAAGGATTGTTGAACACAAAAATGTAACGAAGAAAGATGTTTTTATGTGTCCATATCTTTGAAAATTAATGCAATGAAATGAAAGCTAACATTTAGTCAAAAACAACAGGCTAACATTTATAGAGAAAATATTATATGAAAAAATTGTGTACCATTTCCAATGTTCCAAACGCACTTGCCCAGTTTAGAAGTGTCTGTCCCACATCATCCATATAGTTAACTTCGAAAGCACCTGCGAAAATAGCAATGGTGGTAAAACAGGACAACTTTCAGTTCGACTTTTCAGTTATTTGCGAGCTATTTTTAGGTAGTGATTTTTCGAAAAAAGTTACAATAAAAGAACAGAAAAATTTTCATGACTGAACTAGCGATAGTAAAGAGGAAAGACTAGCATATCAACAAAAAGGAAACCTACCAGAATCAATGGCCTCAATCAATGCATCCGTGTCTTTGCTCCTGATGCAATCAATCAAGTGCCTATGAGACCTCTCTGCGCTACTATCCATCCTTTTCAGCCCAGTTAATCCACTTCTGCCACTGAAACTATTTGACTTTGGAAGGGCATCTCTCCCTTCAAACAGTAATACTAACAACAAATCGATAAGCCTCATTGTGTCCAAAACACACCTCTCGTCTCCTTGCATTGCCTTTTCTATTGCATCCATTAAATCAGCTCTTAGAAGATCCTAGTTGGATAAAAAAAGATTGGCTTTATATTTCCTGTCTATATCTTTCTAATTCTCAGCAGGTTGGTCTTATAATTTTTGGATACATATTTATAGAATGTTTGAAGGGTAAGAATGTTTGAAATGACTTAGAAACGATAAGCATTGTTGACTTTTATGTGCTAGTGTAACCCAGTTATCGCATTAAGCATGAGATGCAAAGTTGGAAACGGAAAATGTTCAGTACTACTTAACATAGCTCTCCCCATACAGCATCAAGGACTCCAAGAAATAGAAGAAGATAGCAATTTGCTTAGGCTAGTTTTACATTTCTTACAGGAAAAAATGATTTAACAAAACATCGGTAGCTATGACATAAATAGCCTTAAAGTTTAACTAGCACATGTAGCTATTTGATTCAGAGTTCAATTACATATAAATAGAAGTACATACGTGGGTAACACTGGGAGACCCTCTGCATAATGTTGACAAAACACTAACAACCATGGATATATTCCCTGCATTGCTTCGCGTATCTGGTGAAGTTGCTGGGACACTGGACTGTTTATCAGACGAGTACTGAGAAGCAGTTGTTGCTAGCTTCTCCAGAAGTACATTGGCCAAACCGTGTTTAGCCAATGGAGCTGGGTCAACACCACGTCTTGTGAATCTATCAGCTAAACAGGCAAAGCAGCGAAGGGCACTGTCAGCAACCTAGAAAGATTAACAATACAATGTACCTAAGCTTAATGTAAAATTTCAGAATACAACAATAATCCAAGCCATATGTGACTAGATTCCAGGAAGCTGATAAAAAAATCTCAAGCTCTGTAAACATTCCTAAATAGAAAAATAAACATGGCAGCGTTTCAGCAAGGTAGGTTGACTTCTTCTTTGAACAACATGCTTTCTGGGCATTGTAAAATTCAATTCATTACCGAAAACTGAGATCTACCCATCAAATCTATGTGACAACATACTGTGATTTGACTCTTCTCTAATATATAAGTTACAGCTTGGAGTAATGATCTGAGTAAAATATTACATACATATGTGTCCTCAGCCTGCAACAAAATGGACAATGAATCTACACAGCTTTCTAGAGTTGGATCATTTGGTTCCATCTTGGCACAGAGTCTTGCTACAACTGACATTGCAGAGTGCAAAGTGTCCTTGTGAATTTGAAATCCATAATCTTTTATAAATGACAGTATGCAAGTTAATCCACCAGCATCATATATTGCCCCAGCTTCTCTTGTGCACATTAGTTCCAAAACCTACGTAAATAAAAAATACGACAATCACCTAAATGAACACAACTCTGTCTAAATTTTCTTAAGAGAAAAACACTGTGGGTGAGCTAAGCATAAAAAGCTTACCTTTATTGAACTCAATATATATTATGTAGGTACAGCGGTGAAAGGTGTATATATACATTAAAAGACAGAATTATTTGGTGTAAATTCAATTGTTGGCAAAAAACAGGTTATTACTAGAGATTTATGTTTTAATAACAAGATAACAATGATAAAACCTTTAAAGTACAAAGCCAGTTACCCAAGAGGATAAAATAATATATATTTTGAAAAAAAGTAAGCATGTATAATGAATAACGCTGGGCTTGAAATATAAGCTGATGTTTAAACAAGATTATGATTGGAAACATGAGGGTGTTAAAGTTTTGTATAAAAGGAAAGATAAATTTTCAATTGCTGAAAGACTGAGACTTGCAACACAACTCCTCGTTAAAATCCAATTTCACTTGAAGTACATTTTCACTAAAAATAATCAGTTTCTGTATCAGGTGTTAAGATAATTTCTAAAGTAACAAATGCAATTCATCTGAATGGCACTTACAAGGACTACAGACTATGATATCTCCAAGTAAACTTACCTTAACACATTGTTCAGCAAGATCCTTGCTTGTTCTTGATGTTATATCAACAACCATGAGCCTAGTACACAGAGCTTTGGCTGCTCCTTCAACACTGACAATACGCCTTGAACATTCAGCAGATACATCAAGGTAGTAGGTGATAGCTCTTGCTGTAACTTCCAGAATATTGTCAGGTGCAGTCTCATCCATGAATATGTGGCATAATGCTGGCAGAAATGTTCTTGGGGGACAACTTTGATAAAAGACAAATTATATATAATCAATAAATTTTAAAATTAAACAAAGCAAGGTGGTATTACAAACTTACTTTTGAGGGACAGTTTTGACTGAATAATTTTAGTGGAAGTTTTAATAATTTCCCTCTATTATTCACTACTTATTCAACAACCTATCAGCACCCCATTTCCCTTGGAAGAGTCAAAGAGAAAAATCTCTAGGTGGAATAACTTGCAATTTTCAAATGCTTTTTAATTATACATTTACAATGCTTGTGAGTGCTGCAAACCCAAGCAAAAACACTATTAAAGCAGAGTTTCTTACATGAAAGCAACATATTGTAATGCATTTTTTGTTCAAAGAATTATCAACAAAGATGGTAATTTTATAGAGCAGTTTCTTTAATTTTAATCTTCTTAGAACTATCCATATGGTATAATGTTAGAAAACAAATCAATAGGTATAAAACCTTCTTTAAATTCTTTAAAAATCTACTCAGAAAAAATTGTGCATCTTTTGTCTCAAAAATTTTAAACTTATTTGAAAACAATTTTTCTTGCAAAGAATAAAAAATTCAAAGAGCGCTTGGAACAACTTATCTAAGTCAATATTAATCTAATTCAGTCTGAAAGAAATTAAGATAGATCTTTAAAATTTTCCACTTGACATAGCAACATTGAGAGATTGATCAAAGTGAATCGAAGCATCATATCCTAACTGGTAAATATGTGAAATTATCTACCTTATTACACAAAAATAAAGTGGCAAATTAAATAATGCAGCCTGACAATTTCCCTTTTAATTTAATGTCCCCGTAATTTCACATTTGTTATGAAATGTTTAGCATTAAATAAATGTTTGTTAATTTCATCTCACTAGAATTTTTTCTGTAACTTTGCAAAACTACTGAAAAGGGCCACATTTTGTGATTATATTTGTAAAATATTATTATATCACAAAAAAAGAGGATATATATTAAATAGTATGATAAAAAAGTTTCCTCAAATTGACTTGAACTTTGTTTGTTTTTTTCTTGTGCTTATTTTGAATGTACTCTTGAGCACATTTTGGGGTTGGGAGGCTCTAGACAAATTTGCAATTTTTATGGTAGTTTTCCTACCATTATCTTTGATGCCAAAACATTGATATCATATTTCAGCAAAACGTACGGGGGCTACAGCCCCCCAACACCTGTTCAAACATGCCTATATTATATATTTCAATAAAAAAGTTTTGTTTACATTGAAAATTGGTGTTAATTAAATATAAACCATTCCAATGTAACAATTTAATTGATTTACATCAATTACCACACATTTTGAAATCCAATCTTGCTATTCCCCTTAATCTGTGATTGTATTCATTTGCTTCATGTTATTTGGTGTACCAGTTTATTTTTGTATAATAAGGTATATCATGACATGATAACACAGGGATAAAAGAAATGTTTCACAATCAAGTAAAAAGATGGCACACATTTCATGTGGAAAAAGGAGAATTCATCCCTACCTTTCAAAACACCTGTCCACATTGTCTGACATCAGGAGAAGCATGCAAAGTTGCTCTAGTGCAATCAGTTGCATGTCTCTCTCGTCCCCTTGGCCCATTGTCAACCATTCTAACAAAGTATCTGGGTCTATTTCACTCATGTTGCTGTAAGAATGATACAAAGATACATGTAAATTTACAAGCCTATTGCCAAAATTTAAACCCGTGCAGATTGAATTAATTTCTCTTTCGTGACCAAGTTTCCAGAAAAATATAACTAAGCCTTCCAGTTAGACAAACTCTAAGTTTTTCCGTGGAATGAGTTGGTGGCTATTACAATTAATCCCAAGCAGTGCCTAAAATGCGGTGTCGTCAACGTTCTTTCGTTAATTTTCTGTCTAACATTACACATTTGCTAGGCTACTTAATTGATCAAAACATTTAACATTTTCAGTGACTGGCCTTTCGCGATTTGAAACTGAAGCACAAACGAAAAATCAGAAAAATTCGAAACTAATATTCTACGCCGAGAAACGATAGGAATGAACGTCCTATCGAATGAATTCGTTCGACCCAAAATCAAAACCATAATAAAATCTCAAATGCCAAAACAGGAATAAACAAGCTGAAAAACAAGACAATGAATCCTTACATTCTATGGAAATGAAACCTTCAAGCGGAAAGTGGACCAGACACTTTGAAGGCGGGCCAGACTCTACAAAGCGGACCAGCTGCCTGCCCGCTGACAATGATGCTGAAAAACCTCTCGCTTGTTTTCACGTCCTTCCTGCTAGGCCCAACTTCCACCGAGAGATTAATAACTCTTCTAGATCGCCACAAACTCACAAGAATCAATATGTGTACCGCTCATACTTTAGATAAGTGTCAGCAATAATTTTCCAATCGATACCGTACTGTTTTAATTTATTATAATGAGAAATTCTCAAGAATTATTCGCCAACTTTTTGACGGTACATTGTGACCGTAATGCGGTCAAAACTGCATTTGCGATTGTTGTTGTTACGAAATTATACAATCGTGCCCAGACTCTTTTCAAAAATAAAGGAAACACGTGCTTATGACATCATTATCGCCGGCAGAATTCGGCAGAATAAAAATAGGAATGTGCGGAATTTCTTTGATCGAACAAAGGGACAGGGTGTTACCTCATTGATGTTAATCAAAAAATGGTTTAAACTAAAGTAGAATCCTAAAACAAATTACGTTGCGTATTGGCTCTCCTTCGCAACGGAAAGTAAAGTCTGCACACAGGCTAGACATGAAAAACTCTACGAAATATTTCAAAATATGCCAAATCCGTTTAATGAGTCAAAAACCGGGTGAGAAATAGCCAATGAAAGATTCGGAATTTGCAACGGATCACTGTTATTTTGGCTCTGTGCATAAAGTTGTATGAACAGAGACAAAATTACTGAGGTTTGATGGGGCAAGAGCCTGTGCTCATCTGGTCATATCCCTGCCAACTCGCGACACCTTTACCTGATTTTCCATAAAAAGCGGTATTTGACGATGCTCTTTCAGGTTATGAGAACAAAATTCAAAATTTCTAAAACTATATTTTTGTGACGTTATCACATAAAAACTCTATAATCAGGCAGTTTCTTTAATACGTATGATTGCTGTTACGGTATGGGATAAAGAATTGAAAGCAATAAAATAGAAAAACTATTTCAACTTTTTCTAGTTCTATTATTTTGTCTTTATTTATCTATTATTTATAGATAATACCCTCAGATTACTGTGTAACGTCTCAGTGCATTTGATGGCCTAAAGTTAAGATTCAGCTTACAATAAACGGTTCAAATACATATAAAATTTCTCAAAGTTATCAAAAAAAGAGCAGGTCTTTTTGGCTTACTTCATATGTCAGTTATTAGTATGTGTTGTCACTTAGCAGATTCATTCCTTTCCCAAATTTCAAACAACTATCAAAAAAATAATATCTGCTGAAACGATAAAATACGGGTAGATAGAAAATAAGAGCAAAATTTGATAAAGAATGAAAGTCGACCTTAAAAAAGAAGACTTTTTCTCAACATTTTCATGAAGGTTAGATACAACTATCCATACTATTTGTAAATTACATTTTAAAACTCTAGCGATTTATTGGCTGTTCTTGGGTTGCTTGAGCACAATGGGGTTCCACTTTGTATCTTCACTTTCTTTGCGTCGAGTTGTGCTCGGCTGGCTGTTTCTGAAAGTTCCGGTGGTAAATGTAGTTTCTGTGAATAAAGAAAAAGAACACACAAAGTTAAAAAATGTTGAATAGGGAAGACCATTTTGGATGGTTTGCACTCAGTCCTTTCGAGCACGTGACATGTCGTAGCGAATTAAGGTTAAGAATCCTCAAGATGTTATTGGTAGTGCTGCTTGCAGATGCTAGATGTCACTATACTTATAATCAATACCTTAAGTTCTGTTTAAAGTTATGTTTTCTTTACAGTCCTGTCTAGCATTACAACTGACCGTAATTTTTGTCATGTCGTGCAATTATTGCATAAACTAGCAATGTGCCAGATTGGAATGAATTATAAACAATATCAGCCACACCCAATGTTGGTAAGAGTAGACAGAAATTGGAGGACAAAAGAGCAACAAATAACTAGGCACGAAAAAAATAATGTCAAGAGTCACGATATTCGGTCTTTCCCCGGCTGCAAATAAACTAGAAATAACGAACAGTTATCAACTGCGCGCACTAATACGCACAGAAAGTTGTGTGATACCATGTGACACGTTTGAATCGTTGCAAAAGACGGCACGTAGCGCATGCGCGGGTGGTTGATGACGAAAATCGCAGTATATCATGCTTTCTTCTTTATCGCGTTTAAAATTGTTAAACCCAGGGCAGTGAAATTAAATTCCAAATAAACATGTCAAAAAACCAAACTTGCCTCGATTGAGAATTTCTTTCTTTTAAGTTTGAAAGCCCAGTCCGATGTGTCAATATCATGACCCGCTAGACAATTAATCCTTCCTTTTTTCTTTATATGAATTAAACCTTGAAAGCAAAAAAATTAAAGGAATATTTTTAAAATGACATCAAAATTGGTAAAATCAGCCAAAAAGATTCAATTTGAAGATCAATTAAAATCTGGAATCTTTCATATTTATTAACTTACAATTGAAATTACTGCTGATTGACATTTTCGTTGTTTCAATCCATGTAGTCGAGTTTATGAAGAAATTTATACGTTTTGATTTTCAACCTGTATGGAAACTCTGCTTTCTTATTACTTATTCTACTTCTCAATGTCTTAATACGTTGAACATCAAAATCGTTCAAAACAATTTTTAACTAAAAAAATTGGCACCCTGATAACTGTAAAAACTGCAACCTTGGATGAAAACGAAGAATCGTAAAATATGTAACAGGGAATTAGCTAATTACACGCCTAAAGATAGGAGCTAATTAGATACCATCGTAGTCAGCAAACGCAGGGTTGTGTTCTTTTATTGATCCTCCAAAAGATTCTAGGCGAACAGCATTGTCAACACATTGTTCCAACCTTCTTGAGATTGACGGATCCTGCAAAGAGCAAGGCACTACAAGGATACGATATTTGAATTTAAAATGATGGCTCCTTTACTTAACAAGGTTTTAACAAGATTTTCCAGTCAAATAGATAACCAATAATTACTACTTATGATTCAAAATAGAGCAAAATTAATCAACATCAATTCACATATTTTTTTTAAATCTGCCAAAATAGCTGAATTTTGTAAAAATAACAGGAAAACATCAAATATCAAAACAAACTTCATTAGTGCAAATGGCAATCAACTCTTCGTGAAAAAATTCTTTGGCGTTACAAAATTTGTAAATGGCTTTGAAAAAAGCAAAAATTTAAAAACCTTTTTTTAAAGCATGTAGAAACAAAAAGAAATGGTGCGAAACCATATTATTAAAAGGCACCTCGAAAAGATGAACAGGAATTGTTAATAGACAGACTGCAAATGCATTCCGCAGAATAGAGCGCAAGGCAAGAAGAAACCAGGAAATTGAGCTCATCATTTCATCCGTAGAAGTGAAGGTAGACCACAATGGAGAACCAAATGAATTCAGAGCTAGGCGAAGAATTCTTTTATCTGGCTGAAAAATAACAATTGAAAACAACATGTTTAAAACATAAAAAAGATCATGGTTTTTGAAAATGTTCTAATAGACAAGAGAGTAAATCAACATTTAAATTGAATGACTCGTAGAAAACGCAACTACTGTTTCTGCTTTAATTATAATCTAAAAAGCAACATAAATATAAGAAAGACTGGTGACAAATAAAACTACCATGCACATCAGAATGATTTCTTGATGTCTTCGTTAGGAATTATCTCTCTCTAAGGCTCAGTTATTGATAATAATGTCATTCTTTTTGATGGAATTCACCTCTGATTGCAACTTTAAGCAATAGCAACAACAATCGGGAAACTATGATAAGGAATCAAGGACTCTATTTGGTTCACTGTCATCAAATTTCAAGAAGAAATTATTTGATTTTTATCAAGGCCTCGGTTTAATTTTTGTGGTTGTCAGATCTATCAGCTGTAAAAACCAATACGTTTGGTTAAACAACAAATCTGTGTTATGGCACTCCTTTGCTAAACTCCGCAGTTTAGATATGCCCTCACAGTAGTATGAATGCCTTACAGATTTAACAAAAAATAGACTCTGGGAAAGTCTATCTTTGCTATGACACTGTCTTTTAAAATGCGACAATGAAGTTATACACAGGAAACAATGACATGCAAAAAATATCAAAGATTCCCTGTTTGAATTATAAGTATAGGCATAAAGCATTGATCATCAAGTATAACGACTTTGATTGAGATTCCATCCATATTCCAGCACTTGGAAAAATAGAGCTGCCTGTTATTATTTCTAAAAATGATATTGAATTAAAAGCTCCAATTGTATCGATGAACATACCTGACTACCTGCTGATGAATAGTTATGGTTTTTTATTAAATTTTGAATATCTGAGATAAGTGCTTTGCAAACGGGGTTGATTTTATCACTGAAAAAGAAATAACAAAACAAAAATGCAAAAAATGCAACACATATAAAAAATTACAGGTACAAAATGCAGTGTAAATTGGGATTGATTGTTCTTATCAAAGGAGTAAATGAAGATCTTTTAGATCCCAAAGCTAGAAAAAAGAGCTATCAAAAATGAGTCTGAGAGAATAAATCTCCTACCAATCATCTAACTTTGAAAATCATAAAATCCTGAATGCAGTAGTAATGATGCACTATTGCTAATACAATATGGCAGACTGAAAAATTAAATTTTGGCAAAAAGTACATTTCATTCAAAGATAGAGGTGGCATAAGACTTGAGATACATATATTTATGCAGACCTTTCTCTTACACATCATGGGTACTTGGGTGTCAATAAAAATATTGAACTTACTTCACTAAAAAAACAAGATTTCATATAACAAGAGCCAATGTACTAGCACACTCACTTCTTCTGCTTTGGTTCTGTTTCAGTGTAGTTGGTAGAAATAAATTTTGTGATGTGAAGACCTGAGAAATGATGGTCCCCCATAGTTGTAGTCAAGTCATAATAATGACCAAATTTGACTGTATTCGAAGTTACCTTTGGGAGAGATAACTGGAATTAAACATGGGATTGTCTCAAAACTCAAAAGTAGGAACGTCTTCCAGCTATTTCAGAAATCAAACTTGATGTATGTTTTTAGAATCAAATTGCAGCTTTGTCATCACTAATCCAATATGACACTGTAACTGACAATAATTCATTTTAAATAAAGACAAATATTACCTCTTGGCTTGAAAGATTTTGATATCTCCATGCAATTTTCAATTCTTCCTCATTATTTTTCTTTTCGTCTGGCTCTCTAGGCGCTTTAGATTTAGGCTTCATAACATCAGAATCAACAGGTGTTGGTAATTTCTGAAAAAATGAAAATTATATCACTATTCACATTAGTCTCTCTAAATGAATGCAAAATTTTAAAGAATTAAGGCTATATATGTATATATTATATATGTATATATAATACAAAGTTAAGCTTATCATCATCTCTTATACTGTACACCTGTGAATGATGTCAAGTTGTGTGAAAGTAATTTTTTTCTTGCTTTGCTTGAAAATTTGTTTCTATGCAAACCAAAAATCCAGGTTTGGTTTCAAACTGAGATTGACATTGTTGCTGATGTTGTAGTGGCAACAATAAATGACTTTCAAATAGAAATATTGAAATTTGTTTGAAAATTTTCGAGCTTATCTTGTATCCAATTCATAGCTCAACTAAAAGATGTGGGAAGAAATTCCACATAACCTAGCAGAACACTACAACAGAAAATGGTAAAACATTTACAATTAGTACACACAAAAAAATTATTTGTGCGGGTTTTCAAGAAATAATTAGCAATACGCACTAAAGATTTTTCAGATTTAAAGATCTAGTTACATCTACTCTGGGCAAAAACTTAAATAGAACTAAAGTGTATGTGTAAAGGTAAAAGCTGGCTTTAGCTAAACGAACAAATTTCTAAATATAAATCAAGCATATCATCCAGTGGCACAGCAGCAAAAACGTTTGGGCAGTGGACCCCCTTGCCCCAACAAACCTGAGAAATTTTTGCAATTTAGTGTTGTTTTGCCTATTTTCTTGGCACTTTGCCCCCTTTCCCTCTTTGAGTGTAGGCTTCCCTCCACCGCAGTATAACACTCTACAATTATCCAATTTATCTACCAGAGGAAACAAACAACACAATCAGATTAAGCTCCTCTTTGCCACTAACCTAAGATAAGATTATCCCCTAACAGATAAGATAATCCCTTACCTCAATGGGTCATTATTTTTAGATATACTGTCCTATCTATGAAAAAATACTTTAAATGTAGATTTTATCAAAATATCAATCATTTCTTAATGAAAATTGGAACTTACTTTGAAAATTTCATCTGCAGTACAGGCATTTGCAGAGACAATTGACAAGCCATGTTTGCATATTACACCTTCTGCCAAAAAATACCTCAGCAAAATATTCGAGAATATTGCATGTGTATCCTCCTCTGTAAAAAATTATTCAAAAAAATTTAATTACTAGGCACAATCAATTGAAAATTTTTAAGAATAAAAGCTAAAATGCCATGCTAAGATAAATCTTCAAGTGCAAGAAAAAAATTGTATGTGTAACTACCTTACATATGAAGGTAGTTTTTAGGAAAATGTCTTGGTCCTTCCACTTGATGTGATGACACCTTGTGATTTACATGCCTGGAAATGCAGAGAGCAGGCAACCCCCTGAAGCTAAGAGAAACTTTGTTCATATCAGGGACTGGAGCCCTAGACTATTGGATCTGTAGTCTGTGGCCCTAACTACTGTGCCATCCTTTTACTTAATTTCCTTGTCCTGGATTTATATTTTTGAAATAAAGATATGATGAACCTTTATAATGCTTACCAATTAACAGCAATGATCCAACAGGTATTCCTCCACCTTCAAAAGAAGGAAATGTTGTGTTTATTGGCAATAATGTCATTGTATATGAGGTTCCAAAAGGTAAACAAAATTTTGCGCAGCCAATAATTGGAACAAACTTCCTTGTCTTCCTTGTCTAATTGTAGAATTACTAACCTTAACTGTAGTCAATATGTACTTAACCATCTATCTATGTAATAATGTACAGCAAAAAATTGTAGTTATTATGTATATCATTGGTTAGTACAGTTTTGAAGTTAATTGGCCAAGTTAATGATTTTAATCTAAGGATGAATAAAATGTTTAATACAATTATTTTAAACATAAAAGTTGTTTGATTGAGTAATAAGAGAAAGCTTTGCATAAAAGGTTTGTGCTTCTGAGCTAGTTGCATTTAAGCTCCAGAAAGCTGCTTATGTCCTTTGGTCGCGACACATAGACAGGCACAGTGTTCACATCTTTGCAGCATTTGAAAAATAATGTTGTTTTATATTTTTAACAGGACTGCAATGCAATGAAATACAAGAAAATAAAATAAAATAAAGATATTATTTTATTTTATTTTATTGTTTTGTATTGCAGTCCTGATAATATGAAGTTTGTGAGCCTGCTTGTAATCGCATGCGATGTTGTGCAATGTTTATGATTTTTATGAAGACCTGATAGGCTTTTAAATGCCATGTATGTATTTGAAGGGGTGTATCACAGTTTGAAAAAACGTTTGAGTTTTTTCAAATATTCTTTACACCATTAAAGAAGAAGTTTCTTGCAAAAGAAATAATTTAACAAAAAGCATACAAGCCATGTTGCCATTACTCTATATTTGTCTGAGAAAGGATACTATTCGATTTTGAGTTCTATTAATAGGAGTCATTTGATACCAAACCAGAATCATTCAAATATGCTGTTCAAAGTTGAGTCAATCGAAAATGGGATCATTTGAAACTCATAGTTTTATTGCAAACAGCAAAGACAATGGCATTCAAAAACGGAGTCTTTCAACCTCAGCAAAAAGAGCTCAAACAAAAGATATGAGAACGGATAAAAATGGAGTAATGGAAAAACCCACATTATATTTTGACCAAAACGGGGTGGTGCAGGGTAAATAACAAAACACGGAAATAACAAGAAATGAAAACAACATAAGAGAAAAAGAATAGTAAGGCATGTGTAGAGGCGTGCATGTGCGATCCCATGCCTAATATTACCAGGACTGGTATTGTATTGTATTGAAATTCAAATTTTGTGACAAATTACAAATTGTACAGTTACAAAATTACAAAAATTACAAAAAATACAAAATTTGAAAACTTTTAGATGTTTGTGTGACAGTGAGGTACCTGGAGAGTTGCTTGGTTCCCTGTGCATGTGATACTTGACTTAATAAACCTTGTACATGGGATGCTTTATGCTTTAATAACTTATGCGCCAATCCAAGGTCTTTATTAATTATACTAGGACCCGGCCAGGGTTGAATCCATGTAACTTATGCCATAGACACCCAGCATAGACTAACAGTTTTCCGTTGTCTTTTTATTGTTTGAAGTAAATAAGGAACAGCAAAACGTGCCAAGAATAAACAACAACAAACACACATAAATCAGTTATGGCTAACATTTTATCCTGGCATATGGTGCTTCATCAGAGCCAAAGTAAACAGACTAAAAAGTGTACAAATTTAAAATAGGTGATGGTGGTGTCGCATTGGTGGATGTGGAATGGTGTGATGCAGCACACTTGATATTGTTTTTTTGGTTATATCTGGCATGAGCTTCACATGCATTCAACCCTGGGGACCAGGGAATCGATCATATCATTCACTCCATAAAAATGTGCTCATCCATTTTGTAGATTTCACTATTAAATTAAGCTTACAGTTACAATCTCTTTGCTTTAGTTACAAGTTTTGAAGCAACATTTGGCATCACTATAACTGGAGTGTACTGTACTTAGTTTTTAGACATTTTATCAAAAACCTAAAATTCAAATTACAAATCACATTTAAAAAAATTTCTCGGGTGTGCACGTGCCATACTCTGCAGTCTTGACAAGTTACAAGTGCTTACATGATAGGTGTTACAATGCTACAATGATACATAAAGTTTTATGTTTGCTCATATTTCGTGTTATAACTCATATAAACCATTTTGTATGTGAAAAAATGAGAATTTCCTTTCGATTGCACCTTGATATCCCATATCAGTCCAACCATTTTCTCCCTTTTTCACATCGATCACAAAACGCACTCCTTTCAAAATTGAAACTTGACGGGTCTGTTTTTAACGAGAAAACTCACCAATAATATTATCCAAAGAGGGTACACCAGAGCTAACCAGCAGCTGATTGTTACTTATTGATAACTTTGAGCCTCGCGGTACTGCTTGCCCTCGGCTAGATAGTGGAACAGATTTTTTCTTGAAGTTGGCCGCCATTTTTATTATTATTATGCCATGCCTCGCCTCTCCTTTTTATCAAGCATTGTGAAAACGAGGCTGGCATCATGGCTACAGAGTACAAACAATCATTCTGGCCCATTCTGTTACCGAAGTCTTTGTAACAAACCATCTTGCCTTGGCTTTAAGTTTCAATATCCATGGCCTTTTTTAACATACTAACTAGGGGGAAATTCCCCCTACAGCTCCAACGACTTTCCATTGTTTTAAACAATAGGCTATTGTTCTTCTCCTTATATAAACAAAGGTTTACAAAGGTTTTTTTTCATTGGAATAGGCTAGGGCAGAATTGCACGAAAAACACTCCTTTAATAATGTGTTGCATTATCTTATCAATTTGTACAGATTTAGGCGTTAATTTATAAAATTGAATGTTGTTATAAAAGCGATCACTAAAATAAATTGGCTCTCATTACATAAAGAAACAATCTAAATATTTTAAAACACGAAATACTTTTTGCTATTTTACTTAATTACATCGAGTCACGCCTTAGCCGATAGTGACCGCATGCATCGAATGTGTTTCACTATAGACTGAAATTTGCACAAGTCAACACAATTTTTTTTGCCATAGGTTGGTTTAAAGTATCTACATACCTTGCTGACCTGTTCTTATCTGAGGAAATTGTGAAGTACAATTGAGTCTCGCAAATGTGCTCTGAGATCTGGTACAAAACTACTTCACTTGACGTTTCTTTAAAGTTTTGGTTAAGACGGTTTCTAATGAAATAAATACAGTTCTTAACATCAACCAGTATAGAAGTGCCAGACACCACGGAGCGTTGAGAAAAGTGGGAGGGGGAAGGTCTAAAAAAGTGCGGGGGCTAAAACAGAATACAAAGAGGCTTTACTGGTGGTTCACTTCTAAATATTTTGCATTTTTTGTAAAGAGTGGGATGCCATTGCCCCAGCCCAGCCCAGCCCAGCCCCCCTACTCCGCGGTGCCTGAAGTGTATAGGACAGAAACGATTCAGCGAACAGGAAAAAATTCAGAATAAAAGTAACTACGCTCGTTTTACTCTTGAATAGTCAGGCACAAGACATTGGACATACCATGCTTGACTTTTACGGATACTTCTATATTGCAGCGTCATCTCGTTTTTAAAAAATGTTTGATGTAAACTATTTCGAGACTGGTAGCTACACATTTGCGGCGATTCATTTTCTCAAAGACAGTAAAAAGTTATATGCAGGATAACCTTATAGAAAAGAAATTAGCTGCGGAGGAAAGCATTTGTTTCTATTTTGAGGAGGAAAAAATTTTATTGCTTTAAGCAATAGAAGAATACTGGGGCTGGAGGGGAAATTGCCCCCTCCCCCCTAGCTGGTACGTTAAAAAGGGCCTCTTATAAAGGTATAAAAATTTTTTCATTATACGGAGTAATCTTCCCAAAACTTAGACTTACCAGAGCTAAAACCTAAATTTGTTTACTTAAACAATTCCAAAATTTTATCAACAATTTCGAGGGGTAATTGTTAACAAATTATTTACATCTCAATGAAGTGGAACTAGTGTCTTTTCAAATTTTTACATTTACCCGAAGCCAAATCCTTCAGACCCTTCATTAACTGCAATTAACAGCAAGCGCTTGAATTTGTCTTTCGATGAATAGACGGGCAAACAAAGCATGTTAAAACTATAAAACAAAAATAGGAAACACTCATTAATTGTCCAAGAAACAATGTACAATTTCTTTGAAACAATAATCACTAAACGTATTTTCTAATTAATGTGTGCAAGGAAGAATCAATGACGAAACTAGGCAGGTAATGTAATCAACATTGACCAAATGAAGAAGAGAAATATTGAGAAGCATTTTCGACAAAGCCTTGTAAATCGCAAAAACTTCAAAAACTTCAAAATTGATGTTTTCTCACTCGAAAAAGCATTAAAAGCATACCAGGTATGTGCTAATGGCAGAACATCAGTGCCAGGATGTGAGTTGATTTGAAACATTGGATTAAGATTTTTGAAGCCACCAGGAGGCAATTGGGCAGAGCCTGTAGTGAACTGAAGAAGACGTGCAAGTTCCTCTTGACTGAAACCAAAGATAATCTCCCAAAACCACACCAGTGTCTGCAAAAATATTACAGAAAATAGAAGGTGAAAGAGACATACCTTGCCAAATAAGAAGCCCAGCGTGATCAAGTTAAAATAAGGCAAAGAAATAATGAAAGGCATATATAATGATAAAACGAGTTTGAATTCAATGCTTCAACATAATGTATAAAGAATTTAATTTTTGAAATTAATTGTGAATTCAAGAATCATTGCACAAATTTTGGGCAGATGATATTTTAGGGCAGGCAAAATATTATGCTAATAAAATTGCCTTTAAGAATAGTTCCTTAAAGAATATCGACAAGAGCCACTACCCATAGGAACATAAACGACCAACTGTTGCATTAAAGACTCATTGCTAACAATGGGCCTTTGCGAGCGTGGCGACGATCCAAACAATGGCAGTAAACTGTCTTCAATGACAGTAAATTGATTTCAGACTGTCTAAAAATGCATTGTCGGATGCTTGCGTAGCGCAATGGCTCATTGTTAGCAATGAGTCTTCAAGAAGAAGATTAAAAAATTATGCTTCACGTACGTTGTCAAAACTGTAGCCTCCGCCAAAGCACTTTACGTAATTCTCTTTAAGATCCATTGGACTTATTTCGTGTGTCCCACATATAAGAAGCTGACAGGAAAAAATATTTCCGTTTTAAATAATTGCAATGTAATACATCTAAAAGCTAGTCACATGTGACTACCTGCAAATTTGTGCTTGATAAATGAGACAAACACAAAAATCAAATTTTAAAGCCTATTTCACGACACCTTCTAAGGAAAAAAGGCAAACTTTCTACTTCCGAAGCAACGTTGCTCTCTAATCTTCTAAATAGCAATGTAAACAGCTTCACGGCTGGTTTGAAGAATTTGTTTCAAGGATAATTCAAGGTAAAAGCGGAAATATCTTATAGGCGTCCCTAGAAATTCATATAATACAGCACCGGTTAGCGTATGAAAAGATCCATGAAGGCAAGAGATGATTTAAGATTCAAACCAAGAGGTTACCATATATGGAGAAATTCAGCTTGAAGGCATTTGACGGATACTAACGAGGGTTAAGTCGGCTGTCAAGCAAAAAAAGCCAATCAGCAAGCATGTAAGTGGTATCATGCTGACTGATTGGCCAAATGCTGGTTGACAGATGGCTGAAGCCACTTTAGTATCTGTCGATTTCCTTTAAAACAATATCAGAAAATAAAACATGCAACGCTTAAAAACTAAAAATAAAAACAAAACATGACTTATTAGATCAAACAATACAAAAATAAATTATTAGATAAAAACTGTCATTTTAAGAGACTCGTCGTCAACAGAATTTTTTGTCGCATGGCTATTAGACCCACATTGGTAACCAGTTTTTCACAATATGAAAATGGTACCCTCAGGCTCATTTGCCGTCCTCTTTTGGAATTTCAAATTGATTGAGCCCTGTACTCCTCAAAAAATGTTTCACTAAAAAACTCCTAATATTTGATAAGTTTACTTCAGTAGATTTTCTCATGGAAAAGAAGGAGCAAGTAACGCAGAAGCCCTACCTCCAATTCACTTTCATCGAATATCGAGAGGAGGTTTTCTGGTATTAGAGCATTGAAACCTGAAGAAGACAAATGAAAACTGTTCAATGTTCAATAATGGCTAGTTTAAGTCTCAATTGAACGTACATTTATTTCCAATTAAAAACTCTTTTTTAGTATTTTTGAATTTGGATTCCATAAACTGAAGAAGCATCACGAAATGCCTCCTGTGCAAAATTACTTAACTGCTTATATGATATGATATGACGTCACATTTAAAAACTGTATACTGTATTAAAAATTTCAGGTATAAAGTCTCAACATCTATGTTCAAAAAGATTTATTCAAACTAACTGTCATACGGCCAGAGTTGGCAACAAAATGAAAAGACCAAGAAAATGATTTAGGGCTTCTTCAACAGTTTAACTACAAAAGTTATTGTTGGCAAATGGCTGCTACGGCAATATTGTTAAAAGTATGCCTTTGGTAAAATTTACCTTTGGTAAAAGAGTTTATTTCATCTTTAACACTTTTAATCATCCTGTATTCTGCACTGAGTTGTAGATACTTTAGTTTGTTGTCATTGGTGACATCTATTCGACTCCCTCCGGGCAGCAGTTCGACTGTCTTTTTAGGACATAAACAAAAATAACGTAAGTCTTTTGTTTGACTTCAGTATAATATTTCGTACACAGAGTAACCTTGATTTCACAGGAAATGACACCAGGCACTTAGTTCAGTCATAAAGTACTGTAAGGTTCAAAGGTCATTGGATTGATCGGACGTCTTTTTTGCACCTGATTCATTAAGCAAAGATTCGATGCTATGGATACTAGAAGAATTTTGGAAGCAATAGACATAAAGTGCAAAAATATTCAGTCGAATTTATGTAATTGGCATTTTCATAGTTGGCTGTTGCCGTTCTGTCCTGCACAGCAATACGTGCACAGCTCTCTCCATCGAGGCATCAAGCAATAAAAAACTAACGGGTAAACAGTTTTTTGGCATTCACCTAGTTCTTTTTCTGAAATTTCCCGAAATAAAAATGTAGGCCAACATTACTTCGACTGACGTATTTAAACAAAACAAAGCAAAACAGGTTGATGACGTTACTTTCTTTTGGTAGTTCACTTGCATAATGTTAGATCTAGCCGCTTTTATAGTTTCCTAGCAGGGCAAGATCTTATAGGAAAAAATCATTCCACCTTGCCGGGAAGGGACGTTATGCTGGGATCACCCTTTCAGTCAACGGAAACCCCTGCTAGCCGACACTGTTTTAGCCCACGTAGTCAGAACACATACCGTATTTCTTCGATTTAGTAAAAAAACATGCTGAAAACCTATTAGGGTACGTTACCAGCCATAGTACATTTCAGGGAAAAAAAGCCTTGTAAAGCTTGTCAAGAATTTTTCCAACAAAAAAACAAAGGACGAAGGACCTTCAACTCAACACCAGATGAAAATGACATTGATTGCATTGTTCTTCACTTGCCTCTAAAAACATAAGCCGCCCTTTGTTCATAAGCCATCTTTGATTATAATTAGCCATCCTTAATTATGTACAGCACCAAAAATGCTCAAAAATAACGATACGATACACATTATGTACACATGCGCAACCTGTAATCAGCCAATGACGTAGATAAAATGGCGGCATCCAAAAGATACTGAAGGGGATTCTTAGCAAAACAAAGTTCAGTTTGCCCCGCTTTCCTGGGACTATTCACGCATGCAATCACAATCAAAGCCATCCCTGCAAGACCTGGAGTTTGCCCCTTACCAGAAAAAAGAGATTTCTCCTTGCATACCTTGATAAAATTTTGCTCATCGTCATAAACATCCTCGGTAAATGTCAAATCCAACTCTTCTGGGTTATTTTTCAGAATGTAGTCAATCTTTGTTCTGTATAACTCTTTATCGTCTGATTCAAAAGTCTAAAAAAGTAAATTTTTTATCAATAAGACTTTAAAAAAATGGGTCTTGAATTGATATGCTTAGGCCCAAATTTGCCAAAGTCAAAAGCTACTTGATAGGATGCTTTCCATTTTAAGGATGCATACAATTTGTAATATTTAAATACCTCCATCATTCTATTGAAAAACAACTTTCTGAAATAAAAAGGGTGACACAATCAACTGCTTTTCGAGCAAGAAAGACTAGCAAGTTTGTTACACTAGCTTTGTCATATTTGCGATTTACCTCGCCGAGACCTTCCCTATCTCTGTGCTGTAGCTCTCTTCGTGCAGATTAAATACCGTAATGCCTCGAACAAGCGCCCTCTCAAATATGCGCCGACTCTAGGGGTGAAGTTATTGAATAAGCGCCCCCCTTCAAATAAGCGCCCAACCCTTGAATAAGCGCCAATCCTTCAACATCAAAACCGGGTGCTTATTCGAATTTTTAACGAAAACATAATTGGAAGGCAATTCAACAAGAAAGATTAATGGACAACACAATTCACACCCAAATCTACTTTTTAAATAAGCGCCCCCTCGATTAAGCGCCTCCCTCGAATAAGTGCCCACTCTGGAGCCTCAAAAATTAAATAAGCGCCCGGGCGCTTATTCGAGGCATTACGGTAAGGGAAAGAAATTAAATTTGACAAATGGGATTCAGTCATGGCACATTATAAATGTAGACCGATATCCGTTCAAATATATGATTGCATTAGATAGAACAATCTGAAACTGATGAAACCTTGGGATTAGCTTTAAGCATATCATCGCTATGCGTACACAGCAGCCACTCTACCTCGACAATTTTTAGTAGAAGTTAGAGCTGTGGATGGCAGTTAACACCTCACAACATGTACATAAAGTAAAAAATTCCCACCCCTCAACCAAAGTCGGAACATAGAGGAGATCTCAGTATTGAACTTAGGAGGAGATGCAAAATCTCAACAATTTCTGACAGTGAGGTTATCTACGCTGGTGTAGAATATGGGTCGATCTCTATCAGTAGAGGCCACCCCTATTGGCATTATTTGACTAGCCAGTGCTCTCAAACTAACAACTTTTCTGCGACTCGATAAAGCCAGACTCGAATAGAAATAAAATTCAATAGAACAAAAATTATTCGACAACCCAATACGCACCCTCCATGAAACATCCAAGCCAATAATTTGAGAAAGAAACGCTCTGGAAAATCTGGCCCTCACGAATTGTTGTCTGTCAAATGCACACTCGATAAGATGCTTTGCAACGATTTTTCCAGCAAATTCGTAGAGATCTAGCCTTTTCAAGGACGCTGGTCTGAACGGGTTCGGGTGAATCTACAGCAATAGCAGATTAAAGCTGTAATTAATTTTTCTTTTTTTTTTAATTGTTTCCACTCAAATTTATAGTTGTGTCAGGAGGATTGAAAAATTATTGTTTTCTCACAAGATCTATCAGATCTTAAGTGTAGGAATAAGCCCTCAAGACTCGGGAATATCATATCTTTAATTGAGATATTGTAAATGCATTCCTCTACAAACTACTATCTTGAAATTTGATCAAAAAAGCTGCGATCAGCGAATATTTTGCTTATGTTTGTGTATTTTCAATATCTAAACTTTTTATCAAATGCAAGTTAGACGAGCTGTAGAGGTAAGATACTACACTTTAAGATAACTCCAGGGTATAAAATTCCATAAGATTTATTTTGATTCAGCTAGCTTTCTCGCTACCTGAATTTAGAAGCACCGTTAGATATCGCTTTGGTATGATTCTGATACTTGGAATGAGCTTGCTGTAGGTTTACTTTATTGCCAGCTTAATCACGATGGCTATGCAGATTTTGCTATAATTAGGACTGCTATAATTAGGACAAGAGCGGATTGGACAGTACGGATAACGATATTCGTCTTTTACTTGTCAAAGAAGGGGACTAAATCTGGGGGTCAAATTTGTAGGATCTATTTTGATTTGACAGTACTGGTGCTATCTATAAAACACATTTATGCTAATCTAGCAGATCTTCTAAAGACAGAAATCTGAAATCTGAGATTTATCCAGGCAATGTAAATACCATATATTCCTGTCTACTGAAGAGAAAAAGCTTCTAAAAATTTAATTTAAGAATCCTTGCGCCTTACCAAAGACTGTGCATCATCCTTTCCTGATTTGTGAAACAAATGGTTCTCGGGCTTGAACAGCAAATCGCATAAAACCTGGAACCATTCCCTCCTGACACCTCCAAAGTCGAGACCTTGAAAAGATAAGACGATTTCCGCGTTTTGAATAATAACTTATGACATGATGACAGTATTAAGTCAACTGGAAAACAGTGTTGTCAGCCCTTGTTACTTTATACAATAATAACATCTATACAATAACATTCAAAAATTCTACGATTTTATAAGCTTTAGATTGGTACGTGTTATGGTTCAATGCTTTTCCATACCCCTGGTGATACTGTTGTGCAAATTTTTACTTAGCTAATTTGAAAGGAATTAAAGATTTCTTCATTGTTCGAGAATTATTTGGATACAGACTAGACCACGAAGGTACATTAAAAAAAATATATTGTTGTATGGCAGAAGAACGCGACGAAATTCATAGACCACCACACCAAAATCGCGCCATTTCACTGTCTTGGAGGAACATTTTAAATACCTAGTTGGTATGCATAATAATGCAAGATAGATGAACCCTTAAACGCAACTTAAACAAGAATCTTTCATACATGCCGCAGAATAGACGAACCGACAACTTAAAACTGATTCATAAGGATGAGTTGGTATATGCTCAGCTATTTTTATGCTGTGGCCTATGTGTTAATGTACGAAGAATGAGAACACCTAAAAGTCTTGGTCTTTAAAAGTAGTGGAGAATCTATATTCTCTAGTCGTACGAGAAAAGAAGGAATTTCATCGCAAGAAAGTAATGCTCCTTATCGCAAAAACATTACCAGGCTCATTGATGAAGTCAACTACAAATTCCTTCCCCCAGTCGCTGTCACTTAAGTACTTCACAGCATGCTGGGACTGCAAAAAATAGAGAAGTAATTCAAATGATTACAGTCTTAGATTACAGTAATGTATATTTGAAGCCAATTGATAATGAAGAAAATGCGGCTCTTGAGATGTCCCCTTGAGTTTTTGTAAGAATTCTCTAACAGAATTCTCAATTTCGATCCTCAAGTTGACTTGACAGACGTTTTGTACTTATTATGTTCACAATCATTTCAATTATTTATGAATGGATAAAAGAAGGATGGTTGAAAGATATTTCAAAAATTAATAAGCGAGAGGGGAACGCGATGATGATGTACTCCTTGTGTAAGACCTTTGCTGCATTACTGTAATTATGAAAATAAGCTTTTGGGGAAAGGGGATCACCAATTTGCCACCAGTGCTGAACAGTAGCTGCCAAAAAAACAATCTGCTCTGATTTGCATGAAAACTTGTTTCCCTTAATAGACTTTTCTAAACCAGTTTCTAAAATTTGGAAAAACACCAATGTACCTACATCTTTAAGAAGTGTCTCTCTATTGACCCGAATAGTGTGCCGTGAGTGGGATTTTCCGCTGTAACGTTTTCTCAGCTCTGAATACAGATAACTTCGTTTATTATCGAATGTATCGGCACCCCCTGTAAAATAATGTTGATAAAGTTTGGTAATACACGCATAAAAACACTTAGTAAATGTTTTATTAGATAGTGACGAACCCAAAATTAGAAATTTTCTTTACTAGGGCAAGAGTTGAGTGGTCGTGCAAAAAAAGTACAAAGAGATCGAAATCATCAGCGCAAAAACAGATTAACTTAAAATAAACCACTTCTAATTTTTCTAGATGGATGACTAGGCATTCTAAGGTTCAAGTGCATAAAACCATGTCTATATCACTAGTCTATATCACGTTTCGGTTTTTTTTACGAAACTATGCCACTGCCCGATCGAAAAACGTATTCAAAAATTTAAAATACAAAATACTGGAAAACTGCAAGTCAATGCCTACATTCATTATGTAAAAACGGAATAAAATTGGGCAGGCACCCATGCAGATTTCATATCAATGCCCTTTTGATTTATGTTTGAATCAAGATTATATACCTGTCTTTCTAAGAAGTGTTTGTGTGAATGCAGCAACGACGAGATCCCTACTTTTGCAAGCCAGTAAAATTGGATCATTCATGGGCACTTCAATAGTCATAAGAGGATAGCCAGTGTCATTGTCAATATTTGGTAGCAACGAGAACTGCAGAAAATGGTGAAAGTCAGAGGCTATAATGCGAGAAAGTAAGCATGAATCCTCGAGAGAGTCTCAGTCTATGCCTGACGTCAACTGGCAACGATTCTTTAAAGGGTGTCCGAGGAGCGACATCATGTAAATTACATCTTAATACAAAAAATACAACTGGAACATCCTAAATAAAAGAAGCATCAATCCTGGCGCATACAATACTGGAAAAAATGAGCAAAAAACGGATAAGTTTTTGCACTGTAAAAATCTGGTCGAATAAAAGAAGAATTATTACAATCACGAGTAAAAAGCCTTGAGCGTTGCCTAAAGATCACGTCAGTGTGAAACTCGGAGTTGCAACTTAGAACTGTCCTGTTTTATACACAAAAGCTTGTACAGCGCTGCATATATGGCATCGAGCACTACATAAGAGACTAGTAAACAGTAAGTTAAATTACCTTAAGTGTTGTACGAATTCGCATAGCACGGCATCTTTTCGGTATTATTTTCATGTAGTATTCTTTAATAAGAAGTTGCTGAAAAGCATAAAATTTCCGTTTTAAGACTGCAACACCAAATAGTTAATGCTATAAAAGACAAAGGCGAAATAGACAAAATACATGCATTGCCTTGAAAATAACGTTCACTAAGTCGAATTAGAACAGAAGCAAGTATCAGAAGCATTTTTTTGTCATTTCAAGTTAAGAGGGGGAATAGAGAGGTCAGAGTTGTGTTGCCGACTATATGGCGTCGCCATTGACAGAATGAATCAAAAAGTAGCAAACATTTCAACTGTCAATCAAAGTCTAGATACAATGCAAGGTACTTATGCTCAATCTTTATTCATTGGATAGGTTGAACAAAGAAAAGGTCTTTTAAATCTCCTATATAACAATTCTTATCTGAGTTTTAAACTAATGGAAACGGAAAGAGACATTTTCTCTTAGATATATGTTTCAATTGCCAAATGCATGAAATAAAAGGAACTAGTGACGATAAAAACTTAACGAATAAAATTGACAGAAGTCAAGCAATCGTTTACTTTACCTTTGTTGTTAAATATATGTAAACTTTTTTCCTTTTCGACCCTGCGAAGATGGGATCATGTACGCTTCAAAATACGTATACGATGAGGGATTTTGAACAATAGAATTCATTTTAATCCAGTCTTCATCTACAACAAACCATTGTAAGATACCAAGAATAAGAAATATTTTGCAATAGATAGTCTGGATTTTCCCTTAGCGATCTTCCTTTTCTACTAAGGCTTGAAATAACATTTATAGTTAACAGGAAAAAGTTTATACTTGCGGACCAACTTTATAATATAACTTTCATTCATCCATTTATACTTTCAATTCACAGACTTACCATGTCCATTAGCCTTTTTAAGTTACATTTTTATGTAAATCGAAATCGAGCAATCGTGACGCATTGTTTTTTTGGCAGGGCAACACTAATGTCTGCTACACAAATACTATTGTCTTGATTAACCAATAACAGCGCGACATTGTGCTTTCAAACAGAGGCAGTTACTTCAACACATTGTAAACAAAACCGTAATCAATTTAGTTAGACGATTAGTTTCGTGTGTTTATCTTTTTCTTTTTTGTACATTTCAATAGTTTAATCACGTAATTGCTTACAGAAGCAAGGCAAAAGTTAGTGAAGACATTTCCTATAAGTTATGTGAGGCAACAAAAAATGCAAAAAGCCGAAGCAAAATAAATGAAGAATAAATCGTCTTACTGATAAATTTCAGTCCCGCCATCCCGGTAACCAATCGGTTTGCTGACAATAAAGAAGTTAATGACGAAAAAATTGAATCGAAATAATGATATGATCCTTACCGCATAAGACAATGAAAGTGATATCGCTGTTTGCTATAGGCTGGTCCCCGTGTGTTATGGATACTTTGTAACACCCGATGTCATGAAAGATCATCACCATTGCAAAACTGTCAACCAGATATACATAACCATCGCCTTGATTCATCTCCCTGCCATTTTCTTTAATCTGTAAATAAACAAAAATTTCATTTACGAAACCATTTACATTTGACGTGTTGAATACGAGATACTAAATCATAAAATCACATAACAAAAAATAAACTAATAGAGATAAAAGCAACAAAAAAGGAAAAATATGAAGAAACTTTTGCAGGAATAGATAATCATTTTTTACACATTATATTTCATAAAAAACTGGGAGAATTTCCAGTACGTTCTTATTTTTTATAAAATCTGAGCACTTGATGTTTTTTAGAAGTTGCTTAAATTTTTTGGTAGCAGAAAATAGTAAAAAATGAAGTTTATTTCTATATTTATAGTTTAAAATAAAAAAAACTATAAAACGCCAAGCTTAAGGTAGGAAGAAAAAGATTGGCTGTATTTGAAAAACATCTTTGAAGTTATGAAAAAAGATCAAAACTAAAATACAGGTCTTAAATACGTACATCTACAGATCAAGTAATAAAGGGAAAGTGCCAAAAAAACCGAAAAAAAATAAAGAGACAACCAACCTGAGTGACCGTGACGGTATACTTTTCAAGAGATTCCTCTGTAGATTTGCAGACATTGCCATATTTATCGCATTCACTCAAAGATAAATCAGCTGGCATATATGGTTTTTGCACGATTGTTGAGCTGGGGGTTTTTACTCTTGTTTTAGATGGAACAACAGCCCCTGAAAAAGTATGGCTGAATACAAAAGGATACATAGGCAACTAGGTTGCGAACTGGTTATCTTTGTCCTTTGCATTGCAGGCTTGCAGTAGCTGCCTTTGCTACCGTAAGCTAACGTTAAATGGTGCATTCTACAGAACAAGAAAAATGACTAGGAGTGTTAAACAATTTATTTCGACCATGAGGAAGCAACACCAATGCATGATTCTGATAACAAAAGCTCGCTTTTTAAGTTCTGTTCGAAAGAATCCACTGCAAAAACTACTGGACAGAGGAATTGAACGAAATTGCAACGAGAGGTTTTGCAACACCTGCCGAAAGGTTGATATTCTACCCTGTGTCGAATACGTGATATGTGTCGAATACGTTTGAGACTAACAAGTTTATACTAACGTTTCATACTGCCCAGTTATGAACCCAAACAAAAATACTAAAAAATAAATTAAGCTTTGTTGATCACAGCAGCACCATCCACATTAGACGCGAACGGCCTTACTTTACTATTACAGTATTCTTTTATTGCTAGGCTTAATATTAGATCTTCACCACAAAAGTGCAAAGACCGATCATTAGCATACACACATATCAAAGCACATCCCGTTCATCAACCAGATGTATTCTCTTCCTTTAGAACCTTAGCGTGTGGCATCACAAATAGGTAGATAACTATTGTATACTGTTTCCTTTTTGTATACAAATAGTTGGTATTAATTAGTTTTACATAATTACTTGAGAGTTATGAGAATTAATTATCTTGCAAACGAACTGTATTATTATTGGCCAATTCAGTAACTCACAGACACCTGGATGTTAGTTGGTCCAAATAGTTAAAGAGGGAGACCTCAGCAACAAGGTGACAAAGGTCTCACCCTGCCATCTCCCGTTTTTCACATAGACAATGCCTGTCTCAAAATCCTGGCTGTTCCTAGAAGTGCCGTCATTTGTATCACCTGTAACTTTACATCAATTTCAAAACGCAGCTTCGCAAAATAGCGATACGCTCCCTTTGGAGTCAACATTTTTGCCAATATTTATTGGGATCAACCATTATTAGATTATGTAAATATCCAATACCTTACGCCGTTCATGTTATGGCCTTAAAAATTTCAAATTACTTACCTGGTATAAATTTTTTTGTGAAAGATTTAACACAGATCCCATTGGCGTAAAAAGAAATATCATGTTCGCTGGCAGAAGTCGGAGTGAACTTAGCTTTGAAAGACCATTGGCTGCTTTCCTCAAGTGCACTTGGTACTACATCAACTCCGCACATTATAACTGCCATAGGGTTTTGGATCTTACTGCATTCAACTGCCCGAAACATAGTGGAATAAAACTGCGAAAAAATAAGGGGAACATCGATATTTTGATTACACAAACGTTGATATTATATAGGTATACAAACGAAAGATGGAAAACGCTAACCTAGTTCTGATTCATTGTAGAAACTAGATTAGAAACTAAAAAACAATCTTTAATTATTAAGTAAACGACTTCATTAAAATCTTGGAAAAAAGAGATTTTCATGAAACTGTGGGGTTTTCAAGTTAAAAACTTTGTAGTTTTGAGAAAAATCAATACTATATTTCAAGGAACTTCAATTCTTTAATGTCCCACCTTAATAGTGATACTGCACATTTCACCAACAACTGCTTCTTTATCACCCCAAGAGAAATCAAATGAAGTTTTATTTGGACTGAATGGCACCTGGGGTCTTGTGTTATCTCTTCTTCCAAATAAAAAGTTTAAGATCCTCTGTCCTAACCCACTCGCTGTTTGAGAATTCTCACTCTGTGGGGGAGAAGAAAGAGGACGTCTTGGGCTCACCACTGACGGTACCACAGGAAGATGCCGACTCCGTGTCTGAAGGTTTCTCAATGCTTGTCCTATTCCCTGTCCTATTGCTGCTAAAACGTTTTCAAAGACGTAGCGTAGCAGCAGTGAATAGAGGTAGCGTAGCAGCAGTGTAGCAAGTACAATCAGAACTAGAGCAATGATTGATAGTAGCAGAATCAGTCTTGCTAAAAGATAAATTTGAATAATCAAGGTAATAAAAATCTACCATTTCCCATCTTTTATATGATTGCATTGTTAAAAAATAAGCAAACAGATATGAATTTATCGATGAACAGTTCATATTAAATCAACATTGCACAGTAACAGTCAACTCCAATGACAATTCTGTTACAAGCAAAATCCTGGTGCTGAGGATTTTTCAGCAAACTTTTAAATATGGTAAATGTTTTCAACTCAAATAGCCTATCCTATTCAATACAGCCTTAGAATGTCTTTTGAAAAATGAGGAGAAAAATGGACTATGATAATATACCTAACTGAAGATGACCCTAGCTAGATTTGAAATGTTTATATGATACTGATTATGTTTTTGTCAAACTGATTATTTCTAACCCAGTTTTTCTAACATTTTTATGACAATTTAATTTAAACTTTATCGATCCTTGATTAGTCAGCAACTGGATATAGGATTTACATCGAAAAAGAAAGAAAGCAAGATGTCTCTCTTTGTTGCCTAGATGGTTATCTCGTTTCTTATCAAGCTGTGATTTAAAAATTAATTCCCAGAATGAGGATTTTTCTTTAAAAAATCTGCAGGGGCTACTACAGTAGAAATACTACCAACAACAAGCTCTATGCCAGGACGAAACATGAACCATGGAGTGCATTAATAAGAGAAAGGAGAGTAACATGGCTAGGACATCTCATGTGCATGCATCCAGAAACACCAGCAAGCAAAACCCTTGAAGAATATCTCAGGAGAGTAAAAAGGCTACAAGGAAGACCAAAGATGACCTGGATGCAGACAGTAAGGCAAGGTTTGGCCAGCATCAGAATTAAACTGAATCTCTCAAAAGAAGCACAAACATTAAATATATTATCTGAACTGACACAGGATAGAAAGAAGTAGTAGCAGTAGTACTACAGTGGATGTTCTTTGAGTACCTAATAAACATGCTTTGTTTTTTGCATAATCCACTTCTTTATTTCTTCTTTTTTCCAAATACTACCATCTGTACCATTCTTGAAAAACAGTATATAGTGTTGATAGGTAAAATAAAGCTACCTAGCCCTATAACATTAATATAATACTGGAATTATTTAATTGCTTGAAGGGTTTGACAAGGGCTTTGGTAGCAATAGTTTTATGTATCAGATTCATTACCAAGTGATCTTGTGATTCTCCAAAACAGGCCAAGTAATTTCATGAAGACAGAGGTTGGTTTTTCTACTGGGTATTGGTCCAGAAGATTAGGATCAGATTGGCTCCTCAACATCCAAACTCTCTCCCATAAATCCTGGATTTTTTTTGCTTCTTCAGCATTGAGTAAGTGAGCCAATTTATCATACTGGAGACCATTAACTAGCATCTCAAGGCTTTTGATACCACCATCAGATAGTTTTTTGAAGATATCCTCTAACTTGCCTTCTTTTAGCCAAAACTTTAATGCCATCTCCTTTCTAAGTGTCCTCAAATCATTTTCCAGGTTTACATTTTTACTGAAGTACCAGTCATTACTTAGGTATTGAACTTCATCAACAGTAAGTAAGCACAACTTCTCAAGTCGGACAATGCCTAAAAAAGAAGCATTTTATTTCATTTCAAATAATAGACTCATAAATGCACTTTAAAAAAAGTGACTTAAAATCAAAATATTCAAAGAGAATAATTGACTCCTTGTGTAATTTAGTAGATAAGCAGCTCCGTTTCTTTACTTAGCATCTTCTTTGTAAAATTTCAGAATTATTTGAAAATTCTGGGGTTTCTTCTGTCTTCCATCTAAGGCAGAACCCAAGGGGCAAATCACTCTTGAAAATGGTGTGCGAGATTAATAATCACTAGTGATTAATTTGTGATTAAATCAATTTTGTGTGTGATTTTGATTTTTAATGATAAAAGAGATTAATTTTTGATTAAGTTGTGATTAATTTGTGATTATTTAGAAATTGAATCATAGATTCAAAAGTGCTCTCAAATAATTTCATGCGCAATAAACTTCGTTTGAACATGTGATGATAAACCAATTCATAGGCTAAATTAAACAAAAAATTTTCACAAATTAAATGACAACCTATCAAGCAAGTTTGGCAAAGATTTTCCAACATACCATATGAAATTGAAAAAGAAAAATTAGCAGTTCAGGGGGAGGGGTGGAGAAAATTTGACCGTTGCAGATTTGCAAAAGTAAAAAGGTGCAAAAGTTTAATAACATTGAAAGCAAAAAACAGAGTTATAATTTATGAACAGCAGCATAAGTAAAATTTTAAATCAATATGATATATGATGGGTTTTCTACATCATGGATGCAGGGGGTGACATTAGCCTGAAGTGAAAAACAGTGCACAGTTGTTGAACACCTTGTGAAAGACATTAAGACAAATGCATGTACTCTGTTCTCAGCCCCTCACAAATGAGGGCGCTATTGCAAAAATGAAACTGTCATTCCTGAAACTTTCACCGAGGGGAAAAAATTACAAGTTCCGGAAATATGGAACTTTATTATCAAACTTTATTTAGGGAAATTGCAAGAATATGACATAAATAATTTCCTATAAATGTAACAGTTGCAACTGCAACAGCCCGAACTCTATGGATCCGCCCTTGCAGCATTCAACAAGAAATGAGTGACAAATGTCTGCCATCAGGCATGGTTTTTGGTCAGATCAACTTCAGTGGCATTTAGGTAAAAAAACAGCAATGGTTGTTTTAGTGACCCTGGCATCATCACAAGGCCTTAATTTTTGCTCCATCACAGGGTATTTAGAAAAATTTGTTGTTGTTTTGTTCACGTTCTCGGGCATGCTTTAGCAGATTTTTGAATGTGTTCATAAAATGTTTGGAAAAGTGTGAAAGGGACATTCTAAATATTGCACTTCTCAATAACATATGCAAATAGACGTGGTCAAAGATTCTAATGTTTGTTTTTAAGCAATTTTTGTGATTAATGTTATACTTTGTGATTAATTTGATCATTTTTTTAATGTGATTAATTTGTGATTAAATTGTGATAATTCTTGAGAGCATACGTGATTTTAAGCAGTGATCTGCCCCTCAGTAGAACCTATGCATATTACTAGTAGCTGAATTAAATGATTTTAATGGATTCTAAAATTTTCATCAAATTTTCAGAAAAGCCTCCATATTTTTTTGGATTTTATGCAAAAAAAGTTTACATCCAGAAACATTTCAGCTATTGATTAGTTGGAGATCATTGACTTGTAGTCCAGACTGGCATAAGATTGAGATTCTTGATAAGATTGCATTTAAAGATTTACTATGTTTCGGTATTTGGTATTTGTGTTTGTATTTTATGCTGTGAACACGGTTTTACTACTCTTACGCTGAATACATAATGTGGCCTAGTATTATATCCTGATCGTATAAATTGTTTCGTTATGTTCGTTCAACCATAGTTTATCTTTCAAGATACCCTCTGTGACATTCTAATAGTGTCCTGGTCATTCCTCTGGTTGTGACCCCACCTTTTGATTCCTACACCTGGGATTATAGAGAGTTGGTGACTCTCCTCACTCTGAGTGAAAGTTTTATCATGTCAGGGGCTCAAACCACAGATTGTTTTATCTCTAGTCAGAGCCACTGAGAGCAAAGCTGGGCCCTGAGGCACCCAATTTGTGAGAGCCCCTTGCTTGACAAAGAATATAGTTCTGCAATATGATAATCCATGTTTCGCCTGCCCTAAACTGGTGCATGATAGCGTCAGCCATATGAAATGGTGCCATGGTTAACAAAGTGTTTGTTGTATAAGCTTCATGTTAAATTATTTGATAAGTGTCGTTCATAGCTAGAACCAGATGTAGTGTATTTTGTTTTCGTTTTTAACAATGATAAAAAACAATTAATATAGATTAATACAGAGTAATATAGATTCCATAATTAAGGGCTTTAAAATGAGCCCAGGCCCCTGGGCACTAGCTCTAGCTACCCTACCCTGTCTGGAGTCCTGTCTGTAGTCAGTAACCCTAACCACTGACCCATTAGGTGAACGAAAAAGAAGAAAGAATATTATTTTTGTTCCCAATAAAATTGCAATTTCTTAATGATTGCATATAAATTCCATTACTCCTTTAGATCAAGGTTATAGAATCTACATAGATTAATTAGAAATTGCTTCCATGTTAAATTAGAAACACATAGAGCGGCAGAGTAAACAAAATGAGAGTTTCCAACAGGAAGCAAGTGGGTAAATGGTAAATGGAAAGTTGCGTACCTGCATCATAAAAGGCTTGCTTTAACCTCACTGCATTGGGTGCATGCTCTTGCAACCAACCCACAACTGCTTCAAAACCTTCTTTGTTTTGTCTATAGTATATAGCATCTTCAATATAGGAAATCGTGGTAATGCCTATTGACAGTCCAAGAATAATAAAAATAAGATTTGGTAGGACTTCTCTTTGCCGTACATCAGTTGGCATTTCTAGATGTTGTTATAGGTTCAGGGATAAGGTTTTTAAAATTGTACTGCTACCTCTTTGCAAGAAGTCATGCTCTCGTCACCAAAGATCATTCACCGTCTCTTCAACGGGGTATCATTCTGAATGTTAAACAGGTCAGAGAAGTCACAGAGTAGATCTTCTCATTCCACACAACATTTATGGCACTACCAATGACATCATTGGGTACTACCTATTTAATAAGTCTCGTTTTGAGATCGGCGTTTCAAATTTACGTCAACGTTACGTCATTAAACACCAAACACCCTAACCACTAGCAAAACAAAATTGATAAGCTGGGATTAAACACATTGATATTAAGATTTACATTAACATGACCATATATAAAATACCGTAAAAGCTCTATCAAACCCCCTCTCTCTTTTAAGCCCCCCTCTCTATTAAGCCCTCCCTTATAAAACAAAAATTTAAAATAAGTCCTGTTGAATTTTGTTATCTTTTTTTATTACTTCGGACCCCTGTGGTCAGTCGAGGAGAGGGAGTCAAGAATCGAACATACACAGAGCGGACACGCAGGGAGTTGTGTTTGCATTTGAACTCAACGAACGGTCTTTTTAGCAATTACGAATCATACATTGTACTATCGAGTTGTGTAAGTCACCCAATTGGTTTATTTCACGATATATATATTCACACTAACTATAACCTCGTTTTCAATGTTGGACGTCTTTGGTCGTATTACGCCGAACCCCGTATACTAATTACAGACATAAAACTACAGTTCGTGCCTTGTAGTGGTGTCTGCAAGATAGTCAATATTCAACAAGTCCCCCTCTCTATTAAGCTCCCCTTCTTAGTCCCTGATGTCAAACAAAATAAACATATGCAATGAGTTGGTCTCTTGACGGGTGTGGTGACGATAAGATTGCGTGCATTGATTACGGCCCATATAAATATTTCCTTGTGTGCCTTAGAAGTCAATCAAAATTTGTTTAGAAGATCTCCCAGGGGATATCAAATGATCCTTGTGACTATGCTCTGAGGAAGACGAGGACATTATAATTGATTGATTTTAAGAAACTTTCGAAGCTGCTAGCAAAGTTTTTGAGAACATTTGTATGACATTTTCATAACAAAAAGCGCATAAGGGCATTTTTATAACATTTTTTACATTGAGTTATTAGTAAGCCTCCTTTCTCTAATAAGCCCCTCTCTCTTTTAAGTCGCCACTCTAGGACTGTAAAGAGTAAATAAGCCTCTCCGGGGGCTTAATAGAGCTTTTACGGTAGACGTATTGTTACGTATCCAATTGGCAAACGTAAGTCAAATCACGTTTTCTCAATTATAAACGCTGCGCAGAGCCTACATTTAACTCTTCCTTAACTTAGTGCATACGTCTTAGATGGTGGTAGAGTATCAAACGGACAAAAAAGATAGGAAAATGCTTAGGGTAGGCTTGTTCTTATGAAAATGTGTAAAAACTATGACATTTGAAATGCAAGAAATCGATACTTTCGAGAACAATAACGACACAGTAAAATAAGATATAAGATAAAAGTAATTTGGTGAAATTTATGGGGGAACCGTGGCTCCACGACTTTTCGTTTATTACGATCCTTAATTGAATATGATAATGTCTTAGCAACTTTCAATCAAAAGATAAAATGACCGTTATTGATGAAATATATAGACGTTAAATTTTTCTCATAATTGGAAATAAGTGTATATAAGGCGCATTTGAATATTATGCACCTCTACTTTTGAAATTGTCTCTACGTTTCTGGGGAAATATCCTTCGGTAAGCTAAAAAGAATTTTTCTTGTCCATTCAAGGTGAATAAATAAAAACATAAAATTGCACAAAATAATGCCATCGCAAGCAAGTGGAAGTGAGTCAATTTGCAATTTGCTAAAGAATTCCAAAAAATCCGCTTATCACGAAGCATTATAAAAACATTTCAAAAAATTTTCAAACTGTTACTTCAAGGCTTTGTGCATTTATATCAACTGGAAGATTACTGCAATATATATCACTACATTTGAGGGTTAACATTATGAAAGTTTGTTTATTTGCTGGGTAGTTAGAATATTCGTTAGTTATCTGGGGGCAACACTTGACAAATAAACACATTTGGAGGCTAGAAATAAAAACTAAAAATGTTCTTTGCGTCTAAATGGCAGGCCAGAATAATTCAGAAACTCTGATAGATGTTGTTAGATTTCAAATAAGGTTATTTTTTCAGATATTTCATTTCTTTATTTAACGATGTTTGATACACGATTTGGGTAAAAGTAGCATCAAGGGAATAGTATATTTAGGTACATTTCGGGATAACAGCTGATATCATATGCTGATATTTATGGGTGGCTGATCCAACCTATGGATTGAGCCCCCGTCTTTGTCTTAGTAATGACTATCTACATCCCTGGACAAAGAGGCAAAATAACTTCAATCCACCTAATTGGGACAATTTCAGGTTTCGTGATTTCAAAGTGAATATCGCAATAAAATTTCGTTCTTTGTAGGGCAAATGAGCTATTTCGATATTTTCGTTGCCATGAAAGACATTACACGTTACCAAGGGTCTATATTTAAGTAAAGCTGCACAGGCAACAGTAGGAGCCCTTGTAACACACCTGTCCCGATAGAAAAAAGGTGTTGTAAAGAATGGTGGGTGGGAAAACCAAAGCCTTAATGAATTCTTGAGGCTATGAAACAGCTTCAAGATTACGAAAGTCTGGCACTTTTCATGCTGAACAGATCTGGACTACCACAAATTACGGCAGCGATCGAAAGAGCAATTTTGTACATGAATATAAACAAAACAAAAATGTCTTCCTGTAAAACATTAGAGTCAATTGTAAAAGTCAGTGAAAAATTTACAACCAATTTTGACATTGATGAGCATCATGTTCGTTTACAATGGAAATGCTATAAATTCATAGTGCAAAGCAGGGGCGGCGCTAAGGGCGGTGTGGGGAGAGGTAATTACTTTTGTCAAAAAATTAACTTGGTACAAAGCACTGAAACGAGGCAAAAGGGCGTTGTCTCACCGGTCAAGCTCATTACCCTCCCACTCTGCAGTAGTACAAAGGGGTACTCAGAAGGAGCTTGATAATATTGAAATTGATATAGTATTTGAGAATTACTATTTAATTTTTCAATGTTTAGAGCAAAATTTGTGTACATGATGCGTTTTTTCAAACATTTTCTGCATATTTTTGTAGGGATTGTAGGGGAAAAAGCAAAAGTGTAGGGAAAAGTGGGGGAAAACAAGGAATTAGCCGTAGGGAAATGTAGGGGGAAAACGCATGCGCCGTAGCGGAAAATAGCAAACGTTGAGTGGGAGCACTGGTTCGTTGAGTTCACGAGTTGAGTCGAGTCGAGAGTTATGGATTTTCCAACAGAGTTTTGAGTTACAGCTTTAATAATGTAAATAGTTGTTATGTTTATGAAAATGAGATAAAACCAAGTTCAAGCTCATCATTGCAGCCCACGTCTTACAAACCTCACAACAGATACAATAGTATGTCAACGAGCACTTTCTATGAACTTTCTTAGTTTTCTGCAATCATTTGGCTTCCCCTTTTAGACTTTCGTGTGTATTGAATCTTGCAGAAAATGATCAAAAAGAAATATTCGATCAGAATAAATAGTGTCTGACTAACATAAAAACAAACTACCCTCACATATATTTTGTTAACTCTCTTGCTTTCGCTTCATAGGTAAATATTTTCTGTCCTTTGCAGCATTTCTCTTTCTTTTCTTGCTCAAATATTTTTCAATTTTTCCAGTCTCTTTGAGCTTCTTGAATTTTTCAGCAAGCTCCTTTTTCTTTCTTTCGGCTAAGAAGATCGGGAAAGGAACATAAAAATAGAACCCCAGATAACTATAACTTTGATTCAAAATGGCCTAGTCATACGGATCTGATGTCATATCAGATCGCTTTTAAATGTTGCAGTCGCAATTTGAATGAATCCTTTCGTGACCATAACCTAAACTCCATAGCCATAAATTGATGATATTTGCTCTATTGATTGAATTTATTTCCTTAAGCAAGATAAGAAACTCAAATCATCTAATTGATAAGATTCTGAACATATCACTAAGGTGCCTAATATGCAGAAAGTAATTGCTTTTCAAAATAGCATACATACATTTCTTTAAATAAAATGGCCGCTTTCCGCGTTTAATTGCTTCTTTTTCATTTCTCTTCCATTCGCGATGTTGCTCTTTTCTTTCGTTTTCTTCCATTTCAATTTTTTCTTTTTGTTCCTTTCAAAGAACAAAATGAAAGATAAGAAAATAAGAAAATTTAGTTAAATAAGATTAGTCAAAAATGATCAACATAACATTTAGAAATACAATACAAGTAAGCTTGAAATCTGTAAGACCACTTGCTCTGTCTTTTGCTAAAGAGAAGCATAAGAAAATTGCATGCTACGCAATCATTCATAGTTATTTGATACAATCATTTACCAATATGAAAACTTATATGCTTGACTCTCCTCTTTTATGCAACTTCTTTTATTGCTTGAAAGATATCCCCCTACACACTTGACACTTAATTGCAAGTATGAAATATTTAATGCTGTTTTTCTTTGCATTTTCTTAGATAAACAAAACATAATATGCAAAACTTTGGTTCAAGTACATTAATACCTACAATTTTCTGCATCAGCTTGTGCAAAGCAGCTTTCTTTTCAAAACTTTTCTCACTTCTGAGTTGCTTTTCGACCACCTAAGAATTACAAATTTTCAATTTATCAATAAATGTAAACAAGCTTAACACAAAACAGTGCAAACAATAATGGCACCTTCTAAACACTGCCTTGAAAATAAATTATCTGTCCATCAACCTCAGTTTCAAAAGCAATGCAAAAAGTTCTATGTGCTAAATTCAAATATCTACATAAATATTTATTTTCAGATATCCATGGTTGAAGGTATCCATTATTACAGACATGGTTATGGAATGGAATGTAGAAAGATTACTTAAAGCATTTTATTTTTTAAGCATTATATTATAAATCACTAGCCTCCTTCTCTTTTTTCTGAATTTCGTCCAAAAATGAATATGATTTCTTGAACAATTCTATGTTCAGATTCCCGGAAAGGTTGTCAAAGCGTGGATCCCTTGTAACCTAAAAAAAGAGCAACATTAATCACAACAAATGTTTAATTTCTCAAATAATGTCAAAAACCAACGTTAAAAAAAAACTTAGTCATTTTCAAGCACAAAATATTTCAGGATTGCCACCCTTCATTGCTGTACCACTCAATAAAGTAGAATCAAACAGATCCCTGTATTTTATTGAATAGAAGCTGCCTTGATTTGAACCCACCCTTAAGTTTTGCAAGGGAATTTTTGCAAATAGAAGTTCTCCTTGAAAATATGCTACTGGAAAAGAAGTTACAGGGGTATAGGTCCTTCAGGCTCTTGCTGAGAAAAAACGTGAGCCTTTGTGGGAATTCAAGCATTTTAGGCCTGTAAATCTGCAAATATACAAAAAGACACACAAAATTTGTAGTCATAGCAACATACCATTTTATACCAATCAAATATTCAAATATTTGTCAATAAAAAAGCCACCTTCGAATCAAACTGCTGATAAATAAAAGCCACATTTTTCTGATAAAAAATTAATAGAAGCTGTAAATTCTGTTCAAGAAGATAAAATACAGAAAACTCAAGATGCAGAACTGAACCAATGGTGACACTGTATAAATTTCAAACCAGGATGGTAATTATAGATATATTTCTAAGTTCTTTGATGCATTTTCATTTCATCAAAATGACAAACTTTTTTCCATTGAAATACAACACCAACCAATTCTTTCTAAACAAAGAACCATCCATCCAGCAATTTTTTTTCATTTGCCCTTTAGGCTGGTTTCACATTGCATCTTTTTTCGCACCTTATAACATGTGCCAATTTCTGCTACACTTATCCCTTACAGTGTTCAGAATGCAGAAATTTTGGCAAGTGGCAACCAAGGTGATTAGGTATTGTAACTTTCAAGTTAGCGATCAGTTAACTTGCACACAGAAGTATACAAAATGGATTTTGAATTGTTTATTTCAGAAGTGGAAAAATGATACCCCAACCACTGTAACAGGAATTTCAGTAATAGTTACGGAGCAGAAGTCACAGAAATAATGCAGTCACAAAGTACGCTACCCTAAACTTCTAATAATTTTTTTATACTTACGAGGGACTATAAAATGAGAATAAAATTGATGAGTCCTGGAGAGAATAAAATACAAATCCTGGAGGGTTGTATTTTGAATTTTCTTCAAAGATAAACTCAAATAAAACTTACTCCAAGGCTCAAGCAGAAATAAAATTCCAAAAAACGATTGATTTTTTATTTGAAAAACTGATCAAACAAGACATTTATTTTGGGTCAATTGGCAGTTCTCTAGTTTTGTTTATTATATGGATTCCCAATCTCCTATTTTGTCAATGCCTTAATAAATTATTGCAAGTGCTAAACGATACATTTTGAAATTATTTTAAGCCAAGAGGGGAAATTTTAAAAATAGAACTGCTGGGCTGAAGGAACAGAACATCACTGCAATTTCCATAAAATGTGGCCAAACCGTGTTTTGACCTGAGTTGTCAATATGAACAGGAAGTTTGAAACATAAAATGTTTTCACAAGAATAAGTAAGCCGCCTTAGTGTTTCAAATATGTTTAAGGAGAATGTTTGAAATTTTGCTTCTTTGATGAAAACTGTAAGAAAATATAATCTTAGGCCAGCTTGAAAATGTGACTCTCACTAAGTCGACTGGTCTCAGCAGCATTGGAAGAGATTTTAAAAAAGAGACACACTACAACAAAATTCTAAAAGAGATCCTATCAGTTTCCATATTTCACACACAGTAGAGAAAGAATATCTTGAAAAAAATTAACAATTTACCGCTGAATTGGTTTTGACTACTCTTCGAAATCCTTTTGGTCTCTGTTTTGATGACATCTCAAGGGGTCTCAAATGAAAATATTCTTAAATTTAATGCTAAAAACTTAAAGCAAGGAAATGAAACAAGATACATTTGAAAAAAATCTAAAAAAACTCAAACCAGAATCCATGGTACCTGCTATCTTTTTTCTTTCTGTTTTCGGCAAACTGGTCACTCTTTTTCGCTTCCCTTTTCTTTTCTGTATTATTTGATTCTTTCTTTACACCAAACATTACCTCTTCATATCTGCAAGTCATAAAATTTGTATTTGTATTTGCATCTTCAAATGACTTAAGAAATGTGATGGAATTACTTCTAAGAGGCAGTATTTCAAGTTAAATAAAATGTGGCCCTTTTAAGAGAACTGTATTTATACAGAACACTAACTGACAAAATATTTATGACATTAACAACATATTAACAGTAAAAATGTTCTGAAATATATGAATGTTGATATTTTAATGTTAATTGGAGAGCAAAAGACAGGTTTCACTGAGTAAAAATATTTTTAAAATTTTTCTTTACACAAGAGGAGAGCCTTTTAACTTAAGAATTTAAAAAGAAATCAAACTTAAAGATATTGAAGTTAACCTTGATTCTCCAAGCTTCTTCTCTAAAACCTCTAGATCTTCAAATGGCACATCCCCTAATTCTAATGAAGGTAGAAACATGATGTCATTAGATTACTTTGTAACAAAATTTTATTAAAGATTAAAGAAAATTTTAAGTAAATGTTAAATTATTGTAAATAGTTTAGAAATCTCTCTGAGTACTGAATTGAATAAATTTCAAGTCAATCAAATGATAAAATACAAATACCTGGACTTAAAGAGCTGACCAATGAAAAAATGCTAAAAAGTGTGATCTACGAAAATTCCTGGATCTCTATGAATATTAATTAATCGCAAACAGATAGGCTATAAGAACTAGAGGCTCACCATTTCTTATTGAATCCTAAAAAGGAAAATAAATTCAAAATTATTGGGAATTCATACAAATACTCTCATACATGAATCCAACAAACATAGCATCACTATAAGGCTTACAAATGCTATTAAAAATGAAATACCACAGCTTTTAACCTGCTATTCTGCAACTTGATTTGTTACAGCGCAAGCAGAAAATAATTCCCACGCACAACAAATACTTTGCACTCTGGCATTCATGGGAAAGAGGGTTAACAGGCAACCCAACTGCACACATTTTCAAACTCCGTATTGTACAATCTGCAGACGTTTTGCTTTTGGGTCCCTTTTGAATATTAGGGTCCCCTTTTGTTACAACCCTGGATGAGATGAGTATAACAAATAAATTTATTACTATGTATATGAACAAATTAGAATTTGGCTCATTTTTGCTGATAAGTGTACAGGCCTAATGGATTCTTAATCGTAACAAAACGTCTCAATTTACTTACTACCCGAGGTTTGCAACCATATAAACTTTCCGAACTTGATACTGCTATCCAATAATTCAGGAAATTATTTAGATCGATTTGATAGGGTTTTGACAATTTCACAAACACTAAATCTGATTAACACACGGGCGTTTCATTAGAAATTAAAAATGTGATGGTTAAAATAAATTTTCTTACTTCTTTGTTTTCTTCTTGATCAGAAGAATCGGTCGATATTTCAACGTCACTTTCGCCCATATCTGAGTCAAAACTATCATCCATTTTGCGTTTTGTATCAGTCGTTGTGCTTAGGACTTTTCAAAATGCCCTGTTGCTCCTCTCAAAAATCGATAGCCAGACAGCCATTTTCCAGTTGCCTCTTTTTGCTGAGTTGCAACCTCTAGGTGAAACTGGAGCACTTTTTGCAAAACAATAGAGCGTTATTCAAATTCTTTTGCTATAGGTGTATAATTTTCTCTTTGTAATAGAGCTACTATGTAATTTATTTATTTAACAATTACACTTTATTTTGTGTACAAAGCTATTTCGTTTATTACGTAGATTCTAAAGGCTGATTTCCACGAGGCGAATTTCGCAGCGAATTCGCAGCGAAATCGCCGATGAAGGCATCAAGGCATGCGCAGTTTTGATTTTTGATTTCGCAGCGAATTCGCAAGGAAGTAGAAAAGAGTTCTACTTTTTCTCGGCGAAATATTTCGCAGCACCTAATAACCAGTCAAAGCATGGTAAATTTGCTTGATTTGTAAGAAAACGATCTTGGAACATTCGTCATGCGTGCAGTTCTTAAAATAGGCGCCTTAAAGTTGAGTTTTGGAGGAAATTATTATATAATTTCGCAGCGAATTCGCAGTCTCGTGGAAATCAACGACAATTTCGAAGCGAATTCGCTGCAAATTTCGCCTCGTGGAAATCAGCCTTAAGGAAATCCCCCTTGTGTCTCGAATGTTCTGTTTTCCATGGGCTCCGATGCAGGTTGGAAAGTGGAGGGGCCAAGATAAAATAAAAAGATTTTAAAAAAAGCTCTATAGATTTGAAAAAAGTGAGAGGTCATGGTCCCCTCCCGGCCCTCCCTTCGTCGGAGGCCCAGTCTTCGCGACAAAGCACCACGCATCAGTACACAGCATTCCATTCTATTGTTGTAAGATTATATTCTGGCACTTTCCTTTTACGTATGAATCATAGAGATGGTATAAATATACGTAAGTTAGTTAGATTCTAAGAGATCCGGAGAGAGATTCGGAGGGTTAAGACATGTTAATGCTAAACAGTTGAATGAAGCTAACCGTTTCGCCCAAGAGGCTTGCGAAAGCCCTTGCGGCCCAGCATGTAATTAGGACAGGCAGTGCTTGAGAAAGACTACGTTTTACCTCGTTAGTCTTTATATATTTTGGGATATTTTATTTGGTATTAAAGTTCGCGAAGAACCTTCGTCTATTATGTTAGCAGTTTGGATTAAAGTTTAGCCTCGGATTAAGAATAGCCGCTCAAAACAAATTGTCATTTTCTAAAGTTTCCGTCTTCGTAGCATATCTCTCTCGCGATTTTAAACATCCATTTTACATCTTGGAGAATGGAGAGCCTTCTATCAGTAGTTAGGGACTGAAATTGTTGTAAACAGCGTACACTCGTCACCAATTTCTGAAAGTTTTTCAGCACCCCTACTATCAACTGCCCCTCCTTTAAGTTTGCTGTGGGTGCGCCCCTGTGTTGTCACGAATTCACTGTGCTTCGAGACAGGACAGCAGAATCTTCGGAGGACAGGGCAAAAGTTAACAAATGCAGCAAGAACGAATCTTACTTGGGGCATCCATGGCAACTGAGCAGGTATAACGGTTTTCCATATTTTGTCATATCTCAGCTTCTTGTGCACCGGGGGGCCAATAAATGGTCTGTGCTAAAAGGGCCGGTGCTAAGCGTTGATCGGTGTCTAATTCCTTGATAACTATTTCTTTGCTAACATGGTTTCTCCAAACCCTGAATCACGTCCTTTTTATATTTTAATTTTGGTTGGTCTCTTTAGTTTTCCCTTTTCACTTACGATTGTAACAGTCTTGTCTATCTTTCTATGTTATAGAGATGTTTGTAATTGTCATGTTATTGAAATTGAAGAAAGATTTTCATTGTTCTTATTATCATTTCATTACAACTATCGTGTTCGCTTTTCTTATTACCTTTGCCCTGCGAAAGGAAAAGGTTGGAAGATTAGGTCAACTCTCCAAAAAGGTTGCCCACCCCTGCCCTAGCACCACATCCCTGCTATTAAATAGGGTATGATGAAAAAGTCTAGTTTGAACACAACATCACTACTTTAAATTCTAAATGAGATGCTGTATAAAATTCATTGTTTTTTGCAAAAATGCCAAATATTACGTAATAAACCGTATAAACTAGCAGTAAAGCCTCTTTTATACGGTTTTAGCCCCCCCCCCACTTTTTGTAAACCCCCCACTTTTCTCAACGCTCCGCGGTGCCTGTGACTAAGGACTTGTCTTGAACGTTTTCAGACCAGTCTTTTTACTGAAGCGTGCATTGTTGACAAGAACTTGGAAAGGATTGCTATTTCTAAAGCAGACCTGCCAACCTGAACATAGATAAAATAGGGAGATACCAAGATTTTTGATAAAAACAAGAAATGTAGAAAGGTAGGGAGATTATATTTGTTCCATTTCTGTACCTAAAACAATAACCAAACAACAATGAAGCAAGGTATACATGTTAAGGTAGCTTGTCAAAAAAGTGAGTCATTTCTAACAGGTGCAGTTTTTTTTGCTTTTGTCAACATCTTCTTCAAGTTTCCCATTTATGGCAAGGAATTCTTGAATCACAGTGCTGTGATTTAATTGCCAGAATACCAGTAGCAATCCAGCTTCAGACAAGAGTCAGTCTTTTTTCCTGACAATGCTGAACAGATGTTCTGCTTCGACCTTTCTATATGGTTGTACCAGGACTATCTTTCGATTTTTGGCAGCAGCTTTTTGATCCAGGTATCTCCCTTTCATTTTAGTGCTACAAAAGGCTATTACATCCCTCCAGACCACACAGCAAATAACTTATGAATTTTCTTGTAAAAAATCGAGCGGACGTTATGAAATTGTGAGAAATTGAAAAGATAACGAGACAGAGTGGTAATAGGCTGCCTATTACCACTCTGTCTCGTTATCTTTTCAATTTCTCACGAGAAAGTGGGAGTCTCCAGGCAAAACTGGGAGAGTTGGCAGGTCTGCTACAGTGAAGCTGCGGCTTTGCAAATTGAGTGAACAGAGATCCTGAAGTTTCGGAAATGAAACTTGGACAAAAACATCCCTTTCTTCGAACTATACTTCAAAAAGACTATATTCTTGTTGAAACAGATTATACCATACAAAAATTTATTCAGCAGCTGTTTCTTCTTTCTTTAATTTGTAATTGTTAAACATCTAAAATCCTAGAGACAGTTTATGATAAACCCTCCTCCATTCAAAGTTATTCAGCAGCATAGAGATGGGGGGGGGGGGTTAGGGGTTGATGCAAAATCTTGATAGTATTTTTTCGGGATTGTAAACTGTTACCTTCACTACACTTTCTGGCTTTGGCAGCCAAAAAACACAAAAAATAGCCTGCTGATATCTTAATCTGAGATTATCAAAATATTATCTCATTTTATGTACAAATCTATCAGGTTTAAAAATAGCTTTTTAGCCAAGATGCAAGTCTATAAGACTTCAAGATATTCTGTATCTTTATCATTATCAGCGTCTCCTGAATAAAATTCATTAGCAGCATCAATTCTTGAATCTTCTTCTTCCTGTGAAATACGTGTATCAGGATTAGGTTCGGTATTCAGTTCTAGGCTTAACAGATCTGGTGGAACTTCCTGCATTTGAATACTTGGAGCGGCAGTCATGCACTTCAAATGATCCATAATTGTCTGTTTGATGTTATCAAGGTACTGTCGTGTATTTGCATTTGGGAAACTTCCACTCATTTCAGGGCATAGTGAATAATCAGGGCCAAAGTACTCTAGGTATCCTGCACTTGATGGAATTTTTTCACTGACAGTTTCATCTACTAAAATGGAAGTCTCATAAGTCCAGCAGCGAGCAACATTACGTATTGTGTAGCCACCACCACCAAGAACAAGCATAGGTATATTAAATGAACTAACAAAGCGAACACACTCTCCATGTCCTTTAATATTTAGATTAAAACAGCCAAGGCGATCCAATGCAAGGGAATCAGCACCACACTGTAATACAATGCATGTAGGTCTATACCTATCTATTACAGCTTCAACTGTGGGTTTAAACAACTGAATGTATCCCTGGTCATCTATTCCATCTTTTAAGGGCACATTCAATGAATAAAATTTCCCGTCGTCTGCACCTGCCTCATACATGTCACCCGTTCCTGGAAAAAACATATTGCCATACTTGTGGAAGGACAATGTCATCACACGATCAGTCAAGTAGAATGCCTCTTGCACTCCATCACCATGATGTATGTCTATATCAATATAAAGGACTCTTGGGTGGTATTTAAGAAGCTCAAGTATAGCAATTACAATATCATTAACATAGCAAAACCCAGAAGCCTCAAACTTCTTTGCATGATGTAGCCCACCAGCCCAATTAATTGCAATGTCACAAGCTTTCTGATTCAGTTTCACTGCACCTTCAAGGGAAGCTCCAGTATATATAGAGCAAAACTCAAAGATTCCTGGAAAAACGGGACAGTCTTCTCCAACACTGAACTTTGACAAAGACCCCGCGAATTCATGAACGTTTTTGGCTGTAACTCTCTGTAAAAACTTGATATAATCTTCTGAATGAAAGCGACACATATCATGAACTGAAGCATGATAAGGTCTATAAACTTCCATCTTTTTAAAAAGTTCATAGTTTATAACAAGGTCGTGTGTCAGTGAGAGTCTGTGAGGCTTCATTGGATGACCGCTTCCATAATGAAAATTACCAACATCAGGGTCATAAAAGTAAGAAACACGCCGACTTGAAGTCATTTTGATATCCTCAGGAACTACTTCGCAACTTAAAATGATTATTTTGGAACAAATTTCAATAAGTACTTCGATTTTTATAATCAATTCTCGAATTTCACGTCTACCGATCCTTTTCTTAGGCCATTTTGTTCTATCAAAGCCGACTACTGAATTGAATTGAAACCTCGTTTCCGTTATCGACATAGAAAACAATTCTCGGGGGAGAGAGGCCACAGAATAGAGAGAGGGGGTGCTCTCTCTATTCTGTGGAGAGGGGGTGCTCAGTCGATGGTTCATTTGCTGATTAAAGCCAACTATCAAGTTTCCCGAGCAAGAAGTAAATAAAGCCGAATCTGCAAAGTTAAAAGGGGTCTCACGCCGCAATCCCAGTTGAAGGGGGTCTTATGATCATAGACTTAACAAATAAGATGGTCGTGTGAAGTTAATCAGGTTGAGCAAACAAAGAATGCAGTGTGACAAAGAATCATATACAATCGAACAGCAAAATGTATTAGTTTTAAATAAAATTTTCTAAACAAGACAAGGATCTTTTTAAACAAGTTTTTGCGAGAAATGCAAATTGTTGTGATAATTTGAACGAGAAAGAAAATGTGTCCTAAGTTCAATTGTCGTCTACACTCAGTTTTTTTTCTAAGAAACAAAGGTCGATGTTGAGTACCCCAGTTTCTTAGTGTTCTGGAAATTTCAATACTCATTATTTCCTAAGAGTTTCCTATTCACGATGTCATGAATGACGTTATGAAATGTTCGTGACCTTTTTATCACGTCAAGAGATTCGCTTCCGTTTTCTGGTGCTGTATTTAGACGTGAGAAGTATATTTTTTTCCCTTGTGTCTTAAGTTCTAGGTCAACAGGGCAATCATGTTCTTGGATTTTACAAAATTTCGCTGTTCTAAGTTTTATCACGATTTAATAGTTTCTTAATTTATTTGCTTCGAGTACTGAAGTTTCTTAATTTTTTCTGATTGTCCAGTACTCGCTTCTTATAGCCAGTTTCTTTTAAAAAATGAGTGTATTGACTACCAAATGAGCAAAAGAGGGAAGAAAATCTTTCTAGGACAACAATTTGATCGCGTCAAAACGCCATCTGGATTTTATCCAACCAAACTTCTATAATGGCTCTTGACTACTGACAGACAATAGTGTCAGAAATTTGACCTGTTTGGGTAACATACATGGACATAGAAACAAAAATTTTACGGGAAAATATATATCAATCGTTAATAAACAAATCTACATTTCCATTCTACTCGTGCTTATACTTGATTCATTTGAAGCACTTTTATTGACAAAAATATTCAATAGCCTCTGGCTCTAGTTTAGATCGAGCTTGCAGTCCCTCAATAAGCAGCTTTGTATTGCTATCATCACAATTAAACCTTTATAGCTCTCTTCTAGTTACGTCTGCATTTGCATTTGACAATATTATGCCCAATTGTAAAAATAAATACAAGTTCTCTCCTTAGTGATGTTCTATTTCTTGGTCATTTGAGTTCATTCCTCTATCTCCCCTATCAATGCTTTATGCCAATGAACTTGAAATAGCATCAAATTTGATTTGAGATGACAGCAAATGACAGTTCATTATAATGACATCCAAGCTGAGTGATGGGCCAACTCTTGACATTCCTTACTTACCCTAAGTTTTGCTCGGCAAGTCTGTTGCCTGATTTCTTCAGTCCCCTGATTAAAATCTTCAATTCATTCAGCAAACCCAAAACGCATCCTCTGAATCACTCTCGGAATTGTCCTCAAAAGGATGTTTTGAATTGTCAACATATGTCTCAATCTTTGCCATGTTCTCTGACGACTCCTCTTCGAACTTTTCTCTCTGAAAAGAAATCATTGTAGAAATTCAGTTAGCTTGGTGCTGTAGCAATGATAAAAATGCTACCAAACAACAATTCTCTTACATGTATCCCAACAAGATTGAATATTTTGATTTACGACTGAATAATGTAGATTTATAAGAATTCTTTAGTAGCTACAATTTTTCTCAATGATATAATTACCTTTTCACCTGGTAACCTTGACATTCTTGCCTTTTCTCTCTTTTCCTTACTGAACAGATGCATAGGGAGACTGAATGTGACATTGCTGTTGTCATCACTTCCTTTCTGAAAAGTAGACTTTCTGTCCTCTTCTTCCATCTTTATTAATTTTGCTTTAATCTGCTTGTATCTGTGCAAATTGAGCTTTCTCTCCTGCGTTTGCATTACCTCTTTCTTATTTTCCTTCGCAGATTTTATCTTTGCTTTCAGTTTTTCCTCAGTATTTCGGCAGTTTTGTCGCCTTCTCTCGGCTGCATTGCTTTGTGCCTTCTCGACTAGTCTGGTTTGATTAGCTGCCTTTCTTTGCTTTTTTATTCTCAATCTCTCCTTCTTCTCTGCAGCCTTTCTTTCCTTGCCCTCTATCCTCTCTTGCAAAAGCCGCTGTTTCTCTGCCTCAAGCCGTTGCAGCATCTCTTTTGAGAGGATGGCTCTTTGTCTGAGCCTTTGAGTTCTATCTCTCAGAAGAACATCCTTTCTCTCCATGGCTTGTGATAATCTAGAATACAAATGCTTTTCTCATCAAAACTTTAAAACTTTAGAAGTCTATAGATATCAAAACTTTATTTTTAACAAAGTAGTTCCAAACAAGAAATGTATCATTACTCACTTTCTCTTTATATCTTCCTTGGTGATGGCAGGCAGCTCTGGCAATCTGTTACACTGTCTTCTCGGTCTATTTGCTTGATGGCCCATTGCCATTCTGGATTGTGGTCTGCCGAGTAAATCTTCTTCCAATAGCTCAACGTTAAATGCAACAGCCCGTGCATGACCATCTTCGCCGGTCTTGACAACAATTCCATGTCTGATTATTTTCAGTTCTTCATCTTCTCCACTTTTTGGCAACGGAGCCTTGTCAAAAGGCAATTGAAGCTTCCTTGGTTTAGCAAGAACAAATTCTTTTAAAGAATCAACCTCGTCTTCGATGCATTTTTCAGCATGCTGGATACGTGAACCATATTGCTTTACTTCTTTGCTAGATTCTTTATGTTTACTTGCGTGCTGCTGTACCTTTTGCGTTGCTAATGTATCGACTGTCACTGCGCTTTCACCACAGCAAAACAAACCTCGATACCAATGTTTGTTCGATTTATTCAAATTTCTCGATCCGGACTTTTTACTTTCAGAGAAAGCTGAAACTTTGTTTTTCGTGAGTAAATTTCCCATTTTTTCAACGTGTGCTTCGACAATCAATGCTGATTTAATCTGAAGAAATTATACTGCAATGGCTATATGTATCATACGTCAGATTAAATGGAACCTGATTGATAGGCAACGACGATTAATTGGAACCTGACGTCAGAGCTTGACGAGGCCAATGTTCTTCATTAGTTGCATAGCATAGCTCTGCTTTATAAGTGAAAGCCTGAACTGTTCAAAGCTTGTTGTAACTCGGTTTAAAAGCTCTGTTTTTTAGAACAATCACATAAAAAAGATGCATGTACCAAGGCACTTAATTATTGCATAAAAATTAAAATTTGCTGTTGTTCAAATAAGTGAAAATATTTGCATATTGCACATTTAATTATATTTGCCAATTAGGTGTTGAATGAATGATTATTTCTTTCCTTATATACTTTTGTCATTTAATACTTGCAATAAGTATATCAGTATGACAAAAAATCACCTTCAAGTGGTGTCGGTGAAAAAAGGAAAAAAAATCATCGCAGCCATAAAAAATCTCATGGTGTCAGGTTATTCGATGTCAGGTTATTTGGTGCCAGGAACCTTGCACTTACCTCACTCAGCATTTACATCTTGATTCTTAAGAGAGGAAAATTGGTTTCAATTAAATGAAGCTTGAAAATACACATTTATAATGTTACTATGGAAGCTAAAAATAAAGAAAATGTAAAAACTTATTTTCAGGAGTGTTTGATAAGAGCAAATGTTGAAGCAAGCAATTTGGCGACATTCTAAATGGGAAATTCTAGATGGGAAACGCTTTCTTTAAAATTCTTGAAAAAATGAAAAATTTTCTTGAAATTTCTTTGTTTGAATATTGTCATGTTTAAATCACATCATGTGTGAATCATGTCTTATGTATAGTGGGATTGGCTGCAAACAAACCTCCTTTTGCTTCAAGTTGCCAGTTTTAATTGGCATATCTGGTCGATTGATTGCCTTCAAAATTTGCGAAAAGGAAATTTTTGCCAAAAACGGGCCCCAATGTTGTGAGCCCATCCAGAGCTTCTCCATAAACCTACTTCACGGTGTTGCTCACGTACCCCCAAGTTTCAGTTGCCACTGAGTGCCTGTTGCAACCAAAGTTGCGTATTCAGTGTAAATTGTGCACTTTATCATCTGTTGCCGACCCCTCTTTAAATTCATATTCAAGCTTCTTCATGGTCATAAATTTTCAGTTTGATGTGTGTCGTGGGCACCCATGAAATTCGTTGCTGAAATGTTAATTTCCTAGAATGTTCTCGATTATTGTACGTGTTGACCAAAAGTGTGTTTGCTTCCTTTTTTTCTTCATTTTTGGGAGAATAGTCATTGGCTCCTAACTGGCGCATAATGGGAAATGCCATGTTTATGGTAGTCGCCTTCATTTCATTTCAAGTGTGTTTTCCTGTTAACAGCGACCCTAAAATTTACCATAAAGCGACATGAAATTAAATTTTCTTGCACTTAACTTGGGAAATTATCGGAAATATTACAGCATTTTGCTAAGCTTCGAATCTTTGTTCTTTTAAAAGTACTTTTCACGTGAATGTCTACTTGTAGACTAATCTTCAAAGTAACAGAGGCGAAGGGAGGACAATCATTCTCAAACAATGCTGTTCCCAAATAGTTCACTCTTTCCACCTTACTAACTGGAAGAGCTAAGGCTAAATTTGCTTCAACATTCCACTGCAATCTGGCTTTTTGGCTATTTTCCCAAAATCTACCAAAAATGTCTTAAATACACCAACAATATATCAGATAAAATATGTTGATTGACTTACAAACAGCATCAGTCCATTTTTAGTACAGAAACAAAGTTACAGTTTTGTAAAATTAGCAGAGATAGGCAGGGACCTACTAACACAAGAAGAAGCAAAGAGAGCATAAGTTTTTAAAAAATTTTTTAAAGTCAATTTGCCATTGAGAAAATGAAATATATAATTTACACAAATATTGCAATATCAAACCATTATCTACCAAGTCCTATGTCTACTAATGCTCATAGAAAACTCTTTTGAGCAAAAATTTAAGTTGATAACACCCAACTGGTTGGAACAAATATGCAAACATGTGGAAGGACATAGATGTTAGCAGCATCCAGTTTCTGAATGTAACAGGCTTTGTTGTTCGAAACTTTGACAACAGCAACCATTGATGAGGCAAATGAGTTGCTCTTCTTGTATTCTTGTCTTGTTTTTAGCCACTTTTCTTTGGCAACTTTCATGGTTTTGTCAAAATCAAAGTCAAAATCAAAGTCAAAATCTGATCTTTTCTTGAACTTTTGGTAAAATGATCAAACAATTGATTCTAACGACACACATAGTCAAGAACTATTCAATTCAAAGCCAAAAAAAAGGGTCTATCAAATAAAAGGTGATTTAAACGAACAGGGGTTAGGTGATGACCCACTAACACCAGAAGTGGACAGAAAGAGGGTGTGGAAGTAACATTCTCGCTGCACCAACTTTATGATCAAGGATCACGGTTAATGATAAGGTTTAAAATCTAAAAATTTGATAGTTCAGCATACTTTGCAAGTGTATTGACATTGAAGCACAGTAAATTGATCCATGCAATTTTAAACTAGTTATAAACTTTGTCATTGTAAAGCTCCATAGATAGATAATTTCTTATTTGTATGTGTGCTCTAAAAAAATTTATTATTATTATTATCATTAAGAAAAGTTCTGACAATGTATAAGCATATACGGTACATGAAAAGATAATTGATGCATATATATGTAAAATATAGCTTCATGAAATAATAAAACAGAATTTAATTGACATAAATGATCACAGTTTTTTAAATCATTTCAACATCTCTACTTTCTGTTTCAATTAGGTTTCGTATTTTGTCTAAAACAACTGGGTTGCGACTAAAGCATGAATTTTTATTATATGGTGGTTCAATCTTAACAAGACCACCAAAAAGCTCGATGGAAAACTTGTCGACTTTATAAGGTACGTGATGCTTTTCCAGTCTCTCTGTAATCACTTCCAACTTCTCTTTGGTGTCGGGCGAATTTATAGGTGTACAATTTTCTTTTCTCTCAATCATTCGAAGTAAAGTTTCTTGAATACTTGCCCATATTTGATCATCAGAATCGTTGTGTATATCTTTCACACATTCATAAGCATCTCCCATTATAAATTCGAATTTTAGCTTTTGTGAAGACTTGAAATCTGTTACGGCAACATTGTTGGTATCTTTGTTCTCTGGATTCGCGGGGTAACTTTGAGAAAGTTTACAACCATCTTCCGCCGTTATTGACGCGGTTTCTTGACATAAAACAATTCGATTAACAAGAACAAGGATATTAGTTTGTGGGTCATTCGTATATAGGAAACCTTCCCGAACAACATTGTCATTACATTTCACTTCGAGTTTTTTCCCGATCAAACTGCGTGGAGTATTTTCCCGCGACTCCGCCATTTTGTCAACAATGTAATTTTCCTCGGACCTCGTTTTCACAAAAAAAATAAAAAAGCGAGCGCCGATCAGCGGCGCCTTTATGCATCGGTCCTGTTTTTTGGGCTGTGGGTGTGCTAATCACAAAGACGACCCTAAAAACACAATCATTTTTGAGAGGGTTGGGAAAAAAACAATGTGTTATTTCTTAAATATCAATACAATTTAATTCAATTGATGGGGGGGGAGCTACGGGGGCTTGAGCCCCCAATAGTTTTCAAAATTTACTTAGAGTCATACAAAAAATCGTCCTGCTCTTGGTTTCTGGCATGTTTAAGCCCCAAAACCTTTTAGCCCCCTCAATCTGTAATATTCTCCGCGGTCCTTGACACGCGTTACAACTGTAGTGACACAAATGATCCAACTCAAAGAAATTACCGCAACCCTCAATATCTCAGGTACTTTTACCGGATTTGAAAAAATAAATATCTACTTCAGGGAAAAATTGGATAGACATATCGACCCCAATCTTCCCCATTGTGACTGTCATCCATTTAGGAAAGTCTTTGTCATCGCGATTTTCTGACATTTAATGAAACTTTTCTCTGTAACAGTCCAATTAGCATACACGACTCCTTTTTAGTAAGAACCAGTAAATTTAAGTTCAGGATGACTCTTCTTGAATTTTTCGAAAATTTGAGGCTGGATTGTTCTTAAATTAATAGGGTGTAAGCAGTGCCATTTTTGGCCCTAGGGAGGTGTTCAGGCCTCATTTGCCAACAAAGTGAGTGAGGCAACCTTCATTTGCCAACAAGTTTGAATATTCACCGAAAAAGCACCCACACGTGGCTAAAAATCCTCGTTTTTGAGATAAAACTTTGTTCAAAATTGCATTTAACAGTAGCTCAGCCTCAGCTTGTTCTTAATTTGCTCTTAACTTTTGACCAATTTGATGATCGTGTTCTTATAAAATTGCTCTTATAAAAAGAAATGAGTGTACTTCGCATCAATATACTATTATTCGAATAAGATATTTTCATTTTAATAAAGTTAATGGTGAATATCATGTATAAGTAATTGTGCTTTGTTAATTAGCAAATGACAAATTATCTATTTTGCTGCATATTTTTATCAATATCAAACAATTTATCTACACGACCACACAATTTAATCAATCGAAGTAATCAATTAAGTGCTATAAAAAAGTCATGCTTCAAAAAAAGATATTGACACCCCACTCTTACTAAGTTCTTGTAAAAAGTGCTAATGGCAAAAATTTTGGAAATAGACTCCGATCTCATGCTCACCTAGTTGGCTAGACAATTCTAAATATTCTTATTGGAAGACCAATTGCCACTACTACCCCCTCCCCCCCCCCACATTATGTACTCAGTACTCTATCAGGCATAAGCAATGTTTGCACGTGTAATAAATTCTTTTATAAGTCTAAAAGAACAGAAGCACAGAATGAGCCAAGGGAAACTAAAGAGTCCATTATTTCCCATTTGCTGCTCATATCGAGGAACCTACTTATACTGACTGGTGAAATTTTACGCCCTTATACACTGGTGTTTACTGTAATTCAAAAGCATAAGATAAATTATTCTTATATTTTACGTTGATTAAATGAATAGGTGCCTTTTAATTGTTGATATTTGTGACCGAATCAAACCATCCCGCATAAAGAATTTATTTTTTAATGAATCACTACTGCAAAATAAAACTTAGACACCTCAACCTTGAAAAACTTTAGACAAAGGGTAAAACTTTATATCGATAATTGAAAAATGTAACTAGCATCAATTTTTTAATGTTCAGTCATATTGGACTGTTTCTCTACAAGTTTTCGAAACAAGCCATCCTTCAATTGAATCAGCTCCTCATAGGTACCAGATTCTGCGATTTTTCCATTGTCGACAACTGCTACCTAAAATTTATTTTGATAAATTAACACATCAAAAGAAATGTCACATTATTGATTAACGTGATGACGAGGTCTGAATCGTAGCTTTGTCTTTCAGGCATGAATCAGGGAAAAGGGCCAAGGGATAGACACGAAAGACTTTCATGAATAACTTAAATCGGCCAGTGCCCCAGGTTAAGAAAATAGCCAGAAAAAGGAAGCTGTGGCATCAGCTTGTGGTTTGCCAAAACACCGGATTGGTGATAACTGACACGCAAAAGGAAATATGACACGCAAATGAATTGTAGTAAAACGTAGTAGAGACCAAAGTATATTACCCTACCTGGTGCGCTGCCTTTATAGTAGACAGTCGATGGGCGATTATTATCGTTGTTCTACCAACCATAAGCTTCTGCAACGCGTCTTGAACCAAATACTCACTCTCTGCATCCAACGCGCTTAAATAAATTGCAATGAGATAACATAGATATTGTCGTGAAGAACTAGACTATACAGGTATTGAAAGTTTGCAAAATGAAAAAAACTAAACTTCTTTCCAGTCACCTCGAAAAAATTTGTCTCTGGTATCTGATATACTTGCCTATGGACAACAATCTTTATATTCGATCGTTATACACGGGACATTTACGAGAAAGCTCTATCAGTTTCCATTCCAGTAATGTTGACTCTCTTCTATCGAAAAGGAATTTATCAGATAAAATTGAGGCTCTGACAACCATATAAAGCATCAATGTTTGAAAGAAGAAAGAGAGGTACCCAAATCTAGCAAAACTAGCAAACTGTACCAAAACTTTAGCCAGGAAATCCTGTTTCTTGGAACGAAACCTTTCGCAATTGTAAGCATGTAAAAACGTAAGCAGAGCAGTTTTTAACAGAGGTATTGATGCGTTTCAGATGGTTAATCTTTCTAGGAACACTGATCGACTATCCTTGAAATGCTTCTGGTATTGCAAGATGGTGAATAAATTCACCAACTCTCAGAAGCCATTTTTAAGTCTGTGTCCAACTTTCTCTCCTTCATTCTATTTCTTTCCCTTTCAATTTCCGTTTATAATCTTTGTCTATTTGTTTTCCTTCCTTTGTTGCTCGTCTTCCCCTGGTTTTCTTATCATTCGTTCGTTACTTCTTCCATCTGACGTCCTTTCGGACAACTTTTAGCGTTATCTCCAAAATAATTCAAGCATAATACTTTTTATTTCTTAGAGGTTTAAATTCATAAAAACAAACGCTGCACAATTAAGAATAGACGATACATTCTTAAATTCAGTTTTCATTTAAAGATCATTAAATAAAGCATAGTTGAAATACCTTGTCGCTTCATCCAAAAGGAGAATTTTGGGGTCCTAGTAGGAGAAGGGGAGCATTTTAAAAGAATGAAGAAGCAGTCTAAAAGTAAACAATGACAATTCAAATGTAGTGTGTCCATGCAGTGGAATGCACGATCGTTAAAACTTCCGATGAAAGATTGACATGAATGCAGCAGTTCGGTAATTTGATTGGCTTAGCCTAAGCCTCTTTTACAATGATTGATTCTAACCAAACAACAAACCCTCGATACCTGCTATTCGACAGAAAAATATACATCCAAATGACGTATATACAAAATAGGATGCAGGTTTAAATTTGACAATACAAAACTAAATGTGGCATAATGGAAAGGCATCTCATTGCTTATTGTTTAAGGTTTTATGCAGCTGGAAATTTTTCTCCCTTATTCTGCTAAAAAATATGATATTGTAGATCTTCCAATCTTACAGACAGAGATTGCAAACACAATACAGCAGAGAATTGATACCTTCATGATCGCTCTTGCAATGGCTATTCTCTGACGTTGACCACCTATAAAAACATAAAATGTTTTGCAAAATCAAAACACAGTAATATCCATGACTCTTTCGAATATCCCATTCAAGTTGGACCTGAATATAAATAGCTTTCTCCTAAAAGACATGAAAAATTCAATAAACAAAAGCGTTGATCTAGAAAAAAATTGAATGTACAAGAAAAACAAGTTGTCTTGCCTGATAACATCTGGCCGCGTTCTCCAACTAATGTGTTAATTCCATTTGGGAACGATTCTATAAATCCCATAGCGTTGGCCTTCTCAGCTGCCTCTACGATTTTCTCAGTGTCCATCTCAGACAGGTCATCAAGGCCATAACAAATGTTTTCAGCAATAGAGGAGGAAAACAATATTGGTTCCTAGAAAAAGGCGTTGCAGATTGTGAAAATAACAAGCTGGGGAGGGGAGAACAATTGTTTTGAGTTTTCATCTTTTGAAGTCACAATTCATGCGAGAGTCTGTCAGTTAAATTAGTAGCAAACCATGTCAAGGTAAAGTGTCAAAGGAAGAGTGTCTACGTCATCTAATGAAATCCGAACATAAAGAGGTTTTAAGAAAGCATCGTCACCGGTTTATAACTGGAATCATACTCCTAGCAGATACTCAAATGTATCTTCTATGAAGGATCTGACTAGCTTTTCTGCTTCTATTCTCTGCAGTTGTCTATTCTTCCATTAAAAATTTGGCAACAACGAACTTAGCATAGTTACTATAAAATCAACCCACCCATAGCTTTATCAAAGCGTTGCTTAAAATCCGGTTCTTTAGCATAAGGGCCTATCTCATTAAGTTCTGTAAACGATGCTTATTGCATAACATCAAACGATCGAGTACCTGGTTGACTGTCCCGATATACTTTCGAAGCCACGTGGGGTCAAGCTTTTTTACATCGTAGTTTCCGACACTGATATGGCCGCAGTCTGGGTCGTATAAGCGAAGGAGAAGGGAACCTATTGTGCTCTTCCCAGATCCACTAGCACCTACAACTGCAGTTATGGATCCAGATGGAACAAATAAATCCACTCCTTTCAATATCGGGGTGTCCTTTCTTGATGGATACGTAAAATGAACATTACTAAAATTTATACTGATGTTTTTGAGAACGCCTGGTGGTATAAGTCCTCCTATAAAGAAAAACATCGATAGTTAAGGGTATCGTGAGCTAAAATTTAATTTTCAGTCAAAGACAGATTGCTTAATCTCTACCAAAGATAAAAATTGTAAATAAATCCTGACCTACTCCTTATTCCAGAAAGCACGAACAAGCAGAAACATAACCAATCATCATACAATTAGCTTTGTATAAACCAATCAAATCATAGAATAATTGAGTTGATATCAGCATTTCATCATCAGTTACAGCGATCGCGCAAGAAACTGCAAATTATATCGACACACTGTCTTCAAGCTAATTTCTAAGAAAGCTCTGGCCGAGATTTTGTAATTATATACACCGCATAATTACCTGTAACAGGGATTTCAGGCTGCCTATCAGCAAGCTGCCAAATCCTAACACTTGCTCCGACGCCTTTCATGAGCTCAGAATAAAAAGTACTTAGGCCTAAGGGAGAAAAGACTGTATCAGAGAAAAAATAGATTTAATTAATAAACAAAGGAAGGTTTACTCTAAATTGCATGGCCTGACCATGCATTATCGAGATTTGAGACTCTCCTTGCACATTATTTTCTTAGCTACAAGAAAATTGCTTTAGGCCTTTTCCTTTGGAAACCAAATTTATCACATTCAAAATTGCTTTCAAAGTCCAAATTTATCTACTTCTTACGCTTGTCCCTTCCGCACTTTTCCCTTTTGTGCGAATCTCACTCAAGATCCTATTAAAAACCGCATTGCCGAGATCCGCCTTAAGAGTCTGCCAACCAGGTCTTAATACGATTACTGCCCGAGTAAAGACAAGGTTAAAACAAAAACTTGATAAATCCTTATTTATGAGAATTCGTTCAAAATAAAAGCATACTTCAGCATTTTTTATTCCAGAACGAGGTAAACACTCGCAAGATAAGGCTCAGAGAGGGACAAAAAATACGTGTACACTTGATATCTCGAGCTCGAGAACTTAATAACTCTCTCTGCAAAAAATGGAATCTCTACAGTGGAAATAAGAAAATATCTTACAGTTTATAACATAAGTATACTAAGGCCAACAGAGGTAGTGGTGTTTTTCATTCTTTTTTGTTAAAAGACTGTTCTTTAGCGTGTGTGTTGTGATACAATTTAGCTCTACAATCTTGAAAATATTGCACTTCAATTTAAGGGTGAGACAGACACCTTTAAAGCAAAATACATGACACTTTTCACGAACTTTGCCAAACGAGTTACAACTTTAGCCACAGTCTAAAAGCGTTTTCTGCTCAATCCGTCTAGACACAATAAAGTAGCACTGGACCATTTTAATCAACAACCATATTGGAAAATTGAACAAGCTAAGTTAAGAAGACATAATCTTGAGCTTCACCTGCAATTGACATTCCAACATAGACCGTATACAGCAAGAATGACGTCAGATCACCAACTGTCATTTGCGCCTGCGTCATCATATAACCGCCACTGTAGAGTACAGTGATGACAATCATGTTGCCAGAAAAACCTGTCTAATAACGATGAAAGTAAAATAAGCAATTTGCTGGATGACGAATCGGGGCGGGAAATATGAGCTTGAAACCTCGACAACGGAAGCCAACAAAAAGGTAAAAATAATGGACACAGCACATTCAACTAAATACATTAAGTTAACTGAATCTTTCAGCAGTCGACAGATACCATAGTGGCTTAAGACATCTGTCAATCAACAATTGGCCAATCAGCAAGCGTCATGCCACTCAGATGCTTATTAATTGGCCAATAGATGATTGTTTAAGTTAAGATGGTTTAAATCACTTTTGTATCAGTCGGTTGCCCTTGATATGGACAACCTATAATCAGAACATTCTTGCCAAATAAAGGAACGAAGAGTGCTATCTCTGGCATTTAGTAATTCCTTCAAAGGCTTGTTTCCATATAGCTTGAAGAGCTGCCTGAAATAACGATATGGTGCTATGTCCTGGCAACAAAACATATTTTAATGTAAAGGCTCTCATTAGGGACTGCCAGAGAATGGTGATTGAATAAAGCTCAATACAGATTAGCAAAGTGAATACTGATAATTTGACTGCTTTTTTAAAAGTTTTATCGACTAAGATTGTTTGCATGATCTTCGAAGGCATGAGAAATGTCGACAAACAAAATGTTCAGAAAATAAAACCCCAATTTCAATCACTGTAAGGAATTAATTGAATGCCAAATAAGATAACTTGACAACTTACAAATCCAAAAAATGCAGCTCTCGCCAAAGCCTCTTTATAAGCTAAATGCAATACCGAATCCACTCTCCCGTCGTATCTGAAAAAGATGTAAGCAAAACCCAATAAAAACATTGTAACTAACTTCAGTATTACTAGTGACAAACGAATAGCTTTATTTTGCCTCAACTTAGCTATCCTTGTTGGTGAACATGAACAAAACTATCGAATATTCGTGGCTGTGTAGTATGGGGTAAAAAGTTATACATAGTATTTAGATTGCTCAGAGTTATTGAAAATAACTTCACTAAACTAATATGAAAGAAAAAAGGCACTCGAAATTGAAATGAAAATTGCTCCCTATTCCTAGATTATATTCCTAGTTGATGTAAAAGCAGTCTGCGCACATTAACAAAAAGCAGTAGCCGGTAACACTTAAATTTCTGTGGAAATAAGTTGAAATTTTCAAAACAGTGATAGAAAAGAGTGCACTGCAGAGAGCTTAATCCTAACCATTGTTCCTTGACAAAATGCACCATGTACTCTAACAACAAATGTATAAATTTTCGTAGGAAGGGAAAGATATTTTTTAAATACACAGACCATATTATCATTTCAGAAAAACCACAGCGGAACATGATTCAAAAAATAGATTTTTCGAACATTCGATGACATTTATCGCATTGTATCACGTAATAACCTTTCAAACATTTCACGTAATTACTGAAAGGTTTGAGGGCTCACCTCTGTGTCTCTTTTATTTCCTGAGCAAATGCTCTTACGGTCCTGATGTTACTTATTCTCTCCTCTGCCACCTTCGAAAATACAAACACATTTCAAACCTACGATTTTACAATTATAGTAAAAAAACAAGAGTTACGCTTGAGTGGAAAATAAAACTTGCCAAATACCCTCGTAAAAGGCTCCTTTGGCAATCTGGAGCATTGGCCGTGATGAGGTAAAGGGAAACGTTTAATCAGGGGCGAAACTACCGGGGGGGTGTGGGGGGGTGTGACACCCCTCCAATCCAAAAAATAGTCGATTTCGCAGGGCAATCGAAGATTTCGCAGGGCGCCAAGAAAAGCTTTGTTGCCACGCAGAAATGCCACCTCTGAAGTTCGTAAAGGGCCGTTCACGAATTTTGAAATGGAAATATTATATTTGTTATAAACCTCCCTTCCTGACATTGCATTTTAGAGAACGGAAAAGGTATGTCAGGAAGAGCTCCGTTATTAGCAAAGCGAAAGCATTCCTTACCGAAAGTCATAGCCAATGGATGCAATGATTGATGCATATGTTTATGAGGGCAAGATTGAGTCCATATAAATTAATTTAAGTTGTAAATTATTTTCATGACAAGCACGGCGTCACTGGGGAGGAATAAGGGGCTGAAGTCCCTCACTTTGGTCAAGATAGGATTTTTTTATCATTTTTTCTATTACTTTTTAACAGTGCATGAACTAAAAAACATAAAAAATCGTTAAGATACCGATTTTGTTTCATCGAATTGCTAACTTTTTCACGTAAATTTTTATTATTTTTCTTTTATTTGCATTAATTCAGTAAATCATTTTCTGTATCATTGCAATGTTTTAATTTTGGATGTGTAAACATGGCCTTCTTGACACAAGAAACTGCACATTTCTGTTCAGGAAAAAAAATTCTCCCAATCAAAACAACATCTTCCTCTGTCATTCACAACTACGTGCAATCTGAAACGAAAGGTTGCCGTTTCTTTCTTTCCCTAACGTCTAACACTAGAGTTTTAGCATGACATCCCCCTCCCCATTTTTCCCAATAAACAATAATATTTTCAATAAACAATCAGTTTATTGAACAAAACAATCAGCACAAAAGCATTTTGCTAAATTTTTGTCTGAAGATGCTTTTTAGCCCTTTTACAAGGTATAATTTCAAAAATTTCTTCACGTCGGACCCAACCATGGTGGGTCCTCCTACCTCACTAAACTTGTCTCTTAGCCCCACTGGGCTAAATTTCGTTGCGCTGTTTACATCATGTACCCCTCACACCCCCAATTAGCTCTTTATCAGCTTAATTTTGCAAACCAACATTAAATGAAGTGAATATAGAAAAAACAATTTACGCTCACGTACAGAAATAGAAATTTCATAGGCAATGAAGTTTCAAGTTTGTTTTTACTGCTTAGAAGTTGGTCCTTGGTAAAGACCAGTGTACACTGGTAAAGCTTTCACTAGTAACCTATAGACAAACCGTTGCTACTAGGTCTGCAGGGCACCACTCAGTTTTGCAGGGCAGAAACCCTTTTCACCCCCCCAAAACTATTGGCCAAGTTACGCCCCTGCGTTTACTTAAAGGTAATTGACGGATACTAAAGGGGTTTAAGCCCAGCAACAAATTGACCAATCTGTGAGAGTGATTCCACTCACACGCTTATGGATTGGCTGACATTGATTAACAGATGGCATAAGCCACTACTATATCTGTCGATTGCCTTTAGAATATTGAAAATGCGGAGTCATGCTTACCTGAGAGGCATCAGCCAGTGAATCTTGGACCTGTTTTGTGATATTCCGAACATACCTGCCGTATATTACACTAAACAAAACAACTGGTGGTACTATGCTTAGAACTAAGCCAGCAAGTTTCGGTGATACGAAAACCTACAAAACAAAACATTTTATCAGATTTTAGATTCTAGAAGATCACCGGCAAGAAAAGTAGCTCTTATCATAGAACTTATCATCTACGAGGACACAAATATATGGTTTTTTTTCGGGTACTCACATGCCGTCCAAGTTTGAGGTACAATTTTATTCAAGCCCAATTCAGATGTACTACTTGACATCTTTAGAACTCTGCTGGCGATTTTAGCAGTAATATCCAATAGTGAAGGAATGACTGCTCAATTATGCAAAAAGTAAAATGACGATAACAATGGAATAACGCGGAAATGTGTCAAGGAAAATGTTCGACATTGTTTCTACCTATAAAAGGATACGGGTCAGATCAGTCCGCCTTCTAGATCCAAATACTCGTAATTTCATAAGATGCTAATTTCAAAAATTTTAATCAGGTTTTCAAATTTTTTATTGATTTTAGTTCGAAGCATATCTTCAATTTCTTTCAAATTTCTTCAATACCAAAATGTCAACAAAGTACTCTCAAAAGAAAATAAAACGAAATGACAGAATTTTGCATACAAAAGCTAGCCTTTTAAATACAAAATTGGAAGAGCGGACCTCCGGATGCAAAAAGCGGCTTCTTACGAAAACTAGCTCTTGTTTCATACGCAGTAGCAAAATGTAAGAAATCTCCTATGTAAGACCAGATAAACTCTTTTATATTCAGTTTTTAAAGGAGTGAGCGTATTGGATACCGTGTGATCAAATCGTTCATATTGCCTGGCAGTTCCCTCAATCGTCACAGATACAACTTGAGGTAGGAACTGTGGGACAGTTTGAAATACTTAAAGACATCATTTATCCAACCAAAAGCGAATAAAAATTCAATTTAAAGCAGTTTGAGGTTTTTTTATGATTGTTAAAATAAAGTATGCAATTAAAATGTCATAGAGAAGAAATTGGAAGGTTAAGCTGTCACCATTAACGAAACCCCAGCAACACCTTGGGCGAAAGATCGTAGACCATCTGATATATTATCTGTGATCGATTTTCCAACTAAGGTTGTATCTGTTGACAGACGGTTGATCAATTCTCCTGTTGGATTTTTATCAAAGAAAGCAGTTTCTTGGCGAATGATTGAGCCAAATATTTTCTGTCGTAAACGGTTAACAATCCTTTGCCCTAAAACAAACAAAGAAATTACATTAAAATAAAACTACTTTCAGCACTTCTCAATTGATTCACTTCATCAAAGATGCTAAAAAGGGGGTGCCCTCCTCGTTTTATTTGTTCATGTCCTTTAGTATTTCAAAAACATTAGTAAATGCTTGATAAATAAACATGTTAAAGAAAATATAAAAACACATTACCTAACTTATGAATTACAAAATGAAACAAGTCATATCAATCATTACAACTTAAGATAATGCTGCTTTTCACTTTTATCTTTTGAATTTACTAAATCCTCATTTTATTGGCAAATTTCAATGCTAATTAAACCTCTCTCATAAAAAATCTTGCATTTTCTTTAAAAGACATCCTTCGAGAAAGAATCTTATGCTATCGATGGAATAATCAAGATCTGACCGTTCCTCTAACTTCTAATTGTCTCAAATGGAATCAGCAAATCCAAATCAACATAATGGTGTTGCAAAGTGATGATGTCCATAAATACATTTCAAAAAAATTTGAAAGTCCCAAATAGCCCCAAAGAATCAATAAAATACTTCCAAATGTGCAAAATCAGTTAGATAAGATCTGCTCCAAATTGCTCAAGATACAGGCTTTTCTCTTCATCAAACCACTTTAATTTGTCCCCCTTTCTAAAACTTATGAAAAAAGCCAGATTTTATTGGTCATATCTCAGAAAATATGCAACAGACCTATCAAATTTATGTGCATTAAGAAGTATTTCACAGTCCTTTTTCTATGTATGTCATAAACATTGAAAACTTCTAAAAATATATCTTTTTGACATCACTGCTTTGCAACTTAGTTGCAACAAACCTGAGGTCTGAACAAGGTAAACCCTTCCTAGATTTGCTAGTGCCCCAGCCAAAAATGTCACTGATAACACTGCACATGTAACTTTCAAATTCCAAAGCATTTCTGTAAAATCTTCGGTTGAATTGTATATGATATCGATCAGTTTTCCAATACAAAAAGGCACCAGCATTGTAACAGATGATGAAAGGACCAGCAATCCAAATGCAACTAGAATAGAAATGCCATAAAAACTTTGATCAGTATCACACTTCAGAACTTAACTGTAGTTACATCTAGATTCAACTTCAGAATTGAAATTTACCTTATACATACACCATACAATTTTCAATTCAGCTCCCCTTTAAATATTCCCTTCCCACACTAAACATAGGAACACATACAGGGTGGGGTTGGGGGCATTGTGTGGTTGCAGTACCTCCAACATTTTGTCTGTCAGCACACTAAGGAGTTTTAGCAGGCAAAAAAAGCAATTTTGTACTCACCCTGTAACCTTTTCCCAACAATTGTAACATATTAACATTTCTGTAGTAGCTGAACTTTCAAAGAATGGCACTAAAGTATGAACTTTGAAACAGAAATGCATGAAAAGCATATAAGAGTTATCTTTTGACCACAACCTTCAAGAGCGAGACAAGCTCTTTTTGTTGGCAAAAATCACTTCTTTACCCCACCAAATTTTCTTTGGCTTTGTCCCTGCTCAGATTTCAAAATCACAAATAAACTGGGGGGTGCATTAAAGGTTATTCAGTCTACATCATTTATTGTCAGACATAGGAGTGTGATGCCAATTTTTCTGCTTCATCAAACTATCCCAGTCTAGAAGAAACACTTATTACACCCTTGACTATCACCACTTTTTGGGTAATTTTATTGTTACTTGAAAAAGAAAACAAAATACAAACAAAGAACATGATTATTGAGCATCAAGGAACTCTGCTAGTCATCGCCTATTTAACATTATAAAGAAGAATATCAAACAACCTCCAAGCTTCTTCCATTCTGGCTTTGCTAACTCAGCAAGTCTTCTTATTTCACGGCCTTGGCTCTTCTGTTTCCCAGTTTTACCAAAGACTGATTGCAAATTCCAGCCACTTTTTATTTTTTTCTCTACATTATTTGACGAAAAACGGATTTGACTTCTTCCTTTGCCTCCATATCGGTTAACTGCTCTGAAATAACGAAGACTTGAGATGTGGCAACGAAAAGTTGGTTGAAAAAAAGTTAGTGTGGGTAATTTCTTGTAAAAAATCGTAAGAGATTTGGTTGTGCTGGAAAATGTATTGGAAGACGTTTTGAGGCACCATCTCGAAGGCCAGGAGCTGTAAAATGTATTTCCAAAATTGATGTGGTTGGAAGGAAAATGTCTGATTCGTCGAAACAGTAGCATTATTCATACAGAATTAACAAGAATAACAAGTATGGTGATGCTCACTTCTCTTCGCTGATTTCAGCTTGTTATGATCTAGCCATATTTTTTTGGTTTATATTGTGCATTTTACGACAGAGAAATTAAAACTTACAAGACAGATATTACAACTCCATCTGCAGCCAGCAGCCTCTACTTGAAACATGACCACGAGCCACAACAGCAACAACAGTCAATAAACTCGAGATTTCGCTCAGTGGTCCCCCCTCTAATCAATTTTTGCCCCTCTTTTTGAAATCCCTAGCACATTTACTCAAATTTTTCTAATATTGAACTTAGCTAAAGATAAGTACCAAGAATCTTAGCATTTTGTGTTTCAATGCTGAAATTTTTTTAAATTATCAATTAATGTGCTACCTTTTAGAAAAAGAAAAATACATAACAAAATATCATGCGATCATGTGCCATCTTCGTCAGATCATAAGATCAATTGAATTTGTAAACAATAACAAAGCTGTACATGTCCTGCTTTTCAGAAGCTTTCAACAAGGAATATGTATTGTAGAGTTTGGAAAAGCGAAGAAAGAAGTAATCACAGATGAAAAATAAGGACAAAGCCCTGGGTTAATTCTAATTTACCAGGAGCGGACTGGCCGGTCGGGCTACCGGGCGATCGCCCGGTGGGCCCTCCCAAAATTATTGCAATTTTATCTTAAGTTTGCTATTAAATAAAAACTCGTATTATTTGGTAGGGGCCCTCTTCTGTTGCCAAACACCGAGACTCTCTCAAGATTAGTAGATACAAAATGAATAAAAAGATCACTTTGCGGTATTTAAGTACTGAAAAAGCATTTTCCAAAATTTTGAGCCCCATGGAAACAAGGAGAATTCTGGGCACAGGGCTCACTGCCCCTAATGCAATAATACGATACTTAAAGGTAATGTGTCCATATAAAAGGACTGCGTATAGCCAACTTGTCAAGCCACCCATCAAAATAACGGTTTGCGATTGGTCAGTATTCTTGCGATGCAAAACTGCTCACATGAAAAGCTAACCTCGCAGCAGGTTAGATAAACAGAACGACCGTAATGACTGGGGCGACGATATGAAAAATCACATGTTTCTAAAAACCCCCGCAGAGTTGCTTGCTTTAGCTGGACACATTACCTTTAACTGGAAGTTCCAAAATTTGATAAATGTTCTCTTCGGGCTCTCAGTTTAAATGTTTTCATTAAATCATAGGTTAAAGTGGTAAGGACATGACAATTTTTGCGACTCAATTTCTAGGAAGGCACATTATTTTAATGCTAACCAAATCGATTTGGGAATATAGATCAAAACAGCAGAAGGGCTCAACCACCTCAGCTCTGACAAAATTTTTGGTCCAGTACATCCATACTTTACTCCAGTATAAAACATATTTGGTGTAAGTCTCCGGAAAAGTTTTGGCATAATTCCATTTGCGTGGTCTGACTGTGCTAGTTTTATATTCAAAAATTTGCTGACGTGGCGAAAACCATGCGAGATTTGCCCTGACGAACTTTGCAAAATAACAGGCCCGTAGACACTGGGGGCAGAGGGCAATGCCCCCAATATTTTGCAAAAATTGTGTTTGAAGATCTTATAAGCGCAGTAGTTCGTAAGGCAGGTAAAGGAAAAGCTATATTTCTATCCATGCCCTCCAATCCAGTTTAGCAGTCTACGGCCCTGCATAAAAATGAATAAGTTTTAAATATCTCCCATTGTAAACTAAACAAGGAAAAGAAACGAGATACAGCTGGAAGACTTAGATGCATTACAAGCTTCATGCTCATAGAAATGTAGAAATGAAATGATATCTAAACATAGAAAGGAATGACTCGTTTTTTTTAAAGTTTCTTACTGAGAACATTTATTTACTGTCTTCAATAGACAAGACAGGGTTTTTTATAATTGCATTTAAAAATTTGTTCAATGTTATGTGTATAGAAAATGCTGGGCTTGTCGCTAAAAGTTGAGAATAAGACCTTGGCTCTTTGGTAATTGAAAACTATTAGAGGGATGGGGAATTATTGTAAATGAAAGCTTACATGTATTGCCTAGGATCTTCCTTTCGAAAAACTTGATGTGGCAAGTATTCTAGATGCATTTCTGGCCATCCCTAAAAAAATAATATTGCGAAAATTTTTCTTGAATTCAGCCAGAATTCCAAAAGTGGCCTTTATTTAACCCCTGAACAATCTAAACATCGCCCCTTCCCCCACTTTCATCAACGTTTCGTCAGCCCTGTCTATGCTACTGATGTTACCATCTTAGTTGCTGCGCAAACAATAAATTAACCTGGCTGCTCAACTAATGATCGGAAAAACATCAACTCCCATTATGTTTTGACTGGAAAATTACATATCAAAATTTTCTGAATAGCTTAGATATTTCTTGAATAACTTTATTAAGTTCTACCCTGGGTACCAGAGCCTCAGTGATCGAAAAAGGTGACCCCTCTAAAAACCATTCTCGATCATTTATCACTGAGGCCCCCCTTTAAAAGTCCTTCAGCTTGAAAACAACAATTTTTCCCCTCGCATATCATGATTTTCTCTCATCTTTTATTCTACGTCAGAATTAAATTTCCAGTGAAAATGATGCTGACCTGGACTAAGGTTTGTAGATCCCCCTTTTAAATCTTTTACACTTACGCCTACATCCCTGGTAGTTACTAATTAGAATTAATAGCAATATTCCAATTATGTTTTAAGCCAGTATAAAAAAGCGGTGCAATAAACAACTTTGGGGAAATCCGTAAACTTATTATTGATTTCCGGGGCCCTTTTTCGGCGACTTGAACCGGGCCCTGTCCGCCCCTGATTCTAATCAATAGGTAGTAAGAAATTCTAAAAAAAAACAAATAAAATCACAAAGATCATACGTAGATAATAAACAATTGCAGAAAAACCATGTGATTCTTTAACATCATAATTATTCCGTTTACTACTAAAGATATGAATAGCGTTTTGGTGTTTGCCTGTTTTCCTGAATATTGGGAAACCTTTTAGGCCCCTAGCCTCAGGCCTTGTATACTTTTGTTGATTACAAAACACAGGAAACGGAGGGCATACATAGGGGACATGTGCCCCCCTCTGCCTCCAATTCGCAGAAGCAGAGGTTAAGTACCTATTCAAAGATCACGGAGGTTGCCCCTCTTTGCCTACATGTCCCCCTTTTTGAAATGTTTACTTCATCTATGATTGACTAAAGCTAAATTTGGATTTCATCTAAAGTGTCCAGAAGTTTTGAATCCACGTACCGTAAATCCTCAAATTGGCCCCCCCCCCTCGAAAAAGCCCCTCTCGAATATGCCCCTACTGTTACCGTAAATTCTCAAATTGGACCCCTCAATTTGATGATTTTGCCATCTGAGGTTGCCTATGGCGTTTTATTGAATTACCACAACAAATTTCTACTAAAATAAACGAGGTCTTTTAATAATATATTCTTAATGTCTACAATAATTGTATAAGCCCCCCCCTCGTATAAGCCCCCCTTCCTTCGAATAAGCCCCCATCCAAAAATATCAAAAATAAATAAGCATCCGAACGAGGATTTACGGTATGCCTTCCCGCTAATTTGAAAAAGAAGCGAACGAGCCTCTCTTTGCAACAACACGACTCATTTCCGGTCACTTTCCATATTTGGAAGTAAGTAGCCTTTAGACCTGTATAAAAGTTGCTTGCGATCTCTTGTGCAAGGGAAAAAATTGTCTGGTTGGTCTTTCAAAGTGCAAATTATTGCTAATTGCGCGTAGCGGATAAAGCAAGAATTTTCCGGAATGAGTGAAATCGAGGACGCAATTATTGTGGACAAAATGGACGAGATGGAAGCTGAACACTTCGAAAAGGGATCAACAGATTTGCTTGATTTTGGAGACACACCTGTTCACGAGCAAGAAGAAACTCCAGTCTCTTCGACCACAGATCAATTAATGGATTTGATGAAACCAGACACAACATACGCAGAAGTTGCCGAAAATAAGGAAGATTTACCTGCCACTATTGGCCAGGAAAACGTGCAAGAAATCTTTGAGCCCGAAACTGTGACCTCGACCGCCGCTGATGTTGACCATGAGAATCAAGAAGAACAGAAACCTAAATCAAATGAAGTAACCCAGAAAAGTGGTACGGAACCTTATCTATCTTCAGAATACATCAAAATGTTGATATTTTATCTGGTAATCCCCTTCTCACATCTTCGTTTGCGCAGAAAGAAACAGAAAGTTGATTTAAGACATTTTTCCAAGGCCCAAAGCAAGTGATGATAGAATCGGATAAATGTTCGCTTGCCTGAAAATACGACCTTAACCAAATTCGGGTAGCTGGTCAAAAGAGAAGTTGCATTTCATGCTCTCAGGGCTTTGTCTGTTGGGAGACACTTTCTCGTTAAATAATGTAGTAAAATTTAGAAATTGAAAACAGATCAATCGGGTCATTTGACCTGTTGTGGAAAAACTAGCATTTCGAAATTGGTTATGCAATGGCTAAATATACATTTTTTAAATTAATCAAACAGGTTTGAACCTGCAGTTCCAAAATAAGGGATATGTTTTTATTATCCATGGCCTGTGTTGGCATGCAGCCAAATTGCATCATTGCCCCTATCAAATAAAACAAAAGCATACAATTGTTCAGAAACACGTTTTAACAGGTCTATCTTTATGGAGATACTCGAAATTACAGCCACACTATCATTTATTGTTTTCTTCATCATGCAATGTATTAAGTTGAAAATGAAAGCAATGTAGGCCTTGTCACAGCTAACTATAAGACTCATTCACAATATCAATATCATTTATGCTTCAGTTGAAATTTGGGTTGCACCCATCTTTTTGGTTTGGTTTATGATTGAATAAGCTTATTAAGTGATTAATCCTTTTCATAGATTAAACACATCAATACAAAAGATATTATTGTCTTTTTCAAACACCAACAAATTGTAAAACCATTTTTCTGTTGTGGTGATAACAGGGTGATAAGTCAAGATCAAGGCTTGTGTATCAATGTTTTTAGTTTATTTGATTTATCTTAACCAAATTTTCTTACTTGTAAAATGCCACACCCATTTTATGTTTTTCCAAGTTAGCAGGTAAATCACAAAATGTACTGTTATCAGCTGCTGATAATGGCACCTTTGAAGACCTATAGCAGTCCATAAATATTGAATGAGCATAATGTGAATAGAAATGCAAAGAATTTGATGATCTAGTTTCGTGAGCAAAATTGAATATTGTTCTGATGCCAACAAAAGGAATGTGCAATTTGTCTTATCAATTATTGATAACTCTGGTATCTGCAGCTTTTAGTGAGGAAAAGCCATCAAACTTATTATGCAAATCAAAATGCAGACACGAAAAAAGTTTTAATCAGTCAGTTCATAAGTTTATCTTCCCTGCAGAGAGTATCATGACTAAAAAATTCTCTTTTCTAAGAGCTAAATTTTGCAAAAACAATGAAACAATGAGCAATTTGTAAAATTAGAAGGAATATAATGCGTGTGATAAAGATTTTGTTGTTCTGCCAAACAGAAAATGTATCCCCTTCAACTAATTTAAGTTTTAATGTGTTAGTTAAGTAAAAGATTCCTTTGGATTATTAGCAAAAGAGCTGAATTTAGCTATCTCACTACCTCTGGGTTCTGAACAAATTTATATTTTATTTTAATTGCATCAATATTTTGTAATGAGTTTTCTACCTTTAATACCTGAAAAATTCTACATCAAATTAATACAAATATACCAAAATGACTTGGAAATTAAAGTCAATGTAATCTTGACTTATGTTAAAAGATAAGCTATTTATATATATATATATGTTTTATTTCATTTTATAATTTATTAGTAGTAGTCCATTTTGCTCCTTTTGGAGTTGAAATCATATTTTATTCATAAACTCAAATTTATTCAATTTTATTTGTTCATCGTTCTCTATAGTCATTTCATTAATCCACATGTAAAGTCTTAAAATTTGTGCTCGAAACAGTAGTTCACCAGCAAGAATATAGTAGATTGTGGTAAGTTAACTCAGTTATTTGGTTTTGCTTTCATAGATCTCATGAATAATCCATGCCATGTGAACTATATTTTTGTCATGAAAGCTCCTGAGTAAACTGCAAATGGTTTTAACAGAGGGCACTGCATAACTGCAGCCATGATATTTGACTCACTCGGAGATTTTGGTATGGTTTAGGTGATGATACAGTTTGTCAACTAACAAATAAGATACACAATTGTGCTTGTAATTTATGCTCAAATATTTTCATATCAATTTGTGTATGAATGTATTCTGAACATAACTAATATTTTTGCTTATAGGTTGAGTAAAATTTATGTTCAAAATTTCTATTCAATCTTTGATGTGTAAACTTTTTTCTTTCAGAGCTGACAAGTTGTATGGCAAAATGCCTCATCAGCAATAATGTTGACAGAAGAGGTATAACACTGTTTGAATTTCATCTTCTTAGTATTCATTATATGTCCATCTGCTTAACTAAATATTTCTACTATGCAAGCAAAATGATTCATTGCAGCAAAATCTTTGCACAATTGAATTGAACATATGCTCAAAGACAGGATTTGCCCAGAAAGGTGCTCTGAAATCTTAAAACAATAATGCCTTGAGACAGAACATTGTTTTAAAATAATGATGATCAAACTTTAACCATAATATTATGATTTATAATATTTGTACTGTACAAGAGTTTATACCACTTTTCTTTTGACGATTCGATTACTTTTTATACTGAATTTTATATCCTGTTCCTTTTAAGGCCACATCTACAAGAATATACTTTAAAATGAAAACCTTATTTTCCATTCAATGAAAGAACAAGCATATAAAAACAATTAATGAATTGAATCATTTGTAAATGCAATATTATTTGAAAATGCTTCATTTCCATTTGGATGTAAAACATTTGATTCCTTTTCACTTAGAAAAACTGACTTACTGTCTGGAGTTTGTCAAAACTTTTGTCCAAGCGACTGTTTTTTCTGATAATATCCAGGAGCCAGGGGTGTAGTGCTGTGGAAACTCAATCTACATTATCAATGCCAAAAAGGAGCAAATTTCTACATTTGCCACAATTATTTTTGCATCATTTTATACTTCTCCTAAACATGCAATAGAGGGCCTTAAGTTTTATAGGTGCTTGTTTTATGGAGCACCTTTATTTTGCTTAGAACAAGGCCTGCAAAGATAGAAGCTTTTTGCTCTTGTTAGAGCTTTTCAATAGTCTGTAAGTCTGTCATAATAGCCTAATATGCCTTGTTTATACAGATCCGGAAAATGTGAGATTTTCCTAAATATGAATATCTGAGTTATTTTGATGCTTAGTATATATGTTTGTCATTGTATAATGCCTCCACAAAATTTTTTCTTTAAGAATCACTTGATTTATTTTAACAAATTGGTAAAATAATCAGGACTTTTCGTTTGAAGCAAGCGATCACTCGCGATCGTGTCAGCATTCACGCAAACCAAACCACACAAATGTTTGATCGCTCGCGCAAAACGGTAAATTGTGAGGAATAAATGTTTTATCAATTAACACAATTTTAGTCATCTTTTGTGAACCAAGCATCAAAACACAAGAAATATAAGTGAGTTGACTTAACGATACCTCAACCAAAAAATGCATTCGAAAATCACTTCCACTGCAAATGTTTATGCATACTTTAGGTACTTAGTATTTGAACTACATTAGCACTTGAAACAATCTCTGGGCAGTTAAAACGTTTTCAAAAGGTATGGAACAACATTTTGCGTACATCCGGCAATAACATTTTTGTGACCTTTGTGATGTACATAAAGTTTATAAACGAAGCACACTTATAAAGAGGATTTAGTCTTTCTTCATAACCATTCATTTTCATGCATTACATTAAAAATAATCGTAACCATTCATTTTCATTTGATATTACCTTAAACAAAGGTACCTTATAACAGGAACAATTTTTTCACTATCAGAGCAATTGCACGTGCAAGAAAGATCACGCAAGCGATGGGCCACTCGCATAGGCTATTTCTTACGAAAAGGCCTGACTCCTAGTTTGAGGTGCTATTGTGAAGAATTGTAAAGGGGGTTTATGTAAATGTACTGCTTTTATTTTGCAGTGATAGATTTAATCTATTGGAAATGCTGGAAGAAGACTGCTGCTGTCTTTGGGGGCATTCTCTTCATACTCATGTCATTGATGTGTTGTACTCTACTCAGTGTAGCTTCTCTCTTCTCGATGGCAATTTTGGCAGCTGCATTCTTATACAGAATTGGGATGACTGTCTTCAATGCTGTGCAAAAGACAAATGCAGAACACCCATTTAAGTATGTATTTATGTCAATTTTTGTATAAAGTAATTGAGTTCAAGGACATCATTCTCTTTTGTAGCATCCAAAAGTTTCTACAGTAACTTCTGCTCTTCATAGCTTTTAAGATATCCTAAGAAAGTGGTTAGCAACTGGGATGCTACTTGTTCAGCGCTTGTAATGGGCTTTTGATTCTTGGTTGACAATGGCAAAGCAGACCAAGAAAGCACCAGTCTGCAATTACAGATTATAAAAGTAGTTCTAATTTAGCTTTGGTATCTGTTTTTTAATGTGTCAATAGTTATAGGCACATTTTGTTTCTAAGCCCTTTGAAAAATTATCATACTCAGCCTGAATCTTTTGCTTTTGCGATAAGCTGGTTCAAAGCTTCTGCGATAAGCCTCGTGTTGCTTAAAATGTTTAATTATCACCATAAGTTGAAAAAGTTTTAGATGATGTTTCAAAAGCTTGTTTTGATGACTGTGTGACATTTTGTGCATGTTTTTGTCTAGCTGATACTGTTTTGGAGCTTTAAAAATAAGAATTGATCCTAATTAAGTTTTGATTGGTAACTATCAATACAAACAACTGAAATGGGTTTATGTCTTAAAGAGGATTTGCAGCACATGGTCAAAATTTTGTGACTGCCTGACAGGATAGAATTGAGTTTTCCATAATGTTCATACTCACAAAATCAATCTATCTAAACAGATTGCCCTACTAACTTTTTTTTTCAGAGGTTGCTCTGTGGATAAATTTTGTCCATGACTATAAGTGAGAAGTCAATAAAGTAATCGCAAAACAACAGGGGTTTGCAAAATTTCATTAAGAAACAGAAAACTTTTGTAACTGAAGAAAAAAAACACTTCTGGACTCATTTTCTATGATGAGTCCGTATCCACTGGTAGCATAGAAAAAGTAACAAAATGATGTACTAGCATAATTGTGTAAATGTATGATGAATTTTTTGTACTTAATGCCAAACGACTTACCGGAATTTGGCTATTTCCTTACAGTAGCTATTCACTTTGCCATGGAATCAAACAGCACCCATAAACCTGTTTTATGAATTTTACCTAAATTTCTACTGGTTGGGATTGATCCAGATATTAGTTTTAGCTAATGGTGCAATATGATCCAGCATGTATATTGTTATCAAGTCACACGATGAAACTACTTACTATAAAATCTTTCTATTTCTAGGTAAATCTTTTCCAGGTAAATTACTCACTGCTTGAATTATTTTTTTAGACATATGCTAGAAGAAGACCTTGAGCTATCTGAAGAATCTGTAAGTTCATAATTTGTTTTTTTCTCAATAATAAAAGTCATTGGAAAATCATTACAATATTTAAAAGACTGTTTATCTTATCCTGTGTCATTATCTGTATTTATTAGAAATTTCCAGATACTTCTGCGAGTATTGTTAAATGTGATTTGTTTTCTCAGTGATATTTTGAATTTATTAAGCGATGTTTTTTAGGTGCAAAAATGGGCCAGTGAGTTAAGGCAGTGTGTCAACACAAAAGTTAAAAAGTTGCAGAAGCTCTTCTTGATTGAAGATGTGGTGGAATCTGTCAAGGTAATCTTTATGCATAATCACCTAGAAATTGATCTAATAATTCCCTATGATTATCATTAGTTGCTTTGTATGTATCGTACCTCCATTTTGCAGCGAATGCTTTATTTTAAGGCAAGTTTTTCAGCCTTGCTAGAACTTTAATGTTTGATTCTTTTCTTGTAAAAATCATAAAATTTTAGAGATGGAGAAGGCTGCCCTCAAGCTTTGGAGGCGATGGGGCAAAATGATGCCTCCTTTGAGCAAAGAGCAGAGCAGAAAATTTTTTGGCCATGCCCTTTAGATAAGCTTATAATGTTTTAGAGAACAAGAAGCTATGGTTATCAAGCAATGTTCTGTCCTTTTCTCTGTTTGTGGCCACACCTTTTGAATCCTTTCCCAGGAATTACAGATAGCTGGTGACCCTCTCCTCAATCTTTGTTAAGGCTTGGTCTTGAGCGATGAATTTGTAGTCTTTTGCAAACTATTTTTGTGGTAGGAAGGTTTGTATGCTCTAAATACTCTAGATTTGTATACTTGTATACTCTATGTTCTGGAATTTTGTACTTCTGAAGAGTGTCAAACAAAAATGTTTAGTATATATATTTCAAAATTTTTGCTTTTTTCCAGGCCAGATTTGTAGTCTTTCACCCTAATCTCGCATCTCTGTTTACTGTCAATAATTTTATTTGTAACTCTACTAGAAGTGGAAGTAAAATCCTTTTAAAATTCAGGATTTAAAATTTCTAGAATTAATATCTAGTTAGATCTTGCTTGATTGAGCAATGCTTTTTATCACTCTGAATGCTTTGATGTTTGTATTTTAGTTTGGTGTAATCCTTTGGATACTATCCTATATTGGATCATGGTTCTCAATGTTAACTATCTCCATCATTGGTGAGCAGCTGTGATATATTGATGAAATTTTCAATTACGCTGTCAAATGCACTCTTCTGCATATCTTATTAATGGAAATTATTATTATGCCAGCAAAGCTTACAAACTTTTCTCAGTCATGAAAGTCTAAGTTTGTTCATTATGAACTTTCTCAAGTAGTTACCATATTGGTACACCTGGAATCTGATGGAGTTGTTGGAAAGTGTAGCTTGTTGAAGTAATAAATAGGCTTCATATATTAACAGTATCATCTTGTACATTAACATGCTTGAATTTTTCCTGTTTGCATACACCATTTTTTCGACAATTACTATCTAAATCTTTTGCAACTCTTTTAAGGGTCTGCATTAAGATTAAGGGCTTTAATGTTGAATTTGAAGCTTTCATTTGACAGCAAATCTCATTTTTCAAAGCATGCAAAAAGCATAAATTTGCTTTTTCGCCATAAGATGTGGACACACTTGCTAAGCAACGTTTTGTACAGTACAGCTATATGACTTTTGTTTGATGAAATGTTTAACCTTGAATTCTCGATCTCGTATTTTATTAAGTGTTGATATCTACAGTTCAAATAATGAACGATTCTTTTTACCCTGCATTTTATGCTACATGTGTAGAGCACGTCCATTCAAAGCGCTCTTACTTTTATCCAAAATATGTCATTTGAGTTAGGTCTAAACTTAGCTAAAATGGATAAACAATGTTTGATCATACTGGTATTCTTGATAGTTCAGCTTTGAATAAGCCTCATGGTCTCCCACTGAACCAACGGCTATGTTATACTTCTTTAAGATTTTTGGGGTTTTCAACATATATAACTTATTTATTGATAACATAAACATACATTAGATACTTTAGCGCTAAAATTCTCGTTTCCCTTTTGTCTAGCTTGTGTCAAAATCTTCACTCTACCAGTCCTGTACGAGCGACACCAAGTAGGTCCCTCCATTCTTATCGTGTTTTTACAGTACGAATCACTCAATATGTTTATTTATGCTTGTGCTAGAAACATTTCCCTGTTTTCAGGAATAAATGCATGAGTTTCTTTACTCCGTTGTTATTTTGTTACAGTTTTCAAAAAAAGTATAAAATCTGTTTACATATGAATTATTGTTCGGTCAAAGTAAAATAACCAATTTTCTCAGAAGTATAAAGCACAATTAACCTAATTAAAAAAATTAATGTCAACTTTTGACAATTTTCACTTAAGGAGTAACACTTTTAATAAAAGGATACTCATTTACATATTCAGAATCGAATGAGGCCAACCGAATTTAGATAATTCACCGGTCAATCTTCGTTTTTTTTACGATTCTAGCAATAATTTTTTACCGAAATTGTATCACACTATGAGCAAGAACACAAGTATAGTCTGCGTAATGTTTGATTATTTTTTACAGTCTCGTAAATATTCATCTTGATAAATTCTTTCGATTTGTTCTTCCCAGGAGCAAGTAGATAGTGTATTGTCAACAGTTAAAGGCAAGGCTAAGGAAGTCATGTCAATGTAAGTAATTTTATTTTCTATAAATTCGTTTTTTGTTTGTGTCCATTACATGAAAGCTAAATAAGCTATTTTTACCCTGTTATTGTGAAAGGAGATGCTGCCTCTCAAAGAGCAGGGGAATTTTGAAGTTACTATTAAAGATAATGGAAGAAAATTGTATGTATTCAGCTACCATCATTTTAGAATGGCAGCGTTAAGATTTTGAAACCAGTTCGTCTGAAAAAATTGCTTGCGAACTACTTGTGAAATCTTTTTGCTTAAAATTGGTCTTGCTTTCATTGAATACAGTGAATGTATATATAATGTATGTATATATCTGCTTAACCAATCTCGTTTTTTTGCCGTAGAATCCAATCAAAATTGCCTGAAAAACTTAAGTTTGGAAAGGCTAAGGAAGAATAAATTTACAAGCATTAGATTGAGAGAGAAAGATGACGAAAGCTGATTGTTGACAAATGATAACGTTATTGGTTGACAAAGAATGGCTTGTCTGATAACAATGTGCTGATTTGGTAGAACTGAAAGTTATGAACATTGCTGAGATATGAAAATATATGATAGTTGTTAAAATTGCACTTTATCTAATAAAATTATTCAAACAAATGCTCCGTGCCACCATTAATGCATTTTGCTGATAATGGGCTCTGGTTAGAGGTTTGTGTCTTGCCTTATAACCCAATTATATTTCCCTATTCCATCCCATCCCACGCCCCTGTGTGAAAGCTTCTTCGATCACCAACTCTGCCTTTTCGCCCACAAATCAAATCATTTCCCTCTGTAAGTGTGATATGATGCCAGTTAAGGACTCGAGTATAATGCTTAATGATGACATAAAAATGCTGTCATCGTACGTTTCGTTTAATATATTGTGCTGATATATAAATAAGTATATTAACATACATTTAGATGTCATTCATGGAAGGTAAGGATCAACACATGCATTAAAACACGACATTATTTTGCATTCATTTGCTGTGTAAAGATTTGTTTTCGAAGAAAAGAGTTATTTGCTGTTTCTTAGCAACACGAGCTGCAGGATGGTTGTGTTTTGTAAGAGTTGGGATTTAGGTTGAATCGAAGGTTTGTGTGCGTTTCAAGTTGAAATGCAGAATATTTGGGGATATCCCTATCACGGAGATTGGATTCACCTATAATTTGTCAATCATGTACAAAACTACATTAATTTTTTATGCAGAGTACCGCCCCCCTTATATGCAGAGTAAGTTTCATCTCACTGGGTTTTGTTATAATTCAATGATAGGGCGATTCCAGATCAGCCTCTTTTCACTGGTAACCCGACAGTCTTGATTCGCGTTGAATTTCAATGAAATTATCAAATTGACCTACCCCTCTACATACTTTCTGCTATATTATTGAGTTTCGATAGTTTTCTGTGGGCTGATTTTGTCAAAATTTTAGTTTTTATTGTCACCAGTCAATGGTACGGTCTCACCGTTTTGCTTTTTGACCTAAAGTTTGTGGTTCTGCGTTGGTTCTGTGTTGGACATAGCTAGTTTTGTGTGCGTTTCGCCGGCAACGTTTTCGTTCGTTTGCAATTTGCTTGCCGTTAATTTAATTTAATTCGTCTACGTGTATAGCTGCTGTTCATAAGCTAGCGATAGATTAAGGGATAATTTATTTCATGTGCTGAAAAAAGTTGTTATTTTTGTTGTCTTCTTTTATGGTACTTTCACCATCGTTACATCTTCCTATAAGACGATTTGTCTGGAAGCTTTCGCTAGGCTTTCTAAGTCAGTTAAGAGTCCCAGAAACCCTAATTTGCTACCACAACCACAATACGTCGATGTGGCATAAAATTTCCGGATAAATTGATGATCATGGTTGAAAGGGTTTTTCCGATTATTTTCTAAACACCACTGAAACATAGACTTGATCGTTTTATTGGCTTCTTAATAAATGAGGGTAAACTCGGTTTTTGTAATTTTTATGTCTTTTTGTAAAACGTTCAATCCTTGAGTTCATTCGGGTTTAAAGACGAGAACTGTTTTTACACTTTAGAAAACCATAATTCATTTTAGGGGGTTCAGGGCAAATGTTCAGGGATACGAACGTAATAAAGTCATAAGAAATGGCTTTATTCAGAATAGTTTTCAAAATTAGTATTACACACTTTGTGTATAAAATACCTTAATTGTTGTTAATTGTTGCAGGGGCTCAATACTCTGAAAATTTTATATTCCCGAGTTAACAATAGAGTTCTCGAGTGTGACGTCGCAACAAAAGCTATTTTTAGAATTTTGACCACATAACATAAAAAACACCATTAAAAACTCCCATATATGCAAAATCAGTTAAATTTGTAAAAAATCGGGTGAGCTATGGCCGATAGAAGATTTGAAGTTTGCTGACTGACTGACAGTTCATAACCGAGACCAAATTACTGAGTTTTGATGGGAACAGAGCATGTTCTTATTTGGTCATATCTCAGCCAACTCGTAATACCTTTTTCACTGATTTTGCAGATTTAGAATTATTTCATGATGATTTTTCAGGACATGGGAACAAATTTCAAATATTCTAAAAATATATTTATATGACGTCATCACTTGAAAACTCTATCATCCTATTTACCTATTATCTTACAAAACTGTTCTCCTTCTTTCTTCATCACAAAAATGTTGGAGGTACATCAATGATCTTATAAAATTTACTCCTATAAAAAGAGTTTGTAGTTGTAATGGCACACAAGTTGTGTTTTGATTAAACGGCCATTATGCAAGATAATAGGTAGAAATTAGGCATAAAATGAAAGTGTTCAGTCATTTTCAGTCTTAGTAAATATCTTCTTTTACTTTTATTGCTCAAATTACCAATTTAAAATTTTCAGAAGACCGATTGTTTACCTGTTGTGACGTTGTGAAGGTCGCCAACTTTTTAAGCTGTTTATGATATGTTTAAGCGTGTTTTTAAAATGTTTCCAATATTTTGTTTGTAAACAAGAGCCTTTCTTATTTTTTGCTTGTAGACAGGTTTTGCTGTTATCATTCCGTGGAAGTTGTTTAGAAAATATTGCAATGTAGTATATGTAAATAAATTTATGTTTAGCAATTGTATGACCAAAAACCAAAATATTTTAAAACATAATGTAACAAATATAAATGGGTACGAAGGAATTGCATCTTCTCTCCTAGAAGTAGCAAAGGAACCGTGTAGGGTATACCAATAGCAGAGCCATATAAGGACTGGGGGCACGTCCCCCTCTCTGCTTCTCGCCAGGATCAATTTTGTATTTCGTTAAGATATTGTTGGCAGAGGAGTAACATGTTGGCAACATATTTTTATGATTTAACCCAATGCTTCTGAAACTGCATATACGTAACAAAGATAGTCATGGGTGTTTCCTATATTGTTAACATTGGCGTTCCTTGCTGGTATAAGGGCATATTCTGGCAGTAGAAAAGGCGTGACCTAAAATTGTTGTTTTGTCCCTCCAGAGCTCAGTGGATGGCGTCAACACTGGGGTATAGTGTGGTGCAGTGGGGTGTAGTGAGGGGCGTTAATATGTGACACGCTCCTCCCATAATGTTTGTAAAATTTCATTTCGTCGGGCAAAAATCCAACCATTCATGTTATTCGTAAGGCAAAAAGAACTTCTAATACAGCAATAATTCAGTATTTATACCATGTTATTTTTCTCCCGCTTGTGCAAGAAAGTTTTTGCCCACCAAAATGCGACTTTTTTGCCTTTAACCGACATTCCCTCGAGACATTCATCAAGGTATCATACCTGCTCGATAACCGCGCCATTCATGAGCGATTGATTCAAGCGATTCAAGCTGTTGATTTTTTCATAATAAGATGAAAATAATTGAAAATTGCCATTGACCAACAATTAGCGACCAGAGACTGTATGACTAGACTGTTTTCTCAATGAGAAATAGAAAAATCATAACATTTATCTATGTAGTTGAAACGCAGCTATCTTGGTTGTTCTTCTCCGTCTACTAATTCAATATTCAGCTTGCTCTTCGTGCTGGCTTTTTGTTTCAGCAAATGATTAAATGCTTTTTCATTGCAATCTTGTTTAAAGTTCAAACATAGCAATAAGTTTATAAAACGGTTTTGAAGAACCAGATTGTAATACCGCTACTCCAAGCGCTAAGCCTCGCTCTTACCTGCCTCGTTTGCGCATTTCATACTTGTTTGTGCACACTCTTTTGCGTAAACTTGCATGGCACTCTTTGTTGCATTGCGTATACTAGTAGGAACACTTTCACTAAGGAAACCCACCCTCTATTATAGTATTATTTTAAGAACTACACTATGGATTGACTCAGCTTATACATACGTATCTAGACACATTCCTATTGTTTTTCTAGCTTGTTTTTCCTCTTATGTAGACACCTAAGATTAGCACATTTACATCTTTTATTTGTACAAGAAACTAGTTTAACATATATAAATCATTCTCTACGAATCCTGAGTTAGTTAAGAGTTAGAGCTAGCATTGTGAGCACGTACACTTCGCTCTTGTGAAAGGCTTAGTGGTACAAGTCGTACAACGATATACGTTTGAGAAAACTATATCTGTGTTTATTTGTTGTGTCATTCTGAAGTTTTGCCGAACATTTAGCTCGGAACCTGCCGTATTTAGAAACCAATTTACAAAATGATAAAAGCTCGAAATGTTTTCAAAGAACGATCTCAGATATATGTCCTATGATATTCTGACTAGAGCTTAAGTGGCTAGGAGGCGCAGCCCCGTCATCAAACATTATTATCTAGTTTATCATAATTTTGAGAAAGCTTTTGCGAGAAAATGCCCTACCCCTGTGGCAGAGGATTTATTATAATTGTCATCACTATATATACATATAGTTTATATATCCATTGTGTTTTCTGTGAATAATGGATTCACAAACAATAATTTTTTTCTAGTTCATGCTACCATTGATTTTGGAAACTGCTTTGATAAACAGAGGAAAATATTTCATTAGACTGCTCGGATGACGGAGCTCGATGCTAAATTTATTGACTTTTATTGAAAAAATTTATTGAAAATTTACATAGATAGCTTGCTATCCAGAAGACAACTTGCTCCCAATCGCAGACCTCAAAGTTTTGAAGAAATTAGCGTAAGACCAAACAGGAATTGAAGATTAACAATTAAAAACAGCTTGTATTCACGTGATGGAGGCCAGTTTCACACCCCGAAAACTTACAGGAACTATTCTATCAAGTGTCCATCAGATTCATGCTTAAAAGATTTTCGTCGAGCAGTTTCAAAATAGCGGACAAAAACTTTGACACCACCCCTCTCCAAGCAAAAGAGGTAGTTACGTCTTGAACGCAGCGTGGCTTTGTGTGGGGGTGTGAAGGTCTCCAGATATTCAGGAACAAAAATGGAAATAGCCGGTCACGTATCAATGAAGCTGGCTCATGACCAAGGAAATGCTCTACAGTGGTAACGGTGTCTGCTTGCTCAGTAATACCAGATTGAAGGTGAGACCTGTCTATTTTCCTTCTGCCTATAAAATACTGCAATGCTCAAATCTACAAGTGTAGACATATTCGAAACATACCAAATACAATATTTAGCCAACTGTTTTCAGGGAAACATGACACCCAGTCCGTACTTTTAAAAGAATCATGATTTTACCTTAATCCAAGATTAGTAAAATTCAAATACTTTATCAATAACCAGAGCAGTTTATTACAAGTATATAGGCACCGACGACAATAATGCAACACCGTCTAAGAGGCGCGTTTGAGTCCAACTTCGCTATCTATAATATAGCACAATTTAAGCAAACATTATGTATACTAACAAATATCATTAATGGTACAATTTTGTTGTCAAAATGAAAGTTGACAGCATTTATAGATATCAGGAGTTCCGATGCAAGCTGAAAATTGGAGGGAGCAAGGACAAACTTCCAATTTTAAACTTTTTCATTCAGGGTTACAATTCAGTGTTGAAAGCTTGTCTGGGATCTCCACGATGGTTATTTACACATGAGTGATTGATATTGTACTGATTGAAGTGTTTTTACCAATGAATAAAGACAAACACCAAACTTGTGATAGTAAGCCCCAAGGGTTTGCGGACTATAATTAGGTTCATTTTTTCGATCAAATTGGAAAGTAATCGATAGGAGACCAGTCGTGGTCTGCAAGGGAATCGTACTTGCTTAATTTTTCTCAAGAGATTCATTCATTTATGAAGCATGGAATCTTGTTTGATAACTTTTCACATAACAAAAAGCTTTGAGGTACAAATAAGCTTACATAAAACACTTGAAACAACAAGTTCTACCAGTGGTGGTTCAGCTGTGAGGGGCAAAAATGTTGTAAGGCCATGCCCTTTTAAGTTTGAGAAAGCAGCCTTTTACGAGCAGGCATCCACAAATTTACCAATAGGGACAGCTCATGGCTAACCTTTCGCTACGTAAAGACTAAGACAATTTCAAAATGATAAATTTACATCACAATGCATACTTTGTCAAAATATTATCCTTCTCCCAACATTTTCTTATTAAATTCAGACGCAATACAAAACTGCTATTGCCAAAATCTGGGCAATTGTCTCCCAGTCTCCCAGTCCGCCTTCACGCGACACAGCCATTGAGCCTACCTTCCCCTACTGACTAACTTGTACCTTAAAAACTATTCAAAAAAGATTTTGATAAGAAACTTGCTAAAGATTTCTTTTGTTTAAAAAATTATTTAAGTACAAAATAAACTAAATATTGGGACTTATTCCTGGGGTCCGAAGCAGGTTGGCAAGTGGGTGGGCCAAGGGAAAATTTCACTATCATAACAAAAGATTTCGAACAAAGCTCTATTGTCTTGCAAAAAAGGAGGGGGCATGGCCCCGGCCCCCTTCTTCGGAGGCCCTTTTATCCTGAATCCTGGGTTCTCTAAAGGATTCCAGACCCATATTATTTTTATTTCCTTTGTTATTTCTTTGAGATTTTTAAGTAATTTTCCTTGTTTTTAACATGATAAGTATTAAGTACATACCAATTAATGTTTACTGTTAATGTTAACTGTTAAGTTAAAAGAAAGTAGATAAAATTTATAGTGTACTGTTTTGCGATTGCCAATATTGTCACAATCATAGGGTGTATTTCCTTCCAAATGATGATATGTCCCAAGGAAACTGCTATTGTAATAAATCAAGAGCTAACAACATCCTGGAGAATCATGACATTCTATGACGCAGAATTCAATTGGCAATGCTTTGCGTGGAAGTATCCAAGGGAATGTTTGGTTGAAGGAGGTATGAGCCTTTCAATCAGACGTAAAATTGTAAACATTTAGGGTAATCTGGAACAATTACCATGTCACCAAACAATCGTTTGCTTTCCAGTTCTACAAAGGTTGTCTCTCAATTTACGGTTTCACGGAGAGCGTGGTGTGCGAATATTCGATAGCTGTAGCTATGATCATTCAGAAAACCATTTCTGGAGAAAATATAGGCCCAATGGAAAAGCGGACCGAAAGTTTGCCAAATGAAGAACAAAGATTAGAGTCTTTACAGAAGTTGCAGAAGTGCTGCACGTTCTATGGCGCGGAATACATCAATGATAATTTCAGATCTGTTTTGATGCTCTTAGCTCACGGTCTTCAAGACAATTCTCCAGTTGCGAGGAAGCTGTCGATTGAAATTACTTCTGAAGTACTCCCGTGCCTAGAAACGGGTGGAGAAAGCGACAAAATTATTACGAAAGAAATTATCCCGCGACTAGTTGCAAACCTGTGTTTCTCAAACACAGCAATAAAAAAATGCACTGTCCATACACTTCATGTTTATATGAAACATTTTAACCGAGTTCAGGATGTGCTTCGCGTTATTATTAGTCAACTTGACAGCGGGGATGCGAAGACCAGGACAGAATTAATGGTTGCTTTGCCAATCATTATCACTCCAGCATTTGCGGAGGAAGATATTTTTGAACTAATAAGTGCATTAGTGCACCGCCTGGAAGTAAGCTCCATTAAATCAGAGCATAATGCCCCATCAATGATTTGTTTAGAGAAGATTAAATCGGTTCTTGGAGAGAATGTATTTCTGTCGTATATCAATCGTCTGCCAGACAGGCTTCAGAAAGAATATAATTTGGGAGTGCAAAAATCAATTCTTGCTGGCCAGGATGCATCAGCAGTCGAAAAGCAAACATCAATTCATTCACTGATTGCAAGAACCTTGAGTAATGGCTCAATAAAATCCAATGGCACATCTGTAAATGGAACAGAACAGAGTAATTTGAAAAGGAACAGTCCCTTAGCAAAATCTACAAGTAGTCTTGACAAAACGGGACCAAAACCAGTCAACAGTGCTGAAAGGGTTGGTCTTGTCAGAGCAAGGAGCACAGAAAGACTAAGTAAAACAAAAGGATATAGTGATCGTTCTAAACGAGCATCTTCTGTTGAAAGTGTTCCTAATGAGAATGGTGTGCATTCCACAAGCCAAACTCTATATTATGGATTTATTCCAGCTGAAATAATTCTAGAATTGGAGGACAGTAGCTGGAAGACTCGTGCCAATGGAATCGAGGCATTAAAATTACTTGTTGAGAGTATACAAGATAATTCAGTTTTATTGAACAGTTTGGGCGATTTGTTAGAGATGCTTACTAGATTTGTTGAAGATTCAAACTTCAAAATTTTGCTTACAAGTTTACATATCTTACGGGATGTTATTGAAAAGGTTGGCGATAACCTGAGACCACATATGGAACTACTTCTTGCAGTTGTGCAAACAAAACTTGGTGATTCAAAGGTAGTTATAAAGCAGCTAAATATGCAAATACTTTTAAATCTGATGCATGTTGCAAAACCATGGGCAGTTCTCAAGCCATTAATGCCATGCCTGAATCATCGCAACTCGAAGATAAGAGAGGACATCATAAATATGATCACTGCCGCCTTGCTGACTTTCCCTAGTTCTGATTTCAATCTCACAACACTGCCAGGCTTAATTGCACCAATGCTAATAGATGCAAAAAGAAAAGTAAGACAGGCTGTTCTTGAGTGCTTTGCTGTGATTGCTCAAAGCCTAGGACCAGGGAGAATGCAGCCTCTAGTGACATCAGTTGATATGATTGAGCTCAATCCAGAGGGGGAGGGTGTAATGGAAGCAGTTCAAGCAAGACTTGCAAGGCGCAAACTGCCAAAAATCACCCCAGAAGGCACCATAGAGTACTCCATGATAGTCACTACAGCGGTGAAGCATAATTCTCTGCAAGTACCACCTGATGTCTCATGGATCCTTTATGGACCGTCAGGCCTATCAGGAGAGTCAGGCAAAACCTCAGGGGAAGGAATTGTAAAGCGTTATCGTAGCGCAGGAAAGAAAAGACTTCCTTGGGAAAGTGATGATGAAACAACAACTTCTTCAAGAAAAAGTATTGGCAGTGCACCAATTCAGTCGGTAAGTTTGTTAAATTCTTAAGAAATAATTTAAAACAACTGCCCTCACCAGTAAAGGTACAAAATCGTCAAAAGAAAGTTTGGGATCAATAGACAATAGCTTTGTTTGGTCAGATGATAAAGAAATCAAACAATTGCTAAGGATTTGGAATCAGAAAGTAAAGTAAGGTGAGCGATGAAACAGAGAACACTATGGCCCTGGTCACTTCTGACTATTAAGCCTACTTCAAAGGTGTTGTACTAATCAGGGGCCGATCCAGAGCAAATTTGAAGGAGGGGCAGTTGGAAGTGGGGGCGCTAAACAATTTGCAAAAATTGATGACGAGAGTTCGCTGTATACAAAAATTTCAGATCAATTTTCGGAATAAACAAGATAGCTTTGAGGTAATCCTTGAAGCAAATTAACTTATGGGTCTTAGAAACTTTTTCACTTGATTCTCATTCTTCAAAAGGGGCGCATAGTTTCCAAAAAAGGGATGCCAGACTTGCTTCAACTCATTGAGGGAGGGGCAACTGCCCCTAGTTGCCCCCCCATTGAATCCGCCACTGGTACTAATGGCCCTTCTAGAAATTCGTCATCAAATTTGGTTGGCACTACATCTTTTCAAAGAAAATCCACCTAATCGATTGAGATCCTCAAATGCATCCTTAACCCAAGTTTCTAATTCATTCTTAATCAATTTTTCTAGGCTTTATGTTTGATGTAGATTTAGCACAGGCATTTGTCAAAAACATTCCAGATACGCTCACAAATTTTTGTTTAATCTCATTTGGTTTTCGTAAAGAGCTTGGTGCTCTATCATATTCATTGCAGAATCATAACTTTTTACTTTCTGGATTTTGTGGGCCTTGTTTGCTGTTACAATCAGTAAATGCAGACTACATAGAACATACAATGTTGTCTTGATACACATACATAACAGGCCTTGTGAGGAACAAAAATGCAGGCGCTTGACAAACTGAGCACCTTAAAATTTCTTGGCACTCAATCCAGCTCCTTGGAAAATTTTTTGGCTAAATGTAATAGCTTACTAGTTAAATCAGTGTTAAGTGGTAGTTGGGAAATTGATGTTTGTTTGGTCAAGGTGGAAAAGGTATTTACTTTTTAAATACTATGATTTGTTAAATGCGTCGAATGCATTGAACAGTAGGGAATGCATTGCAGTTGAATTGCCTTTAAAAATAATACTACAGATTCTCTAAAAGTAAGAATTTCAGGACCCTCCTAGATTGGGGAAAGTGAAAGGGGTTCTGGCCATAATGCCTACAGAGATATTGGTAAGCACAAACTTCTTAAAGAAGTTTTATCCTTTTATAAAGCTGGCAGGTTCTAATGCTTGAATCTCAGAAAGAGAATGTTTACCTTTGTTAACCAACACTTCTAATGAAGTACAATGTTGGAAGAGGCTAAGAGGTAGTAGATCTTATGAGCTTGGTCAGATGATGCTTGCATGCCACCTGGCTAATGAACAGCTGTCTTCAGTACTGATGGTATATACTTCAATATTAGAGAAGACAAAATTTCTGTAGGGGGCTATTTGTATAACCCTATATTGCCCCTTTTGTTGGCCTAGGGCTACCAGCTTTGTTTGCAGGTAGATGTCTTTATAGATGGTGTTTCTATGGTCTTAATATTATTCACCATAGCGAAAATGATTTTGATAATAATTATGATGATAATGTAGTCCTGAAACTCGTTATCTAGTCATATTTTGGTGGAAAAGTTTAATGCTTCTATGATCCAGCAGAACTTCTAAAACCCATCAAACAGGTGACATCCTTTATAAGTATGAATTTGTATCAACGGTCCTTTCCAAAAAAAGGCTGGTTTCTCCTGCTGTGGAATATTTGAAGGCGATATTTAAATATTTTGTAAATTAATTTAAGGTCACAGTAAACGTTTTTGACACAATATTTGGTTTTCTCTCCGTAAATGCCAAACTATTAACGGAATCAGAATAATCTCTCACCAACAAATCTTGAAACACACCGAGTATCGAGGAAAGATCTCAGTAAACATGCGCTATGAAGTTAATTTTCTTCAGATGTAGCTATTTCCAAGAGCCTTTTCAATTTTTTTGCGAATATTAATGCCAGATGCATCTTTGATCTTTCGAAAAATGCAGTTTCACGGACTTCATTTTATCTTGTTTTCTTGTATAACGCTATAATGCATGACCGATTTCTTTCTCTTGACAATAAATGCGTCAATTTTAAACCATCTGGCGAAATGCTTGAAGTGGTTTAGATGTTTGAATTTTGTGTTTTTGAAACGACCTAATTTTAAGTGCATTGATTTGAAGTATTGAAGTTAAAGAGGTAATTTTCCAAAGACCATCTGGCTACTATGTTTTATTAATGCTAAAATAGTTTTAAAAATTCACTACGCTTGGGACTAAGGCAAGAAGCCGCCAAATCAGTGAAGAAGAATGAAAGCAGTGGTTTACTCTAGAATAGCCTAGCACACAAAGCTAAATTCCACCCTATAGCATTTCTGAACACTCTTAATGTCATCCATCGTTATTCCATCTTTTATGCCAGTCGTTTATCTTGGTTGATGTGAGATATTTGTTTGTCGATGTTAAGTTCTTTCCAGTTTTTTTTGTTTTTGTATTTCTCTTTTTCAGCTAACTGATTCTCGTTCCCAATAAGAGATTTCATTGCCAGTGTGCCATTTTGAGAAAATAAGTCTTATTCACGGAGAGGGCGTTTATTGGAGGGGGCGTTAACAAAATAATTCTATTCACGGAATACCTCGCGAGAATATGAGCTATTATTCTTAGCTTTAGGGGCGTTAATTGGATAATGGCGTCTATCGGAGAGGGCTTTTATTGGAGGGGGCGTTTTTTCGAGAGTGTGCGTTTAACAGATGAAATACGAAATACGATTAATAGACTATCGTTTTTGTTGCTAAAAATGCATGGCCTTCTTTTTGCCCTGGAATCTCACATAGTCAACCTCAGATTAGAGATAATCCTGACCCAGAGGTGTCCTAGACAACCACAATCTCATTGAATCCGTAGAAACCATATAAACTAGACATTATTGAAAATCAATTATTGTACGCAATCTCGTGTCATGCATAAAAGAAAATGGCAAAATTATTGAAATACTCGAATAGCAGAGCTAAATTTCTAATCCAATTGGAAACAGATATCAATATAGTCTAGAATGTGGCGATGCGAAGGAGAAATGACTCGATGTTTTCTACTTCTTTTATCATACGGCTCGAGGACAGAAAGAAATCTCTGGCAGCCTTCAGTTCTCTTCAGGAATGTTTGAACAGTTCTTGATATATCGTAGTAATGGACAAATTTTGAATAGGTTTGTTGTTTTCAGTGATTGAGATCGCTAACTTCTTTTTCAGACGTTAAACAGAAAAGACTAACCCGGTTGAAATCTGATTAATCACTTTGATGATTTTTTAACAAACACCTGCTCTTGTCGCTATTTAAGTGGCTACGTGGATCTCGAAGCTTCATATTTCGTTACATCGATTGTTAATAAGTGCTCATGTGATAATTGATCGTTCCAATTGGTCTTTATTAGTCTCTACTATTCGATATTCGTCCCTGTTGAATATAGTCTTTATTAGTCTCTATGCTCGGATCATTTGCAAAGCAACATATTACAGAAACAGAAAATGTTTGGCGAACGGTCAGTCTGTATTTTCATAAGCAGTAAAAGTATTTCTTTTCTATCAAAGATATTTCGTAGACAAGTTTGCATTTTCAAGTAGATTTTCCATAATTTGCAGAATGGGGGCATTTTTAACGGCATGAAATTCTCATTCTTAATCTCTTGTGATAAATTCCTTATTTTTGTTTAAAATCAATGCCGTTGCTAGTTCTATTGATAATGTAGTTAAGTTTTCCATGTTTTCGTCGATGCACATGTAATGGGAACTCAGACAAATATTGCTAGCTGTTAAGTTACTGTATCTTGGCTCTAAAAAGCGTATATTGATAGCAATGGACAGCAAGGGAGTATCCCTGCATCTTCTTCGACTTGCAGCTCTACCTGTCATGACATGTCTGAAAATTTCAAAGCTGCAAGCTTGCTGTCTTTCTTCTTATGATTAAGTACCTGTTTTAATAATAATGGCAATGACTGAAACATGACTTTTGTTTGTAATATCTACGTAAACGCCATATGCAGTACGCGACTTTTTAAACTGAACTTAAAGAGCTGAAAATTTAACAAATAAACGCTTTTTTTATAAGGAACCACCTACATGTAGAAGGCCGAAATATTTAAAGAACTTATACTACTACAAACGAAATCCCTAAGGAACTTTTCGATTTGAAAATTTTTTATAACTGCAAGCGTCAAGAACTCAAAAGCCGGTTCCATTCATTTGCAGCCAATACTCGCTATTCGTGTTTGTTTGCTATTCATGTGTCAAGTTCTTCATTGAGTAGTTTCCGCATATGCTGAAGGCTTGTTGTAGTCAAAACATCGAAAGTGAGATTTTCACTATACATAACCTTCTTTGTGTTTTTTCTCCTGATTTCTAGCACAAGGCAAAATTCAAAATTTTTATGTTTTTCCTGTTTCTGTACTATTTTTATGGCACTTGATGTTGCAATGAAAATCAAGTACGATTAAGGAACTTTTGGTACTACAATTTGATGATTTGAGGTCTACAAATAAGGAACTTTCGGAACTAGGCCTTGAGCTAGGTTCCTTATAAAAAACGTGTAATCAGTTGGGAGGAGTTCTTCCTTCTATTATCTATCTAAGTTGAACAGGAAATAGGTGCCTAATCGTGAAAAGAATCATTCCCTTCCCTTCTTTCAAGGAATCATTTGCGGGCAGCTTCTGAAGGCTGAAGGGGATCAGTGGTTTCATGTAGACGGTTTCTTGCCAAAAGATGCGTTTAACTCGATTCAAAAGCAGGGGATTGTTCTGTAAAAGAGGCTGACCTAACAGCAGTCCCATAAAAATGACGTATTCATCTTGAGCCTGGTATATTAAGATTACAAAAAAGGTTATGTTAATCTAACAAAATTTGTTTATCGGACAAAATTTTTGTGCAACCAAATAGAAAATATCTGAAATCTATTCTCCGTTCTCTTACAAATAAAAAAATCTTCACAAATAGAGACAATATGATGTGTATATAGGGCTTTTGCGCCATCAATTTGTTTTATTATTTGCCCCATTACCTTTCTTAACGAAGTTACAAGCACCGTGCAACCACAGCTTCAGTAAAATTTCGTTTGCCGACCTTCTCTAGCAAGAATGTGACATAGCTAAAGGGAGCCTTTGTATTCACCTTAGACTTGCTTGATAAGTTAAATTGTAGCGGTTAAATGTTTTGTTGTTTTTTTAAGATAGGAAGAAACATCGATTCATGTTTTGTCGCTGCTACTAACTTATTCGTCATAACTTTAATTACGTTAAATGTGAAACCTCAACCATGATCAATCCGATTTCCTATGTTCACGCCTCTCATATGCAGCCATCCACCAAAACATTCTTCGTGATCCAATCATGCACATGTTTTCGAAACGTTAAGCGTCAATGCTCAATCTTGTAGAGGTGATCACAATAGCGTCATTATTACCAGCGAAGACTTGACGCCATTGAATGCAAAATTCATGAAACCTTCTAAAGCATAATGCACGTCTAACGTTTGAATTCAGCAATTAATGGCTGGTATGGTTTTTCAGCAGGAAGACAGAGGATCAGATCCTATACCATACGCAACCAGAAATTCCTGGGCACCTGGTCAAAACGTTAGCTACACCGAGAGATACCAAATCAAAGGAAAGTTGGGCACCATGCCTCTTAAACAGCAAGAGAACCTGGAGTTTGTTAAGAGTGATTCTGTTGGGTCCTATTTTCATATGTACAAACAAAGAATGAGAAAGCTGAAGCAGGCTGGTTTACAGGCGGATAACACCATGATCAACACTCTAAACAGGTAAATTTGTACTTTATAGCACGATAACCCTGAACATTGCTCTATTTTTTCAAGGCTTATGAAAGGCTCAGAGTCTAGAAAAGTTGTTAACCTTTCTCCAGACAAAAACATCCTAGAAGGCAAACCTTCCTCACAAAACAATAGAAAGTGGGCGTGGCTTGGTTGTGTCATAGGAGTTTCTATTGTTTTTCGGGACTTCCTCCTGTCAGTGGCCGAGCGACCGTAATGTTTTCCTGACTCTGGAAAGGCTAAGAGATGTGGATAATAGTATTCAAACATAGTCATTCGGTTTTAGATTTTCAAACAATGAACCTTCTCTTAAATTGGACCGCCCTGGGGCACCATTCAGTTCATAGTTGCAACGAGATTTGATGTGGGAATTTATCATAGTCCTATAGATATTGATCATTGATACAGACCACCAAGTTGTGATAAAGGGGTGTTTGTTAACGATAAAGGAAAGAGACTGGTTATTTGAAGCTAAAAACGACATCAAAACAACTAAATAGCACTGGAAGCCGATCTAAGGTTCGAGTTTGACTTGCGATCTCATAACATCCCTAATTGGGGGCAGGGTGCTAAAAGATTAGAGTTTAGTTTTACCAAAAAGGTTTATCGATTTGCCAAAATCAGTTCAAGTGGAACAGATATGAGATAACTCATCAGACCCATCATTCATTTTAAAAAGTGAACTGCTAACCCACAGAAACCTTTGTATCAAAATTTCTATCTGAATTTGCTTCAATGAAAATTACTGTTTATCGGTCTGTCGTAAAGTGCTCGATGTTGTATAGGCAGAGCTGTGAAAGCTTTGCAACTGACCACATCAAGCGTGTACTTAGCGTAGCAACTTAAAACCGTCCTTCTCTTTATACGAAAAGCTTGTTTTAAGATGGAAGAATTTTAAGGCCAATGTGTGCGAGTTTAATTACACTATGAAAAGCGAAACACCTGTTGAAGCACATTCATATCTATTTTTGGACAATAGTCGTTGCTGATTTGTTAATAATGCATTGCAAATAATCCTTTTTAAAAACAGTCTCTGCATTTATAAAATTTTGCTTTAGACCAAACTTTTTTTTTCATGTATTGGTGTTTTTTCGAAGTTTAGAAGGTACTTCGAAGGATGGAATGCTGCATTCCATCTTCCATACTTAACAACTACTGAGTTACAAGCAAGGGGTTCTTTGTTATTAATTCAAATTTGCAGTGCTATGCTGCTCACTCAAAGATTGGAGAGGTATGGTATCAAACTGGTGTATTTGATTTAAAGCTGGGTATATGTTAAGCAAACCGAACGTTCACACTCGTGTGTCTATGAACGTTCTTTAACAGTTTTGGAAAACAGTTTTAAAAGGGGGCATTGTGGCATTGATGCGGCAGTAATATCAAGCATCCTGATTGTATTTTTCTACAATAAACTGTATTTAAAGTACCTCGTTTTATCTTTGTTGCAGGGGTAATCCACTCTCCCCCTCGGACCCCCAAAACCCGTTAGTACCCAAGAGTGCAATCGGGAGAGACACAATTAGAACCCCTGTATCTGGCAGCCGTTCTCCAGTAGCACCACACGAGGATAAGCCGCTTTCTGCATCTTGGTCTGGATCTGAGTACAATGAAAGTCGTAACTGGCTTGTTGCTAAGAAACCTGCTGATCTTGAGCCCATTGGGACACCGGTCCCTGAAACAGGTAAGACTACATTTTCGTGTAAGATTGGAAGTTCAATTCTGAATCTTCTTTTTAAATGATGTTTTATTGGACAGTGACATGTTCTTTGCTTGGTCACTAGTTTACTCTCACTGAGGTTGGATGTGTCGTGCATTAGGTATCTTGCTGTTTTAAGGATCAGTCAATTCCGTGACATTGTTTCTTTCTCCATCTTTACAATCGTTTACTATTGCAACATGGACCAAGTCGGAAATCTGCTCCAAATGTCAATAGAGTGGGAGGTATAACCTGACGCGAGCCTGATATCAAATTTAATCACACGAAATTAAGGTATTTCGTGTTTTATCCTCCAGTTTTAAGGACGCCCACGAATCCGAGATAAAAAGGGATATGTGTTGAGCTTGCACATGCGTAGGAGTCTTTATATAGATCCACATACCACCATTTTCATAATAATATAAAGGTTTGGGAGATAATACCTTAATGCTAGCTGCCAGTATGCCTGGTTTGTCGCTAATGTAAAAGATTACTTTTAAATATTATTAAATTACAATTGTCGAATGCAGCTTCACTATAATTCTTATTCCTTACATTTGTCTGTCGGATGAGTTGTTATTGTTTCTTTCACTGAAGTTCAGTTCTCACTTTAGTTCTTAAGAAAGAGTTTTAATATTAATTGGTGTCTCCATGTTTTTGTGCTTTGTTCTGAAACTGTGAAGCCTCTTTCAGTTTCATTGCAGCTTGATGATGATGACATCTATGCTTGTAGATTTTTTAACCTGCAAATGATCGAACTGAAAAGGCGTTCCTGTTTTGTAAGCAAGGTTGTGAATGGCTTTTCTAAAAGTATCGATGCTACGACTGTTTATTCTTACCTTTTCAACAAATGCTTAATCTCTTAAACGGACCATTTATCTAATCTCTTAAACGGAAAAATGCTACGGGGATGTACCATAAAATGCCACGTTAAAATTGCCCTTAAGACCAATGGTTTCCTTCAAGATCAGATACCCTGAACTTCAGTTATTGCAAAGTGATCTTGATAAAATCTCAACTTCGGGTTCTATGCCTCTTAAAGCAGTCATTTTGTATGTCCTAGATGTTGTTAGAGATATCGAGAGTCCCGTTCACCTCAAACCAGCTATTGCACGATCAGCATCGAAAAAGAGACGACAATTGCGGTTGGAGCTTGATAAAACGAACAACCTGAAATTGGAGGACGAGGAAGAAAATGACAAGAAAAAGGTGCACTTAGTACCATATAAATCTTTTTTGTTCGTTGCTTCGATAACATGATAACAGTCATGTGGCGGACACCTGTTTGGCCAGCATTCATGTGTCCGTAATAAAGAGGTGTCCGTTAATGGATGCTATCTCTGCAAAGCTGTGTTCACAAAAAAGCATTTCAAGATGAAATTATACGAATCTGTCCTTTGCTGGGAGAGTTCACTATATTTTGATGTTGTGAGAAAGTTTTGGATTGTTTATTTTGGCACGTAGCCTCTTTTGACAGGTGATATCGGCAATTTAGCTTTTTTTATTTTCTTAGCTTAACATGTTTCATTGCAAGGATTCAAATAATAGGTTTATTTCCGCGAAAAGATGGACGAAGCTGATTTTCTTTGTAAAATGTAACAAATTATGATGGTATGTAATAATCTGATTTTTATTTCAGAAATCACCTGTTGATCCATTGGCAAACATAAAGCAACAAGCTCATATACTCAAGCAGCAGAAAGTTACCAACGAAAGGTATTTTGCGTTATGAGATATGCATTTTTGTCCCTTATTTTATTCTCGAGCTGCAGCAATGCTATATATTTTTCTTGTATTACTATGTGTAAAGAATATTCTTTGAGCAAGAGTTGTTCATGATTTCATCTTATTTCATCTATATATTAATCTCATCGTTATCTTAGGTCTCAATCTTAGCTCACAAGGCTCACCTACCTGAAGTTTTAAATGACCTGCGTTCAAATTAAACAGTACAATTTTTATGCGTTATCAGTAGACCTTTAACGGTTGATTTTGTTCCCTTCCATCAGCCAAGAGCTTGGATCACCTTTTGATTCACGGCCGAAAATTGCGAGAAGCCCATCTGCTCGCAAAAGTAGGCAAAAGCCACTCAAGGGTGATGCAACGAAACCTTCTTCAGATACCAGTGAGAGCGGAAAGGAAACTCCAAGCCCACGAGAAAAACCCCATCGCAAGGAACTGCTTGAAAAGAGTTTACAATCGCCTCACGATCACAAGAAGGAAGGCTGGAATGAAGCAAACAATTTTATAGTTGGTAAGAGCATGGCAAGGGATTCTATTTTAGAAGACTCTTTAGACTATGAAGACGACTTTGAAATCCCAGAATCAAATGGAGCTAGGGAAGAAACTTCAGATGAGGGGTCTTCAGACGAACACAGTGGTAGCTCTGACAAAATGGCAGAGGCAAGGGCAGAGGACTCGAACAAAGGACATTCAAGTTTGTCAAAGTCCGCGCTTGAAAGAGTGAAGCAGCGGCGAAGTGAGGAAATGCGCAAACGAGAATTGTCTCTCATAAAGCAGAGGGAAAAAGAGGCCGAGGAAAGGCTCAAGGCTGAAAGGGAGGCTAAAGAAGCCGAAGAAAGAAAACAAGCAGAACGGAATAGAAGAATAGCGGAAATGAAGCGAATTGAAGACTTGCTAAAAGCGGAGGAGCGCAAAAAGGAGGAAGAAGAACGACGAAAAGAAGAAGAACTTCAAAAGAAAAAGCGACAAGAGGAGGAAGAAAGGAGAATACAAGAAGAGCTTAATGTTAGTAGTATTTTTGTTATTGTCATCTTTTATTGGTATTTTGGTTATTACAGTGGCACTTTTCATTTGCTACAGTGGTTCATCGGACACGGCGTTATTTTAATAGTTATGTAGAAAGATAAGTACCAGGGCTTTTAGAAAGAGTCAAAATTAATGGTCAAAATAAAAGGTTTTTGTAAATAATAAAAAGGCACTTAAGCTACATCTGTTGTATTGCATAAAAAATTGAATGAGATTTGCTGTTTTACCTTTCCGACACATAACAGTCAATGCCGTATAGGCAGAGCTGCTCACGCTTTGCTATATAAAACCATCCTATTCTATGCACAAAGTACAAACAATTATTATGGGATTTTGCTGTTACAGGCTAAGAGGGAGATGCAAGCCAAATTAGATGCCGAAGAAATGAAGCGCGCGGAAGAGCTTTCTAGAAAAGCAGAGCTGAATCGTAGGGAACAAAGAATGAAGGAATTGGAAGCCCTGATCAAAGCAGAAGAGGTAAAACACGAAGAAATGCGGAGAAAGAGTGAAGAAGCTAAGAAACAAGAAGAAGATTTAGAAATGAGAAGGCAGGAAGAAATTCGTAGACAGAAGGAAAAGGAGGTTGAGGCACAAATCGAGGAAGAAAGAATGAAAAGAGCTGAAGCAGAGTTGAAAGAAGCGAGAAGAAAAAAGGCAGAATTGAAGCGAATTAAAGAGATTGAGGCTAAGAAGAAGGAAGAGGAAGAGCGCAGGACAAAAAGGATGACCAACGCTGCAGAAAACAATGGTAATGAAGGTCACACGACCAAATATGAAGCGTTCGCGGTGAATCTTGGTGACTGTGAGCGAAGCAGTGGTGTTACTGAAAATCGAATGAATGATGATGCAAATAACAACTCGAGTGAGTTTTTGTCAATTCTTCACTGTCTTATTGAATGCCACTTTATTCGTAACTGGCAAACTCATAATTAAAGATTAAAAAAGAATCGAGGCAATTTTTTTAGGTTAAGGAGGGCTCTTATTAATGGTTTTGGCTTACAATGGATTTATGATTAATGGGTTTATAAAACTCATTTTGTAAATTTTAGGATAGAAAATTTCAGGGATTTTGATTTAGGGAGAATTAATTGTATTTTTGTGCTTCTGAAGATCACCAAGTTTAAATGTGGATAGTCTGCATTTCCTGATCCAACTTTTTCGGAATTGTCATAGTTTTGACACTTTGATCAATCCATTATATATTCTACCTTTTTTACTTTATTTGTTCAGGAAAATATAACAATGAATCATACTTTTTCAGTAAAACCTGCCGCTAGCCGTTCACCAAGACTGAAGAAAAATTATAATGAAAGGTGAGTGGACTTGAATTTCTGGCTTATCAAAATATGAAATGTCATTCGTCTTATTCCCCAAAATCAATATTGTGATTTGAATTGTTGGTTCTGTGCACATCACCATCTCGTCCAACATTGACCTCGGCGTGAAGAGGGTTAAAGTCATCCGTGCGTTTACATTTTAGCTAAGACACTTCTTTGATATCATCGTTTGTTGAATAGAAATAGCGATTTGACTCTGGTTCATTGAAGCTACAGAATGTATGTTGTCAATGTGTTATGACGAGAGTGCTGCGAAGCGCTAACAGCTTTTCACCTTTTATAGGCGCGAAGGAAGAGCATTATCCGGGTCTCATGTTCCAAATCATGTCGAAATTGACGTCAGTGCTGTTCGACGCTCCTGCACAGAGGGTCATATGGCAGTGGAGCCTATGAATCCATTCGATAATCCAGAATTGGCTTTGAAAGACGGGTTGCGACAAATTGCTGCTAGTTCCGAAGACTGGTAAAGCCAGAAGCCTTTTATTTATCTAATTTTGATAATTAATTATTATATACATATTTTGATCATGTGAGATCAAGATCAAGGACATGCAAAACACATTTATTACTCGTTTTCAAAGGGAGGTTTTTCGACAGATTTGCTCTGGACATGACTGGGTTGAGTAAATAGCTCGTTGATCATATGCATGTTGAATTTCTTGTTTATCATTACCAATTTAACGTCCTTTCATTTCAACATTTGTTTGTATCAACAATATTGTCATGCTCGCCTGTTGTTGCGCAGGGAGATGAAATGTGAAGGGCTTCAAACTTTTCGACGGCTGGCGATGTTCCATCCAGATGTCATTTGTCAGCACCTGCACACAGTTTGCCTTGGAATTGTAGCAGAAGTAAGGATGTTTGCGCATTTCATGTCAATTGCTGTTTTTTTTATTTTTAGTGATATTTTATAGCTTCAATGTTCACCCATTACGTGTTAAACAAGCAAGCCACTAGGAACGGGAACGCCGTTGCAGGAGCGACTCGTAGCAAGAGAGAGTTTTTTTTAAATATTTTGCTTGTTTTGATTTTAAGGAAAAAAATTAGATCAGGTTAACGGACATAACGCTCTTTGCCAATAAGTATGTGCAATGTCAATTAACGGTGCATCAAGCTTAATTTGGTGGGGGGGGGGGGGCAAGTCCAAGTCCTTCCTGTCTGCTTTCCAATTGACAATAATTGATTTTACAAACGAATGCCAAGTTTGTCTCACGTAAGTTTTGCCACTGTAAATAATGCATTTCTTCAAACCCCCCGCTAAAACAGATCGAAAGTCTTGAAACTCAATAGCATTGTGATCAAAAGTCATTTTTGTTGCTTTTTTAGGTCTTTAGAAACCCGGTAGCTGGCACAAATGCATGCTTTTTCTCACCGTTTTAAAGCTACAAAACATAAGCATATTTTTATCAATGATGTCTGACATGTGTTCGTTCACTAGTGTATATTCAAGTTTACCAATACGAGACAATTTTTTTCAGGTAAAGAATCTTCGCTCACAAGTTTCGAGGACTGCAATCCAGTGTCTGGGAGAGACTGTCTCTTATTTACCGAAGCAAATAGAGCCTGTATGTTCAGTTTACCTCTATTTCACTTTTTTAATAAAATTTGAGTGACATCTTGAAAGCAGTGTAAGCATTAATGGTTGTTAAAGCAGTGGAAACTTTAACTCCTACGAGCAAGCCAAAAAATATCGATTTTTTCAATTGTGGGAGGGGGGTCAAATTCCTCAACCCCTAGTTTAACACGCCCCTTCTTGCAACGTTTTAGACCTTTCACAACCTTGGGCCTGTGTAAGGCCTGTTAAGGTTCTAAAATATGTGGATGAATCAACAGTGTCCAACTATCAGCGTTTTTGAGGGTTAAAGTGTTATTTTTTTCACATCTCAGGAGGGTATTTTGAATTTGCTTGTTTTGAAGAATTGATCTTTAGCAATACTTGAAATTTGTGGGGAAAATGCACCTCTTGAAGTGAAGTATGTAACACTAATCAGTGATATAAGACCATTTCCCCTTAGATAAAAATACAGCTTGTAATAAAAGTTTACTCCTCTTAAACACTTCTTTGTTAATATCTGAAGATTTGAAAATCCTGTCAGCTTTTCCTTCGCTTTATTTGGATGGTTTATTTTTGGTTGGTAGGAGCTTGATATGGTCGTAAGTACATTGCTGTCCAAGTCCAGTGAATCAAATGCATTTATCAAAGAAGATGTCGAAAAGTCGTTATCTGCCGTCGCCAGCCATGTCAACTGCGTGAAAGCAATGGGTGCTTTTATCAATGGCGGAGCTGGGTATGTCCATAACCACTATTTATTATCGTGTCTGCCACATTTTACTTCATTATTTATTCTGTGATTTAATTAGCAGTCTAGCAATTTATGAAAGAATTTAGGGGTAGTACATTATTCGGACGAAAGCTTGGAAATTATTCAAAGAACCAATGTTTGCAGCAATCATCCATAGATGATATGTGTAGTCAACCATGTGTTTGTAGATGATATTGGACAGAATTTGATACCACTTATCTGTTTAAGTGTAGTAATAAGTAGGTGCGCGTGCTCGGCAGAGACGGCGACGCAAGTAGGTAGATTTGCCCCCTCCCTTTAGTGGTTTATAGGTAGATTCTCGTGGCCTTACTTGCAACAGCTGCGTTATAGTGTTCTTTGTCGTCATCCTGTTGACATGGCAGCTGATTTTCTTATTGAATGAACAGCTACATCCCCTATTATATTATGCAGGTGACATCATCATTAACTTGTAGTATAAGTACTATTGTTGATTTTCTGCCAGTCATCGCAACGCCCAAGTCCGCAAAATGTGTGCAAGGTTTTTGTCGCAGCTGGCGGAGAGGATTGGCGTAACGCGCCTCTTGAGCGGTGGCAAAGACGTCACGGAACGAATCTTACCAGTTGCTGCTCAGTTTGCGGTGGACGGTAATCAAGAGACGAGGTAAATTTTTATGTTGTGGGAGTACCCATATAACTGGTTCCATATAGAGCCTTTGAGAGTACATGGCCTAATAAACAGGTTTTGATATGCTACCGACAGGAGGTCGTTCTCCGAATAAGAAGCTTTGAAAGCAGCAGGGACAAACTGAATGGTGAAAAACTTTTCAATTTATCCTCTGGAACAAATTTCCTTGCATAGTTTTGAAGAGGAAAGAAGTGCTGATTTATATTCGAAATGATGATACACAAGAATCTGTGCCGTTGCTTTAAAAAAAATTTGTGTAGTTTTCATTATATAAGCTATTGCGATGACAAAGCTCTGATGGATCTCAAAAAAATATATCTTTTAATTGTTATTTTGATTTTGTTATTCTAAGTTAAACTAGTTATCATACTTTTTGTAAACAATTCTAGCTGAGTAAAGTAAGGGAGATTCAAGTTTCGTTGAAATGCTCTTTAATAGCTGCGATAGATATGATTTGTAAGCAGACCCAAATCAATAGAACAGAAGTCAAATACAGTTAAATGCACAGTGAATGGCTTGTGAATCGCAAAAGATAAGAATAAAACTTACTGTAAGGATATTTAGGGTACCGGCTATTTAATTTGACTGAAAGATCGAGCAATCGATTGCTAAGCTCAATGACACTTGAACATGTGAAAAATTTTAATTGTTATTTACCTTTAGGTACTACGGACGATGTATACTTTACTTGATGATTGATCACCCAGACCTTGAACGATTGATAGAGAAGCATCTGCCGAAAGCCAATGTGCGACCTGCTAAAGATATCGTGGAGAATCTTAAGGCCAAGGTTGGAAACATTGCCTAGAATTTCAGCTTTGCTTTTTAAGACTGATTTTTGTGGGATTTTTTTATAAAATCTTGAATGAAAAAATTTGCAAATTTATAGAAGAAATTTCGGATTATTTTATTGCATTTGAGGTGTCATAATCTTAAATGATATTCCCTTGGGTTATTTTGATGATTTTGCTTGGGCTATTAAACCTCTCATTCCCTTACTTTCTAAATTAATGATAATAAAACTTGCAAAAGAATAAAACACCTTGATCTCCTGACGCATTTTGCAAAATGAGTTATTGTTTAAAACTTTTTCTTTGTCAATTGTTAATATAACAACAATGTTTTTCCGAAGGGTCTGAGAGACGCACCGAACGAGCATGGCTCTGCCAGCATTCGACGTTCCCAACGCCATGCTGGTAGTGGAGTGGCGAGTAACTCAGTTGCCAGAAGCTCTACCTTCAACGGTAGCCACTCAGCTGTCGATGGTCGCCAAGGCAGTGGCAATAAGGCTCTTGTCAGGTACGGATTCAGATTGTTAATCAATCTTGATTGATATATTAAAGGATGAGAGAAAAATAATCCAGTTTGCTAAGCAGAAAACTATCTAGTGTCAATGCATATATAGATGTGAATCGAATTCGATTTTTTGTTTTAATATGGTATTTTCTACTGTTTTCCAGGGCAAGCACGAACAAAGCTGCTCGGCAACAACAAAATTCAGAAGGATATCAGGTTTGTATCTTTGAAATATTATAATAATTATATAATATAATAATAATTAGAGAGTGCCTTATATTGCAAGGTTTGATCAGTACAATGTTAACCGTAGAAAATACGACATGTTGATCTTAATTGGATACATTGCAACCTTTCGCACTTTTGATTGCTACAGACAACAAAATCGCTACTTCTCGAATGGATAGAAATCTGAAAAGGCGATCATTTCTTCAATTTCAGCCTGCAAGGCCATTGGACCTGGAATCCATAGCCGGCTTAAATGCTAATGAATGGAAAACAAGATTAGATGCTATCGAGAACTTTTACCATCTCGTACGCACAAATCCGGACGGAGTGGCAAGCCACATTAGCAAGGTTGGTGCTTTACAATGACTTTTACTGCCATTTATTGAAGTTAACGAACAAATAAGCAATCCACAGCTATTTCTGGTACGAACTTAAAACAATGATGATTTTCTTTCCTCTTTTAGTTATTTAGAAAATACTTAAACAAGGGTGAGAGTCACAAAACTCAGCCAACAATTGACAAAATGGGAGTACAGCATAGATCAAAGACATAGAAGAGTCTTTCTTGTAGTATCATTTTCTTAATCCATCCAAAACCTGCTCTTTATAACAGCGTTTCACAACTTTCAAATGCTTAAGACTTTCCACTAAAAGATAGGAATTATAATGGGCGATCTTGCTTTTCATTGACAGGGATGCATCTATGGTTTCACTTTCAAATTCACCCCAAAATTATGCGGCTTGATTTTCTCTTGCGTCAGAGTTGATCTTTGATGGCAAATAATTATCTCAATGTAATCTTAGTTCCATTTTTAATTTCAGGTTTTTGATAAGTTTATACCACGGCTTACTGATTCCAACAGCAAAGTAAGTATCCTGCACTCCGATCAACCAACCGTGTTACGTTGCACTCTCAACCAACTTTACCAGCCATTTGCGTATGATTCCCAACTTTTTCTTGCCAGTATAGTATAGTATAGTATACCACATGCCTTTGTCTGATAATTTTCAACCGAGTTCATTATTCTTTCTATTTTACGCAATCATATGCGTCATATACCGGTAATAATAAGTAAAACTATGAACCGAATCGTTTACATCCTCTTACTACTTCATGTACCAAGACATGGAATTTGGCTGTGCAGTGAGGTAGGTATACAGTGTGGCCAGGTAGTCGAAATTTTCAAAGATTTAATTCAAAAAGTTAACACGAAATCATGTCTTAGCCATATCTATTTTGCTAGCTTTGACAGACTCTTCCATTTTTCAAGATGACTTCTAAGCTCAGGGATTTTCATGCTTAGAAGCTTTAGTTAAAAATTTCATGTTTGTTGCATCATTTTTGGAGATAGTCAAAGAGGATTTTTGCCGTAGGTAAACCTGCAAGCTCTTCAAACGATGAACAAAGCAATCCCCATCCTTAGAGATGCCCTGACACCCCTCATCACACTGCTGATGCAGTCACTGACGTCATGTGTTGCGTCGAAAAATAATGCTATATACAACGCTGGAATGGAAGTACTTATTTCGCTGACTAAGTTTGTTGGTACGTGTTCAATTCAATTTGCATTTGGAAAGATAAAGTCAAAGCCTTTCCATAGCGAATACCTTAACCTAGCTTTTTGTTTTTTTATTTTCAATATGACGTGTTACTAGTTTTATGTTTACAGTAGTTTTGTTTTTATACGATCTGTTACGAGAGTAAATGTACTATTCTGGAATGATTCAATATTTGAGTTAAAATTTTCAATAGAAATAGAATATCTTCTTCGTGAAACCTTAAAAGAGAATGAAAAGGGATCATTATGTTCTGTAGCTAAATATGAAATATAAAGTTGAGGATAAGAGGGCTTCAAGCTATTATGGCCAAGCTATTATAGTTTAAAATTTAAGATACAGCTTGCAGTGTATCCCCGTAAAGAAGAGCTTAAGAATTTACAGAAAGTCTATCCCTGATTATAAACCTTGCGTCAAAGAGCCTATTTTTTGCATAAGAAAATATATGATCTTATTTAAAAGGTCATGGTCCTCTCAACCATATGTAATCAGAAAGCACCACTTTTGCCAGGCATTACTTATTAACATCTCCTTTTAGATAATACCAATTGACCCTTATGTACCTTTAAAAAAATCAACATAGTCTGACTCTTTGAAAAGTATTTTCTTCTAAGGGGGATCTATTATACTCACTATGCTTAATTTTGGATTAATCAATTTCTGTTCCTGTCTCCCTTTCAGATAACGTTATTTTACTACAACCATTAATCACGGCTGTTAGATACGGAAACACACGAGTGAAGCCAGAAATGGCAATGCGTCTAGCAGGTTTGTGATCTTATTGCTTCTAATACTTACTTGCATTAATCACTTACAATGCACACCTTGTGACACCCTCGGCATCACAAATGTAAAATGTTATTATCCCCATTACTATGTTTCTAGTTTCCCTGTTTCAAAGTTATTGATCCAGCCTGTTTACAAAAAGCATGAATGGATGTTGGAAGAGCATTGGAGTGACAGTGATTTGGATTATTTCATTAGTTAATTTAATCCTAATATTGACTACCTTAAAATTGAAGTATTTTGTTTTTAAAATCACTTTGAGTACGGAATTACCGTTTATAGTTCCAAGACTTTTTTACTCATTCACGATGGTTTTATGTTGACAAGATAACATTTATATGTTTAAGAAAGGTTCTTTGGCGTAGCTTTTTGTTGCCCCCAAGAAACTTGCGGGACCTGTGATCATGTGACCATTCTTATTACTCTAAGAGTGTTTTTGTTTTGAAGAAACATTATAAACTTCTGTTTTTATTCTGGATCTGCCCAGTCAATTTTCTTGTTCGGCCGGTCTAAGCAAATTTTATTTCTCTGTTTTCCAGATTTAGTAACGCCTGTATTTCAAAGAAAACCGAGTCTGGTTCAAACGCATATTCTACCAGTACTTTGGCACTTGCTGTCCACATCAAAAGTTGGGAGTGCTGCCAATGCTAGAAACGATATTAGCACAGCAACAGCAAAGTTGTGTGAAGAACTTTATATTTGTTATGGAGAATCTCTCTATGACGAAGCAGAATCACAAGGAAAAAACGTGAAAGAAAAACTCAAGCATTATATGATGTAGCTTTTAATCACTTTATTTTCTTAGTTTCTATGCAAGTTTCAAATTTTTATGGGGTTTTTAAACACAACTGGCTGAATTACCCTCTGGCTGAATCTAGATTTTAGGGGGGTTTGATTAAAACCACCATAGCTTTAAAGCTTTGTTTTCAATTTTATATTTAAGATAATTTTTTGGATTTTGACAAATTATTTCTAACTTGGGAACTGATTACCGAAAGATTCCCTTAATGCTCTAATGCTGATACAGAAAATTATAAAGCATACCTGCGCCGCGCCGCCCAAGACAATGGGGAACCAGGCGTCATCATCCAAGACTTCTCTCGCGCGCTTTGAACGGCCTTTCGAATGGATAAAGTAACTGGAGAAGTCTTACTCAAAATGGTTGGCCTAATATAGCTAAATCGGGCATCCTTCCTGTTTCGCCATTGTCATTCAGCCAGATGTTTCTCCACGCTGGTGGCAATCATATCGACATTATCAGAATTCAGTTGATTCTGATTTTGTTTTATTTCCACGCTTGTACTCAATAAAATACAGTATCAGCTACATCTTTGTATATCACAAAACTGCCAGTCGATACCTAATTTGGTAGTTATTATTAATGCATAAATAAACACTACATGTAAATATGCGAAAGTTTTAAGAATTATTTAAATTAGAAAGAAATTGCTTCTTTTTTTAACTTGGACTCTTTTTCACTTGTGAAGCGTTTTGTTCTTTGGCAACCTTTGTACCAAGCTTAAAAAGGTAACTTGTGTTAGGTTTGAAGGAGTATTAAGCCTTATCGGTTGAATTCAATCAAAACCCCACTGAAGCAGGGCAGAGAAAGAATCGAAAGCCCGACATGGAATTTACACTGATGAATTTTGTGAAAATATAGTTGTCGCTATGCTAGTACAGTAACATTTGGCAATAGAGAGAGCCCTATAGTGGTCCAGGACAATTTATCATGGAATACTAATACATGGAACTTTCAGAAATACTAGCTTCGCGGAATAAGGATTTAGTGCAAAAGTGGTGCAAAACTAAAAAGGTGAAACTATGATATGTGACAATGTATCCGTGACAACTAGGGATGACCGAGGATGAAATTCTATAAATAGAGCGAGGGGCCTTTCAAACAAACTTGTAAAATACAATAGCAGGCATATGGAAAGGGCATCTTTCGCATTAACTGCCTCTTTTTCTACACTACCGACAGTGATGTAAGGAAATCCACTAGACCTCCAATTTCGTCCTCACTTAACCTCTTACCCCATGACATTTTCGTCCCATTATCGCCCTATTGTACATTGTAGAAAGCTGTTTTTCTTTCAAAAGTTTTCGTTGAGGCTGATGTAGGGGATTTTTTCTGAGTATTGCACTGCCAAAACCCTAGACCAATAATACCAGATAATAAACCCAAAAACCATCCTCTAAGCAAAACTTGAACAATAGAAGACCATGACAAGGGTGTTAGCAAAATGAGAAGGGAATTCCTGCTCCGTTTAGATCAACTAAAAGTATTGCTCTGTCTTATAACGTAATTTGTTTCTTTCAAACTTCTATCCACTATGGTTTCTCCTCTTCTCGTTGTACTATTTTTCTTAATATACATCCTTTTGCTTTTGTACTATCTTTTCTTTTATACTTCTTTCCAGCTTTTCTCATCTCCTCTACTTTTTCAAATTCAATTCTCATATCTTTCGTTATTCTCATATTATCTTTTTCCTACTTTGTCTGGTCTTTCTTTTATCGCCTCATCAATCTGTCGTCGTTTGATTTTATTTGGTTCAGCTTTTGTTTGCGAGGCTGATTCAATATGAGGTTTCGTGAATGATTGTCGTACAGTGGACTGTGCGGCAGTTGTCAGTAAAACACCACAGCTTTGTGCAAAACCTGCACATACAAGAGAAATAAAAGAAACGCAATGGGTATCTTTAAAATCAAGCTGCAATGATATGGATATTTATACTTAGCATTGAAATCAAGAAAAATTCATTTTCAGGCAGTTGCCATGAGCATGGTTTGACGTAAGCACGACTACCCGTGACGTCTTTTGCCAGAGAAATTTCGCTTCGTTGACTATAAAACTGGTCTTGTATTCAAAGCTGATCGAGCAATTGCAGATAAGAATAAAGGTATTGGTAGAAGAGAGTCAATATTGCATGCTGGTTTCATAATTTAAACTTTATAGTAAATGTGGGCAGATTGATTGTGTTTACCTGAGGAGGTTTTCTATTCATGCACGAAGTACGTAGCATTGCAATTGCCTAAATTTGTCAAATCTGATGATTTATGATCCTGTGGTGGAACCGAAACAATGTAATAAATCAAGAATCGTAAAAATCAGTCAAATTTGAAGTAATATTTCGGGGCAGGACCGTCCCAAATTACAGAAGGAGGGGATGTACGCAGATAAAAACTATGCTCAACTCCTGCTGAAGGGGCTAAATGACCTGAGACAATGTGGTTCGCTTTGTGATGTTGAACTTCACGTTGGGGATCTTGTCTTTTGTGCTCATAAAGTTGTTTTGTCAGCTTGCAGCAGGTATTTCAAAGCAATGTTCACTGGAAAAATGGAGGAAAGCTTGAAGTACAGAATTGATCTGCACCAAGTTAACCCAAATGCTCTTAATGACATCATAAACTTTGCATATACAGGTAATGTTTCCATCAATCAAAGAAATGTGCAAGATCTTCTTGCCACTGCTAGGATGCTGCATTTAGAACGCATTGTTGATGCATGCTGTGAATTTTTGGAGTCAAACATCCACCCATGCAACTGCCTTGGAATTTTGAATTTCTCTGAATTACATTCTTGTAAACAGTTATGGACACGGGCATTTGAATACCTAGAGGATCATTTCTTGGAGGTTATATTATTTGATGAGTTTCTTAAGATTGATGTGACTTTAATGGAGAAAATTTTGAAAAGTGATAATCTGAATGTTTCCTCAGAAGAAGATGTCATAAATGCCCTTGAAATATGGATTTTATATGATGCTGAAAAGAGGATGATTCACATTGCTGACCTGCTATGTGACAGTGTTCGCATATTTCATCTTGATACAAGTTATATAGCTTCGTATATTGTTGATGGAGCACTTTCATCATTTAGTCAACAATGTAAAAAGATATTTACAGAAGTTTTAGCTTTGAAAACAGACCCAAGGCGTATCAAAGATAATAGGCTAGAAACTATTCCATCATGCAGAAGAGATGCTAATCATTTGGTGGTTTTTGGTGGAAAAACTGGGCTGTTTGATATCCTCACTTGTTGTGAAGCATATAGTGACATGATTTATGAATGGGATGTAGTGAGCACTACAACCAGTAAACGATCATGTGCAAGTGCTGCTTTGCTAAATGGTGAGTTCTTGCATTTGCATTAGACTTTTTTCAGATTATTTGTGTCTAGAAGCTTTTTGTTCAACACAGTCAGTGCATCATCTCCTCATGCAAGAAAAGCTAAAGTGAATTTATAATCTCAATTACCCAGGTCTATTTATTTTGAGAATCTTTAATGTTTAAGTCCTTTTGCAAGGATTAGTACATTTGTTCTGATTTATGCTGCTGCCTGTGCAAAGGCCCTGCAGCATGTGCAGCATTTTCACAGTTTTACTCAAGTATTATGTGCTCTTTAAAAGCTTTTCATACTTTGATAGATTTTTCTTATAGACCAATTTATTTTCATTGTGTGATGCAAGCAGGTACAGATAATTCAATTCATAATCAGGTGACCCTGCTCAATTTCCTCTGAAGGGTCTAGAAACAGTACCCTTTCTAGAGCTTAAGTATTCAAGCTTCTAAACCTGAGCTTTGGTAGTTTCTTAAAGCTGGCACCAGTCTACCGTTTTTCCTTTTTATTCGTAGAGACACTTCATACAGAGGGGGCTAAATAAAGCTTGGCAATGCCTATTAAATTGCCAGATTCCTCAGTTTACTAACTATTTGAATGTTTCACATTGGTGGAATATGAAACTTTGTATATAATAAGACAATATTGTTAATTTGCCAATTTATTGGGTTTGGTTGCTGTGAAAGTTCTTATCTCTGCTTCAAAAGTGTGTTTAATTAATCCTAGTTTTCTGACCACAATTGTTCTTAGAATATCTAAGCAATCTTCATCAAATCTGTTAATTTGATAAACATGCTGAAATATTGATGATAGATGGTTAACCATGCATCACTAATTGATTCAAATATCTTGAATGAGCCCTAAAGCCTCTTAATTTTTTTGTATTTCTGTTGACGTGAAATAAGCGATTAAGAAATTTCCTGAATCTTCTCCATCTTTCTCCCTGTTTTTCATCAAACATATTTATGTCACTTTAATCTAGGTGTTTGAACTGCCTGTACACAATTTTTTGCTGTTTATATCAGGTCATTCTTTTTAATGTAGAACTAAGTCCTGTGTGATATTTTTGTTATGTCTAGCAGCTGCTTGATTGTGTGCATTAGTTGTAAGGGGTTTGGCTCACAATCTTAATATCATAGGTTTGAGTCCCATCGCAATCTCTTTCCATAAGCTTCCAGGCAACTTAGCTGTCCATTCTTTTGAGGTTTATAAAACAGTAGCTAGGGTATCTGTTCTAGAATATAAATCTGGGGGAGCAACCACAGATTTACATTTAGCTGCCAGAACCCTGACCTGCATTAAAGATTTGCCAACTTGGTTGTATGTTTGTGTGCTTGTTTGCTTGCTTGCTTGTGCTAAGGTTTACACAAATTGACTGTAACCAACCTTAAGTGACAAGGGTATCCAATTAGCTTAGGTTTATGACTGATGGTTTAAGTTGCAAATCTGAGTTTCAATACAGCATATCTTAATCATTTTTAGGGAAAATTTACCTTGTTGGAGGTCTTGTTCAAAGTGATTCCAATACCCAAGAAAGCTGTGATGGCCGTGTAGAGATTTTTCATCCAGTTCCTTCCAAATGGGATTTTGCACCCAGTTTGAAAGAGCCAAGATATAATCATGAAGCAGTAACATTGAGTAAGTTCTTTTATTTTCTCAAAGCTTGAAAAAGATTTTTGTAATTTTGAAATTGTAAATAATCAAAATCAAAGCAATATGATTGTTAATGCATTTGTGTTTTGTAGATTCAACCCTGTATGTTTTGGGAGGCTACAATGACCAGCGTTGTTTGAAGGTATGTGTTATGTGTTATGATGTGCCTTTTCCCTACAGAGTAAAACAAGGTTATCATGTTTTCAATGTTGATAGTTGCAAAAATCAATATCATTATAGCATTTGAATTTAGAAAGAAAGAGTTTATTTTCTTATTTGGACTCTTCATCTAGGTGAGAGGTTCAAACACATCTTTTTTCCTCTCATGTTACTTTTTATCCACACATGGATGTAAATTTTCATCTTACTCTGGTCATTATCTGAATTTTGTATTCTGAAGAGTGTAGGAAAGAGTGTAAAAAATACTTTAGATTGTTTCCACTATTTCATGCCATCTTAATTGCTATGGTTCTGCTATTTTGTGCTACTCTCAAATTTTGCCGTACCAAAGCTTGATCAACTTTTGAATTTTTGTCAATTAGAAAAGTAGATATTAACCAGGAGAAAAAAACAAGCAAATCGCTTGTTCAGTTATATTTGGATGGATACACTTGGCAAAAATGCATGTATACATCCATCATAATCATCATAAAAGGCGGCTCTAATTGAACTAAGTACCAGTGCAATGGCCGGGGTGTTTGATTCCAGCACTTCGACGTGGCATCAGTGTTTCCTTGATTCTGTTCTTTATCTTTTACACGGTCCCCCATCTGACTGCAAGAGCCAGGTAACTGGTATCATCGACAGGGCAGTAGTAACGCTCTCTTCAATTGTAGTCAGTTGAATGCTACAACGAGTATTCCCGCCAGTGGCAATTCGTGAGGCCAATGATGGAAAGTCGAAGCTGTTTTGCTGCAGTTGCCCTTGATGGCTGCATTTACGCACTTGGTGGCTTTGGCAGAGTTCAACTAAGTTCAGTAGAAAAGTATGACACAAAAAGAGATAAGTGGTCACTTGTGCCTGCTATGAGTACCGCAAGGAACAATTTTGGTGCCTGTGTTCTACATGGATTCATTTACGCAGTAGGTACGTTTTACTGTACAAGTTTTCGATTAGTCTGACTATCTTTAGGAAAGTTCGTCTTATGAGCAGCATTCAAGACTTTTGACAGTAACCCTAATCGTAAACATAGCGTAAAACATGACTGTATCCTTTGTTTTGAAATTATTTGTCGTAAATATTTTGTAAGGGGGGATGTACCTTCATCTTTGCTAGCTTATCACAACCTGCTGATATGTGGCAGTATCTATGGACGAGTGCTGAACTCCACCAAATTCAAGAAGCAGCTTGTGAGATTATAGCCAAAAATACCCACATCCATCTGCTGTTTTACCTTGTGTTTGGAAAGATGAACCGTTTTACGTCGACGAAAGTTCGTATTAGAAGGCATATTTTAGAAGGCATAATTTGGAGAACCGTTGAAAAATGCACCTACAGCTGTTAATGGTTAATTCTTTTGCACCCAAAAATATTTTTTCAATTTTCTTTTAGGAGGCCATGATGGCGTCACTTATCTTCGAAGCATAGAGAGGTATGATCCAACTACAATGGAATGGTGTTTGGTAACCATGTTAGAGTCGCCTCGAACTGGCCTTGGAGTTTGTGTCATGAAGGAAAAGATTTATATTTTGGGAGGTCATAACGGCTCGAAGTATCTTAGCTCTGTAAAGACTTACGACCCCAAGTATGACAAGTGGAAGGACGCTCCAGCCATGGGGAACGCTCGATGCTACATGGCCGCAGTCCCAATATGGCTTCGGTAGCAAATTTTATACAAGTAGTTTATATGTACATCAAACTCTCTCAAGTGAATGCCCAGCCTCTATAAGCGGCCCTATTATCTTGTAAATAGACGCCTTTTTAATGGACGTCATCATCTTCAAAACTCCGCATCAAATTCTTCAAACGGGGGTGTTTTTAGGAAATGCATTTGACGATTTTATCTCAGCGAGAAAGACCGAAGATCCTCAAATTTCCATAAATAAACTACTGAACTGTACAGTTGTAGTTTCCCTAGAGTCAAAGGGGCATGCTTTTCCACCGAATTAAATGTTGCTGAGGCAAAGAAGGCAAAGAAGGCAAAGAAGCTGTTGCTTCGGGAATGTTCTCCAGGCACCATTGCAAACGATCTTAGTTGCAAATAAACTGTTACACGAAGACGACTGGGAGAATTAACTGCACTTCCCCCCCCCCTCATCTCCCATTTAAAACCCAGTCTTTGCCAATGTAACTTCGACAATCTCTAGTGACACCTAGTATCATTCGGATATTTATACTTAACAGGAATCATTGGTTTCTATCAATTACTTTATTGGTACCTTAGTGACCAGTTTTGTTTCATTTTTCTTCTACTTTGAGTACGTCTGTTTGGTGATTTGTGCTTACCTGAGACGATGTACAGAGTGCAGAAAAATATTTAGAAAATTGAAATTCGCAACACTAAATTTAGCTATTTACTTGTCGAAATAAATTGAAATATTGCATATCTTAAAGTCGATCATGGAAAAGGGTGAGGCAAATAGAAATGGATATTGTTCGGGATGACCCGTTCATTTATATTCTTGAATATCGGTTATCAAAAACAGGTCTTAAATATGCCATTTGAATGCAGCTGAACTTTGTTTTCAAAGTTTAACATTTAATCCCTGGCAAATATCCTCAAGACGTCTAACGGCCTTGTTTGGTTTTGCATTTTTTGCTGATTTTCCAAATGCTACCACTAAGGAACATTTTTTCAACAAAAAATCATCTTTTCAATCTGAGGTGAACACAACTCAGTCATGTGAAAATTATTTCCTAAGAGCTAAAAAGACAGGGACAGGGTTTGGATCCGACCTTAAAATTACTGTTAATTTTTTTACAGACTGTGCTTGGGTAAAAACTATAAACAAAAATTGCAGATAGAACGTAAAGGCCATAGTACACTATCAACTTCAGGTACAAGCTTCAAGTTTTCCCAGAATCATCGAAAACAAATGAAAGGAAAAGTGTGAAGCCCCTTAAAAAATGCACGTTTTTGCTTGCAGCTGTCAGTTAAGCAAAGCTTTTAATCAGAGATAATGAAGCTATTTAAAGGTTCATTTGAACTTTGTCAAAATTCTTCCTCGTGAATCGTCATTCGAATATGAATTTAACCAAGTGTACTGCAAGTCAGTATCCTGTCACAGAAAAAGAATTATTCTCTGATCTTGTGCTGGTGGTATTTCCATGAAAAATTTGTGGGAACTCGCATATAACGTTAAACTTGAAGACAAAAGAAATTTTGCAATCTGAGTGCTTTTAACAACAGTTCTTTATTTCTAAGCCACAAAAAACCTTTAAAACATCTGACAAAATACTAAATGTTGGTCTGAAGTAGCTAAAGACTTGAATCAGTTGATATCAATACTCTTGTCCTTGTTTGAAAATATTAAAATAAGACGTATTATTTAAGTCTATTGTATAAATTCATGTATTTAAGTTAACTGGTGCCGGAAAGAGTTACAAATAACATTAAAAACTCTTTAATCCTTTAATCGTTGCAAGAAGTTCTGGAAAAATTGTACTTCAGTCTGTAAAGGTTCATTGATCACAAGACTGTTGCATCTTCCAGAAAATTGGTGACTTTTAAACAGCGAGTATGTTCGACACATGGAAAGGTTAGTGTTACATGAACTGGCAGTGAGTGCCATCACAATGATTTAGTATAACGAACTTACAAAACTACCACGCCAAACACGCTTTGTGAACACATTTAGAAACAACTTCATTGAAATTCACAGTAAGGTTATATATTTTGTTGTATTATAAAGACATAGACAGCGACTTAAGATTTTCCCGGGGGCTGGCTCAAAATTGAAATAGAAATATTGCCATACAAAAGGGCTCATGTCGTTAAAAGAGTGTTCATGATGAATTTCAATCTTAGTGCAACTGTACTAGAATGGTACTTTTGAAAGAGAATCACGACTGCTGAAAGCCCTTTTTATTTACAGTTTATCTAATAAGATTATAAATACTTCTATCTTGTTGTTCCCCAAAAGTTTGTTGTTGTGATTTCTCTCTCTTAATGTGAACCCTCTCTAGGAATTCCTCAGCAGACTCGAGCATCCAAGACCCCATTTAGCTGGCGCCTATGCAAAAATGAATTATTTGTACGTGGCTCCACAACGAAGAAGTGTATACGGCTTCTTACCTGAAGAATGCCTTCTAAATTAGCCCTACACTTTGCAGCAAAGCTTTGTACCAAGTTCGAGTTAAATGTTCAGTATTCTATGTGTCCCAAATATTTTCCAAATAATTACATACTATAATCTGTATTACCTTGTGTAGTATACTCTATAATATAATGTTTTTGATCTCAGCAAAGAATACGAATTGTCAAATTTTAGCAGATAGACTCCTTGTCCAGGATACAGATGACTGCCAACGATAACTTCCTCGTGCGAGTTTCTTCTAAGTACAGGAAGAACTTCGTCAATTTCTGGCTTGTTCTCATCTGTGTCATCTCCTTCGTCCATTTCACCTTCATTTTCTTCTAATTTGACTTTATCGTCTTTGCTATCTGATGTAGACCATTCGAAGTAGATGCCAAAACCGATATCGTACGATTCTGAAGCAAACTCCCAGAAGAGACAGGATCCTGTGTCATAGAAAATGTGTGTCCTTAGAGCCACGGAAGAAACTAGCTTCAAAGTAAAAGTTTATTTATAAACAATATATACCTTAGGCAGTAGCGAAGAATGTCTGTCGACAAAACACAAAGATGACGTCGCTAGGATGACACACAAATATGAAGGTTGTGGCCAGGTTTGGACCTTGATTGAGCCTTTGTCACTAGTGCCTAACAGACAATTATATACTCAAGGAAAAATATTCTCGTAAAGTTATAGTTATAAATTATAATAGGGATCTAAGTGGCAAATATACTGAACTGAAAATATTTGACTTTCGGGACTGACTATATGAGGTGAGGTTAGGTGAGGTGAGGTGATGTGGCGTGATGTGATGTGACGTAAATGAAACTGCCAACTTACCATGCTCATGTGTAGGAACTCGCACCGTCACAGTTTCACCACGACCAACAACAATTATGGAGCTAGCATCTCTTTTAACATGCTGAATAAATTCGTTTAATTTTGGTCGTGTCCACAAAGATGCTTGGGCAATTTTATGTTCTGATACACCTTGAACAGGACTTGATGCAACCATTATAGGTTTCTCACCACCAGGCGTCTTCTACAAATAACATTTCAATGATTAAGTTTGGATTTCTATCTAAAGATACCTAAAATATAACTGGGTAAACAAAGCCACATACACATAGAATAGATTGATAAAACGTTGGTATCATCAAATAGGGCAGCTAACATTTATAACAGAATTATTAACAGCCTAGCTTTTCCATTCTTGCTTTTGCTTACAATACTGCAGCAAGAATCCTTGGTAGGTGACGTTTTTATACACATATGTAAATCTAAGTTTGCAGTTTGCACAAACCAAGCAAAAATCAAACTAGTTTTTGCTAGGTCAGTGTCCTCTGGACAAAAAATCATAAATAATAAGTACTGTATTTGTGGTCAAAATTAGATCTCTTATGTAAGAAAAAAGTTGTTAGCTATTCACGTGAACCCATATTTTAATTTCTTACTTCATTAAATCACTTTTAGACTTACTAAGTCTGCAGTTTTCCATAAATATCTGCAAAATCAAATATCTTTCACACCATTTTGTGCATCATTTATCTACTAGTAGATACCTCCTTCATTATGTCTGGATTTGACTCTATATATTAAATTGAAATATAGCATGGACAGAGGCATATGTAAAAATTACCTCTTGGTGCTTACTCTCTTCTTCTTTCCTTAAAAAACAAATAATACAGCCTCAATATTTTTGGAGGCAACTGACAGTTTAAAAAAATAGTTGTATAAAATTAGTAACTGAGGGGGGGGGGGAGGGTTGATATTTCAGACAAATTAAAAGTTTTTAAAAGACTGTAAGCAAACAACTGAAAGATATATTCTAAAGGGCATGCTCGCACCGGACCTCATCTTTAATTCTGCAGAATGTTTCCAATTTCCCCTCATTTTAGGGCTTCTATGGAAAATTCCTTGACGTTCTTGCTTTTCCAGATGAAACTGAAATGCTTAAGCCCCTCAAAACTCAAAAACTGGATTCTAAAATGCTTGCCAGGGATTTTGTAGATATTGCTCCAAGGGGAACAGACTTAGTTTGAAATTTTTAATACCATCTGTTATTTTTTAAAGGTTTGCTTACAACTTTGGAAAATCAGTTTTAAGATGTAGAGATTTCTTGTCTTACGTAATTCAGAATATAAACGTCAGAGGAATTGTTAAGGAATTAGACAGTTGTAGAATGGGGACAGCCGCAAAAAGCTACATATGACAGTTATTGTGTTTGATAAGCCAACCATTGCCTCATGAAAAAAGCTATAGCTCTTCCTAACACATTTACAAAATAGGGTGATACCAGTTCTTAAGGGTGTTGTCAGCAAAAATTTTCTCCCTGCTTCAGACTCCTCTTTGCCCCTCCAATCTTCCAACCCTTGCTTTGCCATTTAATATTGTCATTTTGATGGTTGATGAATAAAGCCTATAAAGCACCAGTCAATGCCCATATAAGTTGCATTCTTCAGTTTCTTGTAACAATAATATTACATGTCATTTTTTAACAACCAATGCCAAATTAGGTTCAAAAAAGTAAATTGCTTATATCCCAGCAGATACAAATGAATATATTATGTGTAAAAATCAACCTTTGGTGGTTTTCAACTTCTGCTTTTCTTCTAAGGGCTTCAGCCTCTTCAGCTAGCTTCTTCCGAGCTAATTCCTCCTCCAATTTTCTTTGATTCTCTTCTTCTTCTGCTCTTTTTCTTTCTTCTTCTTCCTTTCTCTTTCTTTCTTCTTCTTCCCTTTTCTTTCTTTCCATTTCCTCTTTCAACTTTCTCTCTTTCTCTTCTTTGTCCCTTTTTTGTGCCTCCATATATGGTTCATAAAGGGCTGATCCCTTTTCCAGGATTTGGCAAAATTTTATCATGGCATCTTCTACAGGTACATTGGCTAAAGCTTGCCATGCTTTCCTATTCACAAAGCAAAACAACACCAGATTATGATTAACATGAAAACTCTTTGGTATTACCCCTTGATACTCTTGGTATTACCCCTTGATACCACATAAATTCAAGTAGGAAATGGAACATCAAGCATAGAAGTGGACAAACCTATAGTCTAAAACAGTTTTTTCTATTGATATCAAGCACCTGCCTATCTACTCTTCCAATTAGCTTTTCTGTTTCAAATCAATCCTTAAATTTATGATGGATCTAGTGCCAAGGGTAATAAAAACTGTATGATGTTGATTGTGTAATGTTGCAGATATCATAAGGAAAACGATTTTGGTTTTGTGAAACATGCATTTACAAACCTTGTACATACTTACTCATATACCTTAAACTATGTAGTACAAAAAAATTTCATATTTCAACTTTCTATCTAAAAGTTATAGCAAGGCAAGAGGACACAGTTGCAGGAAAAGCAAACAGCTTTTAAGATAATACATATTTCTGATACTTCTAGAAAACTTGAATACAAATTAGTATTTACAAAAATAAAAAAAACTTAAACATATTTCTTTACCTCCTATCACTTCCAACAACATCAAAATACCCTGTTTCTGGCATTTTACTGCTGTCATAGTTTCCACATGATATCTGCTTGTAATATGCAACCAAAAGCAGTTTGTCTTCATAATTCAAATTCAAAACTTTTTTACCTACAAATGAAATCTAGTTTAGAAATTGCTGGTTATGTTCAAGCCCAACTGAAAAGAGGAATATCATTTCAATCAGCATTAAAAATTACTTTCAAATAAGAAGTTGATCTCCTTGGAGGATCTAAGAGGGATATAAACAAGAATCTCATTGATTTCACTGAGCTGAAATAAAAGAGGTGTTAATTAGAGGGTAGGCATGAAAAATGGGTTAAGAATAGACTAAATTAGTTCTCCTTTGTTCTGTGAAGTTTTGTGACCATAAAAGTTTACAGAAATTGAAAGAGCTATAGGAATTGAGTCCTATCATACTTTATAGGATTTGTTCCTTCCTAATTGATAACTTCCTTGGACAAAGGCCTTACAATGAACCCATTTGGAAAAACATTGCAAATCAATTGGATATAAGACAAATTCAAAGTATCAGTGACAGAATGGTTGCATCCACGTCAGTGGGTGAAGGTGGCCTCCACCAACACCTGGACCTTAGTATAGACTTATTAGAGACAATTTTTACTCTTTTGTTAGCCTTTTGTTATCCCTTGTTTATGATTAACACCGCTTACACTCTGGCAAGAGCCAACCTGCTTACCTACACACTTTGCTTGGATTTGTTGAACCAAAACCAAATGCAACATTTTGTAGAAATCAACAAACTAAAGGGCTGGGTGGAAGTGGTATTAATCCTACTCCTGAGTTAATTTTCCTTTTTTTTTTGTTTTTTGTTTTTTTTAATGCTCCTTGAGTAAATGCTCCAGATTGGTTGTGAAGCCTTTAGGAGTTAACGATTGAAGATTGAAGAATGGTCCTTATTGCTGTAGACACTGATCATGTTTCTTTGTTTCTTTAAAGTTTCGTCATTATATCTTCAGTATATTTGCTTCAGTATATGAGCACGTGTCAGCGTTTGATGATATGACCAGTTAAGAAATATGTAGTACTCAACATATAATATAAATGTAGACAAAAATCCTTTTAGTGGCATTATTGGTTGTTGCTTTCTGCTTTCTACTGTAAAATACTTGTAAAATATCTCTCCATTTAATGCAGCTATAAATTATCTGGCGTGATTGCTAAACCACACAAAGTTCGGTTTACTACAACAAGTCAATTTCCAGGGTGAAATCCATGTGAAACTCACGCCGGACATACGCCAATAAACAATAGAAAGACAATGGGAAATCGTTAGTCTACGCCGGATATCTCCGGCGTAAGCTACATGGATTCCACACTGGGTCAATTTACAATTAGCAACCTACCTACCTTTTTTGTAGTAATCAAGAGATAGGTTGAAAAGTTCCTCGAGAGTAAATCCGTATTTATATACTTTTCCGGAACTCCAACCATTGACAATAACCTTTTCATTAACCTCTGAAGGTATCGTTAAGTTTTGATCGACTGATTGACAGTTGTGTCCAGTCAGGTCAGGCCTAACTTCCTCCATTTTGGAATGTTTTGTTGATTTGATGCGGAGGAGATTGAGCTTTTCCATGCCACGTACAAAAGGTCTGGGAAGACTCCTGCGCAGATAGCGACAAAAGGGGCATCAAACGTCAGCATTCTGCGGGCAAAAACCGGCAATTTGGGGGTTCAATCCGTTCCACTGGATGATGTTGAAGTTGAAAATGGATAAAAGGCGCCTAGACATCGGGAGTGAATTTGCTAAAGATAAACATTATTTCTGCCTAGGGTCGCGCAAAGACATCTTGAAATTAAATGGCTACCATGGGCGGTGGCTGCCAGTCTGCTGGTCGTGGGTCCCATTTTCTTGTTTTCTTGCGCTTGTGTTACATATATGTACATGATTTATGTATTTTTTTCTTTAGATACTGATGTTAACCTTCTTTTAAAAGGCATTCGGTTTGGATAGATAGGAAAATGATGTTGAACAAGATTGACAAGTTCATTTTACCTTACAGCATTAAACCTATTAATTTCTTGCTTACTATGTTTTTCCCTTTGTATAATCACTGTGATAAATTGTAATTGACACATGTCAAAGATAAACTGAAGCAAATTGGGCATTTTCCCTAGAAAACCTGATGTTTTAGTCTTTAAAGTGTAACGATTTTTTTTAAGCACACATCTTCTATGTGAATATCTTAATTTTTTCGAGCTTTCACGTTTAAAAAAAATAATTTCAAGCCACGGGGAGGTAAATTCTCGGGTATTTCAGGGAGGGTGAGAAGCAAAAATTTCTGATTGAAAATAGTCCTATTGCGACATTTTACTGGTATTTTTCAAAGCCTTGACTCACAGAGCCTTGTCATTGTATGGTTCTGTCGTTTTCTTTCTGAATTGAGAGAATTCTTGATATTAGCGTTATGTATTATTATCCTCTGATGCAAACAAGTGTTGGAATAACATTAGAGAGAAAGGCTCTTCCATAACTAAAGGCACCTTGGGATGTGCCGGGAGAAAGGGTATACCTTTTTGCAATGTAGGTCAAGCAAAGGTCTAGTCACTATTTTTGACAATGTTGGTTTAGGCATAGTTTAGGGAACGGCCTTTAAAAGTAGGAATTTCTTCCTGATAACCTATTTTCATTTATAATAAACTGGTTAATGCAACAATCGATCTTTGACATTTTCGTGTTCAATACGAAAGTTTTGAGATATCTGCTATTTCGAATGGCTTTGAAATGAATCTAGACAAGGGCATTGTTTTTCAAAATTAGACTATATACCAAGGTATCCTTATTTTAGAAATTTGTCTAGCTAAGGGTACCATTTTTTTAAAAGTTAGGTCTAGCTAGCGGTACCACTTTGAATGTGCTTGCGGTAAACCCTTACCTAAAATTTAGCCAAGAACCCCCCCCCCCCCACGTTGTTAAGGTAGCAAACGTGCATTTTCTAATCGTGAACTAATTTCATTCCTTAATCGTAGAAAAAATGAAATTCATAAATATCTACGAAGTATCTTTTATGGATAATGAAATTGTACCAGCTACCATTTTATCATATTAAAGATTAGTCGTAAGAAAGAAAGACTATGAGGCCATGGCACCAGCTGGTCGAGTATGGCGAATGAAAAAAGAGGGACTTCTCCAGGGCTGCACTGCGAAAGGACAGGCATGCGGAACAGGAGGGAAATACGTGAAGATGATAGTTGCCATCTCTTACGACAAAGGGGTCATAATATGCCAAAGATACGAAAAAATGACCGGAAACTATTTTGCAGGTTTTCTGGACGAGCACTTCGAGAACATGGTCATAGAGGCTGGGAAGGGTTCTCGCATGTGGATTCAAGATGGAGACCCTTCTCAAAACAGCACGGCATCAAGGGAGGCCATGACAAGAGTCAACTCAGTTCTCCTGCCAATTCCACCGCGTAGTCCAGATATGTACCCAATAGAGAACTTTTTTGGAATTGTCAAAGCCCGTTTAAAGATGGACGCAATAGAAAGAAACATCGAAGTTGAAACAATGGACGAATTTGAGAATAGAATACGATGCATAATGAAAGATATACCCCTAAAAACTACAAACTCTATAATAGAATCGATGAACAAAAGAATGAAACTAATTATTGAAAATAGAGGGGAACGACTCAAGTATTGATTTGTAAACGTGTATATGTAGATTTTGTATTCTTCGATATGTAACACTTTATTGTGTATGAAATTATTGTTCTGTCTGAAATTAAACTGCCTCTGTTCAAAACAAAACTTCTAAAATGGCTGCTTTGCACAAGATTATCAAGTTTTACCAAAAATAAGGTGGAAGTTGCGTGTCTAACCAACAAATAAAAAAGAAACTACCAACGATTCACCAACGGTTCACCAACGATTCACCCACGGTTCACCAATTTTTTTTTGTTACCTTAAGTACTGGCTCTGACGGTTCACCAACGGTTCACCACTGTTTATAAAGAATACTACTATAAACCTTATATACTTGTGGTGAATCGTTGGTGAATCGTTGGATTCCGTACTTAAGCCTATAATTACTGGATGGTGAATCGTTGGTGAACCGTTGGTGGATCGTCATGAACGTCACCATCACGAAACACAAGTGACACACGAGTGCCTTTTAATTCAACAGGGGCCTGCGATACTCATTGGGAATGTGGCAATGAACAAACTTCTGTAAGCGAACCTCGAAATATCAAACAAAGCCTATCTATGTAATGGTATTATCATTTAAATTTTCATGCATGAAAGTACTCAATATAAAAAAGTTAGAAAGTAATCAATAACAACTAAGTTATATAGAATAACTAATTAAAAGTTATCAACTTGCAAAGAGTTGCGTGAGAGTTTCTAGGCATCTGAGCCGAGCATCAACAGTTCTGCAAAGCAGCGTTTGCATTTAGGAATGACTCTTACGTCTCTTTCCTCAATTTGCCAGTGAAAATTGAAGTATCTCCACCGACAGTCCATCATTTCATTCTCCCGCTCATCGGTGCTGTTGTAACGGCCAGGATACCGTATCTGTTCTTTTCCTGTTGCAAAGATGGGGGTGTCTCTATCGAACATAATGTCCTTGGCATAAGTGGACTTTGGGGCTGCAAAATGGATAGTTTGCCCCTCGAGAAGAAGCAACATATCTTGCCAGGCCAATATTTCTTGCGAGTAGCGAAAGTCATTCAAAAAGATGACATCTACATTCTCTGCGCCAAGCCAAGCATAGCTAGTACTGGCAGGATTAGTAAATACCCTGAACATATCGTTAAGGGGGTCGAGCATGAATGTTTTTCCGCAGTTTGCTGGACCCACAATCATGATATTACGATGTTTGCCGCGACCTTTCGTCAATAGCTCCCTAACAGCATCGGCAAAACTGAAGGCATTGACCCCATTGTTTCTTAAAACCTCTCTGGCACAGTTTAGCCACAAACCACCACACAGATGGGCACAAGGTTCCAAAAGAGCTTCCCTCACAATGGCCATTCGCGACATTGTATTGCGTGAAATAATAGCTGATGCATTTTGCATTTTCCACACACTCTCGATCAGCTCGTTTCTGCATTTGGCGGGTTTTCCCAAGACAAAGTTGGCCAGGTCCACCTTTCCAAGGTCTTTTTGCTCCTTCGCAAGAGCCAAAAGTGCGACGTCTTCCTTGATGTTTTCTTTAACTACTAGTTCGGCGACATCGAAATTCGACAGTCTCCGTGCCTTTGGCAAACTAGAAGGGCCTGAAATTACCAAGCCAGAATGTTCCTCTCTAGAACGAGAGCTGCCAGCTCGCATCTTACTGGATTTGGATGTGCGAGGTGAACGGCCAGAAGACAAATCAGGGTGCCCGGGGCTGTGCAATGCATTAGAATCTTCCTTTGTAACGTATTTATATGCACTGTAGTAGTTATGGTGCATCTTGTCTGCAAAGTGCACCGAAATTCCATGTGCGTGAAGTAAAAATCGTTTTGCAGCAAGCCACCGCTTATTCCCCGACAGCAAAATTGCCATGTGAAAATGAAAGCCACCTTGTTCCACCTGGTGCTGTTCCTCGCAGCATACCCAGTTTTTTACCGCAGCCTTGGAACTTCCCTGAGAAAATGCATCTACTATTGCATCTGCAAACGATTGTCTTGTTGGAAACTTTATCCTATCAGCCTGGCTATACGTGACGATATAACTTCGCCTTGCAGCTCTCGAATTAAGTTCACTTCCACAATCAGCGTCAGACATGGTCGGAAGTGTTTAAAGACTGATTGTAAAACCGTGTGTTGCGTTTCAGAAATTGTCCTGTCGACCCTTGCATCAATACTTTTAAAAGGTACGTACTTGTCAAATTAGAATTCCGAGGAAAATCCGCCGAAAAAGTGGAAGAGCCGCAAGGTACACTTCAGAAAAGATAATTGATGATTTCTTGATACCACGAAATCACGATAGCAAACAGTTCCAAAAAAAGTAAGCCGTCTCCTTATCTCCAAAATACCTGCATGCAAACAGGATTACACCACCCAGAATATCTAACCCATTACTCTACCTTGCAGAGGTCACGGAAAAACGCACCCCAGAAAAGTCTGAACAGACAACAGAGTTACACAGACTCTCTAACTCAAAAGTATAAAACTAGCCTGGCTGAAGACACCCTTGGCAAAAAATGCTGAGACACTCGCAGAAAATTGAGCTAGTTTCAAATCATCCAGCCCCCCGTCCCCCCAAATCAATGTTGTGATGAGAGTAATTCTGCTCGCGGTCATGCCCAGTTATACCGCAATCATAAAACCCAACATTGACATCGGGGGGAAGGGGGTGTGGGCTACCAGAGCATGTTATATAATAAAAAGACATGTGACTTCACTTTTTGAAAAAAAGTCTCAGCTATTTTTTGCCAAGATTGTGGTTAATGCAACAATCGATCTTTGACATTTTCGTGTTCAATACGAAAGTTTTGAGATATCTGCTATTTCGAATGGCTTTGAAATGAATCTAGACAAGGGCATTGTTTTTCAAAATTAGACTATATACCAAGGTATCCTTATTTTAGAAATTTGTCTAGCTAAGGGTACCATTTTTTTAAAAGTTAGGTCTAGCTAGCGGTACCACTTTGAATGTGCTTGCGGTAAACCCTTACCTAAAATTTAGCCAAGAACCCCCCCCCCCCCACGTTGTTAAGGTAGCAAACGTGCATTTTCTAATCGTGAACTAATTTCATTCCTTAATCGTAGAAAAAATGAAATTCATAAATATCTACGAAGTATCTTTTATGGATAATGAAATTGTACCAGCTACCATTTTATCATATTAAAGATTAGTCGTAAGAAAGAAAGACTATGATGATTAAATACCGATGGAATGGCAATGAAAAAAACTACAAAGAATTCAGAACTTTTGAATTCGGACCATAAAGCCTGTAAGAGCATTCTAAAATTTTTCGAAAGGCGCCAAATAGTGAGATCTACTAGAAATTGACTGAGTGGATCTGAAAAAACTTTTGAAAGTTTGCAAAGGATTGCTGCAGCTTTGGCTTGCCCATTAACATATTGAACATTTTGAACTCACAGTGACTGAGAAGGAAAGGGCCAGCGATCAGAGAACAACATTGTTGTGAATTGGGCGGGACAAAGGTGTGTACCACAGAGAGAAACATGTCGAACTCGAATAAATATATATGATGATTATGTGTAATTATACATACTAAAGAGAGAGAACCTCTCTCCATGCCTCGTGCATCTAACTCTAATCAGTACTGACGACGGAAGGGCGTAATGCGAAGAGATCCCGGAAATTCCAAATATGGTAAGACCTTCTCACCATGTGTCCCGGAGCCCTGGACCCAAATGGAGGTTATCTGTCTTCTTCGCAATATACATGTTGAATGTATGCAAACCTTATTTACATGTTTACATGTAGGAATAACTTATAAATAATGTCTTTTTATTTTATGTCGTCATCACTTAGATGCTAATTTTAGTCTTTGGTATACGTTCGATGCCCATGCAGGCGGACGTTTGAGTCAATGCTTCAGTAAGATTAAGTTGGTCACTTACTAAAACGATAAGCTTTCTTCGATTGCGTAATACTGGTATTCACTTCTTCCAATCAAGTCACTTGGGTATTGCTCATAGGTAGCATTATTCAGTTCACAAAAATATTTGTTATCAATCTGATTGTGTGAAAGGTTGATCGACAAACACGTGCAGTCGCTATCATGGATGCATTCAAGACAAAACGTGAAGCATTCCAATGATGAGCTAACTTGCAAACGTTTCCTTACATGATTTACCAAGAGCATGTTGGTAAAGCGCAAATTTGTGACAAGAGCGTCACCAATCAATGGAACGTTGCCACCTGTCGTCGTACTGCCTGTAAAGAAAGAAAAGAAGGAATGACTTCAAGCATTCTTCGTCAAAAACTCGAAGCGAAGTCAACTAGCTGTTTATCCTACTTCCAGCCACCATTCTTAACCTCTAAAAACCTTCCCCAGCACGAAAATTAAAACAAGATTGGGCTTCGGTGAGGCTCTTTAGCGTCTTTTAATTTAATTGTTCTTCCTCAACGTTGTTGATTTTGTGGAACCATCATACTTTCTTAGCTCCGGTAAGTGGGATCTAACATTAAGGATTCTCAATTTGAGAAAGTTGTTGTCGTCATCGTTGTAGCCAATCTGCCGATAATACGATGAGATTTTTATTAATCTTGTAGAAATCCTGTGATTTTTACTGATTGCAATTCTTTTTACTTCAATTACCTTAAAGTACTTAAAATTAACGTTATTCGATTTGTTACTAACATTTTAAAAAAAAAATTGGCATGTGGCGGGATTTAGTGTTTTTAAGAAATAAATCGCTTTTTCTAAGCTATGTTTATTTTGCATTTATCAGATAACCAAGGCAGCCAGTTTGTTCAGGGAACTAAGAACGGCATTTGGAAAGTGTCGAAACCACACGTTCGTGTTACGTCAAAGTTGTTGTTTTTAGGTCTTTCTTCCTTTTGGATGACGTCAGTTGTAGGCCCGCAGAAAATGACATGCTTTCTAGAAGCATTTCAGTTCAAAGCACATTATTTTCTGCTTCTCAGTATTTGGATTGTATGTTGATAATGAAGGCCTATAATTATCATCAGTTTTCCTTTGAATGCTTAAAGGCTAAATTTTTTAATCAAACATGATAGATAGGGTGCATATTTTTTTCTTAGATCATTTAACTGGAAAGTTACCTTCACTGGTATCGATTAGTTCACAAACTGTGGTTGTTGACTTTCTAACAACGCCGACCACTTGAGTAAGGCAGTGGCATTCTTTTGTGTCAAAATCGTAGTTTGCAAATATTTTCTCTTGCTTTTTAACCGTTACGGTTGTACACGACAGAGCGCAGTCGTCCGGGCTCTCTCTCTTTCCAACAAAGTTCTTGTTCTTGCTATAACCAGCCCTTCCTGTCATCCACTTGCACGCTAAAAAATTGTGTATTGAAGAATGAACGAGGAAATAATCCTGTTCTCCTGTTGGAGTTCTTTTTTACCTTGCTAATTTCCGCAAGCAAATTTAAGTGACGCACACATGATTCAGTTTAACTACTATTAAAAAACTCATCCCTTAAACCATAGAGACTTTTTCTTGGAAACTTCACTTTAAGAATTGCTCTCAAACATGTCAGAAGCATAGAAAAAATGGAGAAAAAAGACACTTGCTTTTACGGAAAGTCTGCATTGCGTGGCAGCCCAACATTTGTACGAAGATCAGGATACAATGATCAGCACGAGTTTGTGTAAAAGAAAATAGGTGACTCAAGAATGAGTCGTTAGGTGCTTCCCCCAGGCAGTGTAATGAATTTGAAAGTGTATGTGTTAGAGGAACGAAATAGTTTATAGTGATGTACCCTTGGTGCCAGAGCCTCAGAGGGTCTTCGAAGGTCTCAATTTTTTGCTGCCGCCAATTTACATCTTTACCGCTGCTAATTTACCAGCTCTGGGGCCCAGGGTACTTTTTTCGTGCTAGTCCCGGCGCACAAAAGTTTTGGACTTTAGTTCTGATCGAGCAGTTTGAAAATGTCACTTAATACTTTTTATTTTGCATTTTTCCGCATAGCCTTTATCGTTCAGTTTCCAAGACGACGTAAATATACTAAAAAATGAAACTATGTTGTATTTTCGATTGTTGCCAAACAGATGGGCTCAAAAGCAAATCCATTTCTTGTTGGGGATAGCAAAGCAATGCCGCAGAAGACAGCAACATATGGCTTGGTCTGTCCAGGGATGGCTTAAATTTGACCAAGAACTTATGTACATTTTTAGGCAGGGAAGCAAAGCTTCCAAAGCTTTTACAGTGCTTGTTACACAGAGGTGTAGCTGTAACAAACAAAAACCAGAAGTCTTCCCTTTCTCAGAAGCTGAAGAGATAATGAAAAGTCGAATGTTGCAAAATGTCAATATGCCAAACGGGAAATTAAAAAGGGAGCGCGTATAGAAACATAATTATACGTTAGCAGATATAATCTTACCCTGACAGCATGTGCCGGACAGCATGCACAAAACAAGAAAGACTTCAAGGCTCTTTTTCAGCATTTTCCTCTTTGAAGATGACGTGTATGTGCTTGGAAGACCAATGGTCTACTCATAGAAGTAATTTACTGTGGATTGTCAATGATGCGAAAATAAATTATTTTAGCTAAACAAATGAACTGGTTGCTTGAGTTTGATAAATGCAGAGACTTTGCATTGTCAAAACAATAAAAACAAACTGCGTTCAAAATCATCAATTTACCGTTCATCCGTTTTTCTATTAGTTAATGCTATAAGTACGAGCAGAACGGCGTTGCTAAGCTTCCTTCAATATAACCACTGCATTTTTCAATGTCAACATTTGCTTTTTGAACGCACAAACCTCCCCTATTTTATCAGCAAATAGTCTTCCTAAATCCAAACTGATGTCTATATTGGCCTATTTACAGTAATTGTTGCCATAGATGCGTTTACCTTGCGTTTCCATCTGGAGTACAAGAGCTTTGCAACTAACAGTAATTAACCTAACGCTTCGTTGCCCGAGCTCTGAGGTGGGCACTCTTCATGTCCGAAAACTTTGCCAAGATAAATTCATGTTTCGCAGTATATTCAGCCGGTCTGTTGTTCAAATTCTTAGCTAAAGAGCATAGTTTCTAAAAACTAAAAACCATTTTGATTTCTGTCCACACGCCATTTGCGGCTTGTTTTAAGAATCATTTTAGCTTCTAAAATACAATCCTTTCAAGTGAGAGGAAAAATTTTGTATGAGAAGAGAAACTCAAGAGAAGATTTATGAAATTTGCATTACTTACACAGATTCAGCTTTCCGTACGTATTCAAAAGTCATCAACATAGAATTTCCAGCGGTACTGCAACTGTTGGTATGGACACAAATATTCGCAATGTTGAAAATGAAATGAAAAAAAACAAAATCTGAATATTTTTATTTTGCTAGTAAAGCTTTTATGTAACTTGATAAATGAAAGATTACAGAATGGTGCCAAATTTTGCAGAAAAATTCCAAATCACTAGAGTTTTCAAAATGTGGAAATCGCTCAAGTACGACGATTCCCACACTAACAATATTGTTGACTACAACCCAAAGATTTTCTTTACGTTAGCATGTTATGTAGCGAAGAATTTTAACATGATGTAATCATGCATAAAAACACAACTGGGTAAAACAAAGGAACATTTAATGTCATGCGACCTACTTCAAAATGTCTGGAATATAACACGTGCAAGACCCTAAAAGATTAAAAGGCCTATTCTCAAATCACGACTAAATTGTGTCCTTCTTTTGAACGATAGAAAAAGCTTTATTGAAACGGTATCCCTTTTATAAAATGTAGTAAATAAGAAACATCGCAATACACCGAGAATAAACAGCAAAAAATACACGTAAATCAGTAAAGCCTGGTTCCCACTTGGTCGTTTGTGTCGTTTGAGTCGGTTGTCGGTTTCCACTTGTAAAAATCATTCATGCGTGGGTATTTTGGGTCGCGGAGATAGAATTTTTTCTATCTCTGCGACAACTGTCGTTTGGGTCTTTTGGGTTGTTGGCAGGTATGTTTCCGCTGAGTCTTTTCAGTCGTTTGGGTATTTTCCAACGACGCAAATGACCCAAACGACCAAGTGGGAACCAGGCTTTAGTAAAAGACACAACGAACTGCAGTGTGTCTCTATTTCTGAATGCAAAATCGAGACGGGCGTAACTTTGCACAACTTAGCTACCAGGATTTATACAAGCTTTCATGGCTTTCATTAAGAAATTTTTTGTAAAAGTAGTTAGCCCGAATCGTTAATTGGACTGAATCGTGTACACGTCACTTGAATCTGTTCACGGAAACTTGAATAGGACAAACATATATCATTAGCAGCTCAATTCAGCTGATAGTCACGTAAGGTAACGTCTACTAAATGGCGATTTAAACAAACCAAATGTAAGCTCACAATGCATTTAGAATTGAAGAATGGAACCAGCATTAATGAAGAACGAAGCTGTCACTGCTTCGCTCAAAATATTTAACTTTATAGTACGAGATGCATTTGCATAGTCAAGCTTTGATCCAAACCAGTAGGCGCTTTGATCATTAGTTTGATGGCGGTGTTGATATTTGCTTTGACAATTGCTATCTTCGTGATACAAATCAACGAAGGAAGTAAGTACCATTAATGTTTTCTTCTGTCATTTGAATAATGTCGAAGTATTTACAATCTGTCTTACTCTGAGAATCATCGTTTCAGAATTGCCTATAGCAGATAGTTAACTTGAAGACATGTCATGCAGAGCTTGGTACTATCAATTCAGCTCTAGTGTACAATATAGATAAGATTAGCTTATAATCTCCAGCCTGATTAGAAGATTGTTAAAAAGTTCAAACTATCGATAGATTGGTGTAACTGCTACACAGTCCTAATCATTACACTTATGAATAAGCATTTTTAAAACAATATTTTTGAAATTATAATGTGCCTTACAATGCATAATTTTTACAAAGGTATAATAAGGATTAATCAAAAAACTGTATGTGACTGGAAGTTTGGTACTGGATTGGCTGCTGAACATGTCGAAGTTGGGAGCCAAGAGAATCCTGTTGAATGTGCACTGTATTGCCAAAGCCTCAAACATAAGGACAAAAAAGCCAATGGAGCTATGGCTCGGTTTCTAGGTGGGCCTAGAGTGTCATGCCTTTGCTTGTTCGGCACATATGGCTTGAATATCACGGAAAATTCATATGAAAATTTGTCATGCATTTTTGATTCAAATGAAGGTAGGTCCGAAACTCTTTCTCTTAATGTCATTATTAAAGGAAATGGTCTGTTTTTTGTTTCAACGTAAAAGCTTTCTGACACAATGGCTGCCAACTGTAAAGAGTGTGGAATTATAAAACGTTGATCATCTTTTGTGTGTCTCATGCCAAGTGGAAAAACTAAATTCGATTTTGCAATGAACAAATGATGAAAAAAGTTTTTGATGGTAACAAATATTCTTCACTAACCAAATAAGTTTTCGGTACCGCAAAATCTGAAGATGGCAGAAAAAGCTGAAACACTTTTCGTCCGATGCTCTTCAGAGAATACGTTGGGTAATTGACTTTGGTTTTAGGTAGATAAAGCTTTTTGTTGCTAAGCGTTTCATAAAGCCCTGGTCAAACGGTCCAACATTTCCCCCAACATTTCGCCCAACATGATGTTGGGAGAAATGTTGGATCGTTTGACCACCTTGTTGGGTCACCCAACATCGTAAATTTCGATGTTGGACGAAATTTGACTGAGGTAAAAAATGTTGGCTGCCGACGTCCAACAATTCTTTAGTTTTGAAGTGTTAAGTGAAATGTTGGATCGTTTGACCACCTCAGCCAATATTGCTGGCTCTGCGCACGTGTAGTTGGTAAAAGAACGCCAAAATTCAATCATAGCATTGTCGTTGATTTCGCGTTGATTTTGTTCACGGGTTGATTTCGTACGCTTCGACTCTCGCTTCGACTCGCGCTTCAATCCTCGCATCGACTCTAGATTTTGCTTACAATTGATACCATTTATAGCTATGACGGCGATTGCCTTTCGTTTTCTCGGATCGAAATGTGGAGGCGCATCGTTATGTGCGGCTGGTGTGCCTACTGTTGTTAAGCATCATCAATGGTACCTACTACCCATTCCCTTTTCGATCTGCGGAAGAAAATGTTGGGCAAAAGGTTGGGTGAAATGTTGGATCGTTTGACCAGGGCTTAAGATAAAATGTTCTTCAATCGTTGACCACGTCTTATGATAGTAAGGCGCTCTGTTTGACAAAAGAGCCCTTCACTGCCATATTAAAAGTTTGAATAAAGAAAATTTCACATCCTAAAACAGTTGGTTCTTTGAAACTTGTTACTAGGTGCGATAATTCTGGATACTTGAACGCACAATAATCCTTTGTTCTTTTTAGCTCATCAGTTGGCTTTGGAAGAGCCAAATACAGTTCACTTTACAAGCCTTTATTACACAAACAAATCCCTGTCAAATCACGTGTCAAGAAGAGTACTGCTACCTTATCCAGAAGTAGAATATTGCTACTATGCTTGCCTCGATTGCAGATACAATGGTGCTTGCAAATGCTTGTCTCACAATATCTTCACAGATAATGGCCAAATGATTTGTGAACTTAATGATGCAACATATGAACGATTCCCAGAAGATCTTGTTAACAAAAATGGTTCCCAATATTATGATATACTTTAAAAAGTCTTCAACACAAAGTATGCTTTAAGTAGCTATGCTTTAGTCTAAAAATGGTTCTTATTGGCTTTTTGGCTTACTAAATTTTTCTCTGGCGGCAAAGTTGATATAAGGCCGACTCTTCTTTGAGGATAACATGTTAAAACAAGTTAATCAAATTTTGTACTGATCCTCTAGCAGTTGATCTGTGATATGATAATAACTGGAACCGGCATGACGTACTTTGCATTCCGTCATTTGTCATCCTTTTGAGTGTACATGAATGCGCGAATAATCATTTTATGTTCTAAACTTTTTACAACGTGAATTCAGATTTCTGAATCCGCCTGGATTGTCTCCTTAATATGCCCTAAATCTGCACAAATTCAGTTTGCAATGAATTTTGGAGAAATGAAATCTAGAGAAGTGTAGAATTAAATTTTTTTTTAGAAAAATGTGATAAGCTTTCAAACTGTCCCTTTTTTAGGGGGGGGGGGGGGTTGATCGGCTCGTTGGCCGTTTAATCTAGATGACTCACTGGTGTTGGGAATTCGTCATTACTAATAATTTCTTGGTATGATTATCATTACTAGGTTTCTAAATTTCACGCGTCGATGCAATAACTTATTGTTGGCTTTCCAATTATTATTCCGTAACACAATAGTATTGCCGAGTTACAAAGAAACGCTGTAGGAGATCGACGTATAAAGGGTGGATACATAGATTTCTGATAGCTTGCCGATCGAAGTTTACCAACTAATATGAGCGTTTGTTCTTAATCATTTTTTTGTATATAGTGTAAAGATTTGTTTATTCTCGGGTCATTCTTTCGTGCTATTTCTATTATGGCTTTCATGCTACCTTACATATGGATCGCTAAAAATACAACATCACCCCCGTGGAGATAGTAGTCGCCCTAGCGAGAATGTCTCACATTACACAGTACTTGCATAAAAATATTTGTGATGTGCTGACAGTGTTGAATAAAAGGCTATTTTTAGAGTTTCAGAAAGGGTAATTTTTGGCATGCAGATTTGGTAAAACCATTAGAAAAGTCCGTTATTATCATTTTAAAATGAATGTTGTGAATTATATGCCACACAGTTAGATTGACAAGATGTATTGCAGAGGTTTGTGACAGCAACTTAAGAATTTCAGGTAATTATTTTTTAATCAGGTAAATTTGCCTCGCGACGGACCTGATCTCCTTAAAAACTAACAAGGAACACCATATTAACATAACCTCTTACATGGATTGTGTGCAGCCTCGGTTCGAGTATCACAACGGTTCTTTTTCGTTTGGAAACTCAACTCAAGCCGCCGAAACTGAGTAGCAAGTCATGTTTGATTTTAGCAGTACAAGAATCTTCTGAAATGGTAAGATTAGCGGGATTTGTGTCTTATCGGTGAACGGAATTTGTTTCGAGTTTGACTAACTGCGACAGTACTTTGTAATAGAAAACTGATGTTTGAGTGGCCTGGCCACCACACATGGAATGATTGGCGCTGGGCAAATCACTCGATTAGAATCTCGTACACCTTTGTTAAGAATCATTTTTTTAGCTGAAAATCCCCGGTGATACTGTTGTTTTTGTGAATATTTCGTACAATATCTGCAAGAGGGAAATGCTCACCATCTCTGTTGGTAGTCCGGCCTCTGTATTCCCAGATTTGACGCCCTGCTCTGACGTTCAAGATTTCAACAGTCGGAGGCTAAAAGGTCTAGGAATGGTAATTTGATAAAGCTCGACATGCTGCCTCTGAACGATCTTAACGGTCAAAATCCAGAGTCTTAACGGTCGGGAGTGGTACACAAAGCTAGGGCGTGGCCCTAAACTTTTCCAAATTGTTGAATTCTGACTTTTGAATTTTTTAAATCTGATGATACCATTAGAAAGAGCTTGCAAAACTGAGCAAAATCTGTAAAAAAAGCAATGTGCTCTGACCTATAAGCAAAAAGTTCTGGCTGTTGAAACTTTTCATTTTGTCAAACAACTTAGACAGGTCATCTGTTGGAAAAATTAGGCCTTTTTTCCTGTCAAGGTTTTCTCTTCGGATTCCTTGCCAAGAAACATGCTGGAATAGATTAAGACTTGGGGCATCTTGAAATTTGCCGAAAATTTCAAAATGGCGGAATTTTTCAAAATGGCGAATTTTTTACAATGTTTTGGCTACAATGTATCGATATGGTCTTCTTAAACGAGCATCACTTGGCACCAAAGTGACCTACTATGTTAAAAGCATGTTTGTTGTCATGACTGATCATCAAAAATTCAAAATGGTGTTCTTAAAGTGGCAGAACTAAACAAATCAACAATTTTGGCGCTTCGCTCCATAAAACAAAGTAACTGTGGCCAGAAACCATATAAAAGTTAAACAAACGCAACGAAAAAGGTTCTATTATGGTCCAACTCCATCATAAATTTCAATACTGAAAACTAAAAGTCATCCTAACTTCCATCTGAGTCAGCATCAAAGTCATAGTCACTATCATCTGTGCCTTCTGCTTCACTGTTTTCACCAACAACTTCTGCTCCATTATCAGTGTCAGACTGGTTGTTATTTGGGGAAACTGGTTGCAGGTATACTTCTTTCCATCCCCATGTTTCAGTTAACAGAGGAAAGTTAATCATCTGCTTTGTGCATTGATGCCATATGTGAGCCTGGAGCCATTTTCGCTTTAAATGTTGGGTTGTACTATTCGCATCAGGAATCATTCCCAAACTTGACTTAACTTTCTGCCTTTCGTACATTCGAATTATTGTGTCAACAGGGCATTCATCTTTGTTGCCTCCGTACATGACAATTCGAAAGAGCTCTTTATCAAGAGACAAAATCCGATGGAAAGCAGAGTGGAACCAAAGTTGTTCAGCAGGCTATAGCATTCAATTTGACCATCTTTTCCCATGATATTAATTTTCCAATCCCAAATGGAAAAGACGTCGTATCACAACCAGTGATGCTGTAGTATGCTGCCAAAATACTACAGGCTTTTATGCCGATATTTGAACAAATTGACTCGATATTTATGAATCTTTCATGTCCTATCTTCACTTGCCACTTCTGAAGATCTTAGGCTGCAGGTGTGCAGAATCTGAAGTATGCCTTTGCATACTCTTCCCAAGTCGGTTCACTTTTGATTGACCTTACTGCAGCCATGCCGTCAATTATCCACGCTGCTTTAGACAAAAGTGTTTGCACTTCTGCTAAAGATTCTTCTATCAGAGAATTTCATAATGCAACTTTCCAGCCTTGTCTGAGATCACTGTCAGGTGATGCTAAAGCTAGTGGAACAGTTGTAAGAGGATAAGAATGTGCGTCTCTTGGACTTGTAGCCTTTACCAAAAAGTGCTCCAAATGTTTGCCTGTCCTCCTTGAGAATGCTTATGGCTTTGGAAACCTTTTTGCCCGCTCCATGCCAGTTTTGATCCTAGGAATTTTATTGATGCAAATTTACTAACCCTACTTTCTTTGGCTTTGAGTCTTTCGTCAATAAACTCAGCATACATTGCTTCTCCTACTGCAGATGAATTCAGAAGTCCCTCAATGACCGATGGCTCGATTTCGGCTCCAGTTTTGAAATGTCTTGCAGGACCATCTAGGAATGGATCATAATACTTATCAAGCTGCAAAACAAGATCTTCGGTCATTGCCTCGTGCTTCTTTATCGCACAAACAGTTGTTTCTTTGTGAACGGACTGCGTCAAAACATTCAAACGTTCTTTCAGTATGGCTCAAACAGTAGCCATGAAATGACTGGTCTTTACAAAGGTATCAACAGCCTTCTCATCGGTGCTAAATCCACCTTGCATGGGGCTCCCTCTGACCCTTACCTTTTTGTTAATGGTTGTTTCGGTTATCAAGTCACGTATGGTCAAGTATTAGTCAAGTATGGTTTGCTACAGACTGAACCACCAAAGCCATTAACCAGAAGGTCATTCCATGCTCGCTCTTGCTTTGATCTAATATCCTGCAGCTCGGCATGTTGAAATGTAAGGTAACGGGTATAGTTTTGATGCCCAAATGCAAAACACTCTGGCAACAAAACACGCTCTGCTGCTAAATGGCGCTCAATTGCTTTTTCACTTTTACAGCACTGACGAAGCATAACATAGCCGAGACATCACGAATGTATTGCATCATCATTTGATCCTGTGTGTCAAAGGCATCTCTTAAATTGTTCATAATCTGTTTGAATTCTTGTGAATTAGTTATGGACTTCAAATTGGCGGTTGATTGGACAAGCCTCAAATTCACAATTTTCCTTTTGAATCTTGGACTGAATTCACCTTTGTTCAGGACACCCTACATTTGATAGCGAAGCAAGGCTTCAAAAGCCTGTTTTTGTAGCCTTATGCTTCTATGGCAATGCCTTCCCTTCATCGCTTGACCAGCAGACCCTTGAGCTATTACATCGGCATTCATCCACCATTCCTTAAGTCTGAGGCAAGAATACTTTTTGCCAAGGATATTCAAATTGACCATTATGGGATGGAAGCTGCCCAAGTAGGTGATGATTTCATCGTACTTTGACCCTTGGTTTAGCCATTGAATAATAAGAACTTTTGAATAAATTGCTTGATCTGCATGAAGAAAAATATGATCTATTTCTAGCTGATCAAGCATATTTTGAATCATGTCCATATACCATTTGACGACGTTATCATCTGGAGGAGTAACAGGAAGATATTCTAGTTTGCACCTTCATGTAGTACAATCTGTTGAAGCTTTCATGAAGTTTGTCCATGATCCAACTAGCTGGAGAGCATCAGTGTCTAACTCAGGCTGTGTTTCTAGAAGCATCTCTTTACTTACAGCTCCACACAATACCCAAGCTACATCACGATGAAATGCCTCTTCAATCAGTGGTGAATCTTTGATTTTGTCTTCAAAATCAGGCATTGCTGGAAGGCCTGCCCGTTTCTTTGGAATAACATATGAGCCATAATCTTTCTTTCCGTGGTGCAATAGATCTACGAATGATTCATATAAGCGTGTCACCAGGAATGATGGCTGGAAAATCGTTCCCATGGTGTAGTGTGTCGTCTGTGACCCAGTCAAAGTTTGTTGTCGGCCATCAGAATTATCAAAAGTATACCATTTTGATTTCTTTAAGATCAGTCATGACAACAAACATGCTTTTAACATTTTAAGACACTTTGGTGTCAAGTAATGCTCGTCTTAGAAGACCATATCGATACATTGTAGCCAAAACATTGTAAAAAATTCGCCATTTTGAAAAAATTCCGCCATTTTGAAATTTTCGGCAAATTTCAACATGCCCCAAGTCTTAATCTATTCCAGCATGTTTCTTGGCAAGGAATCCGAAGAGAAAACCTTGACAGGAAAAAAGGCCTAATTTTTCCAGCAAATGACCTGTCTAACTTGCTTTCTGAAGTTTCATGATAGTACAGACGCACCATACTGGAAACTTTGTTGCATGCCTGCAATATATTGCCCGCAAACTCAAATTTTCCATCTGCATACTTTTGTGTATTGGCCACATAAAGTCCCTATGTGATTACATTTACATTTTTCAGGCCGTTAGGACTTCATAAAAATTGTGAGGTCTACATTTTATGAATTGCAGGCCATTGCATGCCCTCACATTTCAAGGCATGCAATTTCCAGCATGCGGGCAAATTTCATAATAATAGGACTGATCTGTCAAGGTGTTAACAGCCAGTGGGATCAAAATAAGCTCTGAGTTGAATACTTTAGTTTTTTCCTTAGTCTTCAAAATTTTTTTGGGGTTAAATTGAAAACATGTCTTGGTAGTTAAAAGAAGAGGAAAAAGGGCAACATGAGCGAAATATCATTAAAAACAAATTAGGAAATGTTGAATGAAAAGTTAAAGTTATTGAAATTGCATTTTCCTTTCATTTTGTAGATTTCTCATGATCAGGATAAAGCTATAGACATATCTTTGGATATGGTTAAGTCTCTGTTTGTTTTACCAAGTTCTGACAAGGAAGACAGTAAAGTGAAAAGCAAAGATTCATTCAACAATTCAACAATTTCTGAACCTCTCACAGAGGAGTTTCTCCTATCCAGTTTTGGTGGCATGTTTTCTAGTAGTGAATTTAGCAGCTGGCCAGATTCAAATGGGATTGGAACAGACAAAGAAACCAAGAATGTAAGTTCTTATTCAAAAGGAAAGAAGAAAAATGTGAAGTTTAAGAAAGGTATTGATATAATAGGACAAGATGCCAGGAAAAAGAATCCAGCTTCAAAGAAGAACTTGAAAAAAGTTGATGGAACGGCACATCTTCCAAGAAATGGTAATAAAGCTTCAAAAAGTTCCAGTAACAAGCAAATTAATACTTCAAAGGACAAAGAACAAAATAAAACTTCACAAGAGATAAAAAGTAAAGTTAAGTTAACAGAAGTTGAAGACAACTGTGACTTTTCTGTTGCAGATGATGATTTTAGTGATGATTCCTGTGCTCTAGTCATTGATGACAATAAGTTACTTGATGTAGTTGATTTTCAAACTGTAAACACCCCAATATTAAACGAAATTGCAATTAGCATACCAGGGAAAGGGCAAGCTGAAAAAGAATTTTCTAATATGCAAAGTAGAGAGGTATCCAAGGCAAAATCAGCAGAAAAAGTTATTTCAGATTTTAAAAGAAAGAGGGACCATGTCAAACCCAAGATGCAGAAAAGAGATGAGAAGAAAGTATGTGTTGATAGTGTTAATTCTGTTTGCAAAGGTGAAATGGTTGATCTTGAAACTATCAAACCTCTTGTAAAATGCCCAGTTTTTGAAGAGGCTGTTTCAAAAGATAGTAGCTTTTTTCTAAACGAGGATCATAACGATAATAAGAAAGACTCTTCAGTTACTGCTTGTGAACCTAGTGGACTTATAGGCAGCCACCAAACAAAATGTAATGATACGAAACATGTACCTGTAAGTACATATGAAGGCTCAATGATGTCTTGTGTTGACAGAGATGATGTATTTGCTATCTTGTCAAGTGAGGTAGTGACTGATGCTGTTATTATTAGTGACTCAGATGTTGATGACGAATTGCCACTCATACAGCTGAAAAAAGATAAAAGTGTTGAAAAAAGTTTTGCTCATGAAAGAAAAGCACTAAAAGACAGGTCTGATATGGAGAGGTCTGAAAATGAACTTGATAGGTTGACATATAAAGAGGTTACTCCTAAGATTTCATCTAGTTTGCAGCAAGCTGAAAATGTATTGTACAATAGTAAAAAGCAAACATCCCAGTCAGAAGAAAGCTTGCCGAGTGACTACAAATCGAATTTTGATCTACTAAAACATCTAGTTGGCTCTACGTCTACATCAAATCTCTTTCCAATTGTTACAGACACATGTATACTTCCAGTTGTGAACGAGGCAGCCTTTATCACAACTGCATGTGGCAACAAAGTTCCATTGCAAAACAGTTCTTATTTTAAACAAAATATCACTAGCTCTTGTCAGTCTGATAGCATACCAAGAGGATCAGTTGTAACAAGAACTCAGTTAACTGGAATACAAACTGTCACAACTGCATCAAGAACAGAACATGATGATAAATATTTTTCTTGCAAATCTCAAGTTTCCTCACTTAGCACTGAGCAATATGTACCTGTCAGGAAAAAACAGAAGTTTACTAACACTTTTGATCAGAAACTGAATGAAACCAGAACAATGCCAACAGACCATTTATTATCTACTTCAAAAATTATTCAAAGAGCTGAAGGACAAAATTTTAAAGTATTGAGGGAAGAGGTAGATAGTACTGATGTTTCATGGTCTGTCAAGGCTCCAATATTGTCAGAGGTCAATGCATCCAGTAAAATGAATCATCCAGAAGTGTTCAGTCATAGAGAACATGAATTCAACTCATCAGTTTCTGATTCAAGGTTTGGGAATATTTCAAATCCTGACTTTTCTGATCTAAAGAAAGGGCCTTGTCAATCAGATTTACATCTTCGCCAAACCCTAACACAAAAAATACCAGCTTCAAGTAATGTCTTTTTAACTGACAGTTCACACAATAGTAGCTATAAATTTGAAGCTCAAAATTGGATAAAAGATACAAGGACTATGCCAGAGTTAATCTCTACGTCAAACATGCATACTCAAACACAATCTTCTAATCAAGCTTCTTATGACTTGCTTATTGGTATTAAAAATCAGTTGAACCAAATCCAGAAGAATGTAGATACTTTACAACAAGATTACATGAGATTTAAAAAAGATTTTTATTCTGAAAAATGCCAGACAAGCTCAGGTTTAGCTCCAAAGAATACTGGTCTTGATGAAATCCATCTTGAAAGTAGCAACAATGGCATCTGTCTAAGTGCTCCTGGACAGCATATGCCAAAAATCACATTGAGGGGGATTAAAAACATAATTATTGATGGCGGTGACTGAAATCTGCATGTTTGGTATGAGCAAAGGTAATTATGTCTTTTCTGTTCTTCTGAGCAATTCAATCACAAATCTTTATCTTTCATTCCCAAGACGAATAATTGCTTGAATAATGTTCTTCCAATTGACTGGAAGAGTCGTTGGGTTCCTTCATTTTCAGTCATTTTGGTGTTTCTTATGAATAGTTGTTAAGAACAAGCTGTTTATATCATTTGATAAAATAGCATAAATAAAGGAATCTAAGTACGTTTTGCCAATATTTTCTGAGCCTGTAAAAGGTGTGATCACCAGAAGTTTCCCTTTGACATTTGTACCCTGTACAACATTCCCCCAAATAGATTGATTGATTTTAGTGAAATCTCTAGACAACGAGAACTTTCTAGCAAAATTTCACTTTATTTGTCATCCTGATTTTTTTGGATTTTGTTGTCTTCATGCACTCATGCTACATGTAATCACAGGCTACCTTTCCCTAAATGATTTTATTGTGTGGTGTCTGTAGTGTCTATTGTCAAGCACTGAACCATTACGTCCTCGTAGACGCTTTGCACTATCAAGTTCAGTATTAGAAGCAACACTATCTTTCCTATACGTCAACTGAACCGTGAAGTTGAATAGGTACTTATTATATGGCAAGCCATAGTGGACAAAAGGTGGTTGAAAAGGAAACCATACGTTGAGATTTATATGATTAGGGTCCAGAATTATTGATATGTGGTTGAAATCATGATTGTTGGTGATCAGTTATTAAAGCACTGCTTCAGTTCTCCTCCAATAGCCTTGAGTTTCAAATCATGGTGTCTGAGTTCTTCGAATTTGTACTGTCCGAGTTTTTTCCGAAATTGTAATGTCCGAGTTTTTTCGAAATTGAAGCAGAAACTCAAGGCTATTGGAGGAGAACTGAAGCAACACTCTAAGAACTGATCATCAACCATATGTCAATAATTCTGGACCCTAATGATGTAAATCTCAACGTATGGTTTCTTTTTCAACCACCTTTTGTCCACTACGGCTTGCCATATTATTAAGCCCACAAAATAATACAGTGTGAGCCACAATGTTGAGTATTAGTTTTGTCCTTGAAAAAAGATTAATGATGGCTTTGAAATAAGCAACATTTTGAAACACACCAAAGCTGTTCATCTGAAACTCTTATAATTTTCAAGGCATAAAACCTCAGAACATAGATCGAGAACTCTACGCTGGGAAATATATCTAACCATCTGTGGACTGAAATAGACCAATCAGAAACGTTAGCACATGACTTGTGGTTACCCAATCAGTGTCGCTTGCCTATTGAAAATGTTACAAAATGGAGTCCTGAAGTGAAAAACGAACTCTTTCTGTCTACACAGAAGCGGTTTTTCATGTTTATGTACATTTCAAAACTGCTGGATAGAACAACGATCGGGCTCTACCATTAACCAGAAATATGTCGTCATTATAGTTTTCATGCACGATCTTGGTTTTCCAAGTAAATGCTGCCCGATGGCAGAACCGCTTGTTTTGGTTGGTGTTTTTGATCGCAAGACTGAGGAGGCTGTTCTGTTTGAAGGGATTTTTACTGCTGGAAGAGACATTCTGTTGTAAACATGCTGTCAGACGAAAGGCTTAGTAGGTTTCAAAATGTTGCTTTTTTCAAAGCCATTTTTAAAATTTTTCACCACAAAAAGATTGTTTGCAAAAAAATTTTATCAATAACCATGCTTGCGAAATTCTGTGAAATGTTTATAAACATTGGAACTGTTAAGATAACTATATAGTTATTTTATCATTTTAGGCCAGGTGTTTATGACAATAGCTCCAGTTTGCAAAGAAGGCAAGCCAGCAGGAAATATGAAACAATCTGAAACGTTAGAGGTTTGCATTTATGTTTTTAGAATAGACAAGCAGCGAGTTTTGACTTGTAGGAAATTTTGTGCCAGAATTCTGTCTTGACTGCTATTCAATAAGTCGGAACTAAAGTGTCCTTGTCAAATAGTTATTTGCTAAATTGATGATAAAACTGAGCAACCAATAAATTTTTTTACAAATCAGCGCATTCTATTCAACTTTTTTGATGAAAAGTTGTAATTGTTACCAAGCATCTCATTTAGTTTTTTAATTTTCATTTTGGTTCTGTATAGATTAAGCAAAGGTTTGTTTATGTTTTGTTATTTTACTTAAGTTTGTAGTTTTTGAATGCTAAAAGTACTTGCCAAGTCTTCAAGGGACTCATTTTGCGTCTAAAATCAACTTGATTTAGAATTGATACCTGCATGAATAGCTGCATCAACGCTGGGTGCTTTTTGTCTTCTTGCTGCGTTTTTCTCATTACGTTATCAATTTTGTGTACATATCGTAGCTGTACTGTAAGTTGTTGCATAATTTGATACATTTGTCCAGTTTCTATGAATTGAAGTTCCTCTTCTGCTTGCCTTCAGCGTGTAAATGCTTGGGAATGTGCCTAACTGCACTTAATGCTCAGTTTAATTGTACCAACTAGCAGACAAATGTTCCTTTCAATTTTTAAGGGTTTTGGTTCTAGATAATTAGGGCTACAGGGTATGAGTTTGCTTTCTGTGATTCGCAGTAAAAATTAACTGGCCTTGACTACATTTCAAAACTCTGCAATTTTTGTAAATATTTTAGTTTCATTGGCGACCAAGTTCACAATCATAGGTTTCCAGTAAAATATAGTTAGATAAGGTACAATTATCAGTTACCATTTCTATTGCCAGTATGCCAGGTTTTCTTTCACTAAGATCACATCTTAACACCTGCATTTTTTTTACTTATAGCCTGCTTGACTTCATTGCACAACCCTGTTGTCAAGTAAATTCATCTAGAATCAGGTTAAGTATGTATGTCTCCTAGATATGTAAGTATGTTGGAGACATACGTAAGTATTTTGGAGGTTATCTTTACTGTTGTCTCAAAATTTCATAACGACAGTGCATTTGATATTTTTGATGTGGTATTAGATAGAAATGTGTTCATGGTATAGCCCCGCTTAGGTATAGTATGGTAAATAGGTAAAACTGAAAATGAAGGCATTCACCATACCCTTGAAATATGACAGGGATTTCATCATTATGTCAAGCGATAATACAGTCAGTAGGAATGATTTTCTAAGAGTTAAACTATTTGATATTTTGTGTGTGCATGATCTAGAGCTGTAGTTTAGAGAAGGCCTAGATGGTAAATGCAAGGAGTTATGAAAAGAGCTTTTGTTAATTGTTTATTTGAAGAAAGTTTCAGGTATTGATACATCATGAAACATTTTTCACATGATTGGCCATCATGGACGCAGAAGGCTATTCGGGAAAGGTATGAAAAAGGGAAAAGGTATGAAAAGGGTAAAGATATAAAAAGAGTAAGACCAGTTCATCAGGCAGTTTGCCCATTTTCACTTTTCAAAAATTTGATTTAATTGAATCAGCTAGCAACAATGGCATTTCAAACCTAATATTATTTCAAACCACTTTAAACCAATGAGTGACTTCCAACCAAAGACGCTATAATTTATTTGAGTATACGCAGTGATCTGAAACCGCTACTGCGCATGTGCTTGACTGCGCACAGATTGTCGATTCGGTCGTTGTGATGCAGTGCAGTTGAAGATAATATCCCCTCCTGATAGATTGTAATCAACTGCTTAAAAGAGAATCAAAAACCACATTATTATTGAGCTGTACGATAATTGTGCTATATGAAAAGAATAAAGAGCAGATTAAACACCATAATTAAATTGCTATTTTGCCTCAGCTTCCACAAAGCTTCGCAAAAGCAGCAGTCGTTTACTGAAAGTGGCTGACATCTCTTCTTTTAACCAACATTAATGTACAGTTAACTTTAACTTAACGGAGTTTCTGTACATTTTGATTGAGTAGGCTCAAAGGGAAAGACTTGTCCAATTCAATTGATTAAAAAATGAAAACGTATGAAAATATTAGATTTATTCAAATTCGAAACTGTTTGCCAAAGTGTTCAGGGTCAGGTATTGGTTTATTTGTTGGCATATCCTCATTTTTTATCGTCTAAATTTGATAAAAGTGGTTTTTGTTCCTAAATGTTTTTATGTCCATTGTGAATTTACTGACAACCACATGCCATCTTCCAAAATCTCACCATTAGTTTTAACAGAACACTATACCAATCGGTTTTAAGACTTGGCGAAGAATATCGGTTGATGCAAATATTTTCAACCTAAACACCATTTAGAGCATTTTGTAAATAGTAAGAAGAATTGGCCGTTTTTTCATTTTCAAAGAACAGTGCGAGAAACTCTTTAAAATGATGGTTTTTCTACGTTACTAGTAAGTTGTGCTTTTGTATTTTCACACAAAATGTTTGCATATAAGACCCAAATCCCAAAGGTTTTATACAGAATACATGTTGGCAGCACGAATTTTGATAGCCATCGGCATTAATACAGGTATAAACATTTGATTCAAGCATTGACGGCAGGGCCTAAAATATGCGTGGATCTGACTCACTTTGTGGAGTTGTAAATTAAAATTGTGAACCTGTAATTGTAGAAAGTGTGGATTTGTAAATAATGCATGTTCTTGAAAGTGCAGCATAAAATACCAATCGAAACGTCTAAGAAAGAAATGGGAATATTTTTCCAATTCGCAATGGATGCCCAATCCCAGCCTTATGTATTGCACTCATTTTTTATAAGAAAATTGCGATAAGAAATAAGCAATGGATAATAAAGAAGAATTGAGAAACTTCAGAGCTCGAAGCTTCAGTACATGCGGAGAAAAATCAATTGCGCTTTATGATATTGTTGTGTGCTATTTTGAAGTAAGATGGACTTTGTATACAGCTTTAAATTCAAAACATCATCTCAATTTAGTTTGCTTTTATGACTTGCTTCAAAAAAGACACTGAGCCTTAAGACCAAGACCGAGATTATGATTTCCTGCCCGTAATGTATTTTGGGGTTTTTATGTGATATCTTTCAGTAGATTTCAAAACAAGTTATAAAGCAATTCAACTAAGGTGTTTAAATTGGAGAAGAATTGGAAAGATTCCTCTCAAGGCTGCAGCAGCTGAACGCTGATAAGCCTCTCGGTGGTAGCTGAGAGGAACATTCAATTGGGAATGTTGCATAACTGGGACCATAGTCCTTGCAACAATGGGTTAGAAAATGTTTTGAAAGTTTACGCCAACGAACGCATTAGTAGCAGTTCTGCTGGGAACACGTTTTTGTTTTTTTGATGGCGCTTTATCTTGTGTGGTCAAAGATGTATTTTAGATAAATTTGTATTTTATCTAATTTGGTTTTGCATTTTTATGTTAATTGAAATCTTCTCGAAATCGTTATGTTTATGAATAAGGACAGAAAAAAGCAAATATTTTCTGAAAGGAGTGGTTTCCGGTGTTTCAAAGGGCGTGGCCGTTAAAATTTAGGGGCAAACCTGCTAGTCCCGTTTCAGCCACTCCCTTGTAGCCTAGTGCTAGTGTGGCCTGATCTAGCGTGATATTAACATGATATTGGCCAAAAATCGTCATTTAGCATAAAATCTAGCATAATTTGGAATCTAGCATAACTCTGGCATAATTCTGATATTATTTCAAAGAAACATTGTTTCCATTGCTCTATTGTCTATCGTTACCAAATGCAAACACTTCACACCAGCATCTGTGGTTTCATTTTGGGAGTAAATTGTGACTTTCCACCTTCAGGATATTGCTAGTTGTTTTGAATGGTTGGCAGCCACATATTTTGTGGTTGGCAGCCAAATGCAGCCAGCTAAACGCAGTATACGAAAAGCTAAATTTTTGCTAATTATTGGGAGTGATACCGTAATCAAATTTTGCTTTGAGGGTTACAAAAGTTTTCACTTGCTTTGATTTAAAACTGTCTGTTAGCTTTTGCTTTTTTTCATCATTCATCATTTGCAATTTTGAAAAAATTCAATCTATGACAAATTTAGCATTATTCCAAAATTGAGATCTGGTGCATGGTTTTTGCATTACAAACAAGATGGGGGTAAAGATCATGCTTTCAAACTGGGCGAAAAGAGAATAAGAAGAAACAAGCACAATTATTACATCGGTGAGAGAAGAGTTTATTTGCCATCTGTAACGAGGTTTTCGTTTATAGTATCAAAACTTTTTGAAGAACAGATTTGATGGCAAAGAATTTGATGGGCTGAATGCAGTTAAGAACTTTCCATAAGTAAACAAGACTTAAGAAAGCTTCACCCAGCTTTTGTCCCGGACATCGCAGCAATCCCTAATTCTGTCGATGCAGAGAGGCTGATTCCCACCTACAACAAGATAGAAGCAGGTGGGGAAAGCAGCATAGCTCCAGAAAACTTATCAAATAGATAAATATTGCAATTAATATGCTTGATCTCACAAGTTTCGAGTTCCGATAAAAGCTGCAAGGATATGGTTTCAAAAAGCCAAAAAACACCAAATTCTGGCAAGCAGGGCTGATTTAAGGGAGTTTTTGAAGATGAAAGGAAAAAAAATAACTTTGACAGAGATCCGAACAAACCATGTACAAGAGTTTCTTTTCGATAACTTTTTGCTCACATTAAGACATCGCTATATGTAGCTAATCTTCTTATTAACCCAATCCATATATTGTAAAGAATCAGCTTTTGCTACTTATACTTCATTCATTTAAGAATTTGCCCAATTAGGACATGCTATTTGCACTATGATGGCAGTTTCTATATTTGCCACCCCCCATGATGCCAATCCCAGCAAAGAACCACGCCCAATTTTTATAAAAAATGTGGATCTGTAAAAATTTATTATTTTAGGCCCTGATTGACGGGATAATGTATTGGAAGGAAAAGTAGCAAAATGATCCAAAAGTTATGCTAAAAAGATAAGCCTTGCCTAATGTGGTCATTTCTCCACATAAAGGGCCACTTGTGTTTTCATAAAAATCCTTGCTTCATCCGACAGAGATGTCAACGCCAAAATGAAGCCAGTTGAAACTTTATGCCTCGAATGAAGCAAGCTCTTGGTACCGTGAAAGTACCGCGGAATAAAGAAAACATAACACGCTTAAGTACTCCTCGGGGTATAAATACCGCAAAATCACCAAATGTAGCCAAATGATATCCCGGTGTGGATCGAAAGTAACTAGAAAAGTAGAATGGTGCTTTTGATTGGTTGGTTGTGTTTGACCAATCAATGACTGCTAGCCCGTCACATCGTTGAAGAGTCCAAGAGAGAAAGCGAAGTATCTCTTTCTACAAAAGTTGGGATTTTTTTTAACGTAGACATAACCTAAATAGAGAGGATTTTTCTTGTTCTTGCTCAAAGATTGATTAATTTTATTAGCTAATAATAAATATATTTCATCAGTTCGATATAAGGCCTTCATAATTTTGTGTAAATTTGAGGCAGCATAATATGAAAATATTTTAGTCGATTGTTTCTTTATTTTGTTTTCTGCAGATTCAATATGTTGGCCACTGTACTGATCTTCTGAAAATTGTTTGCAGGATTAAAATTCGATTTTGGCTTCTGATTTATAACCGTTTTATAACCACTAACAATGTGAAATACAATAATCTTTATAATCTTGCAACAAAATCTCTACATTGAAACTTATGAAATTCTTATTTAATCAAATATTAAATGCATGGTTATAGGTCCAATTTACTTCGAAGTAAGAAGTTACCAAAGACCTTTCACATAAGGAATGTCAGCTCAACTCGCTTTCTCAACCAGGATTTAAATTTCTACTCTGGGATAACAGTTTCTATGAGCGGGTACATTAATCAAAATGGAATGATTTGAAGAGTTTTCTTTGATTTAACCATTAAACATAAAGAGCTTTTCGACTAACGATAGAGAGCTAAAACTCCCGAAAAGCTAAATCCAGACATGAAATTCAATCCGGGTTGAACTCAGGTCGGGATAAAACACGGGCCGGGGTGAAACTCTTTTAGAGAGGGGGGGGGGCTCTGGTTTTAATGACTTTTACGACGTAAAGTGTTTTTTGTAGCTTACTGCAAATGTCTTTAGCTGTTAGCCATTGAGATCTTAGTTGTTGGGATACAGTCGGCAATGCACAGTACCGTGTTGCCTTCTCTGTCAAAAATGAACTTTTCCCCAACGCAGAATCTCCTGTGACATACATCACATTTGAAGCATTGTAAATGAAAAATAGCTTCTTGGCTAACTTTGATAACATGATCACAGGACATGATCGCCTTTTTGCAAGCGCAGCATTGTTGCATCGGTCCAAACAACCTAAAACAGATAAAGAAAAACTTTCATTCCCAGAAAATTTCTCCTCAGAAAAAATGTTGAGCTCGTTTGGCCAATCTTAAAGTGTCCAAAGAGTCTTACTCTGTCCTGCTTATCCCTATTCCCTCATATTTGATATTGATCAAAATGTTGCAAGCGTAACAAAACTTTTAATTTCTTTTGCTCTTACTACATGACTCATGATTTGACGCTGTTGAAAAATCAGTAAGCAGATTTTCAAGATTCAATTTTTGTTGTCAATTCATGACGGAATTCCTCTATGTTAATGAAACTTTCTTTCTTTCAACATAATTTCTTTCTCGCCATTAAACATTCAATTTTAATCTCAAATTTGTGCCCTAAAAACATATGAAGGAGTGTATTTTATGTTCCAACTCAGCGATAAATATACTTACGTTGAAAAGTATTGCACCACCCTCCACAAAATGGCAGCACTGCCGCAAAATCTGTTTAGCTGACCGAAGTTCAAATAGCTATAGCAAGTTAAATAAATGTTTTAAGATTACTGTTTGGGTGGAAAATAATGGAAAAAGTATCAAGGAATAGTAATGAAAATGAACAATAAGAAAAAGCGCTTGATTTTTTCTTATTTCCAAACCATACCGACCACCGAGACAACACAAAAAAGTGAGCTTTGATGATAGGAGTGACTTTATAACAATTGCAATAAAAAATTTTCTTTAGCACAGACTTGAAAGATTTCATTGAAGCGAGTTCGGAGATACTAACTTTTTGCTTGGGTGCCCAAAACTGTTAATTTCCTTGGCTGATAATGAAGAAATTTTTAAACGTCTTGGTTGCACTTTTTTTGTACTGCAACGGGCCTAATTCTGAAGACCATTTCGTAGCATCTTGCATATGAATTCAATTCATGAAACATGTTCCTTGTCTTTACATTCATGTTTTCTAGTGCTTTGTGGTATTGTTTAGGGAACAAATAATGCTGTAAGTTGCTCAAAACAACATTTCAGCTCCTCGTTGAAAGAAAATACAAAAATTTCCGCGATAAACAGTCGTAAACAGCGACACGCAAGTGTCTGAAAAGTCGTTATTAAAAACGGCTGTAAAAGTGTCACTTTTCACTAAATTCAAGGCCAATAATGATCTTCTGGGATCACAAACACCTAAATGTGGTCTTGCCAAAGTGCCTTTAAATTTATCATGTGGCCTTTGAAAGTAACCTGCTGCAAAAGATTTTCATTAAATTTGACAAGTTTTTCAATAGTTTCGAGGCTGCGAGACAATCCAATGAAGAATTTGCTTTTATAAAGGCACTTTGGCAAAATGTATTGCCAATTTGGCAAATGAAAATGTATTGCCAATGGTTTGAAGTTATATTTGATTGGTTTTGAACTTTAAACTGACGTCTAATGACTTCACAAAAGTGGTTTGAATTTCGAAGGTCATGTTGTTTACAACTCCGTCGCCATTACTCGTTCGTCAAGTGGTGCAATACTTTTCGAACGTAAGTGTAGTTAAATGACTTGTTGAGCTTGTTTTATCAGCAAAAACCCATTACTGAGCAACGTGTTGAGCGTTGCTGATTGACATTTGAGTCATTTGAGCGAGGCTTTAGGTCTCAAGAGATGTAGGTAGCCGAGAATTTGTGCTTCGTTGATGCCACCAATTGGCAGGGGACCCACGATGGCCACCAAAACCTTGACATTGTCACGTGTAGTTTACGCAGCACTGCAGCCATTCATATGAAGGCATCTTTAATTTGCATAACATAAAATAAGAATTCGAAACTTGTTTATAAGTGTAAGTCTCTCTTGGGTACATTTCTCATTCGCAAAACTCTTTGCGAAGGTCTGTGTTAATGAACTATAGACGTTGCAAGCCAATGGCACGAACATTTAGATGTTTACTTTGTCTTGGAGTTTTTTGCATAGGTTTCTAGTTACCTAAAGCAAGCTACACGCTACTTCAATATCGCAGAACGATATAAGACTTGGGGTTTCCAATCCATTTGTTATGAAGCAATTTCAGGCATACAGTGTGTGTAAACGATTGTGGCCTTTAAACAGACGAAAACTGAGGTATGTTATTAGCATTATACGTATCTAAAATAATTATGAAATGGCGTTCAAAATTACTGGTAGTTGATGCAACCGAAGTTTCAACGGAATTTACATTCAAACTGCGTTCAAAATCTTTAATGACCCCTCTAGCATTATTAATCAAGTCAATTAGTGACAGATGAAAATGTTGAAGTAAAATGAAGATGTTTCCAGCTTGATAAGTATTCATGCCTTGTTGAAGCTGGTCATATCTTGAAAGCCTGCTCAAGTAATATCACTTATCACAATGAAATTTTTGTCAAACAATCTTTTGGTGGTACAAAACTTGAAAATGGCTTTGAAAAAAGCAAACATTTAGTAAACTAAAGTTTTTCGTCTGACACTCTTCAGAGTTAAAAACGTCAGAACATAGAACGAGAACTCCACGCTAGGAAATATATATACCCAGTTGTTGATCGAAATAGGCCAATCAGAAACACGAGCACATGACTGTTGAGGTTGACCAGTCTGTGCCGCTTGCCTATTGAGAATGAACGAAAGCTTTAGTTTACTAAATGTTTGCTTTTTTCTAAATCTTTGTCCTTACCTTAGGTAATCAAAAACGCAAAACTTTTTGCCAAATTTAAAGTAGAATTTTTGTGAGATTTCTGCTAATACCACATCACAGCAATCACATCTAAGACATCCGTAATGCCATCTTGAGTCCAAAGCTTCTAATAGAAACCTATCGGAAATATTGAGTTGGCAGCCATCACAGACTGGGCTGTCGGCCTTCGTTTGGCTGAAAGATATTAGTCATTCGATTCAAATTTCATTCACAGTATCAATTACTAAGTACATAAACAAAAGTTTTTACTGTAAAGTTAAACAAAGTAGATAACAAAGAAGAAGCTAACCATATAAAGATAACAGCAATCATTACGTTGTTAAACTGTAGGACATGAGACAAAACTTGCGAGAGCTATTTAGTTGAATGCCCTATTCGTTCGTGACGGTACAAAATTCGTTCGCTTTCAAAGCAGGGTCAAAACTGTTCCGGATAGCAGAGCAAAATCGTCACGGTTCCACAGTGCTAGTGTAAACGCAAGGGCGAACCGCGACAGTTTTGTCACGGTTCCAAACTTGCACGGGACAGTGTAAACGGGGTCTTTGTTTGCGTACTCGATGTTAATCGAGAACGTAAACAAGCTTGCACTTAATAAAACAGAATTCCGTACCACTTGGCTTCAGGATAGAGATCTTTCGAAAATGAGTGTATGGAGGGTTAACATCGGGCTCAACAATAGGGCAGTTACACGTTAGGCTACCCACCATCAGTTTTTGTGAAGGGAAATTCTTTGTCATCCAGAAGACCATGTTTCAAAATCGTTATAGTGATTTCCTTTACTTTTGGTAATGCTTTTAATCATTCCACGAAACACGCTCACCATAATAGGAATCTTCCAGGTCTTTAATAGCAAATATCCATTATAAACAAAATAGACTCGGGGGGTATCAAGAAATGTTAATAGAGAATGTAAGAAAACCATGTTAAGTGTAAATTTTCAAATTTTAAGGACACAATATCTGCAGAAAGTGGGGGAGGGGTAAGTAAAGTTAAAGGGAGTGCTCCCGACGCCTGCGATTAACATTTCAATATTCATTTCTAGTGGCGTGGACGAGGTAACTTTAAGACTCATTGCTAACAATGGGCCTTTGCGAGCGTGGCGACGATCAAAACAATGCCAGTAAACTTCTGCGGATTAACCAAAATTGATTTCAGACTGTCTGAAAATGCATTATGGGATGCTTGCGTAGCGCAATGGCTCATTGTTAGCAATGAGTCTTTAAAACATGACGTAAGACGCTAGGGCCTTTCAACAACAAAAAATTATCATGTCAAAAACCTTCCCCGTAAACGATCTTGCGTATCAAAATCTCCACTATGAGATTTTCTGTCTCAATCAATAATTGCTTTCCAACAACTTACGGATGTATCAGATAAACCATAAGTTAGATAGAAGTAACAACCTGTTGATCTTTCGGCTTTCAGATTCTGATCTATTTTATCCTTAATAATGCTGTTTAAAGGGAATTAATGACAAAGTTGAAAAGAGTATCCTGTAAAAATGTCCCACATTAAAAATCTTCGATGTTAAAATCTTCCAGCTGAAATTATCACCCTGCATTTATTATCAACCATGTGTGGCCATTGACATCATCGTTGGTGGTTTTAATGAACAATTTGGTTCTCTTATCTTTTATTTTTTTTAAACTAGTATTGAAAGTCCCTATTAGGTACGAAGTGATGACGATACAAAAGACTATATACCTGAACAAGCATAATAAAATACCTCTAATTTAAAAAACCAATTGTGTTACATGTGTTACAGTTTGACTGAGATATGGCCACATACGCACGGGCTCTTTCCCCGTCAAACCTCTTTAATTTGGTCTTGGTTAATACAGTAACTTCATGAAACAGGCCAGAAAAAAAACAATAATCCGTTGGCAAACTTGGAATCCTATATCTGCCATATCTCGCCCAATTTTGAACAGTTTCAACTGAATTTGCATATCGAGAGGTATCTTCATCAACAGTCTCTGCTACTGCAGTGTTTTTAAAGTACGGATAAACAGAACATTGCTGATTCACTCACCTCATTTCTTTCAATTTGAATAATCGTCCAATTCATAGCAACTAAACATTAGCTACTCACGTTACATTGGCTATGCCACTGAGTCAATAAATAACAACCACTATTTGCAAATCATTTGGTCTTGTCGCTTGTTTGTATCGAAATTATTAAAATAAACGGAACTCGTAGGTTATGTTAAAAACCACATTTGCAAGAATCACGTGTGAAAATGTACTACATAATGTTGGTTTGAATGGAAAGTTATTATGCGATACGAAACCATGTTTACATATTAAGTTTAAATTGTTTCTATTCTAAGGGTTGTGAGACTATTTTACTTCTGCTCTTTAGGTCAGGTTTCGAATGTACATGGCGTTCTGCTCTGAAATCGTTGACAATCCAAAAAATTGCGAAAAGGGGCGCTAACGTCCTAACGAAAACTTGCCCAAAAAGTGGTTGCAGCAAGTGGTTGTACTAATCCCATTAGCAAAAGTAAAACATTTGATTTTAAAAAACTTTGGTTTTGAGGCAAAGATATAATTGAAACGCAAATTTTTCCTCGAATTTTCCCGTTTTCCATAAATTTCCCGAAAATTTGATTAATAAGGATTTCAATGAAAGGATTATCTCGTTTTAATATATCTAATATAAATATGAATAATATAATTATCTATGTTTAAGATATGTGCGTTCAAAGATTTACTTTGTCAAATTTCTTGGCACAGTATCCAATCCAAAAATTCCTTGCGTTTTCACTTAGCCTAGTAGTTCCTTACTTTTAAAGTATATCCTTTAAAAAAATGCGTGCATCAAAGAATGATTTTTTTGAGAAAGGCGTTGCCGATCTTCCAGTTGTTGCTCTTTTTTACCAATTGAAAACGCCCATGCTTCAAAACCAATTAACCACATCACAAAAAATACTTTCCCAAAACATTACCCCTTCTCTCCAAATTTCCTCATAAAATTAAACGAGTCCCCCACCGGCACCATCATTGGCTAATGCCCAGAGAGCCATTGGGTTTAAGCCATTAAAATTGTTTGTTTTAGTCATCTCGATGTTTTCTTTTGATTTTTCGTCATTTTCATGCTTTTTCCAGATCTAGTTGTTCATGCCAAAAACATAGAAATCAAAGTCTGTTTTGAAATATTTCAAACACTTTCAAAGTCTGTTTTGAATCTTCCAGGGTTGGCAAGTTCAGATAGGACAACCAGAAAAATGTTTATGTAAACTTCATCTTTATTCTAAGAAAAATTTAAACGATAATCTATGCATCATAGATTAGATAAAGGCAGGGACAGTAGAAGCAGGGTGATGGGGTCGAGGGGGCCAAGGGGGCATTAGCCCCCCAATAATTTTCAAAGTTGACTTAAAACCACACAAAAAATCGTCTTGTTCTTGAATTTTTGGCATATTCAGCCCCCAAAAAAGGTTTTAGCACCTCGTTCTGTAATATACCCTGTGGACCTTGAATAGATAGATAAAGTCCTTGTTTTGATCTCACCTTAGAATGCTTCAAGCAGAACCGAATACACAACAATTATGAAAAGTTACATACCATAAAAGTACTATTAAGCAGGGAGGGGGGCTAATTTATTTTTCAGTCTTTGAAGGAAGGTGCTTAAAAGAGAGAGGCTAATATTAGAAGGGGGCTTATAATTTGATGTATATTCAATGTTATAGTATGAAAATACCCTTATGCATATTTTGTTATGAAAATGTCATACAAAATGTTTGCAAAAACTTTGCTAGCAGCTTCAAAATTTTTTTTTTAATCTGTCAATTATAATGTCCTTATCTTCCTTACAGTCACCCGGATTAATTGATAACCCCTGGGGCATCTTCTAAACAAATTTCAGCTGACTTGTGAGGCACACAAGTTAATCTTTAAGTGGCCGTGTTTAATGCACACGATATTATCGTCATCATGCCCGTCAAGAGAACCACTCGATATACATGTTTTTTGTTTGACATCTGGGGCTAAGGGATAGGGAAGCTTATTTCAAATTTTTGCTTGATAAGGGGGGCTTAATAGAGAGAGGGAATTAAAAGAGAGGGGGGCTTAAAAGAGCTTTTACAGTAAGACAGTAACACAGCTAGCACATAGTCCTCTTCAGAAGTATACATCTTAATTCACTTGGTGTAGAAAAATGTACACAATTTTTTAAAAAAACCAAACCTGATAATAATTTTTCAGAATTCCACACAAAAAATTAAGGAAGTTGCCCAGCCTGTATTTTGAGTACTTAGTAACTAGTCATAGCATTGCCATTGATAAATCCCTATACTGAAATTTATTTTGCATGTGATTTATATTTGTCTATTGCTGATATTCTATCTGGAAACTTTTGTTTTATGTCTATCTCATCAAATTTTACTTTGTTGTGGATGCAAATTAACAGTATGTTTGTATATACTATCTTCCTTCAAGGAAACTTTTAAATTACCTACAAAAGTTCAATTTTAAAAACTTGGAACAGTCCCATTCTTTGCTATCCCTATTTCTACATGCACTATCCAAATTGAAATTTTCTATCTACAGGTTTTCATCTCTTTGCACAGTCTTCATCCATAACATACTTAAGCTATCAAAGCAAAAGCTTAATTACAAAAATACTATTTGTGAAGAAATTCTTTGGGAAGTCAACAAATTTCCTCTGCCCACGGTCAAGGCTTTTGTATAATATGAACATAGTATGCAGGATTGTCAGTTGATTCCAATGGCTGGAAGTCACCAAGTATCGTATGCTTAGCATCTTTGCCAAACACCAACTCCAAAAGTTTATTGAAATTTTGCAGCAAGTGTGGGTAGTAAGACAGACGAAACTTGCTGAAAAAAGAAATGTTTTGAGAATGTAAATTTGTGAATGTAAAGAACTTTTCTCTTAGTTACCTGCTTAATCAAATAAATTGAACTATTAGAGCCTTATCAAACAGTGTCCTCCTAATAATTTATCATATCACAACAAGGCTTATAGGAACTATCCAAAAACTAACTCTGAAAATTAGCTGTGCTCGTCCCTCTCCCATTCACAAAATTTTTACCAATGTGTGTACCTCTATAACTTACATAATTGAAACATCAAAAAAAGAAACTTATAACTTTCATACTTTGAGGATTCATCTTTCTTCTTCTTAAAAGGTGGAGAATCGCTGTCTGCTTCTCCGTTGCTGGAGGGTTCTTCTTCTTTAATGACATAATCAAGAGTAACAAGGGAGTACTTATTGTCCACAAGAAGCACAGATGTCTTTACATCCACTGGTGCTTGGCTCTAAGAATTTGAAGAATGATTGTTTATAGCAAGAAACAGCAGGGAAGTAACAAAAATGCAAAAAACTTGTCTTCTGAGCAGTAAGTACACTTTTCTAAAATATATTTTTTACAATGAGGTAAAGTTATGATTTTGAATTGGAAGCAAAGTGAAAATTTGTTCTGATGTACTGGTTTATCTAACGTACTGTGTTTTAACTTGGTATAACAGTTTTATTAATATATAATGTTTAATCAAATCTAAAATGTAAACAAAAAGGATCCTTTCATGTTTTAAAATAAGAAAAAAATTATAGCAACCTACATCATAATAAATATTCTTCATTGGTGGCTTACCACCTGACACAATATGGTCATAATTGCGATGATCTATCATCAGGATACCCCCTGGTCTGAGGCAGTCTCTAAAATTTTCAATGGCCTGAATTTGTGCTTTATTTTCGCCATCAAAGTCGGGTAGATGTGCAAATGAGTTGCCAAGACAAATTAGGCAGTCAAATCCACCATTTGGGATGTCAATGTCTGCATCTTTCAGGTGAAGCCAGTTACCCTCTTCAATCACTATGTTGAGAAGCAAATAAGCGCTTTAAAATTATTGTCTTGAAAAAATACCAAAAGTAGGTCAAATTCTCATACCAGTTTTTGTGCAGCACATCCAAGCTGTCTGCAGCAAATTCTTTTCACCTTTCTAAATAATACTAATAAAGCTAGGTTAAAATTTATGTTTGTGTTTACCAATATTATCCCCTTCAGAGGTGAGGTTATCATTTTAATTTGTTGAATTCTTTTTTTTAGTATTAGGCTATTTTGAATCAATGAAGACAATTTTAGGAAGGTGGTGCCTTACAGCCCCTTTCTAATTAATAAATTACAAACTTCTTAATTAAAATATGAATAACTAATACAGTAGCATAAAACCCACCCCAGTTGTCAAAATCTGGTTCCTTTCTTCTTGCCCATCTAACTTTGAGTGCATATTTAAGCATTTTGTCACTTGCATCAACACTTGTGACACGGAACCCTTCTTCGACCATGAGAATGGAGTCAACACTGTTAGAACACAAGAAATGCAAGTTGGCATCATAACAATTTGCAAAATATTTTGAAAATGTATCTTCTGAAAGTAATTTGGAAAATAACATTAGGAAACACATGATAAATTGATAAAGTATAACTTGAGTATAACTACAATAATGAATTACCCGCATAATAGCTAGTGTGTTTGCAACGATGCTTGTCATTGTATCTGTTTAAGACAAGCTGTATAATTATTAACCCAGCCATTACTCTGAGAAGACTAACTTTTGCAGGTATCACACCATAAAGTATCAAACTAAACTTGCATGCATTGTAGCCATTGTAGATAAACAATCAAAAGGTGAAATCATTATCAAGACTGACCCTGAAATCTGTTATTCATGTAATAAGGAAAAACACCTTGTCTTGTAGAATAGAGTGTTATTGATAAGCTAATACTGTCAAAAACTGATCACATGGTTACAACTGAGTAACACATGGTTGCCATTTCACAGTTTTGAAATATAGGGAACATGTTTAAGCTATGGTTGGAAATGTGTGGCATGTGACAGCTGATGAAACTCATCCTGCCACGTTTCAAAATTTCAGCATTCAAGGATAAACTGCCAGTTACTTGGCCTCAGTTTTGAAACCTTCGTAAAATTTGAGCAGAGAAAACTTGCTTTATGAGCAAAATCTAAAAATATTAAATCCACTTATTTCCAGCCAAAGATTCTCGCAGACATTTATTACCCATTGCCGATGCATATACCGTAAATCCTCGAATAAGGCCCCACTTTCGAATAAGCCCCCCCCCCAAAACATTTTTTTGTGAAATAAGCCCACGGGGGCTTTATTATCCGATGACTTGCGGTACGTAGATCCAATTTCAACACTGCTTTGAAGGCCTACTGTGCGATATTCTTTAAATCAAGTTATAGAAATCGTATTTGCGTAACAGGTATTGTGTTTATAAATAAAAGGGGGAGGGTTTGAAGTAGTCAGAGAAAGTCGCTCTATCAAAATTTCAGTGCAGCCAATCGTATAAAACAAAAACACTTGGCCTACCCGGTGCCACAAGCAACATCAAAGACGGTTTTAACCTTGTACTCGTGTAAGACTTCAAGCAACTTTTTGCGGTAAAAGCCAGTCCTCCTGTTTTGATCACCAACATACTTTGACCAAACTTTGGCGGCCTTCCCATCGGCGTACTGGTCAGGAATACCTATTGCAGCGACTCCAAGCGATCGTGTTCTGTATATGCTATCAATTTTGTCCGTCATTTTGTTTTTCTGCCTAACACAGACTACTAATGCTGCTGTAAAACTAACCGCACTGAAGAGTACAGGATGAATTTCAGTATCACTTCTATGATGCGATCACGTATTTTGGACTTGCGGCTTTCCATAAACAATCGTCAGAAGTCTGACCCAGACCTTGTCAAACTGGTTCCAAGGGACGTCCTTTTGTTTTCAATTCTTTCGAGAGAACCTGTTTTTCTGGACGTTCCGGTCCAGGTCCAGCCGGGGATTAAAAACAACAAACAATACACACCAATTAAACTTAACAGCCCCATTCTGGAAAAACTTGCCCCCCCCACTTTTTTGCAAAACAATAGTTTTTTTCAAAATCTTTTGTTTTGGGTGTTAAATTTTCCCTTGCCCCCTCACTTTTCAACCTTTGTGATTGGTTTAAGACGGATTGTTAATTTCCAAAACGAGGCCGTAAGATGAGAATAGTGCTAGTTTGGACTGGGCTTTTTTTTGTTATTTGTAACCATAGTTATTTATCAACTTTCGCCCATTTGACAGTTTATGATTCCTTTTGTTATCTCATTGCACCTTTCGAGTCATTAGTTATTTCTAATAAATATTATTAATTAGTCTTGGGAGTTATAAATTTTTGCAATCGCTATTATTACGCAAATACGTAACTATGTAGTACTTCAATTAGTTCTTGTTTATGTTATATTTTGGGCGTTATATTTTGATTATATGTATTTAGATTCTCGACGATTTATTTATGTGGCAAGATGCTTGTAAAAGATCTTGTCGACACAAAGTATGGAGTTATATTACATGTATTTGGATTTATGGAATCACGCGTGTATGGTTAAGAATATCATTGTGTATGTTTGCGAGGACAGTGCTTGCAAAAGGCTGTGCCTGATATTAAGAGAACAAATCGACGTTACGGAACAACCGTTGAGAAACATTGTTAGTAACCTTTTCGCGGGAAGGTCATTTGATCGGAAGATGGACGTTGAGACATTTTTTTCTATTTGTATTGATTCTTATCGAAGGACCAGTTGGTCTCGACGATGCATTCATTTGCAAAAGCCCCTATCACACAGGAAAGGCTGTCCGCCGGATTCTGTGATTCTTGCAGTGGGTAATAACACAGAATAGAGATTCTGTGGTAATAATATGAAGGCAATAGTCAAAAACAAAGCAAGATGTCGAAGACAACCCAAGGTTGGGTAATAGAATTTTGAAATATCAAATCCCACTAATATTTCACCCGCTCCGGTATACAAGGGCTTCATCGTTGTTCTGCTTTGTGTTGTTCCTGGCTATTACTAAACAAGAGACTCCCTCGGGGCACAAAGGCTGCTGGGGTTTAAAGGATGACTTTTTGGAAGGATTGCTTGGATATCAGCATAATATTTTCTATTCTGTGATGTCAGGGTCGAGAATAAACAGGTCGTGCGAGTCATTCTTTCAATTTCAAAATTTCCTCATAAAAGTCCAAATCCATTTAAGGAAATTTCTCCCAAAATGGCAGTTGACTCTCCTTCTCTTTGCTTTCCATGTTCCTTTTTCAATCTCATGTCATTTCATATTAATTTTGCATTTGATTAACCGTATTGACAGGGAATTCTTCATTGGCTGTTAAAAAGATCTCGGGAATCCTAAACGAAAACCACCAATCATGTTGATAGAAATGATGCGTCCCCGTCCTATGGCGATGCGACGGCGATTTGTCCCCGATAACATATGAACTTGGTTCCCGTCGCGTCGGGGACACGCTTGCAATCTGGTGCGTACTTTGAAGGAAACAAAATGGTGGAAACAAGTATCTAACTTCAGATTAAATTGGTTTATGCTCTTATATTGATATGAGAAAGGGGATTGAAGAGAAAAAAGGAAGAAGAGAAGTCAAAGAATGTGAATATGAAAATATCTGGAGAAAAGGTTAAGTCAGTTTCCTACTCTTTTAAGGAGCTCGGACTTCATGACAGAGAGTACTTCTTCTCTTAAGAAAGTTGTCACTGGCAGTGGTTTTTTGTTTGTTATCTGGTTGGGTTTGGAATACATTTGAAAATTGATTTCCAAAATCATGTGACAAATTATGCGTCTCCGACATCGCCGATCGCAAAAATTTTGTTTCCATTGGAAAAATTATCCCCGCATCGACGGGACACGATTGCGATTCATCGGGGAAATTCATTTTAAATAAAAAGAACACACCTCAAATTTTTTATATTGACGGGGACATCGGCAACGTCGCGGAAAAAAACGTTCAAATATCATCGTAAGCGTCCCCGTACCATCGAATTTGAAACCAGACTTGTTTGATTGATAGCGACACCATCTATCTTTGTTTGGAGAGTGGTGGGATAGAATCTCGTCCTTTCATTGAAATTTTTGGCGCTGTGAAATGAACGTTTAAATCATTGTAACGATTGCGCACGTCGCATGAGCAAATGGCTAACGATGAAATGTTATTAGCATATAGAGTTTGCCTGTTTCTTCTTTGTGCGCAATTAAAGCCAGTCTAGTAGTAGTTTTCGGATTTAGCGCCAAATTTAAAGTATGGACGTGAACAGTGAAGAAACATCTGGTGCCGTGACCCGGGAAGGAAAGCCACAGGATAGAGACTAGGCAAAAGGAAAATCGGCACCTCTAATGTTGCGAAAGTGATTGTTCCTTGACCCCAGTGCATAGGGGGACAATCAATTTATGATAATCTCAATTTAATTTGTTTACTGGACAACCTGGATGACAGTACAATGGTTGGTGCTTCTTGTTCTGCAAAATTTGCAGTAACAATTTGAGATTTCTTTATAAATAAGAAATGGTCTCACCTAACCCAACAACTGCGGTAATTTTAACAAGGAAGGTGGCTAACGTCTACCACTTCTACTACTAATTTGTTGTTTTTTTTAATGTGAGAATATCTTGAATAAAAGGAGAGTTTAGTTTCTTAGACAGTTTTATAGATTTAAATACAAAGAGATCCGAGACGGCTAATTCTCGTTCTGCATTTCTCTGCTTTAGAAAGAAAGTCGTGTTGAGCTTGTAGAGTCATTCTGAAGAAGTCTAAGGGCTTGCCTTTTGATCTTTTCAATTTGCTTCACCGACTTTTCAGAGAAAAAAACTTTATGCAAGAGGGCAAAAGTTGATATTAAAGAAAACGAAACTTCGAGCCAATATCACTTTGACGTTGAGCTCCATATAAATCTCAAGGCTTTTTAGTGCGTTTAGCTGCACAGCTGCTTTTCTGCATAGGACGGAGGTGTAGTCAGCAAAATTTTGTCTGTGTTCGTTTTTTCCCGCAGAAGTCCAACTGCATTTTCAGTTTTAATTTGTCTGTCTTGTGTGGTTAGTTTTTCCATATTGTGTTTTATAATCTTTTTTAACTACAATGGCGTGGAATTTGTCCAGATTTGCAATCATTTAGTTCTATTTCAAGCCAATCTATGGCTGTTCGATTATTCCTATTTCTATGATTGCTATTGTAACCAGGTTTGGGGATGCATTTGAAAAAGCCGTTAAAGTAGTATCGTCTGCAAATTTGTGCAAAATAGCTTATTCCTTTAAAGGTAAAGATCATTATTGTATAAGTTAAACAAGATTGAACCAAGAACAGATCTTTGAGGTACATCAGAAAGCTGAAAAGTACTATGCGTGTTGCTAATACGCACTGACTGTTGTCTACGATTCGGCTAAATTAGATATCAACGAATGCATCTTCATAAAAAGAGTTTTTGTCATCCTTGTTTTATAGTAACTTCCTCGCCTCATTCCGTTCAAAAGCATGCAATGAATAAGTTGAAAAATGAATTACTAAAATTTGACGTTGCAAGTGCTATTGGCATATATTTAGAAAATCAATTTCATGTTATCTCTGTCTCTAGTTTGTTTATTTGTGATTGCTAGGCTTTGTGGATTTTTTTCACTTGATTTATGAACGATGCTAATGTTATGGTCATTAGAAGTTTCAGCAAGTCCGTGATCTTTTGTAATAATCTTATCCTCTTTTAGAAGCAAAATTTCATTCCCTAACAACCCTCCTTAATTTGTCAGCATTGATTCAACTAACTTTCAAAAGACTTCATTCGTCATTACCCTATTTTCTGTCACCCTTCTGAAATTGTTCTTGATTGCTTTCTTCCTAAAGGAAATCCATTTAAAACAAATCCTAAAATAAATGTTACTTTTTTCTTGCACGATATTTCTTAAATTTTTCTGCATGCGAGATCTGCTATGAATGTCTCTTCTTCATGTTTTATCCATAAAGGTTGCATAATTCTTTCGAACGTTTTTGGTTCGTAAAAGCTCCTGCTTAATCTACGATCTTACAAAACTTACAAGCCAAACCCTCATAGGCCAGATCTTTACATCAGAAAACAAGTTGGCTGTCGAGACCTTTTGTAACTTCTATAAACAATTTTTTTGGCTTAAGGCAGGGAATGCATGACTTTATGCATTTTGATTTTAAATAATAACTTCAAGAGCAAGAGTCTTTTGAAAAAACTGTTCACGGGTTGCGAGAATCATGTCTATTGAAAAGCTATGGCCACACGCAAGACCGGTTTGTCCTTTACTAAATCATAAAGATCTAAGACGTTGCAGAACTTTCTGAGATTCTCAAAATTAGGTTGTCTACGATTTTGCCAGCATTATTTTTGTTGTCAATATAATGATAGCATTTTCAAATTTGTCTAGAGCAATTTTTATGCACGATGATAGTTATTGTAAAAGCGTAATGATGTTTGACGAAACAGGCGGTGTGTACACAGCAAAAATTGCCCCTTCTTTACATTTACATGTTTATGTTTTTCTTTATTTTAATTGCAAATCCTTTGTCAGTTTCAAACTCACTTATGCATCTATCTCTGCTGCCGATTGTGATAGCTTGAAATTTAGAGCGATTTGCAATCATTTCATTTGATTTAAACCAATCAAGACATTTTTTAGTGTTAATCTTAACAAGTTGCAATAGTTCATTAGTATTTGTTGCAGTGACAAATATCGTGTTGTCATCAGCAAAATTACATAAAACCCTTCACTAAGGCTATAAAAGATCGCTTAGGAAAATATTGTAAAGTAGAGATATAAGTATTGATCCCTGTGGAACTCCTTGTCCAAGTTTACCCCAGGAGCTGTTGTGACCTTTCACTTTGACTCTTTGCTTTCTATTAAACAGTTTGATATGAGTAAAAGAGAATTTCTATCCACACCATAGGCATGTAG